TTCCCATTTCCCTTATCTTCTGCGTTCCTCAGTTCATATATTGATCGTTCTCGTCCAGGTGAGCCTTGTCCTTGTTGTATCTCTTTCTCCATCGCCCTTTCATCTCTGTCCCAGTGCGTATCTCTTCTCGTTCTTGATGGTCACCTGGACTGACTTGAGCTAGTTCCCATTTCCCTTATCTTCTGCGTTCCTCAGTTCATATATTGATCGTTCTTGTCCAGGTGAGCCTTGTCCTTGTTGTATCTCTTTCTCCATTTGCCCTTTCATCTCTGTCCCATTCCCATTTCCCTTATCTTCTGCGTTCCTCAGTTCATATATTGATCGTTCTCGTCCAGTTTACATGCACAAGGGGTTTTGTTTGCTTCTCTCGACGACAAGTAGACCACCGACGCCAACCCAGTGAAGAGTTAGACACCTAACTCTTACAGTTCCGAATTTTTTCCTCCAACTATTTCTTCCTTCATGACTTTCCTTTTATTGTTGCTAATCTGTTTTAATAGAGAATCAGTTTCTTTTTGCCAGAGGGCTCTTTGACCTGTGGTCTCATTCAAGTGGGGGAGAGTGTGAGAGGCTTGCCTCATACCCTTCTTAACATACAACCTGTCGACCCCTTTTGGCTGCAACTCTCTGCCTTGACTGTTGGACTGCAAGTGAGTAAGCATTAGCGGAAGGCAGCCTGTTGCGTTTGAGTGCTTGGACCCAGCAAATGAGAAGCGCTCCTGCTATGCATGCATGCAGGGGGCGGCCTGATAAAGCTGTGGGGCGCAAATCTGGAATCTGGCTGCCCAACCACCAGATCATTGAGAGTGGTACTGGTGCCCAGCCCACAACACCCCTTCAAAAACATCTTAAGGTCAGCCTCTTACACCTAACTCTGTCCTTGTCATACGCCTTAACAACCATGCCGTTCAAAGAGGAGAGTTCAACGCTTTTGAGGCACTCAAAAAGACTGAAAAGGGGCTTGAAATGTCTTTGGCAAAGGAGAAGCTACTTTAGGATGAAATTGAGTGCATTCAGACTGCTCAAGAGCTTGACAAAAAGACCAGAGGGGGAAGGAAGGCAGTAATTGCCTTCGGGCAAGTTTTACAACCCAGATTATTGGGAGAATAACAGGGAATCATTGGGGAAGAGGAAGGAAAGTGAGGAAGAGGAAGAGAATGAAGAGAAACAAAAGTGTCTTATTTGAATCAGGAGGATCTCAGTCAAAAGCTTCATATGAAATATTATACCCATACATGCTATGGATGTCACGCAAATGCAGATTTTCTATACATATTCAAAAAGATGTAAAGTGTCTGAAAGAGTGGTATGTCTGAGTGTGACGTCATTACAAGTAGAGTTTGTAGAGTGTTGTGACAAAATCAACTTCAATAAACAATTACCAGAGGGCTACAAAGGGGTCCTTTCATATCTTTTCTGTCCATTGACATTTTCCAATCCTTCCCTGTATTCAATTTGTTTGCTGAATCAGCCAGCCTCCACTGGCCTATTTGACAGAGTGGAGCTGATTCCAGATGACTATATCAAAAACAAGTGGTATCTGTAATGTAAAATTTCTAAAGAGTATCTTGTTTTGTGATAAACATCCCAGTGTTGATCTATGATAGACAAGAGCGGCTCAGTATATGATAAAGGTGGCTATGTGTCCTAGTATGTGATAAAGGGGCACGGTGGTGTGTTAAGGTGTTTCTTGAAGCATGCCAAATGGCATGTTCAATGATGCCAAGGTTGTGCTGCAAGGGTTGAGCTGTAGGGCAATCGTCTCCGCTTGGCTTGCTGTTACATAACTGACTGCCTGACAGGCGGAAGGTGGGCTAGATTGTAACAGCTTCCCTTACAGCCTGTTCAGCAACGCAACAAGTCCTGACAACATTTCCAAGCCAAAGTCAACAAATACCAACTTCAGCTTGAGAATTTGTAACAATTTGTTGTGGCTGCCTGGTTACTGAAGGCTCAACAATTTCTTGCAGATTTCAATGCACATGGTGAGCAATTGCTGGGAGTATTTTCAAGAATGAGCCAGGATTTGTAGGACTTGTTGCTCCAACTTGGACTGACAACTTCTGAGGAAGTTGTTGGAAAAAGTTGCCCCTTTGGGAAAGTCAGCATCAGGCTGTTTTGGATCTTTTTAGTATTTGTTGCATTGCTGAACACTAGGGAAATTCAATTCGGCGTTCTTGAACTTGCAGTCTTAAACTGGCGGCCTCAAGGGCCAGGGCATGGCTGAGGGATAAGCACGTGGCTGGCCCTGCAGAGGTCTGGACCTAATTAGATCCTGTCTGTCTTGAACTTGTTGGCCATGTCCAACAGTGATGTTAAATGTATTTCTGTTGCTCTTGCCCTCTATCCTCTCCATCCAATTCCCCTCTTGTCTCCATTAGCACGCAACTACATCCTATTGTCATGAGTTGTGTCAGCCCAAAACAGAGAAAGCTCACCAAGTACCATCAAATGGCCTGCTGGGCCATTGCCCTTGGCCTTCCTTCCAAGGCCTCTCTCATCAACATCTACACCGTGCTTGCCCACTCTCAATACATGAAGAGACCCAAAGTATATGGCAACCTCTGTGATTGTGACTGGCAAAGAACCATTGACAAAATCCATGCCACGGCCAGAAAAAATCCCACCAACACAACAAATTTATGCCAGAGATTCTGTCTCACGCCAAGTGAGTTCACAGGGCTCTTGGGACTCATAAAGCATCACCCAATTTTCCATACAGGTGGACCTCACAAGCAGGCGCCACCAATGTACCAGCTCTTTGGTTGCGTTCTACCGTCTGGTCACAATGGTAGTGGGCAAACATGAATGGTGTTGGCCATACTTTTGAAGTTTCTGGTAGGCTGACTGTGTTCCCTGGCAGATGCATAGCACTAGCAGTGGTTGCTTTGCCCTTTGACTTGTTAGCAGCGTGGGTTGGCATGTTGAGAGTGGATAAATGTGGTTGGTGTTTGATGAAAGGGGAGTGGAAGGGGGAATTTTATGATGGACAGAGAAGAGAAATAACATGTCAACACTGCTGCTGCATTTTTCTGTCAGTTGAACATGTTTTCAAAATTAATGTGGTCTGTTTAAGAGTGGTTCTGACCCACTATTAAACTTAGTGGTCTTAAACTAGCAGAATTGCCTCATTGGGAAGGTCGTGTGTGGCCTGAGCAAGGAAATTTGGTATTGTGACGTCCAGAAAAAATCTTGAATCAGGTTGGGGCAACATAAACTTGAACCAGGATAGATTTGGTTTACCCTGTTGATTTCAGTCTGGGATTGTTTTGACCTTGGTTTAGGATTGTCATTTCAATATTGTTTCTGGATAGAATGCTGCATATGCCATCATCTTGATATTGGGTCATTTCTACTCTCCTTACAGCTACAGTACAAAGATCTCTCTCAGACAGCTGAACACACACAAAACATTGTGTTGTGAAGTAACCACCTGCCCTTCATGACACAACAAGTCAGAGCCTGTATAGCATGATCAGTGAATGGGTATCTTCCTTCTGCAGAGATAACAGATCACAGTCAGTTATTCCATGCACTGAAGGGAAATAGCATTGGCAAAAGAGATGCAGACATGGAAGGGAAAGGACACTTATTACCAGCAAATTGCTTGGTGCAGTGGATGGGCAAAGAGGGAGGTGTTGTGGTATGTTTTGAATAGAAGCTTGTGGCAAGTTTATTGGTGGTGATGAGATGAGGTAGTGGTGATAAGAGATGGAAAAGAGTGTCCAAGCATAGAAATAGATCAGTCAGTATATAATGCAAAAAACAAAAGGTAATGTACTCAGCTGCTTTCTAAGTACCGCCATAAGCATCCCACCTGGTGAGTGGGGAAGGGCATCTTGGTGGATGCAGGAGGAATGTAGTCTGGCAAGAGGAGAAAAGTTGGTAAGGATGGGAACATTGGGGAAGACAGTGCACAGACCTCTGTTGGGTGGCAAATGCGGGTTGTGTTGATGTTGGCATTGCTGTTGAAAGCTGTCTGAAATGTGGGCGGGAAGACAGTGTGGCAGAGAGGAGGACAGGGGTGGGATGGGTAGCTGGCAGAGAGAAGAGGTGTGGTGGAAGGCAGGAGGGGAGACATTGTAGAAAGGTGAAGGAGAAAGAAAGATGACAATCACTCAATGACAAGGACACGACTTGCTCCTTTGGCAATTCAAGTGCATCCATTCCATCTCTATGGCAGTGATCACAGATATGTCAAAACAATCCCAGACTGAGATCTGTCACAACCGCGCTCCAGCTTCCATGTCATCACACATTTTATTACATATTAATTATTGAGCTGGACACATTGTGACACCCTTTCACTTAAACTCAACATTGCCTCCTTGTTTGAGTCACCTCTCTTGCTTATTCTGTTACATCAAAGCCATCATATAGTACCAGGAACTACTCATATCTAGAGCCATTGCCATCACCACACTTTGTAAGAATCCAGTGGTCAGATCCCAAGGCATGATTTAACAAGTCCATATACCAACATATGCATTATAATTCCAGGGTTGGAATTGTGATGCAGTGGCTTTTGTTGCTCATTTGGTTAATTGATCTTACTTGGTATCTAGGTCCATTACAGAATTCCAACCCTAACCCCCAGTTCAAGTCTGGCACAGGCAAAAAGCAAAAAGGGGATTTTGTCATGTGGGGGTTTGTGGGGGCCCCATAAGTGCTAGGCACAAGCAGCATTTGGAACATGTGATCCGCAGTATATATATATGCCCAGAGACCACCCAAGCTAAAGGGACTGGAACATTCTGAGAAGTGTGCCTTGTGAACCAGTGTTGGGATGTTGCTTCCTTGAATCCAGTGGTCAGGTCCCAGTGCACAAGTTAACAAGTCTTGAACTGTTTCACCAAGGACCCTGTCATTATGGTGCAACACCTCTATGCACTTAAAGACCACATCAATAACGCTTGACACACTGTGGACCCAGGATTTTTTGACCATCAGTGGGTATGATGGGCTTGCCAGGAAGGCAAGGAGGCCACCAGTCTCACCCTATGAAGCAGGCTCAGGAAGCAAAAGATCCTCAACCCAGACTGGGTTCATCAGGTGCGGTGATTGGTTTCATGAAGTGCATGGAGGGGACCACTCCCCAACACTTTGACACCTTTGCTGCCTCCAACCTTGACCATCAGAACCTCCTTGAGGGTTTGGACAACCCCTCCACTGAGATGGAAGTGAAACACATTCTGATGGCTGGGTTAAGTTCCCACCTACTCACCCTTGAGGTAGAAGGCACCTTGGAGCAAAAGTGCATGACCCATCACATCATCTCCATCTCTGACCTTATTGTGCTCATGTCCAAGAGGGTTGTTGCTTGTGCTGCACAGTTGGCGGCATTCCAAGACCACCAGGCGGCATCAGAGCCGCCTTTTTGCCCTACACCTGCCACCACGCCTTGACCGGCTCCAACACCTTGGCTGGTCCCCATGCCAGTCAACACAATTTCTGCTGTCCCTGCTCCAGCAACACTCACGGAGGCAGAAGCACATGTTTGGCTCAACCATATGGTTTGCCTTCCACTTGGTCCGGATGGTACACAAGCCCGCACCTACCTTTTGCAACAAGGTCTTTGTTTTGGTTGTTGCCAACACAGGCATATGGTTCAGAGCTGCCCTGCCTTCCCCTCACAAGTCACGTCTTTGTCATCAGTGCCTCCCCAGGCTCCTGCTCCAATGTCTACCACTGCGCCCCCTGGCCCAGTTCAGAAGTCAGTCCCGATCCTCCATGTCCATGCTTGCCTCAGTGCTGATGGTCCCTCATACCAGACGCTCATAACCTCTGGCGCAGCAGTCAATGTCATTGACAAGGAGTAGTGGAAAAACATGGGCTGGAGACAAGGCAGATGCTGCCATTAGCGATGTGAATGGCAGATGAATCAGTTGGGCCCAAGATCACTCAGAAATCTCTCAGGAACATTCATTTTGGCAGTATCGTCTACTGTGACTCGCCCTTTATGGTTATGCCACTTGGCCCAGCAAACTGCATGTTTCTTAGTCTCCCTTCCATCTACAACCCATCAGCACTGAGGCAAGCGTGGATGTGGAGGAGTGGGACTGATTTCTGCCGCTCCACTTTGTCAGACAATTTTCACCTATTGCCTATGTCATGTAGCATCTTTATCATTACATATCTCGACAATGGCTGGTTTGAAATCTTCAGCACTCAATCATCACAGCACGCACCCCAATCAGAGCATCAAGTCGGTGACAAGAGAGTTCAGTGTCCCTTCCTCCACCCTCCACAACTGTATATCCAGCAAACACTCCTCAAACACAGATAGCCAGCATGGGAAGCTCTCCAAGGTCCAGGAGGCGGAGCTGGTGGTGGAAATCAATGCTTATGCCAAGCAGGGTACCAACCTTTAGGTTTCACACGTCCAACAGCTCCCGGAAGGACTGGCTGGCAAAGAGCTGGGAATGAGTTGGGTGTTACACTTTGTTATCAGTTCGCATTTTTTTTTCAGGTTCCTGGATAGCCAGCGGCAAAAGGCTGACACATTGGAGAACGGGAGACAGAGATTCCCAGGAGGGAAATTGTTTGACCCTGAGTATTGGGAAGAACACTGTGTAGAGCAAGAAGAAAGAAGAACAAGGGAAGAGGAGGTTGCAGAGACTAAGAAATGGAAAGCTCAAGAACCGGGTAAGGCTGGTACTCAAAAATGACAGAGACAATTTACACCAGGACCTTCTGGCACGTCATGAAATTTCGTATGCATAGCTGCAATATCTAATCATACAGAAACATTTTGGGCACAATGTGTATATTAATGAAACCGTCCAACAAAGTGGAGCGGCCAATGAACACGTGACCTTGAGTGATGCATATGTTGGTATTTAGACTTCTTAACTTGCACCCCGGGACCTGACCATTGGATCCTTACATGGGCCAGGGGGCATGATGGTAGACATTGGAGCAGGAGCTTGGGGAGGCACTGATGACAAGGACACAACTTGTGAGGTGAAGGCAGGGCAGCTCTGAACCATATGCCCATGTTGGTGACAACCAAAACAAAGATCTTGCTGCATAAGGTAGGTGCGGGCTTGTGTTTCCTCTGGACAAGATGGAAGGTGATCTGGGAGGTGCCGGGGCAGGCACAGCAGAGATCACGTTTACTGCCATTGGGGCTGGTCAAGCTGCTGGGGCTGGCTGAGGCATGGCGGCAGGTGCAGGGCAAAAAGGTGGTTGTGATGCCGCCTGGTGGTCTTGGAACGCCGCCAATTGCGCGGCACAAGCAACAACTCTCTTAAGCATGAACACATTAAGGTCAGAGATGGAGATGATGTGATGGGTCATGCGCTTTTGCTCCAAGGTGCCTTCTACCTCAAGGGTAATTAAGTGAGAACACAACCCAGCCAGCAAGATACACTTGGCCCCATTATGGTGAGCAGTTTGTAAGAACCCTTGAGCAAGTTCTGGTGGTCAAGTATGCTGGCAGCAAAGGTCTCAAAGTGTTGGGGAGTGGTCCCCTTCATGCACTTCATGGTAACAGAGCGCTGCGCCTGGTGAATCCAGTCTTGGTCTAGGACTTTTGCCATCCAGAGCTGGCTCCATTTGGCAAAGCCGGCAGCATACTTGCCTTCCTGGCAAGCCCAGACTGCCCACTGACCAATATCTCAGATAGACAAGTTGCACTGCTGGATGACCCACCGGTCAAAAAATGCTGGGTCCATGGTGTGACAAGTGTTGTCAATATAATATTTGAAAGCATAAAGGTGCTGCACCACAACAAAAGGGTCCTTGATGAAACAGGTCCAGGTAGGACAAACAAACTTGTTGGGAATGGAAGATGTGGGGTTGCTTGGGGGCAGGGATGGGAGCGGGAGCGTGAGTGTTCTTCTGGCTGGCAAGCAGATCAACAAGATGCTGTTGCAAATTTGCCATCATGGCAAAAAGAGCCATTGGGTCAGGGGCAGTCTGAGGCCAAGGGGTGTCTTGGTGCACACAAGGACAGGGGGTGCTGTTGATTGAGGAGTCATGCAAGGTGACAAAGCTGGTCAGGTCATCATCCGGTGCTTCAGAGCAGGTGATTCTGCTAGCAATGACAAGGCTGGAACACTATTGATTTTGTGATACTCTTGACCAAAAAAGAAAAAACAGAGCAGTGGCCAGTAATGTAAGGGGTTAGTTTGGAAATGATCATCATTGTTGGCCCAGAAACCAAGACTCAAAACAAATGGTACCACTTGATGCAGAGCTAGTCTAGTCTTGAGCAGCCAGTTTACACCTACTTAGCAGAGCTGCATAGTCAGTGATACATTTACTGTAGGACTGCAACATCAAATAACTATATTTTGATTGGCTGACTTTGATTTTTGGCAAGTTGCACCATGGACTGACCATGTTACCAGCTTCAACATGTTCATCCTGGTGTACCTTTCAGAGGGCAGATCCTCCAAGTCGCTGTCCTCCACCCCACCTATGCCTAGCAGCTTGTGAAGCCTCTGACCTTGCTGTACTATACCCTGTAGCTTGAGTATAGCCAGATCCAGTACCTGTTACAGTCTGGGGCATTGGCTGACTAGCAGGGAATTGTCTCTTGAAGAAAAGGGGTGTTGCAAGGGGGTTGGCACGGCGTAGATGGGAAGGCGCATGGCTTGGGAGGTACGTAAAAAGAAACCACCTCGAATGGTTTCAGCTGACAGTGATGATACTCAAAAGCAATCACATACCATAAATGACCTGCCAGAAGACCGACGATGCCACCAAGAGCTTTCGCTGGGCCTCCAGTGAGTAGATCAAGCAGTATCAAAGCGGGTGGATACACTGCGTTGGGTATTAGCCATGCACAGGGCTCCCACTATAGAGTGGCACTCACGGCTTGTTGGAAGAGTGAAAAGGCCAAATATGGAGACCCGGACTGTGGGGTTGACCCGGCACCAAACATAAGTCTGAGCAAGAAGCAGGGGCCGGAAGAGAAAAGGGAGGCCGATTGGTATGTTGAACAGCTACGAGGCTAATATCAGTGAGGTCATATCGGTGTGCATGGGATACCACTGACTATTATGAACACGCTTAGCATGATGTGCAGCCATGCATACTCTGCGGTGTCACTCCTGCTGTGGTATAAGGTAAAAACAGGCCCTCAAATCATTGTGATAGTAGTTCACGTACTAGGTCAATGTTTCCATCGCCGACGAGTTCCGATAGATCAGGAAAAAGTCGTATAGAAGTGGGAAGCCACTGCCTACAATGGAGACTATGAGCGGATGTCGCTCTATGATTATATTGCCATCACATCATACCACCGTAAAAGAAGCTCGTGAAAGGGCGCCATATCTTTGGGAGCAAGCGGGAGACCATCAGCCTCGATTCTAACGGAGGGGCATTACGGACGAAGACTCACTTCGAAGCGTCTCGCGACTGGTCCCCAGAACAAGGCGAGCTATGCGGTGGTTAAGCGGTGCGCTGCAGTATGTTTGGCCTGGCACAGAAAGACGCACAGTAGCAGGGGACGCGAGTCCGAGTAAACAGGGCCTGCTGGAGATGAGCGGACAGGACGGGGGCAGGAAATGGGACTTGCGCTGTGACGGCGGCGAGGGCGAGGAGAAGGGTGCGGGTGACGGGGGGGACCGAGCGGAACAAGGCGCCGAGGTCGGCCATTGCGTGGGTGTCGCGTGGTTTACAGAGCGTGGATGCAAGACAAAATGAAGACAAATGCATGACTGAGACCCAGCGCAGATGCACCGGCCGGCGCGCGGCGGGCTCCGCATCCCCCACCTCGGCCCTCCGTTGTGGCAGTCCTCCGCTTCAGCTTTGCTCGTTTTCTCGTCAGCCATCTCTCGGCTCTATCCCGCAATGCCCCCGTCAGAGCTGTCTGCCCTTCGTCTCCACCGCCCCCCCTTTGCGGCCCAGACCCCAGTCTCAGGGTGGCCGCCCCTCGCTACCGTCAAGCCGTGGCACACAGAGTACACCCTCGTCTTTGTCGTCGACAGACCGCACTCGAGAGTACGTCCACCTTGTCCATTTGCAGCTACTGACCAGATCCCAGTTCCTCTTGGGCCATAAGAAACGTGGCATGGGCTGCGGCCTGTGAGTCAAACCTAGACGACTCCTCGTTCGACATGCTGATGGCTGCCACTGCCAGCTACAATGGGTATGGCGGAAAACCCGAAGCTAGAGAGACAATGTTGGACTGTGCCATCCGAGAGCTCCAGGCATGTCGCGTGTCGAATAACCATTTCCGATCTAACATTATTCTTCGCCAGGAAGAGTCCGGGCTAGTTACAAACAAGAATGATATTCGCCTGAAAGGCCTCCTCCTTACAAGTCGCCCCAATTCATCAGATAACGCAGTCAAATGTCTACTGCGCATACACATCTATGAGTGTACGTCTTGGTCTGGAGATCCCATCGAGTGAGTAGATCTACCCAAGACTGTTCACACGCCAACTGCCATGTGATGTGATTGTAGGACCGAGGAGATGGCTCCAGAGTGGTTCACTCAGGACAACTTGCCCCTCGAGAGGATGGTCAGTCCGCGTCTCTTGTATGAAGCCCAGATTCCGTCTAGCTGACTCGATTGCCTGACTATCAGTGGCCAGAAGCTCGGAAGTATGTACCGGTCGTACTCGACTCCATTCTTCACGGCGCTTCCAACGATCTCTTTCTTGCTCGAGTCGACTACGCGTATCTCACCGCGGAATCGGCACCCACTGCTCTTCCACCACTGCACGGCCAGAGCGTACTGTTCGAGGAAGATGCTGAGATTGCAAGTCAGCCTATGGAGAGGCTGAGTGGTTGGTATATGACTTTTACAGGAGCAGACGATCTTTTGAAATTCAACGCCACTGTCGGATATACCTGACAGACACAACAGCATATAGATCATTACACGATGCATGGCTTTTTCTTCTTCTAACCGTTTTTTGAAGCACAGAGCGAACCTTATAGTAGACTGTGGCAGCACTTGTATTGTTTTCCTCCCCATGTCTAAGCGTACAAACTGAGTCACGCTGTCAGTAGTATTCCCCAGACCCTCATGTCAACTTACTCGTCGTCGTCAGCCTCGTTCTGGAAAGTTGCACCAGTGTTTTCCGCAGCCTCGCCACTTTCTGGGAACTTGAAGTTGTTACCAAAGCTTCTAGACTGTTGGAGAGTCGTGCTGAACATCTCGTATCGACGGATGTCGGCATCCGAGACGGAACGCCTGGCATATCGCATAGCTTCCTCAAAGTGGTCACTAGAGAGAAATATAAGCGGGAAGCATAGAGTGTACAGGCCTTTGCAACTTACACAGTGATGGCAGGCACCTCATCTTCCTCGTTCTCCCCCTCGCCCAGAAGGTCAACATCCTCTCCAGCTGCCTCGGCCTTCTCCTTCCTGTCCATTTCTCTGCGGATATCGTAGTCGATGCTCTCTCTGATGGCAAGCTTGGCAGCACGCTGACAGATTTCAGTGAGATCGGCACCAGAGAATCCGGCAGTGTTCTTGGCAAGGAAGTTGAGATCCACACGGGGATCGATAGGGGACTTGCGAAGAGTGGCCTTGAGGATGGAAAGTCGGGATTCCTCGTCGGGTAAGGGAATGTAGATAAGCTGGTCAAGACGTCCGGGTCGGAGAAGCGCGGAGTCGATCTGGTCGGGTCTGTTGGTGGCACCAATGATGAAGACGTCTGCGCGGCTTGTCAGTCAAAACTGATTCGCCAGGTATACAATGCACGTACTCTTCTTGGCGTTCATGCCGTCCATTTCCGTCTAGAAAGCATGATCAGCTGCCATCATCTGTGAAAACGTCTAGCTTACCAAGATCTGGTTAAGGACTCGGTCGGAGGAACCGCCACCGTCACCGGAAGAGTTGCCTCGAGACTTGGCGATGGAATCGAGTTCATCAAAGAACATGACACATGGCGCTGCAGCCCTAGCCTTGTCAAAGACATCACGAACATTGGCCTCGGACTCTCCGAACCACATGGTCAAAAGCTCGGGGCCCTTGATAGAGATAAAGTTGGCTTGGCATTCGTTGGCAATACTACAACTCATCAGCAGCATCCCAGCGCAGACATTATCCAGACTTACGCCTTGGCCAAAAGAGTTTTACCGGTACCGGGAGGTCCATAGAAGAGCACACCCTTTGAAGGAGACATGCCGTACTTGAGGAACTTGTCGGGATGCTCGACAGGATACTGAACAGTCTCCTGCAATTCGCGCTTGACCTTGTCCAAACCACCAATATCGTTCCAAGTGGTGGTCGGGATCTCGACCACGGTCTCTCGCAAGGCCGATGGGTTGTTGACTCCGAGAGCAAAGCGGAAGTTTTCCATAGTGACACCAAGGGAGTCAAGCACTTCGGCATCGATGGTGTCCTCATCAAGGTCGATAAGGTCCATCTTCTCTCGAATTTGCTGCATAGCAGCTTCGGAACAAAGAGAGGCCATATCAGCACCGACGTAACCATGGGTATCGGCAGCAATCTGCTCAAGGTCGACGTCGTCGGAAAGCTTCATGTTCTTGGTGTGGATACGGAGGATTTCGAGTCGACCGGTGGGATCGGGAATACCAATGTCAACCTCTCGGTCGAATCTGCCGAATCGACGAAGAGCAGGATCGATCGAGTTGGGTCTGTTGGTAGCAGCCATAACGACAACGTTGGAACGAGCCTTCAACCCATCCATCAAAGTCAAGAGTTGAGAGACAACTCGTCGCTCGACTTCACCGTTGGCCTTCTCACGCTTGGGGGCGATAGAGTCGATCTCATCGATGAAGATGATGGAAGGACTGTTCTTTTCCGCTTCCTCAAAAGCCTTTCGAAGGTTCGACTCAGACTCTCCCGCCATCTTGGACATGATCTCAGGTCCATTGATGAGGAAGAAGAAAGCACCGGTCTCGTTGGCGACAGCTCGAGCCATGAGTGTTTTACCGGTACCGGGGGGACCGAACATCAAGATACCACGGGGAGGCTTGATACCGATGGCCTTGAAAAGCTGAGGGTGACGCAAAGGAAGCTCGACCAGCTCTCGAATCTGGGCAAGCTGCTTTCTGCAACCGCCCAAGTCATCGTAGCCAACAGCATTGAGGTCGGCCTCTTCAGCTTCACGGTCAAGGGGGTCACCTTCGGTGTGGATGACAGTCTCGGAAGCAACGATCTGTGATTCTCGGTGAGATACGACCCAATCAATAAGCACGATGACCTACACAGTAAGGTGAGGGGTCTACCTCAACAACCTTGAAGTCGACAGTTCGCATACCACCTCGAACCTGGAAAACATCACCTGTTGATAATGTCAGCATTATGACGCAAAGCTAGACAGGGTAAGCCTTACCCTTTCGGACGGGTCGATAAGCCTCCAAGAAGTAAGGCTTCAGATACACGTCAAACAAATTGCCGGAAAGACCTAGTATTGTCAGCGGACAGACATATGTACCTTCAAGGACAAGTATGACTGACCTTCAATGGAGTCAGAGAAGGGAAGAATATGAATACGCTTGCCGTACTTGATGTCGTTGGCGGCAGAGACGTGAACTAGGTCGCCGAGCTTGATAGCACAGTTTGCTCGAGCCACTAATATCGTTAGCCAAGTCAAGCTTCGAAAAACTCACCCTTGTTCATGGCGACCTTGCCCTCCTCGATATCATCCTGACTCAGGCAGATGAGAACAGTGTCCCTTCTTCGCTTTCCGCGGACTAAGAGAGGTCAGATACAGTTTCGAGGATCGGCGTTCTGATACTTGCCGATAACAGTGTCACCTCTGGGATCTTACGTCAGTCATGATGTTGATCCAGCTAGACATGTCACTCACCGGAAGAGACCAAGAGCCTCCATGGTATTGGGATGCAAGATAGCAACGCTGTTGTCATCGGAAGGGCTCTCATCTACGGCAAGGCGGTTGGGGCTAGTGCGCTGCTCAGCGTTTGGCCTCTCAGCTGATCAGACAGACTCACGATCGCTTCTGCCTGAGAATGGCAGTGGCGGTGGATTCATCCTGAGCAGCCTACAATAGAGTCCGGTCAGTTGCGAAACGGCGGGGGAGCGGGGCAAGAGGGGGCGGGAGGGCGGGCGACAAGGCATACCTTGGAAGGGTCGTCGGCCATTGTGAAGGGGGGGATGGGTAGGGATAGGGTAGGGTAGGGAAGATGGGAAGAGAAGAGAAAGATCCGCGATGGATGCTCACCCGCGACCGATGACGAAGTGTTGTTACAGGGGGGGACCCTTTAAGCCGCCGCCTCGTCGCCTTCCTCGTCTTTCCCTCACCTTCTGTGCTGTACCCGGGGCCGTACTGTGCATGCAGATCTTTCCCGCTTTATGCATGCAGTGTAAAGCAGTTTGCTTGCCACGCGCGTCTACTGCTTCTTCCCTTGGCTCCTGATATATTCGTGACAAGCACAACATGGTCAGGTGAGAACAACTATATTACAGCTATGGATATGTGCGTGGTCAGATTGCAGAGTTTAGTATCTCGGATATAATTGCCCTCCGGGCGGAAGAGCGCCGGTCCTTACAACAATTGACTCAAAGAGGTGCAGAGCGAGCTCTGTCGAATTGCTTTTTCAATTCGTGTTCTATAATTCGAGGCCGAAAAGGCGCACGTTTCTCGACGGGGGCGAATGCAAGGCGAGGCGAGGCCCACGCCTGATTGCTGTAAACAGACTTGTAGGATGGAGGTGAGCTCAGGCCGACGTCAGGTGGTCGTGTAGGCGTCATGGGTGTTCCGCTGAGATCAAGCACTCAGCGACAATTTGAGCGGACATCTGATGACTTACATGATGGATTCCGTGTCTTCACCCAACCCTGAATTGGTGGTGGCGTTCTCGAGGAATCGTGAAAAGGGAGCGCGAAGGGATGTCCGAGGTAGTACTAATAGGCAACAGGCTGCCGAGAGCTGCGAGAGTATCGGTGGTTAAGCTGGCGCAACTTTTGTGAGACGTTACTTACAAGGTAACATACCAGTTGCCAGCTCAACTCTAAGAATGCAATCATAGCGCGTATGACGAACCCCAAAACCCAGTCGTGGTCTCTGCTGACTGATAGTATTGAGGGACCTTGTCGTAAGATGTCAATCGTATGCCATGGGCACAAGTCTTGTCTGACACTCACCAGAGATCAATGACACTCGCGCCCCCCATCTTTTCAAGATGCTTGTCCAACTCCGGATCCGTGCCTCAAGCTTTTCGTCCAACAAAGTAAGTTTTTCACTTGTTCTATCGAGTCCTGCGGCCAGGTTTTCAAGCCTTTGGCTGCTGAGAGCAAGGCTTGCAGCGTTGTCAACATGCAAGGTGTTTGTGTGGAGAGCGAGTTGCAGGGAATGACCGAGGGCTTCTTCCATTTCAAGCACGTTGCCGTTCATCGCTTGCAAACCCTATTGTACATCATGTCAGCAGTCTTCTTCGTACATATTACTGACATACATCTTCCACTTGGCCCACAAACTGCAGTAAAGTACCCCAAGAGCTTGCCATGGTCTCCTGAGACGGGGACGATTAGCCTGATCCGGTGAAGAAACATGCAGCAATTCACATAGTGGCTGGCTTGCTGCTCGGCAAGGGCAACTGTCCTGTGATGCACTTCTTCTTGAATGGCAAGCATCATAGCTCCAGCATGCTCGTACTGATGTCGCAAGTCGACTTCATGCTGGAAATGCCGTCAGCCAAAGTATCAGGTTTGATATACACCCAGCAGCCTTCTCGCCTTGTTCAAAATGTCATCAAGTTGACCCGAGAGCTGAGCATCATGAGTCTTGGCTTTCATCTATAGTTTGCTCTACAACTCACTTGATCGCGGAGCTGGATTTCAGTACGTGCAAGGTAAGTCTCGACGAAAGACGTTGTTGACTCGGTCTGGGTACGGATAGCCAGCTCTAAGGTTTCCAGCAGATCGCGTTTGCCCACTTGAATGTCGGAGACGCATGAATGAAGCAATTTTGACAGATGTTCGTGTTGTAACAGACTATATTGCACGGCTTCGGCGGTCGAATGCATCACCGATGCAGTGTGCTCGAGTTTCTGGTATCACCGCACTCTCTTGAGAAAGGTGACTCGAGTCAAGTTTGCATTGACTCACGGACTGTTGATCGCTCAATACGGCCTCAAATTTGGCGTCTCTATTCTCTCGAGCTTCGCTTTGTAGATCGAGCTTATTCAAAAAAGACATCTGCCCCGATGTAGCGTTCACATAGAGCTGACGAACGAGCTCGTTGTCGTGCTCACCTCGCAGGGCGTGGCATAGCTGAGCTGAGGAACTTTTCAGCAAGCATTTGTGCGGTGAAAGTCGCGGTATACTCACAGGCATCGCTCAAAAACCCGTTATAGCTGGTCCAATCCTGAGGGCTGCGGTGAAGCGCGCTACAGGACCAAGCGAGTCAATCAATTGTAGCTGATCACGTCCACTCCTTACTCACCTCAAACAAGAACGTTGCTGATCTTCCTCCACTTCTGACCAGCGCCAAAACGTGTAGACAGTCGGTATTGATCCCGCTGCGCCATCTTGGAACGACCACTTGGAGCACTCTGAAGGTATCGGTTGCAGGGCCGAACGCATCGAGCACGCAGTAAACGATATAGCGACTGAACCCATCAATCAGTCAATCAGCCATCGAGTTCAACACTGAGCGAGTATACCCACTATCACGCTTATCTTTCTCTGCCAGATACTTCCCCTTGCTGGTACCACAAGCGCTTGGGAGACTAGCCGCAATGTAGGAATGGCATTCGGAGCGGGTGACGGAGCGATATAGAGCTGTTGTGATTGTCAATATGGAGACTCTTTGGGAGCCGGAGACGCGCTAACCTGTGTCTCCCAGTATTTGATGGATCATGAGCTCAGAGGGTGGCTCCGGATTCATGTCTAGATGCGGGTGACAAGCGCATCAGTCGCTCTGCTCACAACAAATGCGCCCAGGGAGTGGTTACCTTGATGCCTGGCGTCGTATGCTTGGTGTGAGGGCACGGGATTCCGAGCTTGGGCCAGGACAGCGGCGGCCGGCGGCAGAGCGAGTAGCAGCAAGCAGCGCATGCTGTCCGTCTGTAGCGCGAGCATATTGAAATGCAGAAGGAAGGTGGATGATGCGGCGCGACTTGAGAGACGCGTCGGAAACGCGGTGATCCGAGCGTCGTGTGGTTGACCGGACTTGCCCACAAAACTTGCGCAACGGCAGGAAGCTCGAGTCAAGGTGATCCTAGAGGGCGGGATGGATGTCCGGCAATGCGTCTTGCATGACTCGAGTTCACTGGCAACCCATCTACTCTCCGGCGCACTACCTTTGCCTTTCGTTGACGTCTCTTCTTCGGCGCTGATCTTGGGGAGAGCTGTCGCGGGCACCAGAGTGCATTAAGGAGAACCATATTCGTTATAATCAAGGTCGTCATATCATCTAAATAGATACGCCCGAAGGCCAATCCTTCTTCAGAAGCCACTCTCCATGTGGGCCGAAACGCGGATTGCTCTTGTAATGTTGTCCATCTCCAAGGGGCTTGCCTACAGGAACTGATGATGAATCAGCACATGCACACCAATGCTCTGACAGGGCAAGCTTACAGATCCACCCAAGAGGTCCTGGTCCCATCTCCTCTCGCCACATGTCCATCTTTCCCCCAAACTTCCATCTCTCATCCACCGCCGTCCCTCCCCACTCTTCCTTCCACCGTTTTCTCACCTTTCGTTTCTCCAGGTTGTGCCACAGGTACCCATACTCTTTCTGCAAGAGGGAATTCTCTCGCTCGAGCTGGTCTCTCGAGGCATAACTCTCAACTGTTGTGCGCCCACTCGTTATGAGCATCACATGGGTGATGAACATGGTGATAGTGAACAGCCCGAACAGGCCAGACCTGTACAGATATGTCAGACTGCTACATACTCAAAATGAGTCCAACACTACTTACACGACTACCAGAGCAACTATTTGTCCGTCAATGCCGCTAGTCTTGGAAGCAGTGATGATGAGCAAGAGCATGGTAAAGAGGCAATAGCAGCCTGTCCAGAAATTGAAGATGACAAAAAACTAGAGATGCGTGAGTGCATTTCTCATCGAGCACGGTTGGCTCCGCGCACCTTATGGTTGGCCCATCCGACGCATTGTCCGACCCACACACAGTGGTCTATCGACTGGTCAGTGCTTTTCGAGATGTGGTCAAATTACTACAGACGATCGTACTGTAGAACGCATGTCCCGCAGTGGCGACAATGGTGAGTTCTAGATGGCTTGACGATCTCGCAGTAGTTGCACCACTTGGGGACATACTCCACGTACGGAAGCGGTCTTGGAACCTGCCGCCAATCCTTCACGCCTTTGGGTGGCATTTGCGCCATCGGGGTCGAAGGTCTAGTGGTATCTGCGGAATCGTTATGCGATGCCCACCGATGGATCGTTTGGGAAGCCAGGTTGAACGTGGGTGCAAGCGTAGAGGGGTCTGGTGCATTGCTGTTGTCTGCGACGGGGACCGGGGAAGTGGAACGGGGTCGGGGGTAGTCCGCAGGATCCGGCGGTAGAGATCTATTGACCCGCTGAGAGGTGTCAGGAGTACTTTTGTCGAGCAAGTCCCATGCTCACGTCTTTGGCAAATCCAGGCGGCGTGGTGATAATCTGTTTAAGGTTCAGCCCGGTTCCATGTAGACTACGATTGCACTGACCCGTAGATAAGTCCAGATGAACATGAGCCACAATAGAACAAAGGCAGCAAGCGTTCCAGCTAGACAGCACGGTCAGCACTTATTCCCGGGTGAGAGGTATTTGACAAACCCCCGGGGCTACGTCCTATACCGGTAGACGACACCTCTCGAATCATCGGCGTGCACACCCGCCCGACCACGACATAGAGAGACCATATGGCCAGCCCAAACACGATACTACGAAAAGTGTCAGCTGATGGGATACCGCGCGAGTGAGAGCACATACAAGACGGCACATTTACGGGATATCCATGGACCCTTTTGGTCTGGTCTGGGATGGCACATCGCGTGCGTGGGTGTGCTGCTGCGGTGCTTGTGCTCTGTCATATCTGAATTGCTGGGAAGGTGGAGAGGCGGGGCATGGCTATCGGCCGCCATGTATAGGTTGCAGCGTGTTCAAGGGATCAACAACATGACACGATGAAATGTAACAATTGATTACTTGTACAAGTCGCAAGACTACACGTCACGACTTGATGACCATCACTTGGCCTTTGGGTCAACGGTCGCAGATTCCGTTGTTTCTTCGCTTGCATCTTGCATCCACCCATAAATCACTCAGCCAATGTCCGCAAAAGTATACCTCGGCCGCCTCCCCCCAGGTGGGCTCACAACCTATTCCGGGCGTGCAGGCACTGACCCATCACACCCCAGGCGTGCAAAAAGGCGATGTCGAAGACGTGTGTCTCGGTGTGACAGCATCCCCAGGCCCAGCTCACATCTTGTAGTACTTTAGGGACTTCCGTATCAGGGACATTCGCCTCATGGATACGTTCGGATTTGTTGAGTTTGATCAGCCTCGAGTAAGTCACAACATCTTTGCAGGGCGTGTCATGTCGCTCAAGTCTGGCCCAGGACGCAGAAGACGCCATCCGAGACTTCAACGGCAGACCTTTGCTCGGCACCAAGTTAGTCTCAGTCGGCTACTCGATATATCTACTTGCTTACCAGCTGCAGTATTTCCGTGGAACCCACACGTGAGAGGAGGCGCGAACCCTTCGACAAGTGAGTCGATCGCGAGCGCCAAGATGATGCGAGATTGCTGATTTTGGTTCCAGTCGTAGTGCTCCTCGAGCTGCTCCCCGCCAAGGTGTCCGAATCAGCGTTACTGGATTTTCGGGAGCTACCAGCTGGCAGGTGCGGTCGCTTTTATTTCTCTTTTGGATTTTCATGGCCGGCCGTCAATCGCGGGATTCCCATCTATGGCATCACTGGGAACAGACATCTTTCTGGAAAATCTCGTGATGGAATTTCGGGACGCCAAATAACGGAGCCAATTTCCTTGTATGAGCTCGATACACAGGCGACCGCAGATGGGCTTCACTTGTCGCAAGGAAATGCTTTTCGATCGGTCGACGTCCTAACACCCCCTCCAGGACCTCAAGGACTATGGCCGTCTTGGCGGAAACAACATCATCTACGCCGACGTCGACAAGTACAACCCTGGTAAAGGGTGAGTCTGACCTATCACTGATTTGATGCCTCGTTGACTGACTTTTGTGCAGCGTGATTGAATATCCCACCATGGAGGAAGCCACAGAGGCTATCACCCGCCTTGCCGGGGTCGATATCAACGGCGCCCCTGTCACCCTCGAGATTGTAAGCAAGCACCCCTTCTGACCTCGCTGACAAATCAGATGTCTCCCGACTCTTATGAGCGCAGGCCTACCTACGACCGCCGACCCCCTCGCGAGCACTACGACGACCGCCGCCCTCCCCGTGGCTACAACGACCGTCCTCCTGTTCGTGACTCGAGGGACTATTACGACCGCCCCCCTAGAGGCGACCCCTACGAAGACCGTCGACCTAGAGGCGACTACTACAATGACCGCAGGGAGGACCGTTACGCCAGAGAGCGGTCTCCCCGTCGGGACTATCCTTCCAGGGATGACTACACGGCCAGGAATAGCTATCCTGCCAGGGAAGACTATCCAGCGAGGGAGGACATCCCGGTTCGGAACGATGACCGCAGGCGAGACGACGATAGGAGACACGATGACGACAGGAGGCGAGAGGACGTGTAAGTGACGAATCTGCCATGGTTACTTGGCGCTATACTCACTATAGTCCAGGCGACCTGCATCGGATGCTTGAGGTAGATAGTTCTAAGGGGCTGTTACATACACTCGTCTTGAGACGTTGACTTGAAGAGGACATGCATCAATTGGATATAACACATACAGTGTCAGTCAGAACTTGCAAGTCAGATGTCGAAAACCGACGGCCGACGTGCCTGGCCATACATACGTCGCGTTCGTGCGCTGCGCTCAGCTCATATGTATCATTTCGAACTTGTCCTTGCTGGTTGATCTTGTCCTTCGTCCCGTCCCCAACGCACCCCGGCCTGTGTCTCTACACCTATTAACATGCCCCCCCCACTCGTGGACCCCTTCTCGGCGTCCTCCAAGCCCATGCCCATGGTTGATAGCCTCCCCCGCCTTCCCCTCCAATTCGCCGCCACGTTCCACCCCATCGATCCCAACACTTCCCTTCCAACTCGCGCACCTCCCCGCCCCCGGCCTCAGAGAGATCCTCTGCCGCCTGCTCCACCCATTCCGATGTATCACCAAAGCTTCTCACCGAAAGCGCCGTCCACGAGGGATCTGAGAGATCTCAAACTGGAAGAGGCAAGGGTCGGGAGCGACGCGTGGATTAGCAAGTGTATCGCTGGCTGTATGGATAAATCATCACCGGTCCTAGAGTTCACGTGAGTGCCCGAGTCACCCGGCTCGCCGTTGTATAGTACAGCTAAACACCGTCCCAGAGGTATCGGCCTAGAGACGTTGTCTACCAGGATAGTCGAGATGCGCGACATTGTCACCATTAAACTTGCCTATTTTGGACCCCGCTCTCCTGTCACTACATTGCCCAAAGACCACCAAGCGGCACAGCAATCAATAGGCCACGGCCGGCCGGCTGGTTTTGGGCGGCCAGAGTTACGAATCAGTTCGGCACCAGCTGCGATGGGAATGCGCAATCCACGCGCATCGCAAACGCCGCAACGAACTGGGGTTGTCCGATTTGATGGCCTACCTACACCAGCCGAAGAAGAGGGCGAGGATGTAGCGATCCCACCCCAGCGATTTGCCAGACAAAACCCTATATCTAGAAGTGTTACGACCATGAGCCCAGGTAGCAGCCAGCCCAACGCCGAGATATTTGCTGGTCAGAACAGGTTGACTCGGTACGTCCGGTAGCCATTGGGGTTGATCCAATTGCTGATCAATGTTCTCAAGATTGCCTTCGGCATTGTTCGAGGTTGGAAATATATCAGTACTATCCCTGCGGGGAAATCGACTGCAAGCCTTGCCAGCAGCTATCGGTAGCCTCATAAATCTCAAAGACCTCAATGTAGCCAACAACTGCATCGTACGTTTATCTGCTTCTTCCAAATCATCATAGCTGAACAGATATAGACCGAGCTGCCACACACCGTCCTTTCTCTGGAAAGACTTGAACTCTTCTACGCTCACCCGAATCCATTCCTGGAAAAGGATTCAGCCGGCCCCATGTCACCTCTAGTGCGCCATTGTCAGGCGCCCGTCCGAAGTTTGCGGGACATGTGTTTATCTCTTCTGATTACACCGCGGAAACCGCATGACCTCCCTCCATTGCTAGACCGATACGACTGGGAAGAGTTTGACAATGTCGAACCTCATCCCCTCCTTGATCCCGCGGCCCTCCACACGGTCATCCCGTGCATTTCAGAATCAACGCACAAACGCATTCTACAGCTCCTGCGCAGCTTTAGCAATCAATTTCATTACGCCAACGGACATCAGCGTTCGTGGGATCTGGACCGGATAGACCCCTTCCCCCGAGGCAGTGATGCTCCAGATGATGATGCTTCTACCAATCCCTATTATGATTTCTGCCCTTCTCCTCGCCATCTTGAGAGTGATCTTGTCCCCACTCGGCACTTGTTCTTGCATCCGGCAGAGGAGAGGGTGGAGTGGAGGGATTTTGCCGGGCAAAAGAACCTGCCGATACGATGGAAAGGGTGTTCACCTGGATGTCTGGCCTTTCTCGAGCAGGAACGTGAAGAGATCGAGGATGGATTCGACGCGGCTGTCATCGGAGACGGTGACGTGGTGTTCTGATGTGTATAGTTATACAAATGCTGCTTGTTTCGGTGTCTTCTCCTCCCTGGCTTTTGGGATCCTGTATATTTATGCTATGCTTTCAGGAATGTACGTACGACTATGGCCGAACTGACCGAGTGATGCTAGATACACGGCAGGAAAGTGAGCTCAAATCTCGCAAATAGCCGAACAAGCTCACCTGTAAATAAGCAGGCGAAAGTAAGATAAGAGAATTGGCGATTTGATCCATTTCCCGGCGCGACTTCGTAAATACGGTTCTGGAATTCACATCTTGATCTGCTGCATCAAATCTGCCACTCGGGGCCTCGGGTCACTCGGATGCAATCTGCAGGTGCGCCGAGTCATGCGACAGGATAGCTAGATAGCGAGAGAACGGTGTTCTCTTCTGTATATCTTTCCAGCGAAGCCACAGCACGCGTACAACGGCTCATCACTTCGTCCCCGCCCAGTACAACAGTCCTCACCAACATTCCTCGGACCGTCTTTCCGACCAAAAATCAGCCAAGGTTACCTCGTTCATAGGTCTACAATTTGCCGCTGCAAATCGCATAGGATCTGCGCCTTCGGTTCACAAGGTTCGACTACCCTCAAGCGCTCGACGAGTCGATGCGCAATAGAGAGCTGGATCACTTACTATCCGTACTCACCGCTCTCTGATCAAGATGGCCTTCTCAGCCGCAGGGGTCATGATATACAAGGGTTCGTCTGCCTTTCCCATGCCATGGGGTGCATACTTACCTTTTGTTCCAGCGTTTGCGCCAACCCTCAAGATGATCATATGCATCGCCGTCGGCTATATGATTACGAAACAAGGTATATTTGCGCCAGCCAATGCTAAAGGTGTCAGTATCCTCAGTCTGGTAAGTTGGCGTTCAGCATCTCCGACCACCTTCTTACCTCCACTTTAGAACGTCGCCCTTCCGGCCTTGATCTTTGGTTCTATGGTCTCCGCTCTTTCAGTAGAGAACGCTCCTGCTATGGGGCCGCTTGTCCTTGTTGCTGTCATATATCAGATCCTTGGATTCATGTTTGCGTGGCTGATCAAAGAGCTCTTTTACGTTCCCGTCGACTTTCGATACGGTATCCTTGTCGTAAGTCTTGCTAGTATGGGCGCCTGTCGAGCCCGAGCTGACCTAGTCGCTGTAGATGGGCACAGTTTCCAATTGGGGTAGCGTCTTGCAAGCACAACAAATCATGGCAAAAAAACTAATCATTCTATAGGCAATCTACCCACTGCGATCGTGCAGACCATGGCCAAGTCTGCGCCTTTCGACCCTGATACGGACACAGAGCTTGGAGTCGCATATATAGCGTACGTTTCCTCCTCCAAGCAAGGCCATTGGCTGACTCCGTACACAGTGTCTTTGTCTTCATCATGAATCTGACCCTGTTTCCTCTGGGTCTCCACAAGGTGCGTGTATTCTACCTTGTGGTCAGCTCAGACTGATTCGGTTTCGCAGCTGTGTGCGTGGGATTTTCGCGAAGAAAACCTCACAGCCGGCCCCCCTCTGCCACGAAGAGAATGCTGGCGCCAACGTCTACAGTTTATCAGAGGAGTGTTCAAGAAGGACCGCCCCACCGATAGCGACGCCGGGTCGAACAAAGGCAAAGTCAAACTATCAAATCAGTCGGTTGAACATCTCCACAACCAAGAGAGGGGATCACGAGAGAGCGGGGTGTCTTCTGCAGATGATGAGGAGCGAGGCGAAAAGCTGGGAGAGATGGTCAATCGGGCTCGTTTTGCTGGCGGTGCGGAGTTTGCCCGAAAAAAGTCGCGCGCCTCGTCTTTCCACTCTATGATGGAAAGCACTCGATCCATCCCAGCCACTGCTCCTCTCGATGCTAGCGGTATCGCCCAACCATGCTTTTCGCCGTCGGGCGAGAACGCTAATCAGCTCCTCCCCGTGTGTTCCACGCACGCAGAGACCTATCGCTATCACCAGCCAGTCACACCTGCTGCCTCGACGCGTAGCCCAACGTGGAGTCAAAGGATCAAATCTCTCGCAATTGCCATCTTTACGCCCTTGACATTGTCCATCATTTTGGGCATTATCTGCTCAGTTATTACGCCAGTAAAGGCCCTTTTTGTGGATGTGGACAACTGGTCGGGGAATGGCATACCCTATGCCCCCGATGGTAACCCTCCGCTTTCGTTCATCACCGATACCGCAACCTTTTTGGGTGGCATGTCAATTCCCGCGGGGCTAGTCCTACTTGGGGCTAGTTTTGCGAGGCTGAAGATGCCCAAAAAGTGGAGTGACCTCCCTATAGCTGCTATCGTGGTAAGTGGGCGTTGGCTATCAAGGACAGAAGATACTGACGTTGTGCATTATCAAAGGCCATGACCGTTTTCAAAAGTATTTTATCCACCTCGGGTTGATGAGGTTTGCTGACAACATCAGTGATTCTTCTCCCTATATTTGGAGTGTGAGTCTGTTTAGCATTTTGCCTACAATTGTGACTGATCGCCTCACAGTTTTGTGGTTCAGGCCATGCGAGACAACACCACTATGTATCCTGCAAAAGACAAAAGTACTTGAAGCTGGGTGCCATCTGCCCGACTGTCCCTGGCTGACCAGCGATAGTGCGAACCTTTGTATCCATACTGGTAGCTTCGACCCCCAGCTCTGTCAATCAGCTCGTGATCACTCAGCTTTACAACCCATTGGGATCAGCCGATACCCTCTCATGTTTCTTGGCGTTGCAATGTAAGCCCTGCTGTCTAAGGCCTGTCTTTCATCAGCCTAGGTCAAATTGTACTGATGTCATGCCTAGATGCGCTCATGCCTGTTCTATCTACGTGAGGCAATCGTCAGTATCGCTATCGTCTATCACTGACCTTTATATATAGCGGCTTGGCAGCTATAGCACTGTACATCACGGAGCAACAGTAAGCCTTGTCTGAGACAAGCACGCACAAGTTAGACACATAGATGGGCCTTTTTTTTTTTCTACATGTTGTCATAATAACACATCAAATTGTCACAGTACCTCTTCATAATCATATGCATCCCTTGCCGGAGGATACTCGAGTACATATATGGTGGCTCATGCGCGGCGCAATCTTGCCCCCCCTTTTGTCCGGGGGCCGTCGCGCTGTTTGGATCGAGTTTGGATCGAGTAGTAGTGGCCTCGATCTCGTTCTGAACCTCGCAAACGCATCCAAAACCACCGACATGATGTCCTTCCGGGGCATGGGGGGCCCTACCACAGCGCCGAGATTTGTGCGCCTCCAGCTTACAGCGCTGCGAGGAATATCCTCCACCGCCAAGTGCCACCTCCATCGCGCTCGACCTATCACGACCACTGCCCTACCTGCCGCCCCCTTCGCCCCCCCTTATCGCCCTCTCAGCATCTACCAGAAGCCCTTCTCTCTCCTCACTCCTGTTTCTCTTCGACGCGGTTTACACGACTTCAACCTTCGTCCCATGTTGCCTCCCCGAGCAGCCAAGCGCGAGCGGCGTCTACGAAATCTCCGCAACCTCGCCGTCATTCTGGGGCTTCTGTCACTGCTTTACTACACCTATCCCCCCTTCCGCCACTCTCTCATCGCTGTGGTTCGATGCGCTCGCGTCATGGAAGCAGTGACGGCCGACGTCTTGGACTACAAGAAAGTCTTTGCGGTTGAAGGTCAGCTGGCAGCTCTAGGCAGAGAGTTGACAGAGGAAGAAGTGGAGCAAAAGAGACAGGAGCGAAGAGAATGTCACACACGAAGTGCAAAGAGGATGCTGGCGGCACTGGATAAAAACTCGGGCATCTACGTCAAACTCGGCCAGCATGTGGCGGCTGTCCAAGTTTTGCCAAAGGAGTGGACCGAGACGATGCGGCCCCTGCAAGATCAGTGCTTCCCTACGCCTTTGACCAAGACGGATGATATGCTGCGAGAAGACTTGGGAAAGGGTATCAATGACCTCTTCACCGATTTCGATCCCAACCCCATAGGGGTAGCCTCGCTCGCCCAAGTTCATCGGGCTGTCGACAAACGCTCGGGCAAACCAGTCGCCGTCAAAGTACAACACGCCGCTCTGCAAGAGTTTGCGGCCGTGGACATGGCGACTGTCAACTTTGCCATTCGCTTTGTCAAATACGTCTTTCCCGAGTTCGAGTTCAGCTGGCTTGGGGGCGAGATGAACGAGATGCTTCCCTTGGAGATGGATTTCCGTCACGAGGCTGCAAATTCGTCAAGATGCAAGGGCGAGTTCTTGCATCTCCGGGGGAAAACCAGTCTCTATCTGCCGAACGTGCTGTGGGCCGAGAAGAGGTGTATGGTCATGGAATACATTGAGGGTGCCAGAGTCGACGATTTGGTCTATCTCAAAAAACACCATATCGACCGCAACCAAGTAGCCCAAGAGCTCTCTCGCATATTCAGCCAAATGGTTTATCTGAACGGTCACTTCCATGCCGATCCCCATCACGGCAATCTACTTGTTCGGCCCAAAGCACCGGGGTCTACTTCCCCGTTCAATTTCGACATTTGTCTTTTGGATCACGGGCAGTACTTTGATATCCCAGATGATTTGAGAGTCAATTACGCCCATTTCTGGTTGTCCCTCATCAAGTCGAGCTCGAAGAAAACGATAGCGGAAAGGAGGCATTATGCCAAGCTTGTTGGAAACATTGATGGTGATATGGTACGTTCCGCCCAGTATCCTTCAAGGTACAGGCTAACCGACCGCACAGTACCCCATCCTCGAATCAGCGATCACTGGCCAGATCAACATGGCGGACGACACCAACACTCACGACTCTGCCAATGACCCCCGTCCCAAGTCCCTCTTGGACGCCAAAACATTCGATAAAGATCAAATCAAAAAGCTCAGACAGGCGATGTTGGAGAAAGAGGGGCTCATTGCGTCTATATTCGAGCTTTTGCGAGTTGTTCCCAGGCAAGTGAACCAGAGGATTACATTGGATTACGGCTAATCTCATATGCAGACGTATGTTGATGATCCTCAAGCTCTCCGACCTCCAAAGATCTCTGGATCAAAGCCTCCACACTACCCATGGTCAAAGCCGGGTCTTTGTCATTGTAGCTCAGTATTGCGCCAAATCTAGTAAGTGCTGCTTTCATGTGATATCATCATTTGCCTGACAGACCGGTCAGTATGGCAAGGAGATTGTGCAACGTTCAAGCGATCCTTGTCTGTTGAAGGCTTTTCTTTCAAAGCTTTACGGTCTTTCCTGGGTGCATTCTTCAACTATGCCTACTGGAACACATCTCTAAGCATTGTCGAGATGGCGTTGGACATGAGGGCTAGGTCGGTCAAGGTGGGGCTGTGGTTGGATGGACTGGGGAAGGGTGGGTTGAAGGCTGCTGAAGATGAGATGGCCGGGTTGCCACTCAGAGCAACGCAAGCGGCCTAGTCATGGACAGTTGTTGTAGAAGGGAAGAATCGGTTGTCATAGATTAGTCTCTAGAAGTTGTCGAGCGCGGTTCGCTAGCAAGCATGATACACAAGCATTTGCTCCATCTTCAGCCTGGCAGCATGAGGGGTGATAATACATTTAAAGTGCTGTACTATACACTCGATACTCCCACTGTAGTCTCCTCCATCGTCCGACATCATCGAGGTACGATCTGCTCAACCCGCCTATCTGTTTGCTTCTTTGTCTCTCTTTCATCTCTTAGAATCCAGGGGGAAGCACGCCTTGGGGCTGTCCGCCTTGCTGAGAAGAGCCGAGGAGCTGTGACGAGATGTATTAGCGTTGCAACCATTTTGACGATCGGATCAGCACGCACCTGTTGCTGGCCAGCACTCTGCATCTGCATTTCCTTCTCCTGAGCGACGACACGAGCCTCGTCCTCGATGGCGAGCGCCAAAGGCAAGCCCACCAAGAGGGCGCTGGTGCTGACCCACCAAGCAAGGGTGCCCGCACTCTGAACGCTCCACCAAGCCCACTCGGCTGTTGACCGGTACTGCTTGTAGAGGCTCACTCGAGTCTCTGGGGGGACGATATCCTTAAGCGCAGTGACACGCTCGTAGAAGGTCTCGTCGGTGGGGTTGAAGTCATCATCGTCTGAAAAGATGGAGTCGGTTTCGGATTCGGTCTCGTAGTCGGATTCGTTCTCCTGGGGGGCGATGTGCTCGGCGGCTTCGTCACGGACTTCTTCGACGACGACGACCATTGTGGGTAGATGGATGGCTCAAAAAGAAGGTCGACGATTGCCGTGATGAAATGTTCGGCTCGCAAAGTGGGCGCTCGCTCCAAGGCGCTTTGCTTCCGTCGTCCTCGCTGCATTCGCTGCACCAGATGTCTAATCTGAGTGTGGCACATCCGAGCGTGTATCTTTATTGCCCTGCCATCTGCTTCCCTGGGCGACAAGCTGGTCTACACAAACGACCCCTCTCCGTATTGGCCAACATCACCCGCTGCTGTGGCACCTGTCGCGTATCAACATCCAGTAGCGGCTGCCTCCACCGCTATGTCCGCTGTCCATTCTGCCGTGCGTGAGCCAGACTTTTGCAAGCACATGCTGACTCTATTGCCCTTGAAGATCACCGCCGTCACCCACCATATCCCATCCTTCCTCAGAATCCCTGCCGAGGCGCTGATTGGGGAACAGTGTTACGACACCCTCGTATATGACTTTGACATCACGGATGTCGATTGTTTAAAGTACTCCCTTTCCAAGGGCCTGGGCTTTGGCATCGTCGTCGGAGGAGGTATCATCAAGATTCCTCAAGTCAGTACTTATATACACAAACCCGCAATTGAACCTCAATTTACGAACTATTAGATTGTCACAATTGTTTCCACTCGTTCCGCTAAAGGCCTTTCCTTGTCCGCCTATGTAAGTTCCACGCATTTTGAAAATGGAACGACGGCTTCAACAGATACACAGGCTCTAGAAACCGTTGCATACGCCATCAATCTTGCCTACAACTCCCGCAACAACTTTCCTTTTTCCACATATGGAGAAAACTTCTTCCTGACGATTCAAAATGTCATCATCACGCTCCTTATCGTCTACTTTGCGCCACAGAGAGGTGCAGTCATTGGAGCGAATTCGTTGACTTCTAAAAAGAACCCAAATGGCGGGAAAGTATTCACTGGCATAGTGATTACGATTGCCACTGGATTGGCCCTTTGGTCGGAACAACTCTGCCCATTGACCTTCCGTGCGTCTATGCTTTTTCCGGACCGTCATGGCTAGATGCTGATATGTTTATATGCCAGTCTCTCTTCTGCAAGCCGCCACCCTCCCCCTTTCCATCATTTCCAAAGCCCCACAGATTATTCAAAACCACAAATCCCGATCGACCGGAAATCTTTCTGCTTTCGCCGTCTTCAATGGACTTCTGGGATGTGTTGCCCGTCTGTTCACCACCAAGCAAGAGGTCAACGATCCCCTCATTTTCTGGGGCTTTGCTGCCGCAGCTGCCATGAATGCCATCCTCGCGTTCCAGGTATTCATCTACCGAAAGAGCGACGATGAGATCCTTGAGGACAGAAGGCATAGTGCCAGCGAGCGAGGCGACCATGTTGTCCTGGAGAAGCCTGTCGTTCTGGAAGGAGGGAACGGAAAGAGGTGGGCCCGGAAGCTCGACTAGAAGTTGTTGTAATAGCACCTGCATGATGTACCAATGTTTGCGCACCTTCGACCATTAATCCGCTGCTCATCCAACCACACGGTCTCTGGGAATTACTGGAGACGCCTCGATCTTGCGTGTCGTCCACGTCCACGTTGGACGGAGCTTCCTGCACTGAGCTGTTGCTGGTGCTACTGCTGCGGATCCCACGTTACGTCATCCCGATTGGAACCAAACGCTCGGCTCCAAAGAACGCGCCTCTCCTGCCCTTCTCTTGCGTCTCTTCATCGCTGACGGCCTCATCGACTGCCCTGCTGACACTACAGAAATGTCCTTCGACTATGTCCGCAAGCTCGTCTCGGGCAAGAAGGCCAGGTTCATAGACCCCGAGGCCGCTGTCAATCTCGATCTCGTATATGGTACGTCAGTGCGCGCACGCCGGGCCATGCCAGAGCTGACCATCTACGCCAGTCACTGACCGAATCATCATGTACGCGGGCCACACCCTGGCACATTCTTCCTAACAGTCATTAGCATGGGTTATCCCGCAACAGGCTTTGCTGGACTGTACCGTAACAAACGTCGCGACGTGCTCAAGTTTATAACATCACGTCATGGGGAGAAATGGTGGATATGGAACCTGTAAGCTGGACGAATGTGAATGTGCCAGTCTCACGACCGCCAGGTGTCCACTGTACGAAAATGCCTACTCTCCAGAGAGTATGCACAACCGTGTGTCGCGCTATCCGTTCCCCGATCATCACCCGCCACCCCTGCCCCTCTTGCCTCTGGCCGTGAGAGAGATGACCGCATGGCTAGAAGGTGATGAAGAGCGGATCGCCATCATCCACTGTAAGGCCGGGAAGGTAAGGTACTCTATGAACCCTAGGACCAGCTCACATTCTTTACAGGGTCGCTCTGGAACGCTTCTCTGCTCCTATCTTCTCTCGCTCCCATCGCTCCCGCCTCCGCCCGAAATGGACCGATCTTATTCCTACAAAGAGCTCGCGAAGCGCCTGGCTCAGCGTGAGGACACTGACAAGAATCAACAGGTATCTGCGTCTGCCGGGGACGGCGAGGACGGATGGGTCTACATTGGGGGAGGCAAAGACGCGGCCGGTTTTGATACCCGAGACTCTTTGGACAATGAAGGAGGAACGTCTACGCCTGCGAGGTCGGAAAAGGTTGCTGTTGCTCCTGTGGGTACCCAGGACGGAGGGATCGCGAGCTCGGGGTCATCGACCACGACTGTGTCCCGCCCCTCGCTTGCCTCGTCCGAGATTGAGATCAGCTCCAACCCGCCTTATGATCCTATCGACATTGGTGACGAGGGCGAAGCTGGCGATCAGGGCCAGCAAGACCGTGCGGATGGACGAGTGGATGAAGTGTTCAAACTTCATTCAAGCAGACGTATGAAGCCTACCAGCACCGGGAGAGGTGTCTCCATCCCTAGTCGTGCGTCTCCGTCAAGGTATCGAGTCTTCTATGCTGATGAGTGTAGAGCGACGATGGTGCCGATACATTCACCTTTTGTTCAACAACCAGGCACCTCCCTCTTACCTTTCGTCAAAACCTCAGCGGCTCCGTCTCCTCTCGGTCACCCTGCTCATTGCCCCCATGACAGGCTGGCACAAGTCTGTCGCCTCTCTCGTTGTCGGTTCGGGCGGAACGGGACAAGGCCATGCATGGACGTCTGTCGCTCGGTACGACGACGAGTACGTCGAGGACCTCAAGATTCGCGGAGGAAGCGGAGAAGGGGTCGCTGGAGACGTCACCTGGGGAGGTGTAGCCGGTGAAGGGAAACACGACACGCACAAGATGTTTAGAAGCTGTGGAAAGATGGTAGCGACCGACTTGGATGATGATATCAAGACAGTTCTGCCTGCCGATCATGAGGTACGTCTTGTTGGCAAGCCGGTGTGAAGTATGCTAACATGTCACAGCAACACATTGTGCACCACCTCACCCCCAGCCCCTCTCCTCTTACTCTTGACCGTTCAAGAGAGTTTAGGTTGAAATTTCACCTCGCCAATCTGCCTCTCGGGTGGGCATGGCTGATCCCGGCGTTCCACTTGCCGGAAGCGTCAGCTGGGTCGCAGCGAGTGCACACCTTGACGTTCCCCCATTCACAGCTCGATTTCGCGGTCGGCCCTGGAGCAGCTCTGCAGAAAGTCTTGGTGAGGCTTGAAGAAGTGGCTGAAGGCGAGGAGGGGGCGCCGGCGAGGTTGCTGGATGATGAAGAAGAGAGGAGGGAGGGGGTTGATGATGGCGAGAAGGAGGACAAGGTCAAGGAGAGTGAGGATTAGAATACATATATCAGTATATGCATGCAACGGTTGGCGCGATTGAGCAGGGTGGTGGTCCACTCTGTCGGTCACTGTTGTAGGGTGGTTCCAAGCTCTTGCTGAGGCTACTGGATTGATGCAGATGCGCATGTACTAATGTATCGTCGGGCCGGCGAACCGACAGCGCCATTGGTAGTGCGATGTTGCTGAAAAAGCATGGAGAAGGAGGTCGCAACAGACTCGTAATGGATTGGAAAGAGCGAATGGATTCGGGGAGAAAAAATTGGTCACAGGCTTCAAGGTTCAGCAGGTACGGGGCCTGCGGTACGGGGGGCTACTGAACGGTTGATCGGGCGAATGGAATACTACATATGAGTTGGAGCCCACTTGAAAGAAGCTTGTATGCTGCAGATCAATACCTCGCTGAGCTGGATGGGGCGGGATGTGATGACAAGAGTGGCGGAGAGGGCAAGGATAGGGGCAGGCTATAGGCAGAGACACTTGGGCACCTTCGTGAACAAGCTGCCTTGTCGTGCCACCGAGTCTCAGATGCAGCTTGCTAGATGTTGGCTAGATGTCTCACCATGCACCAGCAGCGGAGAGTTGAGTGAGGCAGTCTGGGCTCCGTCGCGCGCCGGCGAATTGATCAAGCGGTTGCTAGCATGGGTGCGATTAATTACGGGAGCTGGTCCCGCATGGGGCCTCCTGCGGGGTCTGCGGGGCATCTTGCGTCTGTCACCATTGCCAATGGGGTCTTTTGTGGGGGCGCTGGTCTGGAAACTTGGGTGAGGCAGCCAATTCATGCACGGCGGACTGTATGCTGCAGGGCACGTAGCTACGTAGATGTAGACACTCCCGCCACCGTGTCTTGAAGAATAAGCATCAGCGCAAAAATGCATGCGCAAGTCCCGGCCGGCTTGACAGAGAAACATTTTCGAATGTCGGCTTGTTTTCGAATTGGCTCGCCGAACGCTGAAACGCAAACAACACGTCGGAGCATCCGTTCAGCTGGCTCTGGTCGCTGCAGAGGGCGAGTGCATAGGCGGGGAGCACCTTGAGGCCATGTCCTGTGGCCTGCATAGCCTGCAAGCTGCAAACCTGCCCAAGCAGCAGGGGCGGCGAGGTATGTATGCATAAGCCAAGAGGGACAGGCTGCTGCGGAATGATGACGGCAGCCATTTTGACCGGGGGTGTGCCTGGGGGACCCTGAGAGCAACGCGGGGCCTCCCTCTCTCTTCTTGCCCCGCTTCTTTCTCATCCACATCTCGAACAGCGCAAGAGTCAGAAGAGCGAGAAGAGTAAGCCCTTCTTCCTCCTCCCAGCCCCCTCCCCTTGCCCTCCTGCCCCCGCCCCTACCACCCCCTCGCCACCCGCCACTCGCTGCCGCCTTCCTTTTGTTCTCCGCCGTGTTGTCGCGTACGGTGGCCATCGCTCACACTGTCGCTCTCAGCCCTCTGCATTCTCGCATCGCCTGCCCTTAGCTTCCACGCCCTCAACACCTCCAGTAATCAAGAGATAAAAACAATGGCCACCACCAAAACAGAGGGATTCTCGTGAGTCATACTACTCCGCACACTTCGGCCATCCCCATTCGGCAATTGACACTTTTTTTTCTCGGCACAGTATCCCTGGCTCCAACCACCACCCAGCGAGACCCAGCATCGCGGCAATCCACAGGCCCTTCTCGGACGGCTCTATGACCGTCGATACCGACCTTCTCACCTCTCTCATGTCCTCGCCACACACGGCCAACCCCGAGTCCAGGGCTCACTACAACATGGCTTCCCCCTTCAACTTTTCCCAATCGTTGCCCATCCGACAGCACTCGTTCGACTATAGCATGCCCTCTCCGCTGTCGACGAGCATCAACGTCGCAGAACACCTGCGCAACAGCTCCCTCTACGGCGCCCCCGTCAAATTCGGCAACGAGCACCCTGAACCGCCCATCAACCTCAATTCATCTTCCAACGACGTCCCCGACGGCCAGCGTTCCCGCTCCCAGTCGACTTCCAACGTCGGCAAGGCGCCTTCCTCGCGCTCCAGGCAGAGCCGCAAGTCCATGACCGACGTTCGACCGCCCCGCGGCTCTATCCAGCGTGGCCGCAGCCAAGGTCCCGGAACGGGCAAACCGATGGGCCTTGGAGTTGATCTCGACACTCACGTCGAAGGCGAGCTTACAGACTCAATCTCCCCGCCCGACTTTGGTGCCAATGCGACCTTTGGCCTCGCTATTCCTCGCCACGACAGTATCAACACTGACGCTGGCTCCTGGTCTGGCAGCGTGCCGAGCATGGTTCCCGGCTCGCTCGGCAGTTTTGATAATGACGATGTCATTGTCGAGTCCCCCATCACCCCTGTCAAGTCACTTCCCAACCTTCTCCCCGTAGATGACAGCTACAAGAAGCAGAGGCGAAGGGAGTGTCACAACCTCGTCGAAAAAAGGAGACGCGAGCACATCAATGCCAAGATTGAGGAGCTGAACACCCTGCTGCCCGAAAAGTATAATCAGGCCGTGGGACAGCCTGACGAGGAAGAGGAAGAGGAGAAGGCGGCCAAGAAAAAGGTAAATATTGACCAAAATGACTGGTACTCGCGCTAACGTCATCACAGAAGAAGAGGGGCGCCAACACTGTGTCAAAAGCACAGAAGGACGCTGCCCATTGCAAGGGGCGGATCCTTACCCAAAGTGTCAACTATATCCGGTACGTTCGTCACCCACATGCCCCATTCACAGACTGATGAGCTGCCAGCGAGTTGCGCGAGACTGCCGACTCCCAAGCTGGGCGTATTGCGCACTTGGAAGCCATCATCGCGGGCCTCGGCATCAGCGGCGAGACCGTCCACGACGCACCCGCTCAAAACTTTGCCCAGAATCAAAATCCTCTCTTTTGGTTTAACGGCCAGCACAACGGCGGCACCTTTGAAAACTCTGGGCACCAGCTCCAGGCGATGCGTCCTTCCCCGGAACCCGCCGACCGGCCCTTTTCCTTTGATATCCCTGCCGAAAAGCCCTGGTCGGCGCATCAAGAGTACATGCCCTTCCATCCGTCCCCGTCGAGCACAGACCAGTCTTCTGCCACCTCTGCACACCCCGCCTACCCCTTCTCTTCCCTCCGCCGAATGAGCCACTCCACCAGCAGTGATATGGACGCTGATAGCGTCCTCTCGCCGCTGGATGAGGGGGACAGAGGAAGACCAAAGGGCAGGGGGGTGAGGCAGGACTCGCAGGCAGAGCTGCAGATGGGTATGTCCGGGCTCTTCTCTGGGCACGGCCAGGCCAGGGACCCGTCCACCGGGTCAATCTGGTAGCCCCCAATAATCCCATGCCTCCTTCGCCATCAGTTTCTTGTTCTGTTGACAATTGTGTATCTCTTCTTTTCCTTGTCTCGAGACGTTATCATTCTGTGCTTGTAACTCAATTATCATGTAGGGCCCGCAAGATTATTTATCTGCCGGAGGGGAAGGGGTGTAATATCTACTCTTTTACATAGGGTGTATGGCGAAATCGTGATACAAGCTACTGAGCACCTTTTTTCACCAACTTTGCTTGTCACCCCGTACATGGACTCTTCTTCTCTCCCTCTAGCTCAGTAGATCAGTACACGTTTGGTATATAGTTTTATCTTTTGATTATACAGGGGAGTGTACGAGTATAAATAATATCGGTGGCGTGGACTGTGTAATAACGGAATGGATGTACTGTACTCTTTGCAGGTGTTGACGGGTCCCCTGGCCGAAGTTGTGACGACCGTTGAATGATTCACCGCAACGGGATCAAAATTCCGATGACACGGATGTCTGCTTTCGAGCGCTCATCTCTCGCAACAGTCTTCTCCTCGACCCCTTTTCCCTTTTTCTCCCTGCCCGTACCCTCGAGGCCCCATCCCCTGCCCCCCTGCGCATTCAGATCCCCCTGCCTTGACTCTCCGGCAATGCAGCAGAACTACCAACATCCCAACGACTCCCACGGCTCTGGGCCCAACGCCCAAGCTGGCGGCGGCCCAGGAGGAGGACAAGCGCAAGGCGGAGAACAGTGGGGTGGGCCGTTCCCCAGCTTGCATCTGTGGCCGCTGCAGGATACCTTCCAGATGAAGATGATTCACTTGCCAGAGGGCCAGCGCGTGAGTTGTTCCTTGCCAGATCCCAGGGGTCAGTTCACTTTTCCAGAGACGATGCTGATGCGGCTATCAAATGATAGATCAAGATCGGTCGACAGACCAACAACAAGACGGTGCCCGGCGAGAGGAACGCATACTTTGATTCAAAAGTGCTTTCTCGTCTTCATGCCGAAATATTCGAGCAGGGTGGTAAAGTGCGTTCGACCTGTTCCACATCATGATAGTCGCATGGCTGACACTTGCAATCTAGATATTCATCAGGGATATCAGATCGTCGAACGGTACATTTATCAATGGCGAACGATTGAGCCCTGAAGGTATCGAGAGCGAGCCTGTAGAGGTCAAAAGTGAAGACCAGATTGTGCGTTCATCAGCTTGCTTGATGATGACTAGCTTACATTGTGGACGTAGGAATTTGGTATCGACATTGTCAGCGACGACAACAGGACGATTGTGCACCACAGAGTCGCTGCCAAGGCGTACTGCGTCTTCAATGACGAGGACGCCAGTAAAAGCGCTCGGTCAGTCTCGTCCACAAGTAGGAAGGACGGTGCTGACCTGACCCTAGAGAGTTCGCCAACTATCAGACGCACGATCCCCGTGTCCGACGTCTTCCAGAGATGCACCATCACCCCTCCTCCAACCCTCTATCCCACATGGGGCCGACTTCCATGTCTGGCGGCGGCAAACCTGGCGCTCAGTCAAATACCAACGGTAGCGGCTCAGGTCTCAGCTTTGAACATGTCTTGAACAAGCTCCAGGCAGAACTGGAAGCGAGCAAGGAGATGAGCGGGGAATTGCAGGGATTGGCAGGGGCATTTGGCGGAATTCAAGAAACTCTTAGTGGTGGTGTCGTACGTGCCTTTGATCTGCGCTCATATATATACGGTGTGCTGAGACGTAGGCAGGCTCCCAAGGAGAACGGATCGGCCGAGAAATTCATTCCTCCTCAATATCGATCTACCTCTGCCGACCCTAACGCTCCTGCCCCTGCGGCAAACGGCGATAACCTCTCAGCTGCAGCTCAGTCCTTGCTCGCTGGACCTCATGGGTCTGAAGCTGCCGCCTTTCTCTCCCTTCAATCGCAACTGTCTTCTACCCAATCCTCCATCTCCACACAACTCACCAAAATTCAAGAACTCGAAGCTCAGCTCAAGGAGCACGAGACTCTTCGCGGTGAAGTCGAACGCATGAGAGGTGAAATGGAAGAGAGAAGGCGTGAGATGGACATGCTCATTGCTGGGGGTGGGGCGAGGGGCAGGACAATGTACAGAGGAGGCCGAGACGAGGAGGACGATGATGACGATGATGATGATGCCCGAAGCGTGGCCACCATCATGGATGATGAAGAGTCCGAGAGGCGTGTCAGAGAGCGCCGTCGTGCCGAGCGCGACCGACCACGCACACCAGAGCCTACTGGCGAGGATGACGAATCCGATGCTGTCGAGGAGCAAACAGAATCGGCACCTGCCCCTACGGCTACCCTCGAACAAGGCGCTCTCACCATCCGAGAAAAGGAGATGCTTGAGCAAAACAACGCTCTCGTCTCTCAACTCAACACCCTCTCAACATCCATGACTGAAGCTCTTGCTCTTTCCCACAACCTCCAATCACAACACGCCGAAACGATATCTACCATCCAAGCTCTCTCTGCGCGGATCTCATCTTTGGAATCTTCTCTTGAAGAAAAGGTTCGACAAGAGGTCGGCAGATCGGAAGAAAAGTGGGAGGGCTGGCGCGTCAGGATTGAAGAAGGCTGGAAGAAGGAGCGAGAGGGCTGGGAGCGAGAAAGGGAGAGATTGCGAGGCGTTGTCCGGGAGTGGGAAGAAGCCAGTCGGCGCGCCCATGAAGAGGAGGAAGAACGTCGCGAGAACGAGCTGCTCAGTGACGACGGTGAGTATGTGGACGATGAAGACATCGAAGAAGATGACGAGCTGGATGATGAAGAGAACAAGGAGCTCTGGGATCGAAGCGAAAAAATCAACTTGTCACCTTCAAGGAAACCTGCTGCGCGGAGGAGGAGACCGAGTCACAAGACTCTCTTGGCGGTGTCGGCATTGAAGGCTGTGGCGGACGGGGTAGACGGCAGCACTCTTGATGCTGGTGCTCTCACACCTACCTCTGGAGAAGCCACAGCTCGACCCAATCCTCGGAGCCTGAAAAACCGTCGATTGCACGAGATCGGGCGCAACAGCTCGTCGCAGACGGTCAAAGGTGGCAAATTGCGCTCCTCAGGATTATCATCAGATCCTAGCAAGCCTCGCTACAAGCGTGGAGACGGGGGCGATGATCAAGACGGGAGCAAAGAGTCCACAAGCGAGAGTGGAAGGGAGAGCGGCGACACGTTGAAAGAAGGTGAAAGGGAGGTGGGAAAGAAGAGGGATCTCAAGAACGGTGTACATGGCAGCATCCTCCAGGTTTGTCGTATCTTGTAATTCTCCGAACGTTTGCTGACGACCTTGTTAGCCCCAACAGGCAATCTTGGTGCTTGTAGTGGCGGTTGCGGTGGGAGCCATCTGGTACAAACATAAGGAGTAGCATATGGAATCGGTGAAAGAAGACTTGATGTGGATAGAAGTAATGGTCAAAACACATGTATATATTATGTAGGCCAGGTAACACGGACTTGTCTATAATAGCCATCGGGTATGGCACGGATTTGTTCATAGCCATGGAGAATGCACAAACCAATATACAGCATCGAATCGATGATGGCTGTACGTATTTTTCCCGAGTCTCCGTCTGACACGGTCATTGAGACTATCTTGCTGTTCCAAGCCTCCCGAGCTTGACTGGAGAAAGAGTCCAGATTTGGCCTGCTTGCGTACTTGTTCGGTACACACTTCTCATCAGTAGGCGTGACCCCGCGTACCAAGGGTCATTTACCACAAGAGTGTGCAAGTACGGTACGTAGTTTTCGATCCATACATGCTGTATCGTATTGTACAATCGGATACAGTCAGTCGCCTTCCTTTACATCTCGCCGCATTCCGTTATCCGGACTGGCAGCCTCGGTCTTGCGGAGAAAAGTCAGCACATATCCCTGATAGCAAGTCGCGAAGATCATACCGGTTGTTCTGGCCTGTAGAAACATTCTCAATCTTTCTTACGGTCAATAACCCATCGATCACCCTGCCAAAAACCACATGTTTGCCATCCAAAAACTCTGCAGGCGCCGTAGTCACGAAGAACTTTTCATTTCAGTCAGCCCTCATGTTTGAGTCAGTCATGGGAAGAACTCACTTGACATCCGTTTGTTCCTGGCCCACTATTCGCCATACTCAGGAGCCCAGGTCCGGTGTGCTTGATCTTGAAATTCTCGTCTTCGAACTGAGCCCCGTAGATGGAGAAAGATCCGGTACCGTCGCCTCGAACAAAGTCACCTCCTTGGATCATAAATTGAGGAATCCTAAAGTCACAGTGAGTACGAGCCACACACATCTGCTGAGGTACGAGGGGAAGACCAACACTCTGCAGGGTGCAAGTCAGCGAGAGCATGCAGGTCATGGACCTCGAAGAAACGCACCGATGAAATATAGATTTCTTGTAGCCTTGCGGGATAGAGTTGAGACTGAATCAGAAGGGTCAGATCATGGACCGAGATGAGTAGGCATATTGACAGACCGATGCTCCCCCGTGCACAACTGTCTAAAGTTCTCAGCCGTTCTATCGAAGGTACCAGATCAGCATCAAGCTCAAGCATAAGTAGCATCAGACATACTTGGGCGTTATATCGTCAAAAAGCTCTGGATTGAAATTAGCGCCAGCAAGTACGCGGATGAGGGCTGAGCAGGCGCCGAGACTCACCCATCTTGATACGTCCCGCCGGAGTCTCCCCTATGTGTATGTCGAAGAAGACGACGGGTCTTGTGTGTCCTGCAGGAGGGTCGAACGTAGACATTCAGCTTGTGAAAACTGGCGGTAAAAGTTTGGCTTTCGTAAAGTCAACGGTCAACATTCGGCAGAGATAGAGGGAATAGAAATGATGATGCTGGAGAGCGGACATGGCCGCTTCCCGACAAAAGCTCGAAAATGATTGAGGACATCGGGTTGTAATCGTGTTTTGCATTACCACAGCAGTATCAACATGGCCCCAAAAGCGAAAGCCAGGTGTGCACCACACAGTATCTGCTAGGGGACATTATCTGACCAATTTCAGGCGAATCTTGGTCAAGCTCGTATCCACCGCCCTTACGGGCTCATTCTACACCACATCCAGAGTCAGGGTTGGTGACAAGCTCGCAAAGATCAAGTATGATCCCATCGGTGCGTGATTGGTCAGTGAGGCCTTAGTGTAAAATCTGACTGTGTGATGCAGTGAAGAAACACGTCCTCTTCACCGAAGCAAAGATCAAATAGGCATCTACCCCTACACCTGCATCCCATTCATACTCACGCATATCGCGTCCCTCCCCTCATGTCCCCACTCAGTTGTGGATCTCTATTGTCACCGCCGTCGGAATAGAATTCGAGAAGAACGAGAGCAACACCTCTGCCGCCTGACGAACGAGGCTCAATACCATGCATCATTGATACCCGATCGCATCTAATTTGAAGCGCCTTGCAACGTAATCTCGCTGGCAGCTGCACATACACGCAGCAGGCCGGTGCCACCTTCAGATGTTGGAGGAGCCCGAGACGAGGACTATCAAGGAGCCTTCCATGAGGCTAGATGCTGGACGTGATAAGGTCAACGGTGTGACAGTGGGTTTGCCGCCTGGGGGCGTATACAATTGAGCAAGGGCCAGTCCCTGCATAGTGTTGAGCCCGCGTCATAGAAGGTAGTCAGGCAGTGCGAGGCACTCACTTCAGCGGTGGAAAAAGGACGGGGCGTCCTACTTTGAGTGATTACGAGGTCCATGACCTTACCCAACGGCGTATCCTGCTCACCCATCAGCGCTTCATAGCTACTTTGGATTATTCCACTTACTCGGTGTACCCATCCTCTCGAAGCTTTTCCCATCCATTTCCCTCCCTTCTCCCAACTCTCAACACCCTTCCCTTCGACGTCCACTGCCCACTCAAAGTACCTTTTCTCGTCTTGAGGTACTTCTCCTCCGGGTCCGAGACGCGTGGCAGACGAGCGGATCTTTCGGAGTTGGATGTCCCAAAGTTTTTCGGATTTTGTCTTGACCTTGCTGCTCTGAACGGCAGGTTCCTCTTTCGATTCTTCAGGAGAGGCTTGCAAGCTCGGAGGTAGCTCCTCGCGCATTGGTGGTGCCTTCTCAACGTCTTTCTGTATCGGCATTTTCCCCCTAGCACTGTCCCGTTCTTTATGTCCAGGAAAGTTATGACTGATGAGATTAGCAGCCTGAGACCGACGAGCGAGATATGCATCATGCCGGATGTTGTGCTGGAGAGGGCCCGAACATGAGTGAGATGTTTGTGCTCTGTGGCTGTAGATCCCGTCAGATCCTGCAGACCATGAAAAAGTCACACACCTCACATTGTGCAGAAGGATCCCCTACAGCTCAGACATCGTATCTCCCTAGCGATCTCTTCCCCTGCCCCTTCTCCTTTTGCAAAACCCCCAACACTCTCTATGCTCTCCCTCTCACAACCTCTCACCTCGCAATTTCCCACTCCCCTCTCCAGCTTTCCGACTTTGACATTGAAACGCTCGGAAGAGATGGCCATTTGGGAAGCACAAGGTGAATGAGAGTGAATATGGGCCTGGCAAAAGGGGTGGTGACAATGGGAGCAGAGGAGGGGAAGAAAGTCGACAGTGGTGCAAGAAGAGCAGCGGGTGCCAGGGGCAAGCAACGACATGGCGACGACAATGGGGCGCTGGGATGTTATCGAAGTTTCGAATTAGTTGTTGGATGGTAAACCTTGGAATTATGACAACAATTTAAGATCCTGGCCAGCGGATGGTCATTGGAAGTGGAGGTCTAAGGGGGGGGTGATAGATAATAGGAGCGTCGGCCATGTATACGAGTGAAAGACGATTGTATCGGATGGATGGTGCTAGGCTTGCATGCATAGATCGAATGACCCGCACAAGACCCGCAGTACAATGCTCCAATGCATAATTGAGGCGATGCATACATTGAGGTACATAAGCCCACCCAAACCTCACTACATAATGTCTACGCCACAAGCCACGCTGTATTGGCTCAATATGCACTCCTTTGATGTGCATGTCAGATCTTAGAACAGCGTCGCCCAGAATACGGGATAGATCTAGTCAAGAGAACGGGGGAGCAGAAAACATATAGTCGAGTCTAGGGATTTTCCATACGTAGTGTTCGCCGCTCCTCTCACACGTCTCAGCCATGGTCCGTATCGCAAGACTAGCTGAGGAGCCGAAGAGTTTGGGGGGCAGGATCGGACAAGCTCGATGACCGGTATCTTGGGTCGGTGAAATTGAAAGAGACAGGTCAATCGTAGAGTCTATCAGTATGCATGGATGCCAAAATATGCTTTGCGGTCTCACTATGATATAAGTACAATAGGCCGGTTCTAAAAGAGTCACTTCAAATTTTGACCTCACCTAACTTCGCCTCGATCTCTTGTACGCCATCGCCCTGCGGTAATCTCAAAACATCGACCTTTTCCCCAAGCCCAGGCCAAGGTTTCCCATTCTTACTACCCGCGCTCGAGCTGGAACGCCGGTGGATGAATTGCCGACGTTGAGGCGGAAGGGATGAGAGGGACTGCATTATTCGATAGACCCAATTGGGATCGGTCAACGGAGAGAGATCTGTTGGTTTCTCCAGGTGCTATTCCGCATGAGTAACCGGGTTACATACAAATCAAAGAGAAGACATACGCGCTTGACCTCGCCATACCCAGCTTCCATACCCTTGACTTCCCTGATAATTTCGGAGCTTCCAAAAGCGTGATACAACCGGACGTCGTACATTCTGAAGAGGACATTGTCTACACGGACAAATAAACGAGACAGGATAAAAAAGCAATGGGGCATCACTCGCTGTTTTTCATGGTCAAATTGGCATTGCGATATATGAGATGGGGCTTACGATTCGAGTGTTCAGCATACTCTCGCCATTGTCGTGAAGCTCATCTTCGTACAGCGGAACATCCTCATAATAGAGAATCTGGTCGAGCACCGGGTCCTGTCGGGCTAGGAGAGTCAAGGGCAAAGAGTGAGTAGGGGAAGGGATGAATGTCTGAGCTCTAGTCAGTTTTGCGTCTATTGGTAGACGTTCATAGCATACACTGGTACCAGTAATAGAGCCAGCATAAAGGGTGGAATATGTCCAGTCGTGAGGCTTGACGGGCTTTGAGGGAACGGGGACGTCGAACAGACCTCCAGAGCTCGCGGTCTGCCCTGGCGACGTAGTGGATGTTGAATTTTCGGAGGCCCATGACCTGTCACGGGTCAACATAGACCTCCTCGTCGAGTCTCCAGGGAATCAACTCACTTATTTTGGCCCCATTTTTCAGCCATGCTAACGAGGACACCACCCCCGACTCTCTCCTCCCATCCCTCCCCTGTCGCAACACCGGACAAGGCATCAATAGTTTTGAACGATAATGTAAAATTTTGTGAGTTTCTCTCTGAACTGTTGCCGGTGGAAGCATCAGCCGATGCTAAAGAAGTTTGGGTGGACGAGGTGGGAGGTTCGTATGTAAGGGTGAGAGAGTTGTTGCCGAAGGTCATTTCTGGCAGAGGAAGATTGAGGGCCTTCTCAGAGCTAAGAGGAACTGTTAGATTTCTCCATTTGATATTTTATGGACCCACGCATCAATCTCCTTTCCGTTCAATATAGGTTTCTTTGTTGCGATGATCGTCCATGGACCGATGGTGATGGAGTGCTTGTGACGCTCAGTCTTGACAGAGAACTGTGGAGGCTGGATCTTGGATGCAGCATGGGCTTCTTCTGGAAAGAGGGAAGGAGTGGCCATCGTTGGAGCACAAGCAAATGAGAATTGAGGGCATCAAGGTGAATTCATGAAGGAGCAGCCCAGGCAATGCTGGCCCATGACATTTTCCGGTGACATCACCACCGCGCTCTATGCGTCGATTCTGTCGAGACCACGCCCGAGTCAACATGAACTGCTTCTGAGCTGATACACTAAGCCGGCATAGTTATTGACTATAGCGTTGGCATATACCAGGTATGGTCTCAAGTGGACTCGCGACTGGTAGAGCCCTGACATGTGGCATGAAACAGCATTTGGAAGGAGTCGTGTTCTCGAGCATTAGATGATTTTCTGGACCTTCATAATACTTACGCGGATACAAAAAGATACTTGTTAGCGTGAGAGATCCCCATTTGCGACTCTCAGCATGATAATACAGTCCGTACAAAGCCTGTACGATTGCTGAAGGTCGGGTACCATGACTTTCAACAAATGCTCCATACATGAGTCCACAATATATAATTCATTTTGAGATGGGAAATGATTGAGAACTTGACTATAATAGTAACAGAAGACCAAAGAAACCAGAATGCTCTATGCTAAACACCAGTCAGCGCGCATCACTTGTACAGTGTCGCCATCATCCCATCACTTGGATGCTTGCTATCAACACCTATACAATATGCCTATTTTTGGTACAGGACCCTCAACCTTTGGATCAACTTCTGCTGACCCTTGGGGGCACTTTCCTCACCAGCGGGCAAGACCTCCGTCTCTGTCCTGTTTCCGTCGTCGACGGCCACCTTCTCGCCGTCAAGCCCGGTACCGGTGACAGCGTTCTGCTGCTTTCCGAGGTAAAAGTTGGGCATGTAGAAGGTGGCAATGAGAGGAATAGTAGCGAGACAAAGGGCAGCAATGGCAATGTGTCCATTGACGACCGCGTACGCTCGGATACAGCCCTGTCGGACGGGGTCGTCAAAGCTGTACTTGGTGATGGCAGTGATGGAACCGTAGAGCTTGGTGCGGGTGGCAGCAGCGACATCGGGAAGCTGGCGGGCGAGCTCATCGGGCATCATGTCGGTCCAGATGGCGGCAGCGATAGCACCACCGATGGAAGAGCCGAGGGTAGACCAGAGGGAGATGATGGCGATGACGGACGCCATGTCTTCGTGGGGAACGGAAGCTTGGGAGCCGACTCGGACACCAACCACACTACCATCATGTCAGCGCAATATATGACATGTGAAGCATAGACACATACCTGAAGGAAGACAAACAGAACATGAGCTGAGCAACCGTGAGACGGGCGGTAGAACGGGTCATCTCGTTCGAGCCACCGACCACCAGAATACCGTACGCAATGATTCGACAAGAGTTTCCAAACACCATGAGCGACTTGTATCGGTGGGTTCGTCGCTGAATCAGACCAACGATAGGCCCAACGAGACAGAGACCCATGGTGGTGATACCAACAAAGATGGTTTGAGTGTAGGTGCTCCACGGGGTGATAACACTGATGTAGGAGTAGAAATAGGTGTTGCGCACAGCAGAAGCGAGCTGACTCAAGCTGCCGATGATGATAGACGCAATGACCGCTCGGTTGAACAGAATTTTTCGAGTCATGAGAGGCTTGGGAGCAAACTTCATCTCCCACAGGAGGAAGAGACCAAGGAGGACGGGCCCGGTGACCAACATGGCGATCATGGAGGGGTTCTTCCATCCACCAACGGCGGCCTTGCGGAGAGTGAAGGGCAAGAGGAGCATACTGAATCCGAAACCAAGGAGGACGAGACCGAAAAGGTCGATGTCGATCAGGCCCTGCTTGAGCGATTGCCACCAGGTGCGGGATTCAGCATCGACGCCGGTACGCTCATTCTTCGAGCCAGCCATGGTGACCTAAGACGCTACCTTAGCCAATATAGGCCAATATGAAGGGATGGCACTTACCATACCGAGCTTCTTGCCACGGAATTGCATCACGTAAAGCGTAGCTATAGCCGGGAGGAGCAGGACAGGGACCATGATAGCAAACATGCCCATGCCCCATCGCCAGTTGTCTTCCAATCCTTCGGTGATGAAACCGTTGATGGGAACAGTGACCAGGAAGGGGACAGACAAGACAGCCCCAAAGAACCCTCTCCACTCCAACACCGTCAAGTCACCTGTCATTACAGTCAGCGGCATCCTCGACGACGATCGTTCTACGCACCAACAATGATATCGCTCAAGAGATCGAGACCGCTCTTACCCGCGGCGGTGAAAGCCATGCCGACAGTGTATCCTGCGAAGGTTTGGGCCGAAGCAGCGACCACGAAACCGACAACGTAAAAGACCAACACGACAGCGTATGTCGAGGGTCGGGAAGTAATGTCGGCAAGCTTGCCGATGAAGGGCTTGGAGATGGCGCGGATGATCTGACTAGCGGTGCTCACAGCAGCAAGGTTGGCGTGTTTACCGAAAGAAGAAGTGGCCCAAGGTGAGAAGATGGTGGTGGTAATCCCTTGATCAAAGGCGTAGACAAACATAGTGAGACCAATAGAGACGGCCAAGGACCAGAGCAGAAATTTTCCGGATCGACCTGAGCACGGTCAGCGCACGACGTTGGGTAGGAAGATGGCGACTCACCTGACTGGTAGAGGACCTTGTTGAATGCCTCTACTTTGCTCACACCGACGCTCTTCTCTTGCGCCGCTTCGGCGGATGAAGCATCGTCCCTGTGGAGAGAGGGGACGGTCCCAGGCTCGAGCGCCTTGTTGTCTTCGTGGTTGTCAAGCTGCGTGGGATGGGACATGGTGGGCAGTGGGACGAGGGGCGCAGAGATGAGCTGCCCGTTATCTGATATATTTTACATCTCCCGAGGTGGGGCGAAAGGTAAATTGTCTATGATATGATAATTCTGGGTGCCTTGGTAGGTTATCGGCCGACGCCAAGCATAACGAAGATACCTCTAATTGGTGAGCCAGTGATAGCGAAGAAAGCCCGAGTCTCCCGGGTCCCGACTGCTGACGGAGATAAATCATTTTCCCGTTTGTTTTGCTTTTTTCGCCGTGATCAATGGTGATGTGCTGATCACCTCGACACTCCTCAAAATTGCTCTGGTATTCGACATCCTTCTGCCGTGTGCCTTTTTCTTGCGCTCGAGTTCGCATGCACAAGCTGATCATCCATTCTGCGTATACATATGTACAGAGAAAGGCACCGCAAAGCACGGCCGAGCGTACCCCCTGTCCCGAAAGGACGCCGAACGCCGAACGGACATTCCATTCCTCGCCCGACTTCTCTTCGGGCCCTTCGAGGCTTCCGTGTCTGGCTCGCGCGTATTCTCGTGTCACTCTCACCAAATTCTCTACCAGGGCCAGGGCCTGTTGCTCTCCCCTGCATCGCCTGTCGCCTGCTCCACGCCTGGGATCGCGCGGCTTGTGTCGAGCCAGGCTCCACGCTCGGCCTGCTCGTGGCTCTCGGCCTGCCTGGGTCGACTCTGAAACTTGGTCTCTCGTCGCGTCGGACGTTGATCCCCTAAGCCCCTTGTGGTCTGACCTGGGTGAGACTGGTGCGCATTGCAGGTGTGACTGGAATGGATGAGTAGTGGCGAGATTGGAACAAAGCAATAATGAGGCAAACTGTAAGACTTGACTCCAGGCTCCAGGACCTCCTGCGCAAAGTTTGAACTCTGATACATAGTAGGACTCTGATGGAGTTGGTTCGGGAGGTCGTTAATTTCAATCATTTGAATGCAATGCCGCATCCGGCTAGTCAAGACACCCGGGGTCCACAGGCCGTAGGAGATACTAATTTACGTTGTTCAGCTGTCTTCAACGCAACTAACTCTATGAAAGCACCTGAGCTGGTGCTGGAGGCTGATTCGTCCTTCTCCACCAGTGACCAGATCGATCTACTCTTACAAACGATACTTGTTACAGGGCAACGGGAAAAGGGTGCATAGTTGTGCTCGACTCGTCAACCATGGGACAACCTAAAGTAGTCTTCCCAATACAATGCCATTTCTACTTGGGAGTCATACAAATGAAGCCCCTCGATTCAAGCTCCATGCGAGCATACGAGGAGTCTGCCTCTAATATTATGATTCATGCAGTAATACAGACGAAGAATGAGATTGACCAAGCAAGGAAGACGCGAAGCAGGGACGCCGGGCGACGAGCACTACCACAAATTGCCACATATCTGCTCCCCACCTGGACAAGTCTGGCTCACCAGTCGTGTGCCGCCTTAAGCTCCATCCTCCGCTCCATCCTCCGCTCCATCCTCCGCTCCATCCTCCGCTCCATCCTCCGTCCGGCCTCGCGCCCATTCGATCCGAGGCCCCTCCTCTGAACTTGATACAAGCCCGTTTGATTATCCTCTCCTTTCTTTTTACACCATGCGAATGCGACGTATGTACTGTAGTAGGAGAGGAAGTGGGATCCACGGCCGCCGTACGAGTACGGTACATAACAGGGAGTCGACAAGTGTCAACCGAGACCTGCCCATTATGAGGGCAATTTTGAAGCGAGCGAGAGGAAATGCTGGCATTTTCCCGCCAAGTGCGCTTGGCAACCTATCACTATACGTCGGTGGCCCGGCGGCCCCGACGTTGAAGGCACTAGTCTTCTCAGGATGGTTGCAGTGAGGGCAAACAAGACATGCCCCAAAGCTCGCCCTCCACATCTCATCACGAGCCTCGGTGTTTCCTTCATGTAACCTTGCTGCATGTCGAAACTTGCGTCTCTTTCTCTTATATAGCTTTCACAGTCTCGGAAATCTCTCATTGGAAGTGCTTTTATTCCGGTACTGATGGAAAAGTCAGTAACACGTCTGTGTGAGGGTGAGAAGCATACAACAAAGGCGGTGGACAGGTGAAAGAAGGAGACGATAATTGGGGCGCAAGCGCGGGCGAAGCGCGTCGACTCTTCTTTTCAAGCGTTTTTCATTGGCTCGTGGATATGGCCGTAGTGGCGCGTGGCATACATGCACAATCCACGAGTCGCTGGCATGAGCACGTGTATCTTCGTACTCTCTTCAGGAGAGGAAGAAGAGAGAAAAAAACAGCGATGCAGGGCGGAGACCGCCGCCTCTTACAAAAACCGGCGCGCGTCAAGCTCGTACACCCCAGGCGCGACTTGCTCATATCTTATGAAGGAGGTACAGTAGGGTCACAGCAGTAGCTTCAGAGAGTAGAAGAGAGTGTAGAGAACATTCCATGCAAATTTGGAACAATTTGAACTGATACAACACCGAAAGATCGTCCCTCAACACATATGGCAGCCCCCCATTTCCTCTGACGCGGCGAGCCGGTTTGTTTTTCCTATGGGGGCGCGGCTGCGATTCGCGGGTGTTTGGCCATTTTTGGTTCCATTTTCTGCTCGAGGGTATTCCGCCACATGCATTATAACGCCGACTTTTATACAGACCGCCGGGCGATTCGTGCTTTGGGAATGTGCATGCGGGGGGGAATATAACACCCCATTTCATTTCTCATCCTTCTTTATCCCTCCAGTCGTACATCACATCACAAACAACAACACACACATCACAATGGGTAAGCCATCCATGCCCCGCCTCTGCCCCTCTAGCATACGCTGACCATACATGCACAGCCCGAACCAAGGTAAGCCTGCTCCTCGTCGGGAGGGATGTTTGCGCCACCCAAACGCGCGAACAAACAACGCTCCACTCCAGTCGACCGCGTCGCCCCACCATCATCCAGCCTTCACATTCCCATTCCGTGCTTGCATGTGCATCCCATGATTCGGACAGGGGCGTGGAGCGTGTATCTCACCGATACATGCATATGGCACCGCCACCATCCGACTCGGGCAACATCCCTTCTCGCGCGTCCTTTCAACCCCGACTGTCACTGACATCCTTTATAGCAAACCGCTCGAAAGTCTACCGGTGGTAAGGCTCCCCGAAAGCAGCGTGAGTCATATTCTTCCTCTTCCATCATGTCACTGACATCTTCTCAGTCGCCACCAAGGCCGCCCGAAAGCAGGCCCCTTCTCAGGTCTCTGGTGGTGTCAAGAAGCCCCACAGGTACAGGCCCGGTACCGTCGCTCTCCGAGAGATCCGACGATACCAGAAGTCTACCGAGCTCCTCATCAGGAAGCTCCCCTTCCAGCGACTCGTCAGGGAGATCGCCCAGGACTTCAAGACTGACCGTGAGCATCAAGCCGTCCATTTGGGATTCAGCTGACGCGTCTTACAGTCCGATTCCAGTCTTCCGCCATCGGTGCTCTCCAGGAGGCCTCTGAGGCTTACCTCGTTTCCCTGTTCGAGGACAGTGAGTCACTATTCTTCCCCGTCAATACTTTGACTGACTCTTTGTTAGCCAACTTGGCCGCCATCCACGCCAAGCGAGTCACCATCCAGCCCAAGGATCTCCAGCTCGCCCGTCGTCTCCGTGGCGAGAGGTCCTAAGCGACTTTTTCTCGACCACCCCTCTCTCTCTTTGAGAGCTTCGATTCTTCTCTTCTCTTGTCTTTACGGCGCCACCTTCGTTATAGCCACCCTTCGTTTTTCGCTGTGATTATTTTACAAGTTGAGACCTCTTTGCTTTGAGAATAGGTTGCGTTAATCAGACGACATCCATGTATTCGGTTTCCTTAACCAATCCGTTTGATTGGGCGATCATGTGTGCACATTCTTTGTCTCTAGATCAATGCTCAACGCCAAACAGTGGGATAGTCGCGGAACCGAGCGCGTCGAGGTTGGTAAATACATTACTGTACAGGCTCTTGATACAACATTTCAACTGTGCCACCACTGCCACCCACTCCAGCAACTTATCCCTGCGCTTGCCGTCCTTGCCCCTCGGCTTCTTCGACCAAGGCCCTCACGGCCTTTCCCATATCGCCCAAGACTCTCGCTTCTATTCTGCTCGCATAGAGCCCCAGCTCAGCTACTTTGGTCGCCTCCTGTCTGTCATCTGCGATATCTCCGCGCGTACCAGAAGGAGATGAAGAAGAAGCGGGGGTCAGAGATGGGATGGAAGAAGCGAAAGGGGTGGGAATATTGTTGGCAGGTGGTGGACAGAGGGTGTTGGGATTCGACTTGGTCTCCCGGAGGTAGTAGACCGTCTGTCGGAGGACGAATTGTATTTTCTATTACTTTTTCATCAGCTCGTCATAGGGATCGTGTGAACAAGCCTTACGTCCAGCAAGTCGATATACTTTTCAACCCCTTGCCTGGCCTCCATTCCTCGACTCTCGTCGTCCCCTTCGGATCCTTCCGTGGGACTTGAGAGCTGAGTCAAAATGGGCTTGATTTGCAGCAAAAGTTCGGGTATGGCCTTGCTATGATCAGCTTCCTCGTCAAGTCCGTACCACAGGAAAGAGCGCACCTTTTCCACGCCTGTGAGTGCACTAAACAACGAGTCGGCATCCAGCGACTCTAGGTCCAGAGGGTCATGTTCTACAGATTGGGTTAGGCTAGACATTTCCTTGTGGTAAATAGACTAAACAGGAGAAGATAGGCGAATTGAAGATTGCAGACGGACGAAAGAGGGCATGGGCGCGAAAAGTGGAGGTCGCAAATGTCCGGTTGTATCTACTCTCACATCCCACAGAGCTCGCATCATGCCAGACACCACGCCCGAGATCCTCGTTCTTGATGGCGGAATGGCAAGACTTCTCTCTGGGCCGCTCCCCACCATGTTGACCCTATCCTATAGGGGACTACCCTCGAAGCCCTTGGGCATGATACCAGCTCCGCCCTCTGGGGCTCTGAACTTTTGCTCTCTCAGCCTGGCGTGATTCAGGAGGTTCACAGACGTTATTGGGAGGCAGGAAGTGACCTCGTCGAGAGCGCTACGTATGCCGCTGTAAAAGATACGAAGGCTGGTAGCTGACTATTGATTAGATACCAGCTCACGCCACAAAACCTTCAGGACCACCTCTCCATATCTCCTTCCCAGGCGAGCAACATTCTTCAGACTGGCGTCAACATCGTTTCAGACTCGACACCTGCCCCATCCGGGCCAAGCAGACCAGGAAGGGGCGTCGTCCTCTCCATGGGACCTTTCGGTAGTACCCTCCAGCCAGGGCAAGAGTATGCTGGCATCTATCCAGCTCCCTTTGGCCCCGGGGGATCATCAAACTGCTTCTTGGAGGACCAAACCGAGCAGGAGGAGGCTGCGGTGGAAGCTCTCGCAGAGCATCACCTCTCCAAATTACTCGCTATCGCTGCCGACGAGCAAACATGGTCCAAAGTCGAATGGATAGCGTTCGAAACCATTCCCGTTCTTCACGAGGCCAGAGCGATTCGCCGGGCTATGGGAAGGCTAGAGAAGAAGCGGAGAGGTGGCAGGAAGAAATTCTGGATCGTGGCGCCTTTCCCTGATGGACTACATCCTCAGATCTTGCCTTCGGGGAAGCATGCGCCCCTGTCGCTTTATCTGTTTACGCTCTTGGGCCTGTCACAGGAGGACTCTGTCCCGGACGGTGTTGGGGTAAACTGCACCAACCCTTCTTATCTTCCTACTATTCTCGGCGAGCTCACTTCTCTTGTGACTGCCTATTCGACGTCAGTGACGAAACCCTGGCTCGTCTTTTACCCAGACGGAGGGCAGGTGTACGACGTCGTCTCTAGAACATGGACCGTAGCCCCTTCCAGCCCTGCCAATGCTCAAGAATGGGCTGAACGTATTGGTGACTTGGCCATACGCTATGCCCATGCGCACACAGAGGACCAGTCCGAGACGAGGATCTGGAGAGGTATCATCGTCGGGGGGTGCTGCAAGTCGTCTTTCGACGAGATAAAGGCATTGCGAACAGTGATTAATAGAGCATAGAGCTCATCTTCATGCACAAGCTTTCAAGACCGATTCCAAATCCATAACTGGACCCCCATTCGCGACGTCTCTCCGATACACTCGCTGTGCTGACCTTGTCTTGAAGTCACAATTGCTTGTCATGCATCAGGGCAAACAGGTCAGTATAGTGTATTCATAGGGGTATGTGCTACATTACAACAGGAAATCTGAAAGTGTGAATGACAGAGACGGATGCGAGCAAAGGTCAAGTTGGACTAATCACAGGCTCACAAAAAATGGAGAAGCAATGAAATGTATCGAGTACTCGTACTGAAGATTCGATAATGCTAAGATGAATGATGATGCAATGTTGCAGCAAGGCAGAGTAAAGGATAGACCGTCGTAGCAAGCGCGGAAGACCTGCTTGGAAGGCCTTCCACCTAGCGTCAAAGTCTAGTCGGTGGTGGGAGCCCCATGCCAGGCGGAGGCGGGGGTGCTGTAGTCCGCGGGTATGCCGAATAGTACCCCATTGGTGGCGGCACGGCCTTGGGTGCTCCTGAACTTGAGCCCGCCGGTCCACCTGCTGCTGGTGGTTGCCAGAAGTGATACCGACCCGTGGGCTCTGCTGTTCTGGGAGGGGGCTGATATGGTATAGCACCTGGAGGCGGTAACCTTTCTCTCTCCCTTTCCCTCTCTCTGTCTCTTTCTCTGTCCCTCTCCCTCTCTCTCTCTCTTTCCCTTTCTCTATCACGGTCTCTGCGCAGACCAGCCTCATAGTCGTGCGCCGCACGAGCGTTATACGATGAAGGCTGGGGCGGAGGAGGAAGGGTGTGGTGATACATGCTCGAGGGACGATCCCACATCCCGCCATTATGTGTCTGGGGCGGTAGAATGGGCGGTGGAGGAGGAGGCTGATACCTGTCTCTGTGCTGGGGCCACGGAGCAGTCTGGGCCTGTGGAGGCGGACGCTTCGCAGGGGCGCTGCGGCCGTGATGTACAGGGTACTCGGAAGTGTGCCGTCTGGAAGGAGAAGGTGATCGGTGTGCGGAGGAGCGGGTTTGAACTCCCATTTTAACGAGGTCGCTTCTGGCGTCGGCATGGGACAGCACCGTAATGTCTTTCGGTACAGAACGGCGTTGGCGCGTCTGACCGTCCGCTTCAAATGAGACCAAGGGCTGTTCGTCTTTGGAGAGCAGATGCTTGTTGGCAAGAGCCCATCCCCCGCCACCCCGGCCTGCACGCAGATTGGGAAGAGCGTCAGGGTTCCGTCTCAATGCGACACGCTCTCCAGCAAGGCGGGCAATCATGAACCGGTTCGCGTGAGTCATGTCGTCCTGAATCTTCTCCATCTCGACCTGTGAGTACGTCAGCGTATGAGGTGAAGGCAACATAAGGTAAAACATACGTGAAAGTTGGTGATGGCTGAATCTCTCCAGTGATCTCTCATTTTTGTGACTTCCCGAACCGCTGCTTCTTCCCGAGCTACCACCCAATCGAGTTGAGCGTCTTTGCGGCGTGCAACCTCTTGCCAAAGAAGTAGCAGTTGAGGGTGAGAACCATTGAGAAGCTCCTTCTCTTGTTGGTCAAGGTTGACCAGAGCTCTGTCATTTGGTCAGTAATAGACTCGGAATCGAAAGCAACGTACTCGTCTATCAATCGGTGTTTAGCCTGTTGTCTAGCAACCGCGATCGGGTCATCGGGGTCGACTAGGTTAATGTCAGCGCGCTCACAAAGTGAAACAACCAAAACTTGCCTTCTCCTTTCCTAAGCCACTTCCGCTTCTTCCTCGGAGCTCTTTTTGGCGCCTGCCCCCTGCTGCCCTTGTATTCATCATCCGCCGCCATCTCGCTTTCGGCCTTGTCGTACTTTTCTTCTACAGCCTCGACTCCCAGTACGAGGTCCCGCACCGGTTCCTCCTTGGCGTCATTTGCATCGGCTACTCCGTCTTCGTCCTCAATTTCATCATTGTTCTCGTCCCCCTCAACGATGCCATCCTCTTGCTCTTGCTCATGCTCTTCCTTTTCGTCTTCACCATCTCCAAGATCATCTTCCGCTTTCCTTTTTCTTCCGATGACGGCCCCTGGGACATCTTCGGACCCCTCTTCCCTATCCTCCCATTCATCTCTCCCTTCTCTGTTGTCTCTTTCGTCCCGCTCCTCTTTCTCGTCCCTCTTATTCTTCTCGTCCTCGCTCTCGCTCTGGAGTGCAGGGTCTATAGGAATATCATCGTTCTTCAACCCATTGGCATACTGATGGGGATTGTGAAGGGTCTCGTCATCGACAATCATGTCGGTAGGACCTGGTTTGGCGTCCAAATCATATGTAAGCGCGACAGCGGGGTGGGTGTGAGCGTCGACGTGTATCTCGGTATCGTTAGGCACATAGTCGCCATTTGCGTATGGCTGGTCGTCCATTCTACCGGTTGTGGTTGTTGGATTTGCTGAATTGGCAGACACAAATCAGCAACAAATTCCTTTAATCAGGAGCCAAACAAGCAAAAGAACACGTGCGGTGATTGCCGATGGTGACGCTCGGAGCTCCGCGATCACTTTCTAATCACAATTACGTAACCGTGGCTATCCCGCTCATGCGCAGATCCATCCTAGATAAACGGAGGCAGGGGAGACGGGTGGAAGGAGAGGAAGGAAATGGGAAGTGATGGATTGAGCCAAGGAAAAGAAAAGAGCTGGGGATACGTTGTGGGCGACAACGAAGCTAGGGCGAAAAGAAACCGCGGTAGATTCAGGGGCGGATAAAGGGGCGAAGGACCGGTGTGACGGCAGATCCCAATGAGCTTGGCCATGCTTGACTGATATGACATGGCCAGCCAGCCCTCACGTACAAGAAACGCCATGTAGGGTGCGCACACGTGAGAACCGGCGAGCAAAGAACGTCGCCCAGCGCAGATCGGCGGAGCGATTTTGACAGGTGGAGGCCACGCAGAGGGAAAGGTAGAACGTCCCACACAACACAGGGCCCTGTCTTTCGCCTCGCTCTTTGGGTCCGTGATGTATAGCATAGCCGGGTAGGGACTATGTCCACGGGTGGCTCATCGTAGGGGACGAAGAGTTTGGGTGGAAAACATCAAAGCATATTGGGATCGTTACAGCTTGTAGGCCATGAGGCGAGATGAGACAAGATCAAGAGCGGAGAACATGGATCAAAAGGAAAGACGGGAGATACAGAAGGAGACGGCTGCACACTCACAGTACTTTGTGGGCGCTAGATGTGCAATGGCTCGCGATGGGCGGCAACAACAGAGAGGTCTCTATATGACTCTTGTAAGCCTTCGATCACTTTTGAGGGGAAACTTGAAGGGCGGGGGTGGAAAAGACACCCATTTGCGAGACTATGCCGATGCTTTACAGGTATGTGTTCGGACACGCTCATGGACCACCATTTCAGAGCATTGTAGCGCCAAAGTGGGTTCCGAAGACGACAAACATGGAAAGTTGGCGGCACTGGCGGATTTACTCCTGAAGGCGAGATCAATGGAAAGGCCACTCACAAGAATGAATCTATGCGTGGCCAGGTAGGGGACGATGGGTAGTAGAGGGGATTTGTTTGGAGGATGGAGGTAGCAGTGAGGCCGCGGTTGCGACGGCGGGGTTGCGGTGGGCGGTGGAGAAAAGCAGTTGTGTAACCTGGAGTGGTTGCAGCAGGCGTAGAGCCTTTGTCGGCCTCGGGAGATGGCTCAGGCACGGGTTTGTCTTTTTTTCTTCCCCCTCTTTCCTCGTTTCGGTGCAATCTGGGCTTGCTGGCGGAATAGCGGGTGCATATCGGGCTCGAACACGCATTCTTTTCAGGGAAAACGAGGTGGAGGTCGTCCAGCCGATTTACGTGCGGCCGTCTGCCATGGCCCTCTGTGCATCTGGTATCTTGTACATGAGAGAGGGAGGGTGGGTGCAGCAGAAGCCCATGTGCGCCAACATCTCTTTTCTCAAACATCCGCTGAGTTGACGCTCAGGCGACCTCTCTGAGCATGTATCTCAGCCAATCAAACTTCGGCCTAAGTGTCAGTGGCGCCCCGAGCTTCCGCAGGGCTGGAATCCGTTACGTACAAGTACGACTCCAAACCAGCTTTTGGTCCGAATTTTTGAGGGAACAGGAAAGGATTATCAAAGTCGCAGACGGATGATGTCAGCATCTTCGCGTTGTTTGTTTGTCTTCCTCGTGGGCGTATGAAATATCCATACGCATAGAGAGTCCATGACAGCAAGTCTTAGACGATACAAGCAACATGGATTCAGAGCGCCAACTGAGTAGCAAAAGATACAGAACTGATAGATCAAGGATGTGACTTTAAAGCCCCATATTGTCGACAAAAGCAGCAAAATCAAACCCCAACGTTTCCGCCTCAGCCCCCCTTTCGTGTGTGATTTCCGTCGCTGCGCCCGTGTCCATACCGTGCTGCATCGGACCCGGCACATTCATCCCCGTCATCCCAATATCAATAGCTCTAACCAGAGGTTCGCCTGCTCCATAGTGGCGAATTGAGTAATTGTCCAGAGACATCCCCATGTGCATACCCGAATTCATGCCGAACGCAGCAGAGATGTCCATCTCGGTGCTCGGGTCAAACTCGGGCGAGACGCCAGAGCCAGAAAAGTTTGACGAGTCCACAGGCGCAGATGACGGAAAGTGAACCCAGTTTGAAGACTGACGAGCCAGGAGATTAGGATCCTGCGGACGAGCTGCAAAGGACGGCGTCGGAGTCATGTCGGTCGAGAAAGGGCCCATCGGTTCGTTCGAAAGCCACGAACTGCCGGAACCAGACGCTGCTGTCCGCTGCTGATGGCTGTTTGCACTGGAAGGCAATATTCTGCTGGCAAGAGGCGTTTCAACAGGGGCAGGCGGTATGATACTTTCATACAAGCCGCTTTCCACCAGTGTCGAGGCTGTGCCAATTGAACCCCCTGATCCGGGTGATGGTGTGCCTTCCAGCCCGTTTCCTTGGGGCCCGCTGCCCCCTGACAGGCGCCTTTGATACGGTACCTGAACTCGGCGAAGCTTGCCGCTGCCAGCAAGATGGCTAAGATCGTCGTCTTCACCAGAGCTACCATGCCCCTTGGCCGTCTTGGACCGGCTTTGGTGGGCGGCGGCAGCAGTAGCAGCAGCAAGGGCATCGTGCGCGCGTACGCGCAGGCGGAGAAGGATGGGGAGACCGCGTTTGGCGCGACAACCCTCCCGGGCAGCCGCCGAGATGTCGCACACCACGGACATGGCATGAAAGGAAGGGTTGGCGAATGCCGAGTAGGGTGCGTGTATAGTGATTGCCGACCTGCTCTGGGTCAGCTGGGTGACATCGGGACAGAGATACGTACAGGCAGACCGCGGCAGAAAAGGCGTGAAACCAAAAGAACCACCATCTTGCAATCAAGCTCGGGTGATAGATGACCAAATACTTTACCAACAGCACAATCTCTTGTGCACTCTCGAATAGCGCAACAAAGCTCTCTCCCAGCTTGGCAGAGTGAGACGGGTCGGTAGGTGAGTCCTGGAGGGCACGGGCAAAGAGCGGGCGGTTGAGCAGAAGGCGGGTTTGAGCGATCTGGAGACGGATGCCGAAGCGTTGAATCACGAGGTGGGGGTGGATTTGTGAACCCAGCGGGAGGTCTTGGATCGGGACGTTGGGCATGAGTAGTTCCGGGAGGTTCTTCTTGACTGGTGAATTGTAAGCCAAGGACGACGTTGGAGAAAAATGGCGTACACTCTCGAACCTCTTGGTCCAGCTGAGCCACAGTGACAAAGGACACTGGGTCAACTTGTGTCTGTATTTCAATGACCCGCTCCATAAACTCCATGAACTGATACTTTGCCCGGTGAACTGTGAACATCAGCGTCACCGCCTGAAGCTGACACGCAGCACTCACACCCAGCTTCATCACCAATCAGCTCGGGAGTCTCTGGCAACTTGGTATCCGACCATTTGAAACTCGTAGAGCAAGGCCGGGCGAAACAAATGGCTTGTAATCGGTCATACGTCTGCCAGCTCGTCAGCAGGAGGCAATCTATATCTGGACCACTCACAACCACCTCCCACCAAGTCTGGCGCCGCTCTTCGATCTCGTACTGGGACAGGCCACCATAGTTGGATCCGTCACGATGCAGACCGAGCTGCATTACGATCAGCCTGGATGAATTGAACAATTGTGGACGTACACCCTGAGCGATTTTCACTGCCGTCCCCAAGATCGGCCAAAATACCTCGCCGCCATTTCCACCTTTCCACGTTGTAAGCCACTCATCAAATGAACATGAACACAACGACTAACGTTTATCGTTCAAGATGTACGTCCCCATCAAAAGTAGCGCCTGCACAGTGGCAGGGCTAGCATGCTCAATGCCCACAGTTGAGATACACGCTCTGCCTAGTGAGAAGAGCTGCTCCCCTCTCGGGTCAACTATTCACAAAAATCAGACAGCCGAAAGATGATTGATCGTAGACTTACAGGGTGGACGATGTAAATCGTACATGACGCCCAATGCCATGACAAGGAATACGCATGCCAGTTTGTGAGCATTGACGGGGGATACAGTGTCGTAGGCATTGAGGATGTGGTCGTTTTCAAACATCACCCGAGGGATCGGTTGATACCTATATCTCCGTCAGTCATGTCTTGGGCTGCAAGGGCGATACGCACTGCCAGTTCACATTCTCCCAGTAAGCCGCTACCAGGACTCGGCCCTCAATTTCATAATCGGGCAGCTCTGCTCGCAAGCTGTTTAGATCCCACTTGACCTCGCCCCCGGCCATGAGAGAAGCATGGAGCCCAAGGCCGGGCCAAAAGTCTTCTTCTCGTTCCTGCGAAGGTAGTGTCCGAGGTGCTGTTCGAGCAGTTGCAGGTGGCGTCCTCAACGGCCCATCTGCAGCGTTTTTCTCGTCTTCGTCTACGGCCTCCTCTCTCAGATACTCACTTCCGGCAAAGCTTCCCACATAAGTAGCCTGACCCTCTTGCCCCATAGTCAAAGTCCCAAAAGCTCCCTCTAGCCGGTCCTCACCTGGTATAGACCCATTTCGCAGACCAGAAGCGCTCGGAGATGGCCGTGGACGAGAGGGTGACTCGCGCGGGGAAAAGAGGTAAGGAGAAGCAAGAAGCGGATGGGGTGATTCGGTCGTTTTGGCGTGGGCTTGAGAGAGAGCAAGCTCAAGCTCAGAGATGCGTTCGTGCAGCTTTCAAAAAGTCAGTCTCATTCTTGGTTCAAGGGTGGAGACATACTTCGGCGGTATCGGCAAGGATAAGACGCTTGCCTTTGCCTGTTTGCATTACACCTTGAGGACAGATCTGAGCGCACCCCCTTTTCTCACAAGAAGTGCATGGCCATTCTCTCGAGCACTTCAGCTTGAGCCTTTGTCGACCGTATCAGCGACCTATCCTGCAGTCCAGGATACCGACTCACCGCCTGCATTCGGCACAGCTGAAGCTCTGTCTACCAGTCCCAGCCTTCTCTCCCTTGACTATCTTGACCCCGCCCTTCTTCCCGCCGCCCTCCCCGGGCGGTAGCGACGTCTTTTTCAGCGGCAAGGCCGGAGGCTGCATCGAACCGGGCTGCTGGGTATCTGGAGATGTTGAGGGGATAGGTTTCGAGTCTGGCATGTTTTATAGTTTTGTAGCCAAGGTCCGGGGAGTGAGATAGGTCAGGATCGTCGGGATTCGGTTAGATTGTTATCGACAACGTGTCTGGGTTTACTACAACGGCATGTGAGTTAGCCACAGCGTACCCAGTGAGAGTATCGATCTGATCTGGTGGGACGATTGTTTACAGAGCGGCGTCCGGGCGGGGAAAAGAGACGTACGAGTACTTTATACGAAGCGATCACAGAGTGGCAGCTGACAGTAGGGTCCAGGAGTTGTTCGCTCGCACACACAGCCTTCGTTCTCCGTCGGGTCGAAGGGGTCAAGGTCACCCTGAAGGTGGCCGGCAAGTCGGTTCTGTCGGCTTCTCTGGCACGCGGGGTGGTGATTGGGAGCGAGTCCGACGTTCGGTGAAACAGGGGCGGCGGATTGTTTACACACACAGCAGGGACCAGTGGTGGCTGACGGCGGTGTGCGAAGGGTTTCGGCGAGAAAAGAGAGAGACTGAAAAGAAGGCCGAGAGGGCGAATCACGACCCCGCGATAAGTGGCCCAAGTATAAATATCTATCTATAATCTAGCCCGCTCTGTTATCAAGCAACACCAGGCACACGACGCCTGCTCCTGACTTTTTCACCCGGCCCATGTCCCCTTCAGCATCCACGAGACGCATCCACTGCCAGCGGCCACCGACTCAGACACGCTTTCTATGGATAATGCATTTGATCGAACAAGGTTTAGAGTCACAACGAATATAAAAGGAAACACCCCGCTCCTCCCTTCGCCCCCTCTCGACTCACAGAGCCCCGCCGCCTCCGCGACACTCTTCTCTCTTCCCCCGCCACGCCTATTGTGGGGGACGGAAGCTACACCGAGTCAGGCCGACCTTCTCTGTCGTGTACATAAAACTTACCCAGGAGGGAATCCAGGCGGCATACCAGCAGGCGCCCCAGGGAACCCAGGTGGCCTGAATCCAGGCGGCATCCCAGGCGGCAGAACACCCGCCGGAGGGAAACCAGGAGGCATTCCAGGGGGCAATCCCGGCGCTCCAGGGAACCCGGGTGGTGGCCTAGCATACGCCATCGGCCTCGCGCCCATCGCTCCAGGGGCGCCAGCCCCCAACGGCATACCACGACCGGCGGCAGCTCCTTGACCAGGACCGGGGGCAAGAGACGGTTCGTCCTTTTGGACAGGGGGAGGGCCTTCGACAGAGACAGAGACAATTGTTTCGCCACGGAGGATGACGAGACCAAGCGTTCGTTTTTGTTGAGTGGGAGGAGCAGGTTCGTTGGTACCGGTCTTCTTCTTGCTCTGCAGATAATAGTCAGGTCAGCTAGTATAGGACGGCCTCCTGTTTGCCAACGTACCTTGACGGTTCGGAACTCTTCACACTCGGCCAGCACAAAGTTCATGTGCTTGTCGTACGCCAACATCTGTCCAACGAGAGATCGGCCATCATTCCTGAAATACATGTCAGTCATGCTCGCAAGCTCAACTCTCAACCCGATATATGCACGTACAGGGTGACCTTGAGCCTGTAGTGAACAAGCGTCACCATTTTGGAGTGTTTGGCTTTAGGGGCTGCATTCCTGGTTAGCCAAGCTCGACAGTCTGATACAGGAGAGACTTACGAGGCTAGATTAATGTCCAGAATCGACAAGGGAAGAAGAACAAGCGATGGTCAGCATACATTCCGTTTGAAACTCCTCACCACCATCCACTTCTAGCAACAGTCCTCCTCTGGCCATCCGTCCTTCATAACCAGTATCCGTTTTCGACAATACTTCCCCAGCACACCACTCGTTCTCCTTCTTGCCTATCTTTCCGAACGACCCCACGCGCCAATGCTTGACGACGTTTCCTAATTGTTGAAATCCCTCGCGCTCTCCCTCACGCTCTGCTAATCCAGTTCTTCCGCCCGCTTTCCCTGCATCTGCTCCTCCTTCCATCACCCTTTCAGTGCAAGGCCGAGTCCGACTCACCATGATGGCGGTATCCCTTGCGTTGTGCTGTTTTGCATACCCTACTTGAACTTGAAAGCCAAGGACGCAGCGATGAGCGGAATTATAAAGCATTTCCCGCATGTGGCGCGCGTCTTCATATAAATTTCGATTTTCCACAGTCGATTCTTCTTCTTGAATCAAATTGTATATGGTCCCGTTATTGTGGATCCTGGGCGTAACACCGTCTCCTTTGGGGTCGGTGTTCAGTGTCCAGTGATCTCTACAGGAGGATCTAGAGCGAAATTCATAAGACAAGACGTCTAGCCGGAGCACTGTGATTTCTGTGGTGTATTTGGCCTGAGTTTTGACTACATATCAATGCATAATAATGTCCTTCTACATCTGTGTCTGCTTTTCATTAGAGTCCGAGCTGCAACGGTGCAATCTGTCTAGTATGGAAGTTGCATGAAATATGAATGACGATAAACTTTGCACCCCTTAACATCACATTTCGTGCTCTTTCTTGCATCTATATCTCTACACCCACACATTCGATCAATTCACCATGGCCGCCCTCGACCGCAGACGTATTCCGGCCCCGGAAATCTCCCATGCCCCCACCTACGAGCCACTTTCCTCCCAAGCAGGTCCTTCGAGAACAGATCGATCGGACCTCGAGTCCCGACCCATATGTCCGTCCTCCCTTTTCGTCCTGGATTCTGTCACTGATACTCGCTGGATAGTCCTCAAGACGGGCTTGATCTCACAGGCAAACGGCTCCGCCTATATTGAAGCGGGCGGCACGAAAATTGCCTGCTCTGTCTACGGCCCTCGACCCAAGCAACCGCCTTATAGTCCCGAGGGAACATTAAGTCTGGAAGTCAAATTTGCGCCATTCGCCAGTGACCCAAGGCGAGCGCCATTACGAGCAAGTCTTCTTACTTTGAGACCCGGTAGAATATTGACAAGGCCGTAGGACACTGAACCCCTCCCGTTATCGAATCTCTTGACCCAGCTCCTCCTTCCGTCTCTTCACCTCTCCGCCTTTCCCAAAGCTCAGCTCGACATTTTCCTCCTCGTTCTTGAATCGTCTTCCCCCGCGTCCGTACTGAGTGCGGGATTGACAGTGGCCAGTGCCGCGGTCGCAGACGCCGGCGTGGAGATGGGCGGTATGGGCGTCGGCGCGGTCGTTGCAAAGCTCGAAGAGGGCAGGAACCTGGTCGACCCGAGTAAAGATGAGGAGGCGGAGAGCAAGGCGCGGGCTGTGGTGGGGGGTATGCCGGCCTTGGGAAAGATTACAAATATGTGGTTGGAGGGAGAAGTGCCCGTTTCGGAAGCGTGTGATGTGGGTCATCTTTCTACTTTTGGGGTCTTGTGGTGACTGACTTGCATTGCAGATGATAGAAACAGCTCTGGCGTCTACCCGCGAGACACATACAGTCCTCGCCCAGGCCATCATTGAAGGAGTCGAGGAGCGAGGCCTGGGTTTATAGTCATAGTTGCTCTCGCCGTTTGACAAGGAGCTGATCATATATATCGCATCCGATGTGTAGCATGGCGATAGCTGTATGGATCTCGTCGGCCTTGCGTTGATGAGCTGATGAGTTTGTTGCGAACATGCTTTTATCCACAAGCTTTTAGACACATGCTTTTAGCCACATGCTTTTAGCCACATGCTTCTAGCCACATGCTTTTACCCACAGCATTCACTTACAGTGCCAAGTATGTGATGCTCATGTTACGCCTAGTAGCCCGCCAGTAGCCCGCCGGCTTCGTCGAGCCTAGGCGAATCGCTTTTCTGATGTTTCCGGCAAACAACGATGTAGACGTGCATCTTGCAGATTCTCCTTTGCATACCTTGATAGTGTGCAAGCTTTGCAAGTGAGACTTGCCGTTCAGGTGACTTTGTAGGCTCTGTTCAGGGAAGAGTTGGGTAGATAGATCCCGCAGGGCCTGATGTATCAAGCGCCCTTTCACCATATACCCAAAGCAGAGCGCTTCACGTGTACGGGTATAAAATCTGACGACAAGTAAATCAGATTGAAGACAAAGTATGCGAACAGGGCAGCAACGGTAAGGCAGCGTATGTCACTTCTGGCCTTCGTCAACTTGTCGTTGTTGACACGTTCACTTATATTTTCCTCCTGCTGTATCATGCCTCTCTTGGCGACAGGACACCAAGCTGCTACTGAGAGCTCGGGAGAATGCACATTTGGCGAGTCAATCCCATTCATATGGCTGGGTACTGCCCTGGAGCAATAGTACTAGTTCACTGCCAAGTGCGCTCTTTGCCCTGTACCTTTGCAGCTAGCTAGCTAATAGCCCTGTGAAACCAGTCTTCATTTCGGACAGAGAGAGATACTGGTTTTGATTGATAGAGGTCATGAGAAGGTCCTGGCGGGCCTCCGTTGCAGGACCAGCCATGAGTTACGAGTGCTTAGAGTGCTTGCTGTACTCCAACATCATCATGACATCTTCTTGTTGGAAAAGACTTGGCGAAGTGCTTGCCACTTAGACTGCATTGACTAGAGTTTCTCACCTCCGTACGTCCCCTCCCCCTCTTCTACATCAAAGAGAGGAACAAAAGGCTGACCTTGGCACAGAAGACTGCTCCTTTCCCTTGAGCGTCGACTCCGTAATCGTATCCTCATTCTCGCTCTCTTCATGACCCGAACAGTTTGCCCCGCCCTTCGTGGTCATCCCTGGGCAGTAAGGTGAAAGGCCGCCATCGCAGTAAGGTGAAAGAGATTTTGCTCCTGAGGTAGTCTCAAAGTATGGCCTGAATGATTGTGAGGATATCGAGCATACTAATTGCGTGTTGTTGTTGATACCGAGGGCCAGCACCTGCGCACATGAAACAAGATGCTTCATGCTTCGCTTCAATACGTCGAGCTATATAATATGCAATTCTACCTCCAGTGTATCTGTCAAGCTAATTTATATTTTCCCACCATCAGAAAATATGAAAGAAACCTATCGGATCATGTTGCTGCAGGGCATGTTATTACGTTGAGTGAGAACGCAATATAATATGGCGAGGAGAGATGCTGTGTCGTCGGTGGGATCTCTTCTGTGGTAGCAAGAGGCCCGGAGAATGACACAAGCTCTACTTGGGAGCGTAGGAACGATATGACAAAGGAATATAGGAAGCGATGGGAGAGTATGATCTCGGGCTCGGCTGCCTCGCGCGGGCATGATCGCGAACACTTGGCCGCCGCTCTCGTCATAGGGCTCCCCAGTCACCGGACATCAGTATTGCACACTTGGGCATGATGATATACCAAGTCCTAATGTCCTATCATCCTGATGGGTTGCTACCACCTCTTGATGCTTGAAATCATTCGGAAGTCAAAGGCTAGCAGGGAATGAAAAGTCCGCGACTGCAACCGACCTCATACAAAGTCGTCATGCACCTTGCCCCCTGTACATTTACATTTTGCACCGAACGCTAAATGATTAGATGATGAGCTGGTCGCATAGATGGATGACCTTCCTTCTGACTTGTGATGCAGTATTATGTTACCGGCTACTGAAAGACACAGACAGCCTTCACTGCATCGCTTCCCCTCGGGAACTTGCCGGCCTGGGGTAAGAAGGCCGCCACATATTCAATCCCAAAGATACTCGATCCCGAGACGACGACTGAACTGTCATTGGGGCTTGGGCAAACCGGATTGCCGTGTGCTGATGGCATGGTGATCAATAGAGGTGCATCGATAGACCCAAACAACTGTATTTGTGTCCCCTCTTGTATGGCTTGGTACTTCATTTTCGATTCCTCCACGATGACATAGACGGTAGACGGCTAACACAAATGCTCTGGCCTCATCGCTGTCTATCTGTGCCAAGCTGACCAGACGCGCCTGACGACGGGCGGCCAGACCTTGTCTGTGCTTCGATTGATCCTTTCAGACATGATAATCACCCCGAAGCATCTCTTGTTCCTTTTTGACAAGAATGTACCCCCGCACTGCCCAACGGGGGATAATTCGACGGGTAGATCTCGTTACGGAAAAAACATCCTCCGCATAGTTGTCGTGTCTTGGCTGTTTCAATCAACGCAATAAACCCCGTCACGTCGCGATGCTACGTATGCGGTTCCTCGTCGCCAGGCCCACCAGCCTGATGGGTTTTCTCATACCTGATGACTGTGGATGGCAAGTGGATGGCGTTGAGCGACTCTCTATGCATGTATCGGGCTTCGCCGCCCAGTCATAGTTGCGTAAGCGAGGCTAGCGCGCGGCGTGACAAGGATGAAACGCGTCCACTGTCCCTGAGGGTCCGCGCGTTGTTGACTGTTTTTATTTCAAAGCGCCGCCCGCCGCCTGGAACAAAAGGGATGCGTTGAAAAGGGCCGTCCGCGCACGGTCCTTTCGAATCTATCCATCAAACGCCCAATTCGCATCTCCATTTCTCTTTTGTCAATCAACCTTCCCGAGCTGCGCTCAGACCCACCCAGCTACCCAGCTACCCACACTCGTTTACCCCCCGCTCTTTCACCACCACCCCCACAGCCGCAATGAAGCTCACCGTCTCCGCCCTCACCGCCGCCGCCTACCTGGCCCTCTGCACCTCCGTTGTCGCTCGACAGGACATCCCGTACGCCCGTCGAGGCCCCGGCGGCGCCCTCATCAAGATCCGCCAGGACGACTCTTTCGACTATTCCAACTCTACCTCCAACGACACCGAGGCTGCCGGCTTTGACAACTCTACCGCCGTCGACATGGGCAACAGCACCACCAACGAGACCTCCTTTGGCGGCTCTGACAACTCTACCGCTGTTGACCTTGGCAATTCGACCGCCACCGCCACCGCCAGCTCGTCGGCTGTCTCTGCCACCGAGAGCGCGTCGGATGACGATGACTACGAGTCTGATGAGTCTGATGAAGACGATGAGGACTGTGAAGAGGAGGATGAGACTTCCAGTGTGGCCAGCTCCGCTGAGGCCACCCAGGCCGCGTCGAGCACTGTCTCTGACACCGTTTCCACCTCTCCCGTTACCAGCTCTGCTGCGCTCAACCAAGCTGCTGCGGCCACGGCCTCTGCCGAGGAGACTTGTGATGGCGTGAGTCTAGTGGAAAGAACGTGATTTGTTTTGCTGACTTTTCTCAGTCTGTTAGCACCGTCTACGCGACCGTGACTGTCACTGCTACTGTGACTGCCGGCACATCGGATGCTTCTACCACCAGCAGTGCTGCCGGCGTTGTTGCCGCTGCCGTCGACTCTACATCTTCTGTCACCGCCGACGCATCGACTGCCACAGCGAGCGCCACCTCTACCACTGATGACGAGGACGAGGTGGACGACGATGATGAGGACTATGTGAGTAGCTCGCAACGTAGATTGGATTAAGCTGACTTTTTGCCACAGCCCGACTGTGAAGACGAGGATGAGGACACTACCACTGTCTCGCAATCTTCAACTGCCGCTTCTTCCGCCGCGAGCTCGACATCGTCTGCCGCTGCGAGCGAGGAAGACGATGAGGATTGCGAGGACGAGGATGAAGAGGAGACTGGCTCTTCTACCGTGTAAGTTTGTTTTTCCTTTTCGAGACGCAAATTGACAAACGTCTCAGTGCCTCTGCAACTGGTTACTCTACCGCCTCTTCCAGCGTTGTCTCTGCTACCGCCAGGTTGGTTGATTCAGCACACGAGTGGTTTCTCGCTGACCCATCATTCTAGCTCCACTCCTGCCGAGGCCATTGCTACCGATAGCCAGAGCGCCTCTCAGAACGTCACTCTTCCCACCGAGACTGATTCCTTTGCCAACGTGACTGAGAGCGCCACCTCTGTGCTTTCTTCCGAGACTGCTTCTGTCTCTGCCACGGCCTCTTCCAGCGCGGCTGACTTGCTTGCTTCTGGTTCCACCAGTGCCTCTTCCAGCGCTAGCGCGACCGCATCCGAGTCTGCCTCCGAGCCCGCGTACGAGTCTGCCACCGAGTCTGCCACCGAGTCTGCCTCCGAGTCCGCATCCGGGTCCGCATACGAGTCTGTGTCTTCGACCGAGTCTGCGTCGAGCTCTTCCGAATATGCGTCCTCGAGCGAGTCTGCCAGCGCCACCCCCACCGAGAGCGCTTCCGAGTCGGCCTCCTCTTCCGCCAACACATCTCCCGTGACTGTTGTGGCTGCCGATGCTTCGGTTTCTGCCGACGTTGCGGTCAAGCGACGAGTTGCCTTCTGGGCCTAAATCCGAGGATAACACATATCCGCCCGTATGATTCTTGATTCTTGACTGTTTCCTTTCCTACAAGTGTGTATATTACGTCTCGCCCCGGTAAAAGAGTGCTAGTCACCTTTTGATTTTGTCACGCCTCTCCTATACGTCTTGGTACGAAGTATTGATTGCTACGATCTGGTGATGTTAGGATCCTCTCCTGTTTTCCTTTGATTTCTACTCTTTTCTTTTTGTTTTGCTGTCATATACAATTGCACTGTGCATATACACGATTACCCTGATTACATATATGGACCTTTACAAATCTATCCGCAGGTTGCACGACAACCGTCCACAGCTACAGTTTAAAGGGGTTTAGTGAAGGTGAGGCTGTTGTAGTGAGGGGCTGCTTACTTTCGCCACCACGGAGATCTCCCATGGTCATGAATCCACTCCCTCCGGCGCCCCCAGGGCGAGGCCCATTGCCTCCGCCTCCGCCTCCTCCTGATCTTCCAGCGGGTCTCTGAGCGCGCTGTGCTGGTCGGGAGGAAGGGTCAGTCCACGAGGCCGGGTTGGCGATAGGCTGTGGTGGAGTTGTCAGCGCCGTGATATCGTCGGGATGTACGAGTACGCACGCTGATGAGCGTCTCGAAGAAGAGGTAGACGATGGTGGCGATGTCGGAGGCCGAGTTGGAGATGCGGTTGTAGAGGGGCTGGGATGTGAGTGTCCCCGAGGAGGATACGTATGGTGTCTTGTTTGACATTGTGTTTGGGTAGCGATGGATGGGCACAAACTCACAATGGTAGTAGGGAGCAGCGACAAAGCAGCGACAAAGCAGCGACCGAGTGGCGTGATGAGGCGGCGCTGTCCGCCATGCACGCGCCCGAGATCAAAACATCAACATAGATACGACGATTCTTTAAGAACCAAGCAAGAATCTCCGGCCTCTCTGTTCTCGTCCATTCCACTCTCTATATCACTGTTGAATCTGTGACAAGGCATACTCGACTCGTCTTCCCGCAGACCCTGATAGACCGACGCTCGGCCCTCTTTCACTTTTTCCCGACCCCTCAGGCTCTCGTCAAGCATCTCGTATAAATCAAAACACTATGGGCGCCAAACCAGTATGTCAAACTCGTATCCCACTACGCCTCGCTGACTGTTGGTGATATGCAGATATCGCGCAAACTCGTCGTGCTCGGAGATGGTGCTTGTGGCAAGGTTTGCATCTTGTCATAAAGGTCGGCGCCAACTGACTCTTGGGTAGACTTCGCTATTGACGGTATTCACCAAAGGTGGGTCATTTCACTGGTATGGTGGGTGCAATGCTGACTGTGGATAGGATACTTTCCCACAACATAGTGCGTAGATGAGCATCTGGTGGGCCTTGCTGACTAGGGGTGCAGCGAACCGACAGTATTTGAGAATTATGTGGAGATGATGGAAGTGGATGACCAGGTAGTCGAGCTGAGTTTGTGGGATACTGCTGGTGAGTGGTTGGATGATTGGCGTGACTGACGCCGGGCAGGACAAGAAGAGTTTGACCGGCTACGCTCGCTTTCCTACGCTGATACGCACTGTGTGATGCTTTGCTTTTCGGTAAGCACAGTCGTGCGGTCGAAGCTGGTTGCTGATACAGTGGCAAGGTGGATTCACCGGTATCGCTGGAGAATACCGAGTCCAAGGTGAGCGCGCTGGCGTATACGCGGGGCACTGCTGACGGCACGCAGTGGATACACGAGATCAACGAGTTTTGCCCCGGGGTCAAGATTATCCTTATCGGTGAGTGTGCTGTTGGAGGGGCGACGGCTGACCGGCGCAGCTCTGAAATGCGACTTGCGAGACGACGACGGCGTAAGAGATAGACTGGCGAGACGGAATCTGCATACAGTGACATACGACGAGGGGCTGGCGACTGCACGGACTATCCGCGCGAGCCGTTACTTGGGTACGCCATGCCGAGCCTTGGAAGGCCCCGCTGACCTCCTTAGAATGCTCTGCCAAGCACAACCGTGGGGTGCGGGAGGCTGTCTACGAGGCTGCGCGGGTGGCGGTCGGGAGCCGGGCGAAGGGTGGGGGCTCAGGGGGGCGGCTGAAAGGGGAGGGATGGAAGGACAAGTGCGTGGTGTTGTAGCGATCTAGTAATGTACTCTACTGCGCTGTTGTGATGCGGTGAACAGGGGCGGAGGGTGCCGCCGAGATAGCGCAGGCACGCGCAGCAGACTATTCTTTCATGGACAACAAATATCTCTTGCTCACACGACCCCCTCTCTCCCTCCGCCCTCCCGATGCCCGACGTTTCTCTTTGTCTCTCCCCGATGCCCCTCGCCCTCCCCTCCCGCCGGACACTCGCCGTCCTCCTCGCCTGGGCGGCCGCCGTCGCCCTCATCCACACCTTCCTCTTCCCCCTCCCCCTCCCCGCCCTCTCCCTCTCGCGGCCCACCGCCCAGCAGCACTTTCTCTCCACCGCCTTCCCCCAGCCCCCACACCGCGAAGGCGACGACCAGGTAGACTCGGTAGACCCCAGATGGCGCCCCTTCCACCCCCTCCCGGCCCCCGAGCCGCCTTTCCCGAGGCTCAGGCCGACCCGCTTCCTCCCCCCAAAGTGTCTCGAGCAGTGGTTCATCGACGGCGAGACCCTCTGCGGCCCCGCCGACTTTGGTGACGAGGAAAAGCTCGACGCCACCTGGCTCTGGGTCAACGGCTCAGACCACAGGTGGCGAGACAGCATGGTCGCATGGCGAACCAAAGAAGACATCTACTCGCCCGAACATCACTTCCGGTACGTCTTGGCGTCGCACTCGGCACTGCGCTGACCCCTCCCAGCGAACAGAACGAGCTCGTCCACTCGATGCGCTCCGTCCTCGACGCCCTCCCCGGCCGCATGCGCACCTTCCACCTCATCCTCGCCGACTACCCCTTCAACTATCCCGAAGACCTCGACCTTGTCCCCGAGTCGGTGCTTCCGCAGCTTGAAACCGCTGCGGCGAGCAGAATCAAGGGCCGTACCCACGCCCGAGATATCCCTGCCGGTCCTTCCCACGACGGCAACCTCACGGAGCGAGTCTCCACCGCCGACATCTCCCCCGCACTGCAAGAGTATCTCAAGGACCAGTGGCGCGTCGTCCAGACACCCACCTGGCTCGACTTTTCCCGCAGAGACCCCTCCAGCCCGTCCCACCCCTTCCACCCCTATTCCGTCACCAAGGAGGGCAAGAGCGCACAGCACCATGCAGAGGCCAACTATCCCACCCTCAGGTATGCTGCGCACTCGGAAATCTTCCACTTGCCTTCTGGCGACCGCGACGGAAGACACTTGGGCGAGGCCGACTGGAGGGAGCAGGAATGGCGCAAAAAGGCCCTGCCGACTTTCAACTCTATGGCCATTGAAGGCAGAATCGGATGGTTGCCCGGACTCGTGAGTTTTGGGTATGATGCGCAGTACTGACTAGCCCAGGCCGATGCTGTGATTGCGCTCAACGACGATTTCTTCCTCCTCCGTCCCCACGCCGTCTCGGATTTCCACTCGCCCCTTTACGGCTCCGTCATTCGATTCGACCACGGCTACAACCAGCAAGTCAAGCCCGACATTGACCGCAACAATATCAACAATGCTGGTGAAATCGGCGGTCTCTACCACGCCAACGCTTTGCTTTCCCAGCGATTCCCCCACCGACTGCGTCCGTACTTTGCCCACGTCCCCAAGACCATCACTAGAGGCTTGCACCACGAGGCGAGCTTGATGTTCAAGGAAGCCATGGCGGACAGTGGCGAGAGGCGATTCAGAGAGATGAAGCTTGGTGACGGTGATGTCCAGATGCAGTGGCTGCTTACTGCGTTAAGAGTAAGCATATCGCTTGGCAAAGGGCTATGGCTGACTTTTACAGGTCGAAAGATGGCGAGAAGCACTCCTCTGGACTTGGGTCGTGACCAATATGGGAACCCGCGGATCCACAAAGGCCCACTGGGACGACAACACTCGATCTGAAATCAAGGACCTCTTTGGCTTTAGCGACGGCGACGACGATGTCGTCAAGATTGAAGTCCACAGAGGCGAGAGGTGGACGCTCGAGAATGGCAGGATGCAAAGGGCGTTCGAGCAGGCTGGTTGGGAGGCGCCCAAGGCCACCGAATTCTTGTGGTGTACGTCTTTTTCGCCCTACACCATACCCATGCTGACGTTATTCAGCTTCGATGGACGGCCCCATGCCCCACCTCCTCAAGGGTGGCAAGGACCCAGAGACAAACAACAAGTGCATGCTCGACCTCAACCGCTGCTTTGGCTCCTTCTGGTCTCGCGGAGAACACGTTGCCTCTGACGACATGTTTAAGCGACTCACTTTCCAGTACCCCGAATGCGGCGACTGCTGTAAGTATGCAAGCACCGCGTAGACGATCACTCACCGTCGGTAGTGACAATGGCTCTGGTCACCGCCTCTGGCCCCCTCGGTCTCTCTGCATTCTTCCCTCCCAAGGACACCACCTTTACCGCCCCCAAGCTCGCGCCCAACGCCGAGTACCCCACATTCCTTCCCCCTCCCCATCTCCCCCTCACGCCCACCTGGCACGAGGCCGATTTCTCTCTCGAGAGCGTCATGACCAGCACCGCCTTGCCCGAAGAAGAGGTCGATCTTCGACAATACTGTATGAAGTTGCTCTCGCGGTATCTGTATCTTGATGGTCCGTCTCTTGTCCCCGCTCGCTATTCCGCGCGCGCTAACCTACAACACAGCCAAATCCGTCTCACACTTTCACATGCTCAAGAATGCCGAACACGCCGGCCGCGTCTTCAAGCAGATCCAAGACACCCCCAGTGTATCGATATTAGGAATGAACGACGACATTGAAGCCGATTACGACGAGACCAAGCGTTTAATGAACGAATGGTTTGAGATGAGGTGGCCCAGGAAGGCGGTATGGGAGAGGGATTGGGATGCGGTCAAGGACCGATATGTGGACTAGATTACTGTTTTGAAACCCCCTAATAGATAGACATTACACTTGTATCTTGCGCATTGATTATCCATACATGATTGAGCTGGTTCTCAATGTCATCATCTCCATGCAGTAGACATTGAACCTGTTGCCATGCAAAATCATTCATACACATTCACGACGCACCAGGCATCGAGTAAAGAAAACTAGTGTATCTTGTAAAACACAGCGGGAGGGGAGGTGCATGACTATAGATGAGGAGTCGTGAAGGAGAACCATGAGACATGATAGTATGAACAGGGTAAAAGATCAAAGCGTGGATAGATACAGAATGTCCGTGAGAACTGTAGGGTATTTTTTGGCGTCGTTTACAAGATCGTTAAAGTACTGTTTAGCAGCTGGCAAGGTTGACTATGCAGACGTCAGTAGCGATCCGATTGGCACAAGGCAAGACTCACGATAGGTACCCAAGTTGTAACCGCTCTTGCCCTGCATCCAGCCGTTGCAGAACTGGTGCAAGTAGTCGAGGTTGTTCTGAGCCGAGCACTCGCCAGTGAGGGCCGCCGCAGTAGCTTCGGCCTGGGTAAGACCGCTGTACCAGCCGTTGTAAGAACCGATAGCCAAAAGAACATTGCCGCCGTTCGAGCTGACGAGGTCGGAAAAGAGCTTGGCAGCACGCTCGATGTTGAAGTCGACATCGTAACAGCTGCGGATATCGATCAGCTGCGGTCATAGGTAACGAAACAAGATTTAAACTTACTTTCCGTCGGGAGCGCCGTCACAGTTATCGGCGGTCAACTGCATGAGACCAGCTTCGCCATTGCCACCAGTGACCGAGGGGTTACAGGTAGACTCTTGCATGGCGAAAGAAGCCAACATGACAGGCTTGACTGCATGAGTGTCAGTGAGGAACAAGCACAACCGGATGCGACTCACCATTGTACTGGGCACCGTAGGTGTTGAACTTGTCAATGTAATCGGCACAGGCAGAGAAGGTTCCGTCGGCGGAAAGCTCGACAGCGATAAGTTGGTCGACGGTGACCATGGGAGGGGTCCAACCGGCGCCGGTCAGACCACAGTTCAGCCAGTCCTCGGACCCGTTGGGCGAGTCAGAGTCGGCATTACTGTAGCCACACGTGCTATCAAGAGTGTCAGGGAAACCGTGCATGAGGACAGGCACACACTCACGAATCAGTGATCTGGAGGAGGCCCGCGAGACCGGCGATGATAGAAGAAGAGCTGGAGCTGGAAGAGCTGGCGGCGGCCGCGGAGGAAGAAGTGCTGGCAGCGCTGGAAGACCAGGCGTCGGCGGAAGACGAGGACCAGGCAGCGGAGGAGGACCAAGCCTCAGAGGAGGACGAGGACCAGGGGGCGGAGGAGGAGGAAGAGTCAGCCTGCACGTGTGGTCAGCGATGGAGCGGTGTGTGGGTGGTGGAGCAAGTCACACAGCCAAAAAATGGCTTACCTGGGGGGCCAAAGCTTCGTTGTTGTTGAGGGTAGCAGACGCAGAGTAGGTGGGCGTGGCAGAAGCGCTCTCGGTCTGGGAAGCAGACGACGACCAGCTGGCAGCAGCGTCGGTGTAGGCAGCAGCGGTCTGAGCCGCTTCGGTGCTAGAGGCAGAAGCAGAGGCAGAGTCCCTGGGTCGGCAGGTGTCGCCCCTCTTTTTCATGTTCTTCTTGATAGCCCTCTTTGCGTTGGCGTGGGCAGTGTTCCTACCCTCGGGAACGACAGCACGGGCACCAGGGTGCTCGACGGTCCGAAGAGAGTTTGCCATGCGGCGATGCCTCAAATGAGGGGGCTGGACAGAGCCGGCGTCGACGAGGGCGAGGAGGGGAAGAAGGGCAGTGAGGAGGGGGAGGGAGTTGGCGAGCATCGTAAAGAGCGTGGTGGCAGTTGGAGGCGCGGGGAGAGAAAGATGAGATGAGAAAGAGAAATGGAGATGGAAATGGGGAGAGGACAACGTTCAAAGGAAGGCCCGTGCAGTCTGAAACGCCGGGTGTCAGGGGGTGGCATTGTATTAGGAATGTATTGGGAATGTATTAGAAATGTATTGGAAATGTATTAGGAGATGCATCAGCTCACTACAACAAGAACGACCGCGGATTACAAGCCGCTAAGCCAAGCTTCCAGGAACAGACAAACATCAGTCGCGCTCTTAGCCCGGGTTAGCACAGGGTCATGCTGGCGTCATGACGAGATCATCCCGGGTATACCAGGGTGCTGCATCGCATCCATCCACCCACCGCTGTCATCCAACAAAGGAGCATGCTCTGGCACCCAGCGCTGACAGGCAGCCCCCTCGCCCTCGACGCTCGTCTTGTGCCACGCCAAGCCCCTTGTCTTGTCACGCTGACGCGCTTACCCCTGTTCCTCGCATGATCGCATCGGCCGCTTGCTGCCACAGATCACTCAACGTGGCACCCGTGATCGGCACAAGTCATGTGTTGCATGGCAAGATGCTATTACGTAGTATCATATGCAGAGGTATATCTTCTATGTTGGGCTATGATACAATGAGCCACGACCTTACACAACTATAATCTATAGCACAACATGTTTCTCGCCTCAATCCTGCTCATCCCCTCGTACCGTCCTCGCATGCAGCTTTTCATCATCTGCGTCTGCCCCATTGACGAACGTTTCACGGGTAGGCGAAGGCGTCGACGGCCAGATCAGAGCCTCCATCCCCGCAAGCCCTTCAATCATCGGGCTAGGTGTATGTGGCGACGGGCCATCTCGAAGGGGTGAGGTAGGAGTAGTCGCTCGAGGCGTGCTCGATTCGACATACTCTACACCATCCGCAAAGGAACTGTCAGACATTGACAGCGTCGACTGCGGCGGGGCGCTCAGCTTGTACACCTGAGTTGCGTCCGGATCCTCCAACGAGTCGTTACCGGCTTCTTCCGGGTCCTTGGCTTCGCCCATGCCGTTCAAGACGTCGGCGCTCCACTCGGAAGAGTCAAAAGGCGATTTGAATGTCGTAGACAAGAGTCTCTGCGCCATCAACGCCTCGTACTCGGGTTCCATCCCGTACCCGCCTCCATCTCCGCCGTCCGCTCCGCCGCCAGAAGCTGCCAGCATCATCTTTTCCAGATCAACAGATTCAGACAGCGGGCTTGGAGGTGGGGCAAACTCGCGTTTCGTCCTCTCGCGCGGTATACGCGGAGTGCCGTTTTTGCGAAGTTTCGTAATGGTATCTTCAAAGTCGCCAGTAGACGAGGTGGTAGACATGCCGGTAGGCTGCGGGGTGAGGCCCATCTGTTTGCGTTCAAGTCTCCGTCGAGCGCGATCTTCGAGAGCAGCTTGTTCTTCTGCTCGAGCCCGGTTCTGAGCTTGGCAGAACTGTGAAAAGTTAGCTTGCCTCGCATCCCTTAAGATTGTTCATACCTTGTAGGAAGACACAAAAGTCCTGAAAATCCCAAAGAACTCTTGACTCTGCATCCCTCTCCCCATATCATCACACTCTCCATAGAACGTCTGCACCTCTTTCAACTTGCGGTCTGCCGCAATGATGCCGTCTCTGACATTTCGCACCCGCTCAGACGAAACGGTGACGAAAATGTTCATCTTGCGTGTATACTGCGAGGTGTCGCCGTCGAATTGCTTGTCGAGGGCGTCGCGAATACGATATATGTCGTCGAGCATGGTTTTCGATGTAGATTGCAGATCCGCATAGTTGACTACAACGAATCAGAACCGGCCCATGAGCAGAATATCATCTACGCACCTCGAGCAGCAGTAGCAGGAATCTCGAGCTCCTTCAAAAACTCGCCGATACTTTGAAAGTGCTGGGATACCGTCTTTTCCAAGAAATGCAGCAAGTTTTGTCCACCACTGGATTTGGTATCCACCAGCTGCGCCACATTGTCAGTCCCGCTTCTCATACAACGCCCACTCACTTTATTGATACTGGCAATCTTGAAACCAAAAGCACCGCCAGCATAATTAGTACCGTTGATGTAATTGCCCATGGTCAGGATCAGTGCAAGCAGAGCCTGGAACTGTTTGGCATCCATCAAGGCATCGCACGCATCCTCAAGCACGGCAAGACTCTGTTTACAGTATGAGCTAGATCTCGACTCGAACCAGAGGCACGCACCTGTTCAAGAAGATCGATATTTTGGGGGAATCGGACCCGGTACAGCATTCCTTTGACACGCTCATTCAGATGAGAAAGCTGGATGAGACGGACCATGAGCCTATCGGCGGGATGCAATTTAGCGAATTGTTCAGGGTCGTCCGCCGAATGCGTGAGGAGTTTACCACGCTTTCATTCGTGTCAGCCACAGCCACTCGAAACCCAAGACTACTCACATCATCATCGTTGGGAAGTACACTCTGTAGCTCATTCAAGAACGCCTCGACGCACAACTCAGAGTCAAACTCGGAGATGGCATTGGCAAGACCCTCGGGATTGTCTTTGTAAGTCTTGGCGAATGGCCCCGAGATGAGAATTTCTGAAACGTCGTCAGGACTGGAACAGTGTCAATCGCGGAAGCACTCACCGATACGCTTTCTGTGATCAGGCGCCAACACACTGATAATCTCTTGCTCCCTTCGCTTCTCTGTAAAATTGTCAGTCAAGCCTTGTCCGTTTACCAACAAGACTCACTGATCGCATCATACATGACTTCCTTTGCCTTGAACTCGTTCTCAATCTCATCCCAGATATTATGCGCCTTCATCATGTTGACCACTTCTTCCTCCATCTTGTCATCCTCTGCCTTTTTCCACACCGTCTTTTCCAATTGCGCCTTGCTGACCTTGTCCCACTGTAGCTGCTTCATTCGCTTACTAGCAATCATGCTAACATCTTTACGCGAGTCGTTTGCACCGTAAAGCAAAGAAGACACAGACTCCAGCGGCGCACGAGACGCAGGATTGGACGAGGGAGCTGCAGGAGGTGGAGGAGGCGGAGGAGGAGGAACGGTCGAGCCAGCGGTCTTTTTGAGCGAGTGACCACCCTTGATACCAGCAAAGACGCTGGACATGTCTGGCGCGCCGGCTGGCACTGCTGCTGGCTTGCGAGGCATGCCTCCAGGCGGGGGCGGGGGAGGAGGAGGCGGGGGGGGGGAGGAGGTGGAGGCGGGGCCATAGAAGAAGTTGGTGCTCGAGCGACGGCTGGACCCAAGAAACCGGGAGGGGGCAAAGGGGGCGGGGGAGGTGGAGGCGGTGGCGGCGGAGCAGCCATACTTGCCGACTCATCGGCAACCTGCGTGGCTAGCATCCGTCCACTCTTTTCCTCGTCTTCCGTCACCGTGGAAAGCGCATTGCCATCCTGTGAGAAATCCTTTTCCAGATCCAAATCATGTTTCAGACTCTTGGCTTTTGACAGCACTTGCAACCTGAAACTATCTCTGCTTCCCGGCGTCTTGAGCACTTCAGACACGCCAGAGGTATACGCAGTATTACGCTCAGTGTATTGAGAGTCACGGTTGTCGGAATCATCATAGTCAGATTCGAGATCGTTGAGCTGAGCGGGAGCTGAAGAACTTCGCGAGATCTGCTTGGCACGTAGCTCGGCCACGAATCGAGGAGGGAAAGCGGAAGGCTTCTTCTGGCCTCGCCAGACAGACTTTTCGCCAATGGGTGGAGCTGCAGGGTCAAAGTTGGCACGTGTGGGCGTGCCAGCGGTGATGACCTCTTGTAGGCGACCTGATCGTGAGGACTGCTGGCCATGGGTGCGCGGGACAGGGGAGACAGAGTCGGCCTCTTGCAACGAGTTCTCGATGTGTAACAGGACGCTGTCGTCGCCGGCATCTTCAAATTGAGATACCGAGACGTGCTTGGCCTTTCCGCCCAGTGTCCTCGATGTCCTCTTTTTCAGGGATCGCCTTTCACCCCTGACGTTGGAAAGAGCCACTTTGGCAGCCTCCAAGACTTCTCCATCCTCGTGCTCCTCCTCCGACTCGTCATCGACGTCGGTTGAGTCCTTTCTTCTCATCGCCCTCTTGAGAGAACTTGACTTCGATCCGTCCTTGCCACGGAACGAGGAGCCGGTGAGCTTCTCAAAGGTTTGGTCATGCGCCTTGTCCTTGTCAATCACCATCTTCCACTCGGTCTCCAACCGCGAAAAGTCGGGGATGTTGGCCATCCCCTCCATACCCCTCGGAAGCTCCAGACCAGCATCGCGGATGATGTTGTAAAGTCTCTGGAGCCAGAGACGGAGCTCATGTAAACGCTTTTCATAGTCTTTGCGCATACCCTCCTTCTCATCAAGAGCGGCTTCCATAGCCACACGCGAGTTGTAGAGCTTCTTCTCCAGCTCGGTGATCTGCGCCTTGAGGCGACCGACGAGACCGTCGTTCCCCGCAGAAATTTCGTCCTGGAGGTCCTCGCGCTCGTAGGTGAGTCTCTCATTGGTAGCTCTGAGCTCCTTGACTTCGGCCATGGCTTCGTCATATGCCTTATTTTCGGCAAGTTTACCAAGGACATAGTTGATTGAGCGATGAAAAGCACTTTCAAACTCGCCATGCAGATCTGGCGAAGCTCCCATGACGATGGTCGAGGTCAGCTCGCTCAAGAGCTGGAAATATCTCGGTCTCTCGTCACCCTCCGCATCGATGAGGACAAAGTGCCGCAAGATGTCTAGCAGGTAAAGACCCTCTGTCTTGCCCTTGGTCTTTTCGAGAAGCATCCCGATGATTTGCTCCGGGCTTCGCAGCTTTTTGAGATCAGACTCCTTCTTGCTATCTACGAGATTCGCCATGTCGTTTCGGGCATTCTCTTCGTAAATGTCGAGCTGCATATTGATTTCCGGATCTCGTAGTTGCCGTAAGCGAGCGACGACGAGGGGAGCGCCAGAAAGCTCGAGTTGCCAGCGGATAGATTCTCTGGTCTTGGCGTCGTTGGAAGAGGGTAAAGAGACAAGGAGAAGAACCATGGTACGGCAATACTCGAGCACGTCCAAGCCTTTGACGAGGGGGTGTGCGCGAACTTTGCTTCCCATCGGCCCTTGCTTTTCGAGAACTTCTGCCAATTGTGACATCCACAAGCTGAACCGCTCGACTTTTTTTCGAATGTCCAGCACACCCTGGTTGACCCTTTCTTTCAATTCGTCAAACGCCGTGTAGACGACAGCAAGACCAGGTTTGTCTCCGTTGGATTCGCTGATCTGACAGAGGACCGTCAATATCTGGGCAGCCCACATTCGACAGTTCATGTTGGAACATGTGAGATAGAGGATGATCCGTTCAATGGTGCGTGGTTTGGTCACTGCGTCGTTGCAGCCAATCTGAAATGTGTCAGCTATCGCCTGGAGGCTCGCGATAGGGCACTCACTCGGTGTTTACATATAGACCGATTGAGACAGTGCATTAGACCTTCGTCCTTGGCCGAGGGTTGTTCACAGACACCGTTGGTATAGGTCAATTTGGTCAGGACATTGCCTAGAGCTGCCTGGCCCTGGTGGTCCATAAAGTTTTGGATCCAACTACAACGCCGTCAGTCAAAAACCTCTCGTTCACAAGCAGACTCACTCTAAAGTCTCTGTTCTCAAGCTGATTTCCAACGAAGACAGCAAGGCAGGAGTCAAAGCGTCTCTGTTGAACAGCTGGCTCAAAAAGTATTCTACCGAGCCCTTATCTCCCTTGTCTCCTTTGGTAGCCCGTTTGCCAGCAACCCTAGGCGTCTCTTGCTTACGACCCCCGGGAGCATTAGGCCGTGATCTCCAATATTGCTGGACAAGCATCCACTTTGACTCTACAGGCACTTGTGCCGCAGACATGGCTGCTCTCGACGTTGAGGACGACGCTGAAGATCTCAGAGAGGGGTTTGGTGAAGCGGTATGGTTTGATGAAGGGTCTAAATCGGTATTTTGGAGAAGATGGCGATACCACTCTTCAATGACCTGGTCGGATGGACGCTGCCACTCGTCTCTACCTTGTAAAGGCGCAGGAATGGTGAATGTTGTCATATGGGGCTGAGGAGATTGTGTGGGAGTGGTACGCCCATCTGATTCTCTTTGTGTCGTGTACTGTTGCCGCGAAGGGCCTAGAGGATAGCCCAGTGGATACCGTCCCGGATCTGTGTCTTCGACATGAATGCGCGACCTTTGACTTGCCATAGACGACACTGTATGTACGCTGGCAGTCTCTGGGTTTCTCTGTCCCATTGCGGCGTAGGGGTGGACATACGACCTGCCCCCAAACTCTTGTGTCGGGGTGTGACTACGCTGGATAGCCGAGGCGGCACCTGCGCTAGAGACAGAGTCGTAGTAGGGGCTCACTGAGCGCTGCAGCATTTCCTGATGCCCGTCCCCAGACCTCGAGCTATAGCTGCTCTCATGTCTCCCTGGGTCTGTCACGTTGGACATCCTTGGTCTATCCCCGCCGCCGCCCCCGGCACCAGCGCCCGCCATGTCATCCCCTGTCCGCCGCCTCTTTGGGGTATCAGGGGGCGGCGCCGGGCGTGCCATGGCCCCATACGTCCTCGAGTTTGCATTCAGTGGTGTGCCATCGTCGGTGAGGGTGGGGTTGGTGTTGGGGGCGCTGACGAGCTTGGAATTGTCCGACCTGGATGTGGACGGGCCTGCGATGGGCGGGGGTCCCGAGGTGAGCTGGCTGTAGGGGACAGCGACGAGGTTGGTGGGGGAGGTGGCAGAGGAGGAGTTGGATGACCTGTGGCGCTGTTTCTTGCCGAAGAGGGAGGCCATCGCGTGGACGAGGAGAAGAACAGCAAGAGATGATAAAGAACGACGCGAAAACGCGGGCCCGCGCGCATCTCCTCTTGCATCCACATAGCCATGTCCTTCTACCTCGCCATCGTGTCCCCCACCGACTCGCCGCTCTACCAGCTCTCCTTTTCCTCGTCAAGACCGCCAGCACCCTCCGCAGCCTCCCCGTCTTCCTCGTCATTCCCGTCATGGTCTACATTTACCGCTCCCAACGGCGCAGACAATACAGCGGCCGCGGACGGTGCGCGAGGTAGATTAACGGGGGCTCTGCTCGAATCAAAGAGTGCGCCAGAGAGGGATAGGGCCATATGCCAGATGATAGCGCATATGAGCCTGGATAGTGTGGAAGAGGTCATGGAAGGAACTGGGGCATTGTAGGTGGGGAGATCCATATCGCCGGGTCACTGACATGGTGCAGGTATATAAAAAACGTGGACAGACATAACGAGTGGATCGTCTCGGCCTTCTTGCCGACAGGAGGTAAGTTGAGCGCTGCAAAGACATGGCTGATGTATAGTGAAATTCATTCTCCTGCATGATGTCAAGAATGACGACGGCATTCGAACATTTTTCGTTGAGCTTTGGGAGATATATATCAAGGTGAGTATGATTCATGTGAGCTTGCCTAACCTTCCACAGGTTCTCATGAACCCGTTCCACACCGTCAACACTTTTATAACCAGTCCAGCATTTGAGGCGCGAATCAAGGCGATAGCAAAGAAGCACCTGTAGACACATTGTATGATGAAGGGATTCATGAGGTATACTCCAGTATATGCGATTACTTTTGACGTTGTAATTTTGCGAGTCTAGGCAAATTCCTCGGCCTTGCCGGACTAGAGGAGGGGTCAGCTCATGGCGCAGATGGTGACGGGCCAAGCTCACGACAAGGAGACCGACTGTTATCAACATTAGTAGACATTCTCTTCAAACGCTGAATCCAAGACTCACCAATGAGGCCGAACAGACCAAGGACAGAGCCAAAGATCTACAGGCATTAGTACAGTGACGCATTCGTCGACGACCAGGCCTACCTCAACGATCAGAATTTTGACAAACAACTGAGGGTCGGCTGCGTCCGCCACAGCAGCAGTCGATCCAGTGATACCGACAGACACACCACACAGCAGATTGCATACACCAACAGCGAGGCCTCCCCAGAAGAGGGCAAACCCTGTCTCCGCGTTAGCTATGAGGACTCGACGTGGATCCGAGCGCACCAGTGTAATAGTTATTCGTGGTATAGATATCTTGCACGTCGCCAGTAATTTTGGCAGAAAAGACAATGGCCATGATGACACCTGTCCATATGTAAGTTGCGAAGCTTGCAGTCCCATGGCCAATACACACCGTAGATGGCAACGACCTCACAGAAGATGATACTAATCCTGGTCAGCACCGCCTTGATCGCCATGAGTAGCCACCCACGAGATCAAATTTTTGGTTCTGATCCTCGGTGCCCGCACACCACCTCCCAGGATGGAAGCACCGGTCACAAAGATACCCCTTTGCAATGATCAGCTCCTTTATCCTGTCCCCAGTCTACGATCTTCAACTCACCAAGCAGCACCAGACACACTCAGACCAATACAGAGTCCGATGCCTACAAGAGCCCAAGCATACGGAGAGCTCTCTGCGAGGAAGCGGCCGACATTGAAGCTCTCGCCTTGGCCTGTAGAGGGGGTCAGCTGAGACGTGGGCGGGGACGGGGACGCATACCGGTGAAGAGGAGGTAGAGGCCGATGAGGACGGCGGAGGAGGTGGAGAGGTAGAGGAGGGGATAGGGAATGGGCATGGTGGATGAGCTGGAGAAAGAGGAGATGATGCATATCGCATGTGGTGGTGGGCGCTGCGGCGATGTCCGCCGATCCGCTCCGGCTCGCCTTGTTGTTGCCTCCAATCTCACTCTTCTCCTGCAATTGTGCACACACTCGCCATGCCCCCCGCCGCCTCAGGTATGCCCCCAGACGCCCCACGGCCCCGCTCACCACCCGCAGAAACCGCTTCTCTTAAGCGTATGAGGGAAGGCTCCCTCGTATGTCGCCTCACTATCCCGCACCACCCTTCACTCACCTTCACTTAGGAGCCCGTTCACGTCGAAGAGGCATCTTCTGCCTTGTCTGCAAAGAAGAATCGCGTGGCATCCTCAACTTCCGGCTCGGCTGAGAACTCGGCAGAGCAAATCCAGGAGGAAGACAATGAAGACAAGGACTCGGACAGGTCGGGCGATGAGAAGAATGTCGGAGAGGTCAGGAAGAAAGTAGAGAAGCTGAGTCACGAAGAAAAGATCAAGGCTTCCGAATCCCCTAGCCCCGAACACCAGGACTCGGCAGTGCCGATCGAGGAGGAGGAGAAGGCAGCGGGAGGTGAGGTTGATGGGTCCAAGGGTGAGGGGTTGAAGCGAAAGGCCCTGGATCGGAATGAAACATCATTCCCACAGGTTCAAGATGATGTTTCCTCCAAGCGACAAAAGGATACGCCTTCTGTAAGCTCCCCTTTTTTGCCTTGTCAGCTGCTGATCTCCAGTAGCCCACGGAAGACAAACCGGCGCCGCCCAAGAAACAGCCCACCTTTGCTTCCTTTGCCTCTTCCTCTTCCCCGTTCGCCTCCACTACCAAGACTGCCTCACCTGCACCAGAGCTCGAGGGCGCCACACCTTCTGCCGTTGAGGACAGCGTCGCCGTTGCCCAGAAAAAGCCGGCTACTTTCGGCGATTTCGCCAACAAATCGCCATTTGGCTCAGCCAAACCTACGCCGTCTGCTACTCCCAAATCCGAGACTTCTCAATCAACATCTGATCCTGCCGTTGAACCTCCCAAGAAGCCTCAAAGCACTTTCTCCTCGTTCTCCGCATCCTCCTCCCCCTTCGGCGCCAAACCGAAGCAGCCGTCTGCCTTCTCGGCTCCGCTTTCCAAAACCAGCGCCTTTGGCAACTATTCCACTACTGCCTCTGCTTTCGGAGGCGGCAACAAGGCAGACCACGAAAAGGTCTCGGAAGAAGGAAAGAAGAACTTTGGTGAGATTCTTAAAGACACCACGGAGGATCTGGGTTTGGCCAAGGAAAAGGTCAACATGCAAGAGCAAGATGGTAGGTTTCAAGATATTGACCTGTCAAACACGTGCTCATTCTGCCCCATAGTCACGACCGGAGAGGAAGATGAAGATACCGTCTTCCAAGTCCGGGCCAAGTTGTTTGTCAACGAAAAAGGGTGGAAGGAGCGCGGGATCGGACTTTTGAGAGTGAATGTGAGGAGAAATGACGGCAGCGGCGCGCGACTAGGTACTTTTTCCCGCCAAAGTCACCAGAGATTATGCTGACTGTACAGTGATGCGGGCGGACGGTGTCTTGAGGTTGCTGTTGAATTCCAAGCTTTACAAAGGCCTGAATCCTACGGTCGAGGGCAAGACGGTGCTCATGACTTTGCCAAACGTTGGCGAGAACAAGATGGCCATCATCTGTCTTCGTGTGAGTCTACTGCAAACCTAGTTGACCTTGGCTCACGTTATTAAAGCTGTCCAACGCCAAGTCGGCGGAAGACCTCGCCGACCACATCCACGAGCATATTCCTCTCGACAACCCCTCTCCATCCAAATCACCACAACCCGAAGTCTAAATACTTTGTCCAGACGGCGTAGATCTATTTGATGACCATAATATGCACGGGTAGAGAGGCTCGGAGCTATACGACTTTTGATCTGTGTCTTTGCATACTTTCTGATGTATTAGCGTACTATTAACGTCTGGTTCAATGGTGGCGCGTCTTGCAAGCTCATCTGCAGGAGATATACAAAGCTGATACTATTACACTTCAAAGCACTATATTGAACACGCCAACGAGCACAACACGCCAACGAGCACAACACGCCAACGAGCACAAGAGTAAAAGAATTTATACTCTAGATTCTGTCACCCTCGGCCGTCCTTGCACTGTTCCCAACTTCGCTATCTGAATGATGATGGCGTTCCTCCATCATCAGTGGCAGTGGCCTGAAAGACGCCAAGTCGGCAGGTGAGGCGTACAGAGAGGTGGGCCTCGAACGAGGGGAAGCGAAGCTAGTCTCATATTAATGCACGCTCAAGAACATTGCGTTAGACGTACCCTTCTCCTGGCTCTACGCCCGTTCTCCCACGTCTCGTGCTCTCACCCAGCGCAGCTGGTGCACTCCTCAGTTCGTCTGTAAAGCTCTTCTTTTCCCAAGTCTTGCTCAACTTGGGCTTGTTCACCAATGTATGGAACAGCCTCTTTGAGAGAGGAATTTGCTCGCCACCCGAAGCCGGAGTAGTGGGCGCTGTGGCTGCCGTCTTTGGTGGTGGGGCAGGGGGCACGCTTGACTCGTCTTGAGGGACCATGGGCTCCTGAGTACGGGGGCGGGTACGAGCAACAGGAGGCAACATTGGCTCTATCTCCCTCTGCCTCTCTCCATGCTCTGTACTCTCTCGCGCGCCAAGCTGAGGTCCGTATTGCCCTCGACCCCTGTTCATCACCATCTTGTCAGGAGAGGGCGAAGGGTGTCTGTGGTCTCTCGGAGATTGCATTTGCGAGGGCGATCCAGAGGTGACAGTGAATCGCTCTGCAGAGTAGGGGCTGTTCGAAGGCATATGGTGGGAGAGGCCAGTAACGTGCTGTTTATAGGGAGTGGCGAGAGAGGGCTGGGGAAGAGGAGGGTGTGTTGCCATGCTGGGTAGACTGACGTGGAGAGATGCAGTCAAAGATTTGCTGGGTGCAGCAAAAAGGCCGGGCAATGACGCTGTTTGTTGATGCGAGACGACGGGGTGGCTTTTGCGCTGTGTACGGGGTCAGTGCTGTTCCGGCGCAGGTTGACTCGCCGTACAAGACCAACACAGATGGAGATGGGGAATCAGATGCGAATGAAGAAGAAATATATGGTGCGAAGGTGGATGCGGCCTGGCGAATGAGAAGGACAAAAAGGCAGCTCCGTCAACGGTGTGTGATGAGATGGTGAGTGGCAAGTTGATTGATGCCCTTGCGGTTCTTTCCCCAGCCCCATCACTGCTTGTCCACTCTGGACAGAGGGTGTACACATTAGCCAGCTCATGCAGGGGTATGGTATCCATGGAGTTTAAAGATAACAGCTGCATGTAAACAGAGGAAAATCAACAGCATGTACCATTCCCGTGGAAGAGGCGTTCCTGTGGAAAAGGCGCAACCGGCAACATCCGACAAGTGGAAACGTACGCGACGGCTCACCGCTCCCGGCTGGGCTTGCTAGAATATGACAATTTGATGATCGGCCATAAGATGCATAGTCCTGAAGACTCACGAGGAAAGGAAACAAAGGGTACGAGGAAAAAAAATGGCGAAAAAAAAAAAGCCCAGCCATCTCAATCACCATCTTCTCAAGGAAGATAATGATCAAGATGACTGGGCGAATAATCGGCAACAAGCTGTCCTTGAAAAGGCCAAAAAGCTGTCGGTAGAAGAGGTAGATGATGGTATGATAGATGCGAGAGCGCGCAAGAAGAGAGGCAAAAGGGAAAAAGCCAAGTGTCAACGACTTCCAACTGGACATTTCGGCAACGCTTACGAACCCTTGTTTGTTGACACAAAGCGTCTTCCCCCCAGTTTCCAGCTTCTCTTGATAACAGCGCTCGGCGTGGAAGACACCCCGAGGCGAAGCGACGATACCTGAACCTATCGTCAGGGTTAGGGTGTGGAACCAGCAACGAAACCGTCAAACACAAGTGAAAGCACCGTTGGATGTCAGACACAGATGTCAGAGAGGGAGACGAGTAAACATGATACACGTTAGTGACAAGGATCCCAACGCCACTTGAATAACCTGGCTGCGTTCGCCAACAGCTAGCACTCCGAATGAACACCGCAGGTGAACAAACATCAATGGAGCGTGCGTTGACGGGCACACACAGGCGGGGGAAGGCAATCCAGGTCGATGCAGTGCAACGATAGCAGCAGGCAATGTTCCGAGCAGACAGTGTTCCGAATCAGAATCGTCGCCCAATATGCAAGCTTTCCCACTCAATGGCAGCGTTGACGTGATCGTGGCGATCAGTGCGAAAAACCAAGAGCTGATAGACGAGCACAGAGGACGGTGGCGAGTGGCAAGGACCGGAACCGGTTGCTGCTGCTGGGACGTCGACAGATGATGTCGGCCGGCTGGAAAAAACAGATGACAGTAACTGTGCTGGCGCGCAGTCCAAGATACCTCACCTGATGAAGAGAAGAAGCAAGACAGGTGTCAACACTCTGAATCCACAAGGACCGGGGGTCATGATAGGCTTACAGGGGGCGATCCCTATCCCGCTTCTGTGTTTCTCATGGGTTTTTGTCGAGGGTGCGCATTGTGCGCGTTTTGAATGAGCCTTGAGGTGAGCCGTATTGAAGTGGCGGCAGAAGTTGTCGAGAGTTGCGGATGGATGGGGAAAAGAGAAATGCGACGAGAATGCGGGGTGTTTATATGCAGCGGCCGCGATCGGTGGCAATTTCAAATTCAAACAGCGCCCTGAGCCCTTTGTTTGGAATTGCCCCTTTGGGAACGGCGAAAGGCGATACAAATCAGAGTGGCACCCGCGGCGGCGATGTCCGAGCGTGGCACTTGTCATCACACAGCATGCATGATCATCTACACTTTGCATGTCCCTTGGAACTAGCTGGGGAGCGCTGAGCATGGCCCTATATGTATTACATGTACGCAAGCACGTGCATGGCTGCGTGGATCTTGCGCCCTCCACGGATGAGAGCCCAGCTCATCGAAGCCAGGTATGATCTGGGTGGAAGCAGTAATCACTTTTGGTTGCCCGCGGCGACGACAGAGTTCCGAGTGCTTGTACAGTCAGATGGAATCCACATATTACCACGGCACTCACAGGTTCTCCACGTATAGACTGAGGGTCTCGTTCTCCCGGGCCAACTTGTCATTCTCTCCTTCCACCTCCGACACCCTGACCATAAGCCCTCTCAGACCGTCCCTCAAAGTCAAAATATCTTTGAGAATCTTCTCCTTTTCGAGAGCAGATTCAACGCTCGGTTCTGGAGCAGCCGAGGGTTCTGGTGTAGCCCATGGCTCTCCAACCCCTTCGCCGTAGTTTGCAAACGACATAGAACGGCACGCTCTGGGTATTAGGCAGAGTTTACTGTAGCTGGCAGACAGAGTCCAGAAGGCTAAATGGTACTGCAGGGATGTTGATGTTCGCAATAGGGTCGAAGAAACGGAGAGAAAACACTTCATGCAATATGCTGAGGAGTGGACGATCGGGATCGGATGGCCGCCGCGCGTTGCGGAGTTACGTAACCAGGTAATGGTGGAGGCGAGCTGCTGAGCTGCTGGGATAGCAGTCTCCTATTCTCGGATCACCACCGTGTTGTCAACTATCTCAGACCCACCCCGCCATGTCGACGACTGCGAGAAAGACATTCGAAATCAACAATGATGTTCAAGTGCGCCCTTTCCTCCTTCAAGGTGGGAAACATGACTGACCTGGACTCGCAGACTCTAGACCCGTCGGCGGCTATCTTCCAGTACGGCCGCGAAGAGGAGAGTGCCCTCGAGAACAGTGCTCCTTGGAAGAATGAGTGCGCCGTCAGCTCCCTCTTCGTTTCTGAACTGACATGTGATATAGCCCACATTACTTTCACACTGTCAAGATATCTGCCATTTCTCTAATCAAAATGGCATGTGCCCCTGTCGTCTTGAGACACGCTGATGGCCCTCCAGGTGACTCACGCCCGCTCGGGAGGCCTCTACGAGATCATGGGAGTGATGTATGGCAAAGTACGAGATGGCACTTTCTGGATCATGGACGTCGCCGCTCTTCCCGTCCAGGGTACGGAAACCCGAGTGAACGCTGGTAACGAGGTATGTTCGCGTCATACGATCAATGACCGTTGTTCTGACTCTTGGCCAGGCAATGGAGTACATGGTCAACTTTCAGGAGTCCAACAGGGAAGCTGGCAAGGGTGAGCTTCTACGAGGTTGGTATCATTCGTAAGTGTTTCCTACTCGCAGCCTTATACGTGTACTGACCTGCCATAGACATCCCGGCTACGGCTGCTGGCTTTCCGGTATCGACGTCAACACTCAAATGACGAATCAGACCTTCAACGATCCATACCTCGCCGTCGTGGTGGGTCTAGTCGTGGCGTAGACGATAGCGGCTGACCTGCTCGCAGATCGACCCCAACAGGACTGTCTCTGCAGGGAAGGTTGAGATTGGCGCGTTCCGCACCTACCCCGAAGTGAGTAGTATCTCGCGTCACTATTCTATGACTGACTATCCTATTAGAACTACTCCCCGCCGTCCGCCGGCAAATCTCAATACCAGTCTATCCCGATGGACAAAATCGAAGACTTTGGTGTCCACGCCGCATCTTACTACCCTCTCAAGGTTGAAATCTACAAGAGCAGATTGGACGAAAAGATGCTTGATCTGTTGTGGAACAAGTATTGGGTCGCAACCCTCAGTTCCAATTCTCTGGTTTCGGTGGGCCACTTGCGCGATCAAAGTAGGCCTTATTTTGACGTTGTGATTAGAACCTCGAGTACAACACCTCCCAGGTCAAGGACCTCAATGCCAAACTCCAAGATGCTACCTCAAACCTTTCTACCTCTTCTGCAAAACTGAAGCTGAAACCCGCCGATGCTTCCAAATCGACATCCGGCAAGGGCAAGGAGAAGGAACCGGAAGAAGTTGAAGAAGAGGAAACCCCTTTGAGCAAAGTGGCAAAGTATAGGTGGGTGCTCGGTCAATTTTCATGGCTGTAGCTAACGCCTTCCAGTACCCACATCACTCAAGAAGCGCACAATGGCATTGTGTCTCAGCTTCTCAAAGAAAAGTTGTTCAGCACACCGCTATCGCGGCCAGTGGGCGAAGAAGCGGCATTGGCGGCGGTCCAGGGGAAGCAGGTGGTGCGCCTGTAGAACCAGTATCACGAAAAAGTAGACGAGCTGGCTAGACACTGCATGTATCATATCACGTTATACACACTGCATCAGCCAGACAGATAGGCGCAACCTCAGCGGACTTCGCCGCCGCCCCGCGTGTCACGCCGCCAGGACCCGGCGTGAGTACAGGGTTGTGAGTTCACGCAGCAAGTGTCGAATCCCTCCGCACATCTCCTCTTTTCTGACTCCCAGCGCCCTCGCCCCAACGCAGCCCCCCTCTTCCCCCCAGCCCCAGCTTCCCGCCCTTCACGCCCAGCTTCACAGCGGCCAGTGCGCACCATACTTATCTGCAGCTCCTGTCATTGCCAGCAAAATGGGCATTCGAGGCTTCGATGGTGAGTGCGCATCGCTGTTCGGCATCATTCTCATCATCAGCAGTCTATCTCAAGGAGAGAAAGCTCCTACAGAGTTGCCCCATCTCCCACCTCGCCAACACCCGAATCGGCATTGATGCCTCCTACTATATCAACCACCTCCTGACCGACCCGGCTACTCGAGAACCTCTCGTTGCTGCCACAGGTGGTATACCTTATTCGATCATCCAAAAGATTGAAACTGATCTTCGCGCTCTCGAGCATCGATCCATCAAACCTGTCTTCGTCTTTGCGGGTCTTCCATTGGCCGCCAAGGAACCGGTCAAGTTGCCCGACCAGAAGGCCGAGAGGGAGAATGTGGCAAAGAATGAAGCCTGGGCTCTGTACGACCAAGGGGAACCTCTCCTCGCTGTCGACAAGCTCAACTCATTCAATGGAGGAAATTATGTCGATCAGAGAGATCTGTTAAGGTCAATCTTGCGGCTGTTTAGACATCGCTTCGTGGAGTATGTGATTGCGCCTTATTCAAGCCACGCACAGGTGAGTCATCTCCAACGCGATCAGAACTGATGTCAGCTTGCATACCTTTTGCAACACCCCAAAGGGTATATCCACGCCATCTATTCCTCCAGCGAGTGCCTCATGTGGCCAGTCGAGCGAGTGATAACGTCCAGCGACTGGTCAACAACTTTCCAATTTGCCGACAAGGTGCGAATACTCAACGACATCAACTTGTCCAGCGAGCAATTTCTCGACATGGGCCTTCTTTGCGGCTCGACCTTGTTACGCACCATGCCTCTCCCCACTCCCGAATTCTCCTTGAAGATGATTAGCGACTTTGTCCGTCACCACAAATCCGGGCTGGCCGTTTGTCAGAACCTCCCTCATATCCCATATAAGACCCAATCATATACCGAATCCTTCTGGAAGGCACGCCTGGCAATCAAGTTCTCGCTCGTGTTGACGACCGAGGGACAATGTGTACCTTTGCCTACCGTGATAGCTCCTCAGCAACAGGCCTTCACCGTACAGGATGTCCCCGCCGACCTTGAGGATATATTCTCTCCAAAGCTCCCCGACGAGATCTATTTCTACATTTGTCGTGGTATCATCTCGACCCAAGTCGTCGGCTGGGTATCGAGCGGTACGATCGTCGAGCAGCAACCTCTTCTAGAGACCAACGAGTACAGGCGCTTCATCAAGGACGTCATCACCGAAGGGCCCACCTCGCCTCGATGCACAACTATCGCTTTGCTTTTGGACTGCATGCACCGGGAGTGGTCAAGCAAGCGCATTGTGAGTAGATCATACTTGCGTGGAACAGTGCTGACAATGACAGAACGTCCAATACTGGTTTGACCCGTATGTCACAGGAAACAATCGCGGCAACAATCAAGTCCCGTACTCGGATCCCCTCACGCAATCGTTGATCGCCAGGTGCCAAGACTGGATGGTTCCCATGTTCAGCTTGGAAATGGAGCTGAGGCGACAGAATGTACGCATGCCAGTCCCTGAGCTGTACCGAGCTGACAATACCACCTACAGTCGTCTACCATCGACTTGAAACTCTGCCTTGGTGCTTTGGCCACTGAGGATCTGGTCAACAAGACTTTCAAGCCCAAGGGTGATCGGACACTGGACAAAAAGGATGAAGTAGTCGCCAACTCTGTCTGGAGATTCTTGGAGGTTCGAGGGTGAGTCGAGCTCTGTTTCTTCGAGCAAATGACTCACAATTCTGTAGCTTCGTTCAGCAAAACCACACGCACTCTTCCATCGGCAAAGCCTTGCACGCTGCCTACGATATATCAAAGATCAACGACCGTTTCCAAGAGCCTCTCTATCTAATCCTTGAGCTTCTACGATCAGGTGTTGTCCATGGCGAGAAGTGGGGAGGCCCGTCCGCTGCGCCTCTTCCTGGCGGGCCCAGCTTTGGTGAGAACGACGAACAGAATACCGTCAGGCTTGTCATGAGATGCATCAGCGTCCTGCCTTTGACAAACAGGGTAAGTCCATAGGCGCGGTTGCAGATTTTTTGCTGACCATCTCAGCCTCAACAATGGGTGGGGCCACTGTCGCAAGAGTTGTTGGCTTTCAATTCCTTTGTCAAGGCGCTGTCAAAGTCTCTTCGTCAGCTCTTCGAGTCTGTCAGCTGTCATCTTCTCCTCTCGGGGGATGGCAGGCGCAACCGCGATGACTTTAACGACATTATGATCAGTATGTTCTCGGCCACTTTTGCACCCATACGTGTGCTGACACGAGCCCAGGCCTTCCTTTCCAGACTGATGTAAACACTGGGTTCGGTATCCTGGCCAAGAGCTACCTTGATGCCACGGCTTACCACAACGACGGCGAGTTTGTTACAGAGGCAACTGCTGCGTCGGAAAAGTCCAAGGCTGCCAAGCGCGAAGCCATAGCCTTTGTGGAAGCCAACTTTTCTAGCGTCAGAAATCCTGTCCAAGAGCTTGACCGTGGATTCCGCTTCTGGGACACGGTGAGTTTGACTTTTCGCTGCGTAGGGTTCACAAAGACATGTCGCTGACATCGGATAGGTCATGGTTGCCATTCGCACTCTTGCGCAGGCTCAAGGCCCCACCCCTACCCTGGCTCAGACGGTGGTTGGGAAGGATGTGATTGAACAATTCGAGAGAGCAGACAGATGGTTGAAGCCTATGCGACCGTAGATTGCAGTATGGACGGGGCCGGATTACGGATGACATGTGGTCTAGGGTTGATGGGCTCGGTTGATGACCCTCACGGCTCGATTGTAACGAACATGCATTATCACAGTTATGTGAGTATGTATGTGCAAAGTTCCCTGTTTGGATCACAATGCCACAATGCTATCCATGATACGCGCCCGCTGACCCGGAGATGTCACCCTCGTGCGGTTTGAGTCAACATCGCGTATCGATCAATGTTATCTACGACTCAAGACATGGGTGTCACAAGTGAGCGTCTATAATATGGGCTGGGCTTGTTGTGGTGAGATTGCAATTATATTAGCAGGTAGCGGTGGGAGTCTGACATGTTGCATGTGGCTTGTGGCTGGTCGAGTGGCGATGACGACGCAGAGTGCACTGGAGGCCGGATGCGAGACTCTTGTTGGTCGTGCGATGTACAAATACAGACATTTGTTACCTGTTTGGGTCCACAGCGCCACACACTCGACGTACTCTTGTTTTTCTGTGAGCGACGCTAAGAGTCCTGAAAACTACCCGCAGATAATTTTTGGTCCATGCTCATATTGCGCGTCGCGCGTCGCAAGGCAAGTCGCAGACCTCGCAGGTCGGTCGCAGGGATCGCAGGCCTCGCAGGCCTCGCAGGCCAAAAGACCAAGAGAATGTGGATCCTGAATCTCTTTGGATACTCGATTCTCGATAAATACGCCGACCCCATCTGATTAGCGCACTAGATTTTCTTATCATCGGCGCTTTCCTCGTTCCTCAGACGGCCAGAGTTACCATCTATGCTCAATATGGACGAATTAGCTTGCTATTTGCTACTAAATTGCCGGTTCCGAGCGGGCACCGGCAACTTTATCTGCGAGGTGGAAAGAACAGGGAAGAATGGTATAGGCGAAGAACTTTATCTCACGCCTTGTTTTGCTCTAGCGGGCGCGGAAGATGGACAGACCGACTGTTAGCCATTGGCCTGCTTACGTGCGAATACATTGCTTAGATGGTGTTTGGAAACTTTGGAGTATTGTTATCGAGAGCACAGCGAACTCATCCGCCACGTCGAGCGCCTCAAGTCTGACCTGCTGCCTCTCGCAATATTACATATGCTTCTGTCAGCATCGCGGTGATTTGTGATATCTATGACCTGAGCCTGTGGCCCCCGAGGTTTCTTGTACACTCTGTGAAGTCAAGACGCAACATGATAAAGCCGATGGCGACCGACAAGACACCGATGATCGCTGTGTAAAAACATTTGCAGTGGCGTTGATGCATCATTCCCTGTGGCCTAATAATGGGCCCTATGGGTGCTCTGAGCTCTGCTGCATCTGTATGTCTGTGACCTCTGTCGCCGAGGAGGCCGAAGGAAGGATAAGCTGAACACGCCGCAGAGGAATTTAGGAAGTTTATCTTTTTACGCGAATGCTTCTTGTCGTCGGCCGTCGGCCATGTCCTCTCCGTGTGCTGCTTCTAGCTTCTGGAGCTTTTCTGGCATCTGGATGGTGCTTGTGCTGAGTCTTGTACCTGACCCTGTGCCACATGGGTCTCATTCTCATTTCAAGAAAATTCAAAGATGGAGGCAGGCAGTCGACAGTTGACAGTCGACAAACTGGCCGGACATGCATGCCCGGCCTCACAATTGACTGCCGGGGATAGCTTAGGACGTATGAGGGGGCCGGAAATACACAAAAGGGAGTATCATCATCATCGCTGAAGAAGGCTAGGCTATGTATTTCAAGAGTTCGAGGACCAGGGTGGGTTGAACAAGTCTGCAATCCACCACCGCCCGTGGATCATGAATCTGTGGTTTCCAACGCAATACGCAAGAGGAGAGACAAAAGGCGTGCGACGCCGGCCGCCAAGTCGCACGAGGTCGCCACTGAGCGCACAGCCGAAGCGAATAGGAGGAAGCCCAAAGCTGACACATTCACAGACGCCGGACCGAATCATTCGCCGCGAAACCGAGCATAATGTCTGCAAAAGCTCCGTCCAACTGTCATCCCGCTCTCTGGCCTGCCTCTCTGGCATGACTTTTTGAGGCGCAACAGCAAGGCGGTTATGGGAGGCCATTGGTCCAGACACGTTCATTACTTCTTTCATTAGCCTAATGCAGACACTGCATATGATCGCTTTACGTACTTTGATCCCCATGCTCTCTATTGACCTTCCGACGCCAAGGGCCAGCAGGAGTCCAGGAAACCGAGGAGAGATCAAACGCCGCACCCTCTGCTGCCTAAAGAATCTCGATGAGAGCTCGATGCTTGCTTCTTGTGACCGAGGCCTTTTTTGCGCTACATGCTGCGAATGCCACATCAGCCCTGGCCTGTCACAGTGTCTGCACGTTTGCACAGAACTACATACTCCCCGTGGCCCGTAGCAATCTATACGGTGACTGTACAGGGCGCGCACCGGGTTCTTATTACATGTTGCTGCATGTCTGGGGACTGGGGACGTTCGCTAGGCCGTTTGAGTCCCCAATAATTCCCCGAGCTCTGCTAGACGTTTTCCCACAGGCGTGACGGAAAAATAAGTTGTTTGTCGATGCATATCAGCCGCTGGCCGCTGGAAGTGCTTGTTTAACAATGTTCTTCCGAGTGCGGTCGTATGTTCTGTTTCTGAGCTCCGTTCATGAAGCAAGGTACATGCTACTGGATGAGATGGGCTCCAGACGAGCGTACTATCTATGCAGGGACGCTGGGAATGCCAGAATTCCCACAGGCCAGAGACCAGAGACAGGTGGCCAGCCATGGCATACGTAGATAGAGTTGAATGCGGAGAGTGTGTAAGCAACTAAGCATAGCCGTGGTGGTCCACTATACTGGAATCAAGGCCAGGAACGCCAGGTACACAAATGACCTGTGGGAACTGATGAGCAGTGGTTTAATCTACAGTAATACGTGTGACATCTGCGAAAATATTGTAGGGCGTTGTGGTGGACTACTGAAATTGAGACGGCGAGTCACCCTAGCTGGAAAGAATGGGTCCTGTTTTGGCAGCCGGCTCGCGGGCTACTCTAGGCCTCTATGTAGGGTGGCTAGAGGCCCTAGATGGCAGTAGCGCCGCTGGCCAAAGGTTGATAATGCAATAAGCTATTGGCATAATTTCTATTGCGCGGAATATTACTGTAATTGGCGCGCACGTTGTCAGGGTCGAAGATCTACCGCCTGCACCGCCTGCCGTGCTACAGTATGTATGGCGAGCAGCCACCGATGCACGGTTCGCGCTCGCCGATCCCTAGGGGCAACGTGAGCAGTTGCTCCCGTAATTCCAGCCGAGACAGGAGTGTTTCTTATCGTCCCTGGATTTTCCTCTTACTCTCTCTCCTCATTTTTCTCATTTTCTCGTCAATAATTACACCAACACGGCACCGCGGTTATCGTCTGTCGGCCCCTCTTGGCGTGCAAGTGCGACGACCACGTACGACCCTCGACATGTGCCACAGCCAAAACACCCCTCCGCGTATATAAACACCCCACCCTTCTTCTTTGCTTCCGACTCTCCCATCGTTCACATCCTTCACATCAGCACCACACCGCCATGTCCACCGCCTCAGCACCCGTCCCCGTCCCCAACAGTGACAGCCAATCTTCCTCCAGCGACAGCGTTGGCTCTCCTAGTAGCGGCCCCCGCAGGCAGCGCATCTCCATGGCATGTGCCTACTGCCGACACAGGTAAGCATTGTCTTCAGCACTGCCCAGTCTCTCGGCTGAGCCCGTACCCAGGAAAATTCGCTGCTGTGGTGGTAACCCTTGTCGCAACTGCCAACGCTCCAAGCGCGAATGCGGCTACGCTCCTGTCCCCGAAGAGGTCAATCGCGCTACTCGTGAGAAGAAGGCGTTTGCCAAAGCCAACAAGATTGCCAGCCAGTTCCTTCCTCCAGCCACCACCACTTCGCCCTATTACGCCCCCCATGCGTCGTATGGTCACTCTGTCTACGGCTCCCCACTCCACTCGGCGCCCTACTCCCACCGAAGGTCTTCATCACTGCCTTCTGCTGATGACCCTTGGGGCTCTGCGCCCGTCTACGGGTCAGGCCAGTCATGGGTTTCCTACGCCAAGCCGGCGCCATACCACCACCGCCTCTCTGCTCCCACTCCCGTGTATGAGTCTTCCCATGGCTACCACCACCAAGACCCTTCCCAGGGGTACCAACACAACCAGCTCGGCGTTCACTTTGAGCACGGCGATCCCCAGCATGTCCTCGACTCTCCCTCTCCCACGTCTACCAACATGTCTTCGACTACCTCTGCGGTCACACATTCTTCCCTCGAAGAGGAGCAACACGCCATGTGGATGACACCGGGACTTGTCACCTCTACGTATGTCCGGCCTGCTCCCTCGCGCTCGCTATCTCAGTCCGTCCACGGTGTGCCGCTGCCCAGTGACAGCCCGGTGCAGAAAACCCACTCCCAAGGGACAGTCCCAATCACTCCCGCGTCCTCTACCTTTGCCCGCCCTCTCCCTTCCCCCACGGTCTACTCCTACTCCTCCCAAGGGTCTGCCCACTACGACAACCAAGCTCCCATCTTCTACTCTCCCGTCTCCAACAAGACTCGAGGTGACTACAGCTCGCCGATGATTGGCGGAGGCTTGTCAAAGGAGCCTATCGTCGGGTTAGGGCTGATAGATGGCCGTGGTGTCTACATGGGGGGACACTACTCGGGCGAAGAGTACATGGCTCCTCCCATGTATTATCAAAGTTGAGTGTGAAAGGCGCAGAAGGGCTTGGGGCAAGGGACTGGCAGTAATTGGTATCCACCTTACACGGATGTTGTTTCATATACAATATTAGGCATTTGTATAATTAGTGGCTTTGATTGATAGAGTGTTCCTTTGGCATGTATCTTGGTTTTCCTGCACCATCCTCAACGATCAAAAAAGTCAAGTACCCATACATTGGGGCCCATCAGGCAAATTTCGGCGCGGAATAGGGAGCCGAAAATAGTGATGCCGACCGCCGTTAGCCGCTCCACCGACTGCAGACTCCAGACTCAAGGTGATGTTGGCGAACCTCCCATTCTTCTAGCGCAGGGGAATTTGTTGTATGTGGAGCATCTGTGGATATGCATGGCATCTAGTAGATAGTAGTCGTATGCAAGCAATGGGACGATCTCAATTACCGACGGTTCTCATGTTTTCCAGTAACGAGATTCTGGCAAGTAGCAAACCTCACTCAAGTGTTGCAAAAATCCCTCATGAGCTAAGGGAACCTTTGAGCCGTCCTAGTAGGCCTGGTCAGTAACTACAAGTACATACCACTCTGAAGACCCCGAAGTTGGCATGATACAGCTCCTGGCGCCTCATGGTTCGACTGACGCGGTAGCGAGCGGCTGAGCAGGAGGCGCCAGCAGATCTCAGACCCTCATCCCAGCAGGCCCCTTTCTCATGATATCAAAAAGTGCCGTCAACTCCATCAATCCACCTACTTCCTACTCCGTGCCGCGTGCGCCACCACACTCTACATCTCGAACAGTCAAGGGCACAGGCCCCACGCCATCAGCTTCAGCAGCAGACGGTACGCCGTACATGGTGTGAAGCAAGGTTGAAGGCAAATAGGCATGTACTTGTACGTATTGTACTCTATTATGCCGGCGCAGCCTGTGCCGGTATCTGCGTACGTAATGCCCCACACTTCCGGTATCCGACGAGCCGACGAACAGATGGGAAATAGGTCCGAGGTTGCCATAAGTCATATCCCCATACAACGGCATGATTTAAGCAGCAGGCCGCAGGCCCAGTATGTGACCAGGGTCCCTATTAAAGCCCCAGGCCCAAAGTCTCACCGAGGACTCTGACTACCTGCTACGCGAAGCGCATCGTAAGTGTAAATTGTATATACCCGCTTCTCCTTAGGCTGCCTTGTGCTCTTGACACAGTACACAGTCAGAATGTCAAACGTCAAGTCCGTCATATTCCAATCCCGCTCCGCTGCCCGACCCGGTACTTCGAGAAGATCTATACCCGCCGGGCATTGGAACAATTGAGTTTCCTATCTACTGGCCCGTGAGATTCCAGAGCTCTCAATAAATACATTTGGCCAGCATTCGCCCTGTATAGAGACGTGTTATCTTGGGATACATGCGTTAACACTGATTGGATACCATCAAATATGGGCCGAATGATGATGATGATGATGATAATGCTACGTTCACTAATTACGAGCAACAATATTCAGCAGTGATGCATGAAGTCCAGAAAAGGGTAATATACGACGGCCTCAATTTCAAGAGGCCAGACTTCCCGGTTTGCCGAGCAGCATGGTCTAAGTGATGTTGACAAGTGGACCCCAGCTGTGCCACATATGTACGTAGCTTAGAATGTGCTGTTTCCGGACTTCGAGGCCGTACCTTCGTATACCAACTGAAGTGTAGCTGATGAGAAGACAGGCAATGCGGGAAAGAAGCGACGCCAACGAGGACTGTACGAGCACCGGGTACACGGTTACTCCTTTTAGGCTCCAGAGCTGGCGCCAGGTTGACAGAATTAGTATAGTGGCAGAAGGAGGTAGCAGGTGCGTTGCCCCTTTTTGACCAAACCTGAAGCTGAGCAATACATTGGGCTTGTACTTTATACAGACTTGGATGACCTCAAGGACTACCTGAGACGAAAAGGGGGTGTCTTCTCCAGGACTTTACTACATCACCGCCCTGCCCTTGTGCTTGAGTTGATGAAATGTAAATCCCGCCGAAAACCCACAAACGGCTTCCAGGATGCCGGTGCTGTGCACCACGCTACTTCATAGACCCAGGTTGCAAGTACTGCAGCGTTTCTGGTAGACATCAGTATCCCACAAGACCCTATAAGTGTGCCCTTGACTCTCGTTTCCATACAGGCAACAATCACTCGGTATCTTTTCTCAGAAACGCCGGCGGCTTTGCTTTGGTGTTTTTTTGGCCGCTGCTGCCATCCACGGGATATCGGCATTAGATCTCCACCTGCTATCGATTCTTGTCCGTGTCCTATAGTTCTCAATGTCTACGTACCTGAGACCCGAGCACGAGCAACTAAGATGTCGGAGCGGGATATCAACGTTGCTTAAAGCCGGTACACGGGAGCGGACAAACAGAGTCCACTATCCCGGATCCCGACTACAGAGCGTACAATTTAGACGTACAGTACACCTACATAAAGAGTATGAGTACAAAAAGTCAGTCTTAAACACAGCAGACAGCGCATACCGGATTCTATGTCTACGAAATCTCTTTCGGATTAGATTTACGTTATGCCGTCTGTCGCGTGACGTCCGTAAGCCCGAATGCACAATGACGGCTCAACAATCGACATTAGGGGGTGTGCCGTCATGTAGGTGGAATAATTTGAGGTAGTTCTATATCCTGCGCCTGCCAAGGTGAAGGACGGCACTCTCAAGATCACAGGCCACTGCGCCCACAGCATCGAGAGCTTTGCGACATCTCGATCTCAGCAGGTCATCGGGACTTTGTGCCTTTTCAAGCCTGCAGGCTCGTTGGAGACGATCATCACTGCGATGTGGAAGTAAGAGGGGTATGCGAGGTAGACGAACAACTCAGTGCCAGGCGACATCTGCTGATGGTGGGCTGATGTCAGGAGAGAGAGCCCTGGTATCAGAGCCCCGATGTCAATTGATCAAGAAATCATGTACGAGTACATTACATTTCATGGAATATACATTAGAGCCATAATAGGCCATACGTATGCTGACCGAGCAGGCCCACGGGGCCTCACCTCGAGCTGACTATTCAAAAAAATGGTTCAAAAACGATGAGTACTTGTACGTGAAACAGCGGACGAGTGCGCAATGCTGATGATATCTGTACGTATTCATACGTACAAGTGTTCAACACATGAGTGAGCACATGCACGTAAATTCCAGATTCTCACGCTCTGAGAGACACATGTCACATTACGGCCACCGGCTCCGGTCGTGCTCTCTTATCATGCTCCTGATCATCGCTCTTTCTTTCTGTCTTCGGCGCTTCTCTGGATACTGTTGTCGTTGCACCATCTATCCACCGCCCATGGGAAGTTGGTGGATCGCCTGGGACTGCAATTGTCGGCGAGCCCGCCCGCATGTTGAGTAACAAAAAGGTTGGTGTGGGGTATCGCGGCGGCCCCGCCCACGGCTACTTACACGAGCACTCGAGTACGAGTACTGACAGTAGAGTACTGTACGGGCAATCACCCATCTCTCATAAGCTCGGACATCATCGGATCTATACACTTTGTGCACACTCTCTGTCCGTCGCTGCCATACATGTAAAGCTTTTCTTACTCACTTACACAAACTGTAAAACAGGCTTATGGACGCTGGAACACGGAATACGGAACATGGAATTCGGAAAGCGGCTGCCTTGAGGATCTAGCAGACCGTTGGCCTTGGCCGTAAAGGCCATCCGACGCGGAATGGAGAGGCATCGGAGAGGGGAGAGGGCTTGCGGATCACGGCTTGCGGGATCTGCGAGATACGGTATGGTCATCGACGCTAATAACAGAGATCCCAGCAAGAGGTCTCAGCTCTCAACAGCAAAAGTCCGGCCTACACAGCTTCCATAATAGCCGTTAAGGCTATCTAGAGGTTTGGCAAGGCCCAGGGGGCTGAGAGGGGTGGGTGGGGCATGAGGCCAAGACGGTAGCTGTTGTAGCGAGCGAGGCTTCACTGGTAAGACATAGGAAGGAGTCAACTTGACGCTACATATGGCCGATGAAGATGAATGCCCCTGCAGTGTAAGCTCTGCTCGTAATCTTGACCTCAACCATCAGAGGCATAGCAGCAGAATCGGCTTGCGACAGTAGTATATACGTATATCACGATTACCACGCATTCTAGGGTCACGGGATGATTCTCGTTTGAGCCTCATAACTCATGAATGATAACATACCGAAACAACCTATGGCCTGTGGTTTCATGTTTTCCTTACTCCCATGGTGGAAACAAAAGGGCCCAAAATAAGAACGAGAGAGGCTTTCATGCTGCGGGTGGAGAGATGAGAACAAGGCCAAAAGATATGTCGGGAAAGGACCGAATTAATAAATTTACAAACGTATTGATCAAAGCTGGAGAATTGGTTAGCAGAGCACAAATGCGGGGGCCAGCGAGACTTGCCAGACTGTCCATCCTCCCAAAGATCTCAAACACCGTGGCCACCACCTCGAAACACAATTCTTCCTGATCCTCTTGCCCACCCCCAGCACCAGCAGCATTGCCCCCTTGCCCTGCCCCGCTCGCAGCCGCCATCTCCTTCCTCACCTCCCTCACCAACTCCTGCACAGTCTCGCGCCCGGCCCCGCCTGAACCACCTTCACGCCGTCGTCCCGACCCGGAGCCAATAGCTACCGGCCCAGAAGATTGGGAAGTGGTTTGGCCAAAAGGCCAGGTGCAGAATTCGGCGAGGATATCGTCGCAGCGACCGAAGGCGGCTTCTCGGGCGTCGTAGGAAAGGCGTTGGAGAGCGTTTTCAAGGACGCTAGAAGCGTAGGCTGTCAAATCTTGTCAGCAACACGTCGTATATGGGAGCAGCATGAGCATACCAGCACAAACGAGAGCAACCGCCCGCATATATCTATACTTTACATTCTCCTTCTGCAGCGCCTGCGCAGGAATGGCCGCAGTCCTCGCAGTCAACAACGACAAGACCCGTCGCATGACGTCGTCTTTGGCGTTCATGTCCGCGATGGGATGGGTAGCCATGTCGAATAGGAGGAAATTGCGCTTCTCGGTGCGAAGAATGCCCTTGTCCACTAGGCCCTTGGCGAGGCGCTCACGGACTTGTTTCAGTTGGTAGCCGATCTTCATTACATTCCAAGTCTCGCCTATAGTCATGATCAGTACATGCCTCTGGCAGCCCGGAAATTACTCACCGCTCATTAGATCTACCCACGCGCCTGCCCCATATTTCTCGCTGCTCTTGATCATCTTCAAAGCCTCATCTAGAAGCGTCTCTCCTGTCTGCCTGTCATCAATGACTTCTATCAGCCTATCCGAGAGGGCCAAGCGGCGGCGCGAGGGATCTCGGACCATGGCGATACGACCGCGGAGGGCCAGCTCGATGAGGATACAGCCTCGGAGGGCGTAGGAGATGTTGTCGTTCCAAAAGGACAGATAGCCCTAAGTGACGTGTTAGAGGTCGCCCGTGCGTGTTTTCTCCAGACAAGGCTTGTCATTGTGCGAGGCTTTTTCACGACAAGACTGGAGTGATACAAGAGTGCCCCAGCGCCGAGGGCGTACACTCGGATCACTGGTGGTGAGGTCTCACTTACCGCCTTGTCCTTAAGCCCCAACAGGAGGACCTCCTCCATGAGGGTCAACCTGGGCATCTGGTCCTTCTCGTCGACATTTTCAAAGTCCCTGGGGTCATATGCGATCTTGTGTCCCTCGTTGCCGTCTCTGCCCTGTGTGTTGGGGTTGGGGGAGGCGCCAGGGGCGGAGGGGGGGCGAGGGGAGGAGGAGCCGGGGAGGGTGGGGGATTCGAGCTGTGCGGTGGTCTGGGGGATGGCGGGGGAGTGTCCTGGGCGTCTGCGGGTGAGTCCTTGCGACATGGTGGTGGATGGGTGGATGAGATGGAGAAAGAGATCGCGGATATCCCCGCCAGCTGGCCTGCGACGCGAAATAACACCGAAGTGGCTGCTCCTTGCGACGTCACCACTTCTATCTCTTCTCCATCTTCCTCTCCATCCAGCCATGAGCAACCTGTGAGTACCCTGCCCCCCCCCGCGTCCTGCCCTGACCGTCCTGCAGATATGCCACAGAGGTAGGCCTCCTCACGCACCGCGAGTGGTACTGACGTCGTGCAGCCGGCGACAAACGGCAAGGTCATCTTTGACACCACCGCAGGAGAGATTGAAGTCGAACTATGGGGCAAAGAATGCCCCAAGGCAGTTAAGAACTTTCTCGCCCTCACCATGGAAGGCCAGTCTCCTTCTCGTGTGCGCCCGACTAGTGATTGACGGGAAACAGGCTACTACGATGGGGTCATCTTTCACCGTGTCGTCCCCGGTTTCATCATACAAACCGGCGACCCTACCGGCACAGGCATGGGCGGCGAGAGTTTCTACGGTGAACCCTTTGGCAACGAGATACACGGCCGACTCAAGTTCAACCGCAGAGGTTTGCTGGGAGTTGCAAACAATGGGGAGAAAAACACCAATACATCGCAGTTCTTTATCACGCTCGACCAAGCGCCCGAGTTGACATCAAAGCACACCTTGTTTGGCAAGGTTGTTGGGAATACTATCTACAGTGAGTACCTGCTCTTATGTAGGAGACGCTGCTGATCATGGGAAAGATGTTTTGAGTATTGGAAATATGGATATAGACGCTGAAGAACGACCTCTTGTGTAAGTCCTTCTCCCCACAGGATTCTGCAGTCATCTGACTGTTTCAGACCCCCAAAGATTCGTCGTATTCGAATCATCGAAAATCCCTTCCCCGACATTCAACCCCGTATCACCGCAGAAGAACGCCGCGCGCAAAATTCTGCCCGAATAGAAGCCAAGAAGGAGCTCGAAAAGCGGGAGAAGAGATCCAAGGCCAAGAAGTGAGTGGTAATTGATTTTACTTATGGGAAACTGACGGTACATAGAAATACCAAGCTGTTGTCATTTGGTGAATCCGAAGAGATTCCGGATGAGGATGAGGTGCCGAAAAAGTCCATGACGAGACAGGATCGTGAGTGTCGTTGGCTTGCCGGGTAGATCCGACTGACACCAAGATAGTCATGGAAGTGGGACCACCAGCCAACGATTTCAAGCTTCGCAACTCTGTTGACGTTCCTCCCCCTCTCAAAGACATTGAATCCGACGACCTGATCAAGAAGAAGGAAGCCGAGAAAAAGGTCAGTCGCTCGTTGTATCATGGGGCATTCCTCACGTCAGAGACAGGCTATAGATCTCAAATCCATTCGCGAACAGCACGCAAAAGACCAAGCCGGTGGCGCCAACGACCGCAAGGCCGAAATCGCCCGTATGGAAGCCGACCTCAAGCGGCTGAAGAAGCGCTCCGGTTCCATGTCTTCGTCCTCTTCGTCTTCCTCGACGAGAGGCCGTAGGCCCAAAGGGCCATCAGTTCTGGAGCAAGAACTCGCAAAGTACGAAGCCAACCGAGGCCGGGCAGCACAGAAGACGGGCAAGAAGAGGGGAAGAAAAGAAGAAGAGGATGACTTATTGGCGGAAATGAAAAAGTTTAGCCACAGGGTCGTCCAAGCCGGCGACTCTGACGGCGAAGAGGGTGGCAGGGAAGAAGGCGAAGCAGGGGAAACGAAGGAAGAAAAGTACGGCCTGGGCTTGGGTGAGGATGATGAAGGAGTAGAGGTGGACGATGATGTGGGATGGATGAGGCATACATTGAAATTTGTCGTGGATGAGAAGGAGCTCACAAGAAGAGCGGAAGATGAATACGCTGTCAGTAGCTGAGGGTATGTGGTAAGGACGTGGCTGACAAGACCGTAGGTGATTGATCCGAGAGCGAAGGCTAGGGATATTCAGAGCGCGAGTCGCCCGAGCGCGAAGCGGAGCAGGCAGGACGATAGGAGGCATGGGGGAAGTGGCCGGGGCGGAAGACAAGGTGGTGGCCGGGACGGAGGGCGACGGTATTGACGAGTGGGATGCATATACCGATGTTGAATGAGACGAGTGGCAAAGCGTGCCTGGCGCGAACTCGTACCACTTTGTTGTGATGGGACGATTCTTTGCTGCATCTTCCGCGCGCATTCATTTCTCGTCATCTCTCATTCTTTCTTCTCCATGCCCACCTCCATGTACGACCACGAGCCAGACGAGCTCAGCGCCATCCTCGACGTCCCCTCCGCCCACCTACACCCCCACCACGACCTCTTAGCCACAGACTTGAACAATCCCTTTGCCGCCGACCAGCTTCTCTTCAACCCCTCCTCCCACCGCGCCTCCCTCTCATCCCAGGAAGGTGATTCGTCATTCCTACTGTCCCCCGCCGGCCCCCACTCCAGCTCCTCCCTCTCCCCAAGGCTGTCCCTCTCACCGTCTACCGGCGAGCCTTCGATCCGCCCCTCTTCTCTCTCTTCGTACGCCCACTCTCACGCCTCTGCGCTCTCGCCCAACAGAAGCTATGGCACTGCTTCACCAAGCTTTGATGCCATGAGCGGGAGCGAGCTGGATCTGTTCCTCCTCCCCGAGCTGGGTCTCAATTCCGATGCCAGCTCAACCTTGGACTTGCCGCAACATAACGAAAAGGCGGGCCACTCCCTCTACCTGCCTGGGAGACAGGAAGGAGCCATGAACGATGACTGGATACAGGACTTGTTCAAGGATCCCACGTTCAACCTGGGACAGCAGCCTCAGCAGCCCATTGGACCTGTGCCCAGGACTGAAGCGCCGTCGGGCAGCCAGAACATTCATTTGCAACAGCACCAGCATGTTGGGCAGACTATCCAGCCGCATCAGATGGGGCAGCTGGGGGAAACCCAACAAGGATGGCCAGGGACGAATGGTGGTGTGCAGCTCAGTAAGGCTCATATATTCTGGTCCGGACTATACTGACACTCGAGAAGACGTGCGGTACCAAGCTCCTCAGCCTCAATCCCATCCTCAACCCCACGTTCAGACTTCCAAGCCACGGGCCGCTCCTGTTCGCCGAACGCCTTCGGCCAAAGCCTCAGACAGCTCTGCCCCCGCCCCCACTGTCGGCAAACATAACAAAACCGAGCGTCGCTACCGTCAAAAGGTCCAGGCTGCTCAAGCCGACCTGCGCGATGCCATCCCTGCCCTTCGTGTTTTATACGGCACCTCTACGCCGGAGCAAGCGGCCACGATTGATATCAAGGCCGCTGATGGTACCGTGGATGGGCTCGGGGAGGTGACGAGGCCCAATGCGAGTGCAAAAGCGACGATCTTGACCGGGGCGAGAATGTACATTGAGCTCCTTCAGAGGCGAAGCGCAAAATTGCAGAGGATGACGGATGAACTTCAGGACTTCAGGAAGACTGTTGAGGGGGAAGCAGGCTTTGGTGCTTGGAAAAGCCAGTTCGATGCCAAAGAGGCAGAAATCGAACGGTACGAGGCCGAGCAGTTGGCGATCAGGATCGCACGGGAAGAAGAAGAAGAGAGTGATGAAGACGGCGGCGAAGAGGCAGATCAAGAGCCATCGAAGAAGAGAAAGAGGGCCGCTCCAGCCCCCAAGAAGCCCAGAGCTCCAGCAAAATCAAAAGTGCAAGCCACAGCTGCTGCTGGCGCCCGGGTATTTGCCGCCTTTGCTCTCTCATTCTCATTCGCCCCCCCCGCCTCTACCATCCTTCATCCTGTTCCGCAGTCATCTACCTCTCAGCTGCTGGGACCCCTGACCAAGCGCCAGGTCCTCTCACGTGTACCCATTTTGACCGCCGAACATACTTCTCGCCTTCTCGCACGAGCTCTACCGAGTACAATCACGCCGGGTCCCGAAGCGTTGGTGGAATGGACATGGAAGTTGCTCATCGCCGCTCTTCTTGCCGTTCTTATGCGCTCGGTGATCTCCAGGTGGTCTACCCAGGACAAGCGTCCTACCACACCGGGGAGTCTCAGGGGTGTGGTTCAGGATCTTGTCGAATTTGCAACGGACAAGAACGAGGGTCGTGATGAAGATGATTGGGAGCACCTTGCTGCTGCGATCGTGGGAAACTGTGAGTACCCCATTGCCTTCGTTGAGTATTTCACTAATATGTGTCCAGCAGCACCCCTGCCAACAGCAGTCAAGTGGCATACCATCCTCCACCTCAATATGACCGCTTCTCAACCCTACACTCTCGCTTTACTCGCTCTTCTCCAGCCTGAGGTTGTTCTTCTCCGCTCTCCTGCAAGCATCTGGGCTTCTGCTCAGTCCCTTGTGGATAGCACTACCCCAGCAGCATTGGTTACTGTACTGCAGCTGCCCCTCCACGAGGTTCAAAAGTGCTTGACGGCAGTGTCCCCAACATCTGCTCCTCTACCTGCTTTGGCTGAGCAGATCACTCTCACTCACATACACGACCTCTACACCCGCTTCTTCATCGACATCGTGGACGCCTCTCTCCCCCCGTCCGCCTCTCCATCCACGCTCCGCACTCTCCTTGAAGACCTCGAGGCTTACGGGCTTGGTACCCATCTGCAAACGTCAAACTTTGACAAGGAGATCCGTGCCACCATCTCTGGCGTCCAAAAGGGAAGTGCGGCCCATGCGCTCGGATTGGTATTGATTGGGCTTTGGGGCGTATTTGTGAGGCAAAGGCCCGAGGGACAGGCGTCGTTGGCGGCTTCCTTGGCGGGACTCCAAGTTTCCGGGGGTGTACGGGGCTTGGAGAGCGTCGGCGCTCTTCTCGAGCTTCTCTATCCCGGGTGTTCAGTATTTGCTCCAGCTCCTTTTCACGAGCAAAACCTTTCCAAGACCGCCAAAAGAGTCGATCATCTCGCCCTCTCCATTATCGAGTACATCTCTCTCCTCCTTTCCAATCCTTCCTCTTCCGCATCTGTATCTGCCGAAAATAAGCCTAGAGGAAATAGGAAGGAGGAAAGCATGGATGTGCAGAAAAGGGTCGTCAGCCTGAGAGGCATTTTGAACAAGACCGGCTGGGTCGAGATCGAATCCTCTTGGGACGACGACGACTCTGACGATGAGCAAGCTTCCGCTGCTCCTACACAGGAAGGACAGAGTCACCTTGAGACGGAGAGGACAAAGTATGAGCGGGCGAAAGAGAGGCTGGTAGACGTCTTGGCGAAGATTGGGCGACGGGCTGCAGGAAGAGCGAGGGGCCGGGATGAAGATTCTGGACTGGAAGGGGACTTGGATGAATTATAGAAGTGTTTCAGTAGTTTCATTGGCAGCGGCGCGGACTATGATTGTGTTAGTTTTTGTTGTTTAGATCCTCATGTGTTTATATGCGATGTATGGGAATGTGCATTGATAAGACGGAAAAGTGCAATCGTCAAGAGATGTCGCAAACATGGTTTCATTTCGTCAAGCAATATGTCTTTTGAGTCATTATGCGTTCCATCCGCTCTCAAATCCTCGTGTTCTTATGCCCGATTACTGCCTCAATTCTACTTCCCTTCATTGACTGCACTGATGCGTCAGCGATAATTGACAAGCAGTAGAGAGATGGCTTACCTGAGTTTCATTCATAAGACGTTCTCTACGATCTCCCAGGAGGGGGAGGCCCAGCAAGCCTAGACCCCGGAGGCGGAGGTCTGACAGCTCCTTCTTGACCGGTCGCAGGCCTCGAAGGTGGCCTGGCGAACTGGGGAGGTGGCGGTCTCGCTTGGCTCTGCCCCTGCTGACCGTACACCGCCTGTTGCCCCTGCTGAGCTCCGTAGATGTTAGGTGGTGACGTTACTCTGGCTGGATTCAACGGAGAGAGCACCCTTCCAGGTGGGGGAGGGCCTGCAAGTGTTCCGGGAGGAGGCCCAGCTCGAACTCCCGGAGGAGGGCGGGAAAGAGTGGAAGGTGGCGGGCCAGCTTGCGCCGGGGGGGGACGAGCAAATTGCTGCTGTTGCTGATACAGCTGCTGATGCTGGGGAGGCTGTGAATACTGGGGCTGTTGCTGCGCCTGCTGTTGTTGGACAGTGGGAGGAGGCTGGATCTTGGCCTTGGAAGCAGCACTGGGTGGTCTAGCACCCCTGGGCGGTGGTGCGATTCCAACCGGTGTTCTGGCGCCACCCATCGGGGGCGGCGACATGACACCTGGACCACTAGGGCCACCCAAGCCACCACTGGCAGCCGCGAGAGGATCAGGCGAGGCATTGGGGAAGGGGCTCATGATGGCGGCACTCTTCACTTCCTTGGCTGCGCTCTGTGGTCGCTTGGGTACCAGAGTGGGGGCGTCGTTCCAGCCAGGCACATCCCTTCGCTGAGATCCGGGGACAACAGGAGGAGAAGACGCGGAAGCAGAGATGGGTCCGCTAGCTTGCCCAACGCGGGGAGGAGGAGGGACAACCTGGGGTTGGTTGTAAGATTGCTGGGGCGCACCGTAAGGAGTAGATCCGTAACCGTTGGGCGCGGAGGGATTGTGAGCGTTTGGTTGGTAAGGGGAAGGAGCAGGGGCATAAGGATTGTTCTCATAAGCCTGTGTGGGTTGAGCAGGAGGTGCGTAGGCGTTGGAAGGCTGATAGACGTTCCTGCTCGCGACAGGAGCTTGCTGGTACGCAGGCTGCTGGGCAGGGGCGCCATAAGGTCCGTGAGACTGACCATACGCTGAAGCAGCGAAAGCAGGCTGAGCAGGGGTGTACCTGCCAGCACTCCTCGAAGGTCCAGCCTTGGAAGACTGGCCGATGCTAGAGCTGACAGCAGTCGTCTTTTCATCTGCAGCCCTGAGCACCCTCTCCCTTGCCTTGTCGAAACCGCCGGTTCCACCAAGGCCTTTGTAGTCTACGGGCGTCTTCTTGATATACTTGGCAGCAATATCCACCAGGCCCTGAGTAGCGAGCAAGTCGGCGTACTCGTAGTACCTGTCGTACAGGCCAGCAAGCTTGTAAGTGCGAGCACCAGCCTCGGCGGCGGCGGCGGACTGGGTAGGGGTCGCAAGGTCTTCGTCAACGTAGCCAGTAGCAGCGCTAAACACAGACACCTTTTCGATGAACGATTGGAGGGCCTGGGCGTGAGAGGTGTACTGGGTGGACTCGACAGCCTCTTCCTCCTCGGTCATCTCGTCAAGCCAGATTAAGATCACCTTTTCAAGCTTCTGGGCAGCCAAGTAGCACAAGGTGGCGTCTTGTCGGGCGACCTGGGCCCCCTCCTTTGCCTCTGGGCTGTCGGAGCCAGAGAGGACTCTCCACCTGAACTGCAACCTCTGACCAAGCTGTTCGGCAAGGTTTGCAAACTCTCCGTCCTTGGCAAAGGTGCAAAGCACGACGAAAGCAGCCTTCCACTCGCTCAGTTCGGCATTCTGTACAATGTCGAGCAAGTCTTCCGTGACAATGGATTGGAAGACACGGAGGAAGGGGCGGGACGTTGTTTGCTGGGCGAAATAGGCGTTTTGCGTAGAGTGAAGGAGGTCGGGGCCTCCTCGGACAGCCAAAAGAAGTGCGTCGGCGAATCGTTCAGAAGCAAGACACAAGTCGACGGCAGACTTGAAATCACCGACGACCAAAGCCTGAGTGACGAGTTTATCAACGTCACTCTCGCCTTCGGGGTAGATCTCAAACGTGTTCTCGGTATTGACAATCTCATCCCTGACAGAAGACGCTCGGCTACCGACTGTTGCAGCAACGGAAGAGTCGACAGTCACAGACTTGTGGGGAACAATGTTGTCAAGTTGGGGGTTTCGCAGAGAGCCAGAAGCCATGGAGGAGAAAAAGTCGGCAGCGGCAGCAGAAGCAGGTGTGCCAGGGCCAGCCTCATCGTTGAAAAGGCCCGATTCAGTTCTTTCTTCAGGCTTTTGACTCTCGACACCAGCTTCTGATTTGACGCTTGCGTCGTCGAGGAGCTCGCTCTCGGTCTTTTCGGCAGTCGGCGTCTTGCCATCCTCTTCGACCGAGATCACAGGAAGGGCGGGCTCCTCTTCCTTGGGCTTTGAGAGTGTGACGGCATTGGGGAATTTGGCTACAGCCTCTTCCACCTTCTTAGCCACTTCCTCCTTGGAGAATCCGAGCAGCTGAATAAGCTCGTCCCGCGAGTTGGCCTTGAACAGAGTCTGGAGTGCTTTCCAAGCCTCGTCTTGCCCGCTGGCCCTGGTTGAGCAGAATTCGGCGAGTTTCTCTTTTTCGCCACTAGTCTTGTCAAGAGCCTCGGCGCGATCCAGTACGGCTTGTTCGGTGGTGATGGTTCGGAGATGGACAACGCCAGACTGGTGCTTCCCATTGGCCCCCGAGAGGTTGGAGGTCGTTGCAAGAAGACCGCCAAAGCCGAACGTGGCAGAAACGGGTCGACGGAGCCATTTGGGGGCTTGCTTCAATGACAAGACATTTGAAGACTCGCTGGAAGGCTGTTGGTTACTTAGAGCCCCAAAGATGTCGTCGGGCGTAGCGCCCTCTTCGAGCTGCTGGGTAATCGGCTGAGGCTCGCTAGTAGTTTGCAAAGAGTGGATACCAATATGGCCATCAAAGGACGCGGTAGCGAGGAGGTCGGGATTACGAGGACACCAGGATGTTTGGAATGTCCAATCGTTACTGACTGGAAGTTCGCCAATGACCTCACCAGACTCGGGATTCCAACACAGGGTGCGGTTGTCTTTACCACAAGACAGAAGGAGGTCGGCATCTTGTTTACACCAAGAGAGAGAGAGGACACCCTTTTGGTGTCCGCTGAGGATCTTTTCGGGCGCACGAGTGTTTCGCAGATCCCAAAGCATGATGATTGGGGACTCGTCGTCTTCAGAAGAAGTGATGAGGCGCGTAGGCTATTTGATATTAGCACGAATCTCACTGGAGACAATGACCTTACATTCTCAGGGTGCCAGACGACATCACTCATACCCCTTCGCTTGCCCATCTGCAATCCAGCAATTCCACCAACAGTCTCCATGCCCTTGGCAGCACCACCACCATACTGCAGGCTGACAATCTCCTTTTGTGCTTTCACATCCCACACGGATGCAAATCCAGAAGATGAAGACGAGGCAAAGACGCGAGCAACAGTGGGATTCCACTGCACCGAGGTGATCTCGCCCAACTTGGTGGAGACGGGGCCAGGAGTGATGGGTTCTTTGGCAACGTCGTTGAGATCAAAGATGTAGATCTGGATCACGTCAGCAAAGTCGGAGAAGCAGCTGGATATCTCACTTGAGCATTGATTCCGCCAGTCAACAAAAGGTTCTTCTGTATGGGGTTCCAATCAAGACCTCCCACCGCCCCAGCGTGCTTTTCGCTCTTCAAGATGCGCGCCTCGTCCGCGCTGAAAGGCTGTTAAGACGCGTGTCAACTATATAGAAGAGACCTTACCTGGCGCCAGCAATGATCTTTGAGGGGTCGTACACGCTCACTTCACCAGTCTCCATTCCCGCTGCGAGCAGGCCCTGCTGATATGAACCAAAGGGCGCTGACCATCTCAGGCGATTGAAACTGTGCCCGTGTCAGCGGATCACAGGTAGCAGACAAGAAGTGCTTACCGACTGTTGACGGTGATGCTTCCGAGAGGGGCCTTGTCTGCGAGTTTGAGGTGGTTGACGTTGTCAAAGTCGGGCTGCCAGATTTCGAGCTTGGACTCGTTGCTGAAGTTCTCGTCGAGTGCGCCTGCGACTGCGGCGGTGGCGAGGAGGGGGGTGCTAGAGGAGTTGGAGTCCCAGGCGAAGGTGGCTGTACGGGAGATGTCCTTGAGCTTCATGGCGGATGGGAGACATACACTAAGGGGGATGACGGTCAAGTGCAGGTGAACGTGGCGCACCGCACGCCTATCCGCCACGTCGCATCCCGGAAAATAGGCACGCGGCCTCCACTGTCTTCAACATTTTTGGACGAGCTCTGTTTGTGCAGTATAGACCATCGACAATGCCCGATCCATTCTTCCAGTCCCAGAAGAAGCGCAAGAGGAACGCCCGCCCACGCCAGCGGGACGAGGACATCTCCGACAATGATGCCGACAACGGCCCTGCAGACCTCGACCTCATGGACTTTCAGCAGAGCAGGCAGGACGTTGCCATGGAAGACGAGGAGTACATTGACGAGAACGAGACCGCCGCTGAGAAGAGAGTGCGGCTGGCAAAGGGATATCTTTCCAAAGTGCGAGATGAAGTTGAGGCTGGTGAGTCGACCCAAAGCGTCCGGGCCCAGCTGACATTATACAGCCAACGCGGACCAGGACTACGATGCGGCTGACATTGACCGGGAGCTCATTGCTTCGCGACTCCAAAAGGATGTAGTAAGTGACAAGTTATATGCATGGCACATGTTCTGACCCTTCTAGGCCGAAGCATCTGGCAAAATCCACCTCTACTTGGCCGCCCACTTGACCTCCTTGACCTCCCGCCTGCTCCCCACCTCTTCCCACGTTCCGACCCACTCAGCTCTAACATCGTCATACATATACACCTCCACCAAGCGCGGCTCTGTCATTCGCCATGCTACATCTTCATTACGCAAAGCCGGGCAGAATTTTGGGCGAGAATCGGAAGGGAAGGAGGGCGGACACAAGGGGGAGATCTTGTGTCTGGCTGCGAGCGAAGATGGAAAGTGGCTGGTCACTGGAGGCGTTGACAAGACTATCGGCTGCTGGAATGTCTCGGGAAGAGAGCCCACCTTTGTCACTGCGCTTAAAGGTCACAAAGACGCCGTCACAGTAAGTCTCCATCCATTTTGTCTTTGTTCAGAGCTAAGCAGACACAGTCCATAGCCTTCCCACCGCTCAATAATCCTTCATACCACATTCTGTCATCATCTCTTTCTCGTCACCTTGCCCTCCACTCCCTCTCCACTCTTTCCGTCATCGACACCTTCTTCGGTCATCAAGACTCTATATCCTCCGTTTCTTCTCTTCAACCCACAACCGGCGTTACGGCTGGTTCTCGAGACCGCACATGTAGATGGTGGAAGGTGGAGGAAGAGGTTCAGCTTGTTTTCCGAGGTGGAGGCAAGACCAGGATAGGGTTGGACGGACTGATGCCAGAGGAAAAAAAGGAGCGACTGGGAGGCGGATGGACGGAAGGCGTCGAGCCTGAAGCCCCGCAGGAGAAGAAGAACAAACCCAAAGAGTTTGTAGAGGGCTCCATTGACGTAGTTTGTCAACTCGACAACTCGCACTTTATTTCTGGCGGCGACAGCGGCTCTCTCCTTCTTTGGTCAACGGGCAAGAAGAAGCCCATCTACACGCACGCTTTTGCGCATGGTATCGCCCCATCTCCCTCACCAGATGCCGAGAATCCTCTTCCCGAACCGCGGTGGATCACTTCTGTAGCGGCTCTGAGAGGTACCAACCTCTTTGCGTCTGGTTCGTGGGACGGGGAGATTAGGTTGTGGGCTTTGAGTGAGGACATGAAGGGGTTCAAATCTGTCCCCCTCAGTGTCCCTGTGCGTGGTTTCGTAAACTCTTTGCAGCTGTCTGCTCTCCCTTACAATACTGTCTCGCATGACGTCTTGACCGGGGAGGAGCAGGCAAAGAAGCCGCATAGTGAGATCATTCTCACTGCCGCTGTCGGCCAAGAGCCGCGGATGGGCAGGTGGCTGAGGGAAAAGGATGTCAAGAATGGTGTCTTAGTTGCCAGGCTAGAGTTGGACGACGCGGGGAAAGCGATGATGATCTAGACTGTACATTGTGATTGTCAATGCACTACAGACGCTATCCCAAAAAATCTTGATCAGATATCCTCTTCAATTTCTGCTTCTTCCGCTTCGTCCGAGCTGTACGTCTCGTCTGACGCTGCTACAATATCCTCCACAATGCGAACCACTACTTCGGGATTGATTGTAATCTCACCCTACGTAAGCGTGAGCTTGATTTTCACTTGAAGTGTCTCACTCACATTGGGCCGATCCCCGTTAGAGGGCCCCGCGATTCTCCATTCCTCCTCTGGTACGACCCTATCCCCGGCCACCGCCACATAGTTGTGATTCAAAGAAGAAGCCATCAGCTCAAAGTCGCCTGCTCTTGCAGTCAGCCATGGTCACCGACAGTGCGGGGAGTCTTACGCTGGAAACCACCCGTCTCAAAGAGTTCAATGATCGTTGAGCCTTTAGTCGGGGGCATCCAAATGGCATGAACGAGATCGTCCGAGTGCGAGCCAATCACCACCTGTACCAACATTAACAACCTCCCTTTTATATGACTAGACTCACCAAAGCCCGACTGAAAAGCTCAACCTGACGGATTTTGGGCATACCGCCTACTTTCACTATATGCACTTCGGCAATACTCGTCAAACTCTTCAGTGCCGTGATCATTCCCGCATGATCTTCCGGGCGAAGACGGGGAGGTTCTTTTTGGCGGGACAAGTAGACTACAACAGGCAGCCCTCTACTGCCGATCGTGCTCTTGCTTACACCGAATGATTGTATGGCATTATCCCTGTATTGTTGGAATATATCACCAGGAGCTGAAACTGTGGGAATCAGGACGTTCATCTGCTCTTCCGTCATTACTTGTTCGCGCTTTCAGGGAGAGAGCAGAACATACCTTGCCCCATTTGGCGATATCGCCCGTTATAGAATGCGCCGCCCAGCGATCAATGATGACCACCTTCTCCAGTTGAATGGTGACACCAGCAAAATTTCGGTCGGCGAAACCTGTAGAGTCTTCGATACTGGCAGAAGGTACAGCATGCGAGAGGAACCACACATCTGACAATGACATCAGCACGGAAAATCACTCAAAGGTGGATGGGCGCACTTTCCCCACGGTCATCCCGCCAGCTTGGAGTGGCGCCACAGCGTGGAAACCAGATACGTTTGGGGACGGGAATGCTGACACTTGCAGGCAAAGTCGAAGCTAGAGACCGAACGGCGCCGAGGAAAGCTTCGGCGACAAAATGTCTGAAACGTGAGTTGGACGTGTATAAATGACCGTGAAAACACATACTTGAAGAAGACTCGAGTGGTGGTCAGCTTGCACGTCGTCCCGTACGCGTCCGACACTCACCAAGATATCCCTCTAGAGTAGGACCATATAATGGTTAGCATCGTCATTAGCTCTCTGTTCCGGACATACCGGGACCAGGCCCATCGTTGAAGATGAACTACTTCCAATGAGCACCATACACCATTTAGATGAGTAGCTGACTTACAGTCAATCCGCCCAATCTATACCCTGTCTTTCCAAACTCCATTCGTCCCACTTCTGGTCCCTCAATCCTCCACCTGTCATGCCCCGCCGTCACGCCTCTCTTGCTTGACGAGATGATGAATTTCGTCTCTGGGAATGGACTCTCTTGTACTCTGTCTGTCTCTTCCGCGTCGTCGCTCGCTAACGGGGACGGGGCTTGAGAAGGGGTGATTGCAGTCAGAGAAGCACCTGAAAGGTATAGATTTGTAAAGACTTGATAGCCTGGCACACCTGCATCCAGAGTCAGTCCAGATTTGGCGGAAGACGAGAGCATACTGACCCCCTTCGTACTTTGTCCAATGGAGCCCTTCGTCAAAGTCCACCCAGCCATCCTCCTCCACCTGTTCGACTTCCATCTGCTCAACTGTTTCGCGTGCGCTGCCCCACCCCAGCGAGGGCCACTTATCTCTCCAGTCACTGACCCCACCCCTGAGCCCCTCTCTCCATCCTTTGGCTTCGGCGAATTCGAAATCAGACGTCCTCGGCTCTCCGGGGTTGTGTGGAAATTCGGAAATGGAGGGGGTGGAGGGCTTGACGAGGAAGAAGACGAGGAAAAAGAGGAGGGGTGAGGATATGAGGGCTGCGCGGATGATGTGCCGTGAGGATATGGCCATCGTTGATTAGGATATATACAAGATATAAGAGTATAGACAAGACACTCTTTCGAGAAAACGGATCCGACACTGGGAGTCAGACGCCGCGTCAGGCACATCAGCGACATGATGATCATCGATGCATCGTAGATGGTATTATTGCATTCAATTTCATTACGAGGGTACAGCGGTGGGATCAATCTACAGGCGAGTGTCAAAATGGGGTCATTGCTCGAGTGGTTTGATGGTATACAGGCCCGCATCTGCTGTTACACTTTGGATCCTCGAAGTCTGTTAATATAGAGTGTCCCCGCTTCCCGGCGAAGCCAAAGCACTATTTGTACCCAATGGCTAGCACCATTGAAGGCGCATTTCCGTGCAGACTTTCAATAATCTCTTGCATGTCTCGCAGGACCGACGCTTGCGACTCCCTCCTCGCATGGATAAAAAGTTCAATGTGTAGCTAAATGGCATATATCAGTGTAGTCCACTATGCGCTCACCTCTACCTGGTAGTTGCGCGATGGTTCGCTACGTGACATGAGTCCGAGGCCATACTTGTCGATAGACTGTAAAATAGTCGTCATGCTACGCCCAAGCAATCCCATGCCACTCTTGATTCCTCGCAAGTGGAAGCGTTGTCAAGTGGGGTAGCGCTGTCACTCACCCCCTCTGTTGAGTGGGCCACAACCATCTGACCGGATCAAAAGCTTGCAGGCGGAAAAAAAGAGTTAGGTGATGGATCCAACCATGTGATTTGAGACACGATGGTCAGCACTGGAGTGGTTCAGCAGATACTGAAGACGATCGCAGAGCAGGTCAGCGTTCAGTCATGATGTCCGCGTCAAATGCCATTCTCTCGCTTGCCAAAGCACAGACACAGCGCAGGGTCGTAGCAGTGATCAAATGTCATGACCCAGGACGATTGCAGTAGCCATCTTAGCGTTCTACAAAAAGTCCAACACCCATCGTACACTCTCCCCTCCCTCTACTCAAGCACTAGGCGCTTAAGCAGAAGCCTTCTTCTCCTTGACGTAGGCCTTTCGGATAACGTCACGTCGAGCCCTCTTGGCGAGTTGGACCTGGAATCGGTCAAAGTCGGAGGTCTCCTGCTCAATCCATCAGTTTCCCCGGTCTCTCGAGTCCTTGACGAAAAAAAGCAAAACGCACCTTCCTGGATTGCCTGGCAGCCAACTTCTTGGCCCATCCGCTCTCAGCCCACTTCTCGGCGACACCAGCCTTCTCGATGGCCTTCTTGAGGGGACCAGCAGAGATACCTCGGGGGAGGGAGGCGATGGTGTAGGGGGTGAGGATGAGGTGTCGGTAGGGGAAGGCCTGTCGGGGAACAGAGGTGGTGGGGCCGTCGATGAGAGCCTAATCCTGTCGTTAGCTCGTGTTCTGCTGTATTGTGGGGATGGACGTACCCTGTTGTGGTCAATGATCTCGACAATGACAGCGAGCTTGCCGGCGGAGGGACCCTCGTTGACGAGGACAACTCGGCCAACCTCAACGAAACGCTTGAAAGTAGACTGCTACAGAGCAAAAGTCAGCTTCTGTCCATCTGCCCCATCTGTCCAGCCTTCCTATCCCTCAAAGCCAGCGTCCCATCATCCCCCTGCACGCGCATCACTTCGCCGCCCATCTCGTCCCACTCTTCCTCATCCTCCCTTTCCATACGTTTATATCCTCCTCTCTCCTCCGCTAGTATGTTTGATGATGCCGGGCCATGACTTACGACCATCTTGACCGAGAGAAGAGTGATTTTGGGGGATAGCTTGAAGGTTGAATGCTCACCAAAACAGCAAAGACACTGAACACGCCAAAACGAACGGAAACAATTCTGTAACGCCGACAGTTTCGACCGGCGTTTCCAATTTCGGATAGTTTACGTAACATTGTCAGTCACTTTGTTTGGTTCTTTTGCATGCGCCATCGTCTGTGCAGTGTTGGCCTTGGGTGGCCGTCTCAAACTGACTGTGTAGCAAGAAAATATATGCTCTAGTGTCAGCATATTACCTTTCAAGACAATGCCATACACGCCAAGTTTGCCAGCGACCATCACACAGCACTATACTTTACGACTCTATCCATTTCATCGAAGTAGGACTCCGATGCTAGACGACTAGACCCAGAAGACTTGGGATACTGCGAGACGAAGATCGCCAGGGGGCTTGCTAGTAGAAGGCCCAGATACGGCACAACCACAAGAATGCCAGATTCGCCGAATTCTCCTATCGCAAGGCTTCTCGCACTTTGTGCTTGACTGTTCAAGAGGGCCCCAATGCTCGATGGTACAGCTCTCAGACGATCGTGAACGGTTTTGTTTTGTCTCTGAAGGACAAGGAAGTGAGACTATTCTGATCGGCCACAGAGACTTGATTTCTTCACATCAGCCACGATGCTGTGATGCGATACACATGGGCGCGGTGGCGCTTGTAGGACGTAGGTGCTGTCCGTACATTGCTGGAGGATGCAGCGAAAACCTAATAGCAGTACTCAATTGTTGTGTAAGAAACGCAAGGACGTCAGACTTCCCTTCTGCCAACTGAGAGCGCGTCATCGGACGTAATGGGAGCAGACTCTGTGTCTTGTAAGCTTCTCGCATATGGCGAAGACTGCCAACCACGAATATCTATTCAATTGATACACCAATCGCTGCAGCAGAGGATTCAACCATCCCGTAGATCTACACAACCGAAGCGAAGTTGCACTGAAGGAGGCCAGCCAGGGACATATTGCGTCTGCACATCGACCGCAGGGGAGCATATAGTCATGTAGCTCCATAGTTCTCCACTCAGACTTCAAAGCCTATGTTTCAAAATCGAGATATCCTCTACTCTTCGAGCTCAAAGTCGTACGCGAGGACATCTGCCAGCATCATCAGCATTTACTCGTTCCGAGCAGTCTTACTCACCGTCGACGTTGGGGAGCACATTCTCCTTGACAACCTTCAGATGAGCCTCGGACGTGGCATACTCTTGAAGCGCTTTGGCGGAAGAGAACACAGAGTACAGACCTGCCAATGTTGATTTCAGCGCTATGTACAAGCTGATTGAAGCAGACCAACCGTAGTCAAACCCCTTGGCTCTAGCGTCGATGAGGGGTCCACCAAGATGAAGCGTTTCAGGACCAGGTACATCCTTCAAAGCCGAGATGGCCTTCTTCGCTTCAGCAAATACTTGCTCAGTCGAAGTGCTTGTCAGCACGGATGGGCGCTTGAGCTTCCAAAGGACAATGTGGACGATCTCTGGACTGTGGGTGAGCTAACAGCTGGAGAACTGGGAGGTGCGTGGGATCATACTGGGCATTGTGCGGTGACAGCGATAGACGGTGAGAGACGATCTCGACTTGGAGGCAGCCAGAATGAAGCACACCATCCATCTCAGCCCCGCCGGCCCTTCGGCTATCTCCTGCTCTGCATTTGCTTCCGTCCAGCTACATATGTTTCATTCCAAGATCACTATTTCACGGCAATACATGTATTCCAACAGTGCTATTTACCCCAGAACATTGATTTGAATTATGACTATGCGTCCACATCCATATTTTCCTCTTCTTCGACGGCAATTCTTCCCGTTTGTTCTCCGTACGCAGCCTCGACAGCTACTTCCACCGCATCCTTCATTCCCTGCGCCACTTCGAGCAGATCTGCCGACGCTTGATCTTGTTCGGCCATCATTTGTGACCCCTCTTTCTGCGCCTCCGGAACAGGAAGCGGGTAGGGTAAGGGTTCGTCTTGCATCACCAGCCCCTCGTTGATTGCCTCCTCCTCCACCTCAAGCGGAAGTTCCGAATATTCTTGCTCGTCTTCTTCAACCTCTTCGACCTCATCTCTGTCCCACTCTCCCTTCTCATCATCCCCAAGTTTCTCCCACCTATATCGCCCGACTTGGCAAAGCATCCACCGCTCGCCCTGAGTCAACGCCGCGAGGCCTTCGGGCAAAAAGTAGACTGCTGAAGGGGGGCGAGACGATAAGATTGTGGAACTGGGAATCCCAGGGGTAGACGAAAGTTGGATCAAAGTCATAAGAGGGTAAGAGTAGGTTGCCCCTTGACTCATACTGAGGTGATACCTGTGCACGCAAGTCAGCTGATTTTGTCCGTGTTATCGTGAAGCAACTCACGTCTCTCCCCGCCCATTCAATACCAATCGATAATCCCATAAAGTCCTTTCACTTCCGTCCCCCTCCTGCGGGAGGTTCAACCAGGCTCCCAGTGCTTCCGGCGTGTACTTGAACCCCCCCGAGACGAGCAGTTCTTTCGCGTCTGGAGCTATCGACGACGTAAAGATGATGGGTTCCGTGGGCAACGAGGGTCGAAGCGTTGGCTCCTTTGCGCTCACTTCCGCGCCAGTCTCTCTGTCGGGCGGAGGTAGTGCAGGGAGAGGATCGACAAGGGCACGTTGTTTGGCCCATTGCGCCATGCGCGTTTTGCGTTTCCTTGATGCGAGGTATTGTTTGTCAATCTTGGGCCAGTCAGCTCTGAGCACGGATCGAAGCTGAATGTACGCACCTTGACTCGTTCAACCCTTTCTACCACGATACTGCCTCCATCATGTCCATTGCCCCACCCGCGTGTTTGAATTCCATTCCTCTCCGTCCCGGTATAATGCACCAATGTTGGCACAAGTCTGACGGTCACATTGATGAATTCTTGCTCGTCCCTTTTTCTATCTTCTGCCGTGTACAGGCCGTCAGCAGGTAAAGGAGACCAGCGTATCCACCCCGCGTGGACCAGTATGAGACCAAGGTCAGAGTCGTCAGTGTAGACGTCTGTACCCCAGCATGCACGGTCGGACGATTCGGCGCCGCGCACAACTTTGCCAGAGCGTTTCGTGGTAGCCTCGTCCCATCCCGGCTCTCCTCTCACTTTCCACCCCCTACCCAAAAACCCTCCACCGACTCGAACAACGACCGTGCCACCCTCGTTGTCTCGTCTGTATAATCCCGTCCGTGAGATCAAGAACGGATTGCCCCCGTACTCTATCTTGCCCACCTCATTTCCCAAAGTCGGCAGGGCTTTCAACCAGCTTTCTACAGGCGCAGAAGACACCTCGACACGTTTTACGGGCGGCTGGGTAAGGGCAGCCCAATCGCGCTTCTCTGCGGGTGAGCTGCGATGAGGAACGGCGCCATGAGAGGAAGAGTGATGGTGATGTCCCATCGTTCGCTCTTCTTCCATCTTACGACGCTTGCTCTTGGCCTGGCTACTTCTTCTCTGCGCTTGTTGCGCTTGATGAGCAACCTGTGCGTCTTCTACGACGGCATCCATGCGGCTTCGTTTCTGAGCAGTAGAGGCGGGCATGGCGGTTGTTCCAGTCTGGGCAGAGTAAAAGTCGCGTTCACGTTCACGCTCACGCTCACGTGTGGATTCACGGGCAGAGGCAGCAGAGTTGAGACTCGCACTCTCTCTTGGTGGAGCTAGGGCAGCTTCCCGTGGGGTTGGTTCAGGCTTGTACCCATAGGGCCTTGGTTCCCTCGTTGGCGCGACCTGCTGTATCACGCTGTTCTCTCTTTCAAACGTGGAGCCTTGGATGGGCGCAGAGACGGCAGGGTCCGGGTGGTTGAGTACCTCGATGTGGCGAGAGTAATTGGAGCTGGTTGAAGGTTTGCCCTCGAATGAAGCAGTGTTCCTGCGGTAAGGGTCTCGCGGAGCAGGGATAGCTGCTTTATGGCCCTTGTCACCCGCATACTGTGCCATCGCCCGCTCTCTCTCCTGCTCTCGAATCAGTCTCCACTTTTCTCTCTCCCGGTCTGCTTCACTGAATTCTTTTGGTCTGCGCTGTTCGGCGCGTTCAGCTTCCCGACGTTTCTCTTCCTGTTCCTCTCGATCGGCTCTATCAGCGCGTTCAGCCCGTTCTCGGGCATCGCGCGCTTCACGTGCTTCGCGCTCACGATCCTGGTCCCACCTAGGCCCACCAAAAGCACCATAGCCACCAAATCCAGTCAGCCCGAAACCGCCCGAAAAGCCTGGATATGCGGGGTTGTTGGGGTACGCATATGACGAGCCGTAGGGGGCCCGGGAAGAGGGTACGCCAGGCGCCGCGGCGTTTGCGGATGGTTTGGTAGGAGCGGGAATGGCGGAAGGGGAGATGGCATCGCGAGACGGTTCGCGGGGCGATGCAGCTGTTCGGGCGACAGGGGATCGCTGGGGTTCGCGGTCTCGGTTGACGCTACTTACAAGTGGCGGAGGGCCGCTTGCATAGAGCGAGCGGGCAGTACTGGGACCGGATGGTTTCGGCGGGCTGCGGTCGCCCAAAGGCAGACCAGGAATGTCTCGAGAGCTTGAATTGCTCAGAGACCGTCCGTGTCCACTGATGGGTGGTGGGACCTCTTGCTGAGCCGCAGCGGGCGATGGCAGCGCGCTACCGCTGGTCGACCTTTCTTGGACGTCCCTCTCAAAAGGCGACGGAAGCGCGCGAGCCCCGAGGCCCGACCCATAGCCGGGAAGCGGAAGGCTGGGACGCGGATTGGACGAGGGCGCACTCTCACGAGGCGGAAGCTGTGGAGATATCGATGCTTTGCTCTGGGGCGGGACCGAGAGGTTGCGGGTGCTTGTAGGGGACGGGGGGAGGGAGGCGCGGGGATAGGGATTGGCAGGAGTGGCTGAGAGGGAGGCACGCTGGGTGGGGGAGGTGGGCGGCGGCTTGAGCTCTCTCTCCCTCTCCCTCTGCAGCCTCTCCTGCCTGTCCCGTTCTCGCAGCTCCTCCTGCCTGAAGGGGCCGCTGCCGAAGAGGCCGTAGCCGCCGCTGAGCCTGCCGAGGCCTGTTGGGAGGCCGCCGACGCCCATGAGGTCTGGCTTGCGGCCTGGGGGCGGGTTTGCGTAGGGGTTGGGGCGGTCGTCGCGCGGGGGGTGGCGGTGGGGGTTGGTGCTGTCAGGGGGGCGCGGGAGCATTTCGGGTGGATGGAGGACAAAACCATCCCTGCAACGACGACCGACAAAGAGGAAGGAGATGCATGGTTGTTACGTAATACGATGCGCCACTCTTCTCTTACTTCTTCCGCATCCCTGCTCATCTCTATACGTCATGGCGGACCCAGCCCCGCGTAGATTCGGCACCGGTTCCCAGGCCGCTCTCGCTCCGCCCCCGCCACAGCGTACTCGTTCAGCATCGTCTACCTCCTCTGCAAACCCCCCGGCATTCGACATCACGCTGGCAGCAGACAAGGCACAGCAATGGCTGTCTACTTGGGCCCCCCGGGGCGAGGGTAAGGGCAGGGATTTCATCATCAATGGGCTCAACGGGGTGGCCAGTGTCGCCAGCACCGTTTCAAGCGGCCTCAATGCCAGACACGGGGATGGGGAGCTATCCCACTTTGCCAACCGGTCCACATCCAGCTTCCTTACTCCTTCCAACTCTTCCGCATCCCCCTCGACCAGCCCTGATGGACGATTCAGCATATCCCCACCACCGCTTGGGCCTCTGCATGCGCACTCTACCCCGCAATTGGGCTTCTCTCAAGCTGCGGGGAGTGGAAGGAGGCCACCCCAGCCTGCCAATCTCGCACGTCTGGGTCACTCGGTAACTACGCCAGCAGCCCCAGTCATCTCAAACGGGCCGAGTGGTCTTGGCCAGCAACGCCCTAAAGCTGCCCAAAGTGGCAGTACAACTTCCCTCCCGACAGCCAGTCATCGAGCTGCCCACGGTCCGTCTCACCTCGGTCCCAACGCCCCAGCTCACCGCCGCACTTCCTCGAGTCACTCCTACAACCGTCCCGCGTCTCTCATTGCCATGCCTGGTACTGGAAGCAAATCGCCCAGCATGTCTCGTTCGAGCTCGATGACTGGCATCTCGGCCGGGCCGTCTTTGAAGAGCGCGGGTATGCCGTACAAGCCGGGCTTTCAGCCACAAGGGGTCAGGAATGATAGAACAGAAGAGTTCATCGGTGCTAGAGAAGAAGTGGGGGCCGAAAGGGCCAAGGAAGAAGGACGGCTTGGGAGACGGTGGGCCAAGGCAAGTCGACTACCCACGTGGCGTTCTTACTGACAGTCCATGCAGCTCGTCGACCTTCATTTCAACCCTACAGTCACACAAAGTATCAACACCCTCCCCAGATCATCGTCATCCTCCTTATCGCTCGCATCTGCCGCCTCGGACAAACGTCGCTCGATAATGTCAATCGATGGTGCCTTGGAGGCCTTGAAACCCAAGGACATGTTCAAGGGATTCAAGGCTGGATCTGGCCCAGGCGGGGACGAGGGAAGAAAGCGGGCTGCTGAGCAAACCATTGTCAAGTGGGAAGACGATTCAGAGGTCAAGAAATGTAGAATATGCTCGTGAGTTCATCTTTCTATTGCAAACCAAGTTGACGCCCGTAGCTCCTCCTTTTCGCTCTCCAACCGCAAGCACCACTGCCGCCTATGTGGGCGCATAGTATGCTCCCTTCCCCCAACACCCGCAGCTCTCCTGGCCGTCGAGATCCAGCTCTTCGCCCCTGCTGACCCGTCTGCGTCCAACCAAACCCAGGCGGGTCTTCCCATTGGCACTCGGAGAGACAGGTGCTCTCTACTTCTCGTCGCGGACTGGAAAACAGGCCGAGGTGAAGAGGTCGAAGAAGGCTTCGTTGGCTGGATGAAGACTGCAAACGGCGAAGACGGGGAAGATGGGGAAAGAACGCCGAGGCCGAACGAGACAGACGATGCTGTACTAGAGTCAAAGCTGGTACCCCAACAGCCGAAGGAAGTCCAAGTCAAGGGGATGCGTGTCTGTAGGGAATGCTGGTCTGTCGTATCGTAAGTCTGCACCCGAAACGAGACTTGGACTGACTGGTGTATACAGCCGGAAACAGAAAATGCAAGATCGGCAACGCGTCTCGGGCTTTACGCGTCTTTACCAAGCTCTCCGCACGCTCCAAAGCGAAATCGAAGAGCTCTCCATCGAACTGGATGACCTGCTCTCCGACTTTGCCTCATCCGCCATCGAATCGTCTTCCTCGTCATTTGACCCTTCGCCGGAGCTCCTCGCTACTCACCGGCAACTCGTCGCTCTCTTTACGCAGTACGAGCACCTATCTAAACGCCTGTCCAGCCTTCCCTGCCTCGAGAATTCCGGATCGCAGGCGGTCGTGCAGGGTAATATAGCAAGGAGTGCAGCGGCATTCATGGCTCAGGAAATGGGGCGATTGCAAGCAATACCGCGCTTACAAAAGCGGGCGGCGGAGGCAAAAAAGAAGGGGATGGTGATCAACGAAGTGACGCTAGCGCAGCTGGATCTTGAAGACGAGAAAGAAGAGGAGAGTGGGGTAGACGATGTGGCTGTCTTGTTACAGCCCCTCCTGGAACAAGAAGCACAACTAGAGTCCGTCGTTCCCCAGTCTCCGTTAGATACCTGCTGACAAGTCGCAGACTGTACATTTCAGACGCCAATGCCCAACGGAAATATGAAGATAGCAAAGCCCTACAGGAGGCCCTGAACGAAATCCGTGCAGAGATTGGCAGGGTCACCCTGGGGGCATCACAACGCCAAAGATGAAGTCAACAACAGAGACGCTATATATAATGATTGTAGTACAGTACCGATTATGTTTGGGATCAACAAGAATTTTTCCTCCCCATGAGCTGTATATTGATTGTAGATACTTGCAGAAAGATGCATCTGGGCCTACGTGAGATAAAGCGAGAAGACTGACGAACGTGAACGCCGTGCCATAGTAGAGGATAGTATTATGAGAACACGTTTCCAGCGGCACAGACGCTCCTCCATGTTGTCACCAGCTCATAGCGGTATGGAAATACAGTGAGATTGAGACCGTATGTAATATGTACATAGCAGTTGATTTTGACGAGTCAAAGCAACGCGCTCCCCGGCCTGAACGGCTTTTTTCTATTCAGTTACAAGGTCTATGTTGGATTTTTATCAGGTCTATACCTCACACAGCAGAGATGCGAGGTGATTCGTGGGGCGCCAAGGACAATCACAAAATGGAGCAAGTCGCTACTTCTCTGCGTCGACCTTCTCATCGTACTCTCCGATGATTTCCGTCAAACCGCCAACTTCCAACAACTCTTCCTCTCCTTTATTGGCTTCCCTTATTTCTCTTCGGATTCTTTCACTCTCTTTTATGGGGTCAACATCGGGAATGAAGAACGCGTCAATCGACTCGAGAGGAACACCAGCCGTTTCGGGACAGAAAAAGTAGACAAAGGGGATGAAGCAGAGATTGAAACCGCCAAAGAGGATAAACATCCCGTAACCGATGTTTCCAATACCGATCGGTGTCACTGATAAATGGTCAGCGGACTGAAGCAGGACGAAAAAACTGTGACATTGTCCTCACCCATGAGCAGTACAAAGTCGAAAAGCCACTGTAACGCGACAGCAAGGCTGAAACTGGCGTCAGCCGCTCTGTTCATAGAAGCATATGTGGTATGACTTACCCCATGCCTTTAGACCGCCAACTGAGAGGGCAAATTTCTGAAGAGTAGACCCAAACGCCAGCCATCCACCCCCAGCTGAAGAATCTAATTTCCGTCATCAATCGCGTTCTTCCCGGGGATAACAGCAACATACCCCTGGTAGGCAAAGACCAGCACTGCTGCGGCGATACCTGTAGGCTTGGTGTTCTGCTTGACGAGGCCACCGATGGCGAACATCGAGACAGCCTGTCTCGGTTAGCCTTGTGATACCGCAGAGCCTGAACAAGACTCACCATGGCGAAAGCAGTGAGAAGGAACAACCGTCGTCGACCAGCATGTTCTGCATCATGTTAGGCGGGATAAACACACTTGCAGGGCAGATCTTACCAATGAGCCACCATGTCCTGTTGTATTTCAGTGGTCAGCCATGTCGTAAGGCTTCAAGTATAGGGCTTACCCAAAGCTGCAGATCAAAAAGAAGATTTGAAGAAACCCAGAGAGGAGGGTTGATGTATGAGAAGACATGCCGATGGCCTCTTGGCTGTGCAAAAAGTTAGTGACATGCACAGATCTCAAAGACGCGTGACTTGCAAGATAGTCGTGACATAGCTACAGTGATATGTCAGATGAAACCGTGATTACTAGTCAATACGACTCACTATGAGAAGACTGTACTTCCAGAGAATGCTTGACAGCTAGAAAAAGAAGCTTCAATTAGCATCGCTGCAGAGGTTTCCAAACGTCCGCCTTACACTTGAATGATGACAGCCTTTAAGGCATCAGCACAAGGCTCCACCGATATAGCCATAGACACTCACAGTCAACATTCTTCTCTTCTCGCGCTGAGAATCCTTCCCTCGGGTCAACAAATCCTTCCAGCTCTTTGCGCTCGAGTGCTCCAGCTCAATCGCCGTGACGATCTCATCCATCTGCGCAGTGATCACGGGGTCCTCGTCAGGTAGGTCTGCCAAAGCGGCAAGGACCTGCCGCGCTTCTTCCGGCCTGTCGTGCGAAAGCAAGAATCGAGGTGATTCTGGCATGAAAAGAAGGAGAGCGCCCATGATGACTCCGGCCATTCCTTGTAGGCTAAACATCACTCTCCAAGTCATATCATTGTCGTATCGATCGAGGAGGCCATACGCAGTCCAATAAGCAATCAGTTGACCGACCTGCACCTGGCATCAGCTATTGACAAACACGAAAAGGTCGATACGCACAACAAGCATGCTCAGCGTCGCGCATATCAGAGTTCCACGCAAAGCCGCAGGACTCGTCTCGTTCTGCCAGACTGGCAAAGTCGCAGTAATCGCACCCATCGCGATTCCGGCTACCACTCGACCTACAGACAGCTGAGCTACAGAGTATGAAGCCACTTGAAGCACAGTGCCGATAAGAAGAGGGATGATAGCGGTCAAGATGATGGTCCGTCTAGCTGCCCGTTCACCACAGACGGCAAAGAAAAGGGCTCCGAAGAAGCATCCGATTTCATAAGCACCAGTGACGGCCCCTTGCCCGGTAGTGTCGAGATGGTAGCGACGGTCGACTGAATGGCTGTAAGCAGGGGACAAGCAACCACGTAATGCTTACATGGGACAGATGATATGACGCCTCCCAGGGAGGCGTTATCAATGCCGAAGAGACAGAATCCCATCCCTGCGGTGGCGGAGATGGCACCCAGGAGGGCCTTTCCTCGGAGGCCTAGGTATGGCATTTTGGGTGGTGGTTGACTGCTGGTCACTGGATCATCGGAAATCGACACAAAGACCGGACACTCTATTACGATGCGAGCCCGTACTGAAATTGGAAACCGCGTCGAATCGGTGATTATCTACGTGATATCTCGCCTTCAAATTTCGACCGATGTGAATTTTTAGACTCCATCGGGAAATTAACCTCACTCGGGGTTCTTTCTCTACCTCTCGTACATACGAGTACGAGTACTCATCGAAGACTAAACGCATATCAAAAGTTTCAGCATCTAGTCTGGCAACAAATTCATTATTATACGAAAACCTCCACAGCTTCCATGTATCGTATGCTGTCTTGGTCTTCCAGGGTCGTGATCTACTCGCGTAGCCCTATCCAACTAACATTCCCGGACTCGGCTCTACAAAGATATGCCAAACTCGTTATCATCGGCAAAACCCAGATCCTTCTTCGCCTTCTCATCAAGATCGATCTCGACCGGCACCGCGCTTACCGCTTCCGTTCTTGGCGGTGAAGGCGGAGGACGCATATTCTGGAGCCTCGGCTTCATCTTCTGATGCCTCGCCGGCAAGAGCCCCCCACTGTTTTCGAGAAGGTCCGGCGTGCTTCCGAACGGAGTCGTAAAGTGCGCGATATGGGTAGGGATAATGGGCCCTCGCTCTCTCTCGCTGGGGATGAACGGGTGGCCGTTGCTATCTTCGGAAAGCTTGTGGGGCTCTTCGCGCTTCTGAAGCTCGTCTTGCAAGAGATGCTGGACGTCGTGGCGACTGACGAGCGAGTGGGCCACTGCAAGAAAGTAGAGGGGGCCCACGATCCATGCCAAGGCTCGGGTAAAGTTGCCAAATGTGGCGTTTTCAACACCGCCGTAAATGAGCAGGACAAAGACGACGGTTGTGGAAGGAATCCTGCATGAGAGGTGATGAGCTGGCTGACGCTAGCGGTCGGGGGCATACTGACATAGTCTCAAAAGTCAACATCATGAGCTTCCGCCATAACGAGGATGCTGCTGCCTCGATATCTCTTCTTGTCCTGGTCAATGCCCAGGTCACTGCGACAGGATCAGCAAGCTCAAAGACGAGACAGGTACACTCACTGGCCACACAAATAGACACGTCCGAAATCACAGACATGGTCATCCAGGTCAGCACGTAGACGTTGATACGGCTCAGCCAGGACGTAAAGTTGGTAGTGTCCCAGGGTATCAAGTAGCCATGGATGACCGAACTTTGAGAGTTGTCAACTGTTGCAGAGCTGGTCTTGGTGGTTGCCACTTACGTGAGACAGAGACCAAACGAAGTCACGCTGAAGGCGACCAAGGGAACACCGATATACCAAGGATGTCCGACAAGCTACATGCCAGTCAGCAGTGCCCTTCGCGGAAGAATGCCTCGACCCACTTTGATTGTCCTCCTGATGAAGAATAGAGAACCGGCCAGGTTATGAATCCCGATCAAGAGCAGCACAACCATATCTGCGTAAATATCCTTTTCCATCACCAGATAGAATGCTGTAGCGGCCTTGTCGATGAATCTGTATGTCTGCCAGAGGTTCAAGGCAGACTGTCCTCTAAGTGAGCCTTTAGAGTTGCCTTGATGCTGTGGTCGAAGTTGGAATGCTCACATGCAACTGGCGATACCCAGAGCGATCGCGCTCAATGTCAACCATGAATCATGTCGTCCAAAGTGTTCGTAGTAGCGATAGGACTGCAAGACGTGAGTATTATAGCGGTCGGGAGAGTGAGGACACCCACGACAGTCAAGACAGCTCCCAACACCAGGCCCTCCAACGCCAGACCAAGCGCACTCCAGTACTAGACCTCAGTCAGCAATGCGCCCTTAGCTCGGGGCCAACTCACTGTGATATGGAGGGCATCAGTCCTCAGCGCCGAAAATATGGTCGCATCAATCAGCTGCTCAAGCTCGCTCGAAAGGGATCCGGTCGAGGAGGAAGAGACGACTGAGGAGGCCTCGATCATCTCGTGGTAGGCTTCCTGGTGAGCGTGGGGTATGGCGTCGTCGTAGTCGGGGAGTGAGACTTCCTTCGGCGATATAGATAAGAGCTAAGGCTTCTGGTCGGAATGGTGAGATGTAAAGGCGACCAGAGTGGGCGAATGAACGTGGAAAAAGTAGAAGGACGAGAGGATTTTCATCTGATGATAAGTACCCCATTCTCTTCTCCCTTGGCTTCCCTCACACCCTCGCAGGACCACATCTCCCTTCGATGCAGAGTTTCTAGACTTCAGCCCCCTCGTCGTTTGACTCTGGGTGCCTAGGAATGAAAGTATCTTGGAGTGAGTCACCAGGGCACCTGCTTGATTTGATGTGTCAAGATTTGTGCTAGCAAGAGAAGGGACGCGTTCAGGTACAGTGCTTGGAACTTTTGGCCGCGTGCCGGCGTCTGTCACCTCATCCGTCATTGAGGGTGATGGGGCTGCTGGTCAAGCTGCACTGTGGGCTGAAGTATCACTCGGCAGAGAGGGAGTGGTCGTGACAAGGCATACATAGGGAGAGCGCGTGCGCATGTCAGTCTCAGCGAAAGATTTTTGGTTTCTGTCCAAACCTCTCGGCCAGACGCCCTCGCGCTCTCTGCCCCGCTGTGCCTGTCGTATCGGCAAAGTCGTATCTTTCAATACCCAAGAATGCCAGACGCCTCTTCTGACTTCTGAAGCTTTTGGTCTCTCTGACTTTGTGTTCCTGCGAGCTCAGCCCTTCACCGTGTTTGCCTCTCTGGCCTCTGGTCTCTGGTCTCTGATCTCTCGCCTGCATCGCCTGTCTCCTATAGAGAACTCTCTTCACCGTGCACCGTGGCCTCCGTTCCTCTTCCTCCGCCTTTCCTGCATTGCAACTCTAAATCCAGTTTCGCCTCGGGGCCGTCCGATAGATATCGACAGCCGGCTACCGGCTGACAAAGCTGCAGTGCGCTGCATCGTAACTACATAGCTACACCTGTCGACATGCATCCCTTTGATGTGTTCCAACTGGACATCATATGCTATCCATTCATCTACTGTGATACAACATCTATAACAATCCCGTGTCGGCTCATACCTGATCCTGTCCTCCGCCTGTGGGCGCTCCATCCCCAACGAGCGTTTGCTTGTCTACGATCGCCCCGCTGCTCTCCCTCTTGTAACTTTCCACTTTCTCACCATACTCGGAAATTTCATATATCCTGACTCGGCGATCAAAGTCGGCTTGGCCATAGCCAGAGAACGAAGAGCCTCCGTCGAAACACATCCTACAATCATGTCAGATTCGCCCAGACGCCGAAGAGAGAGCTTGCCAGATGCCATCTACCCGCCGACACCTATCTGTAAGATGACAATGACCATGACTGAGCACCTTGACCTCCGCGGTTTTTGTCTTCCATGCCCCTTCCCCTTCTTCGCTCTCCATAGAGGCCTTGATGGCATTGTAAAAGAATCCCGAGTTTCTTGGTGAACTACCATCCCCATCAATTTGACTTCCAACGTCCAGCTCTCCAGAGTCAAGAGTGGAGTCGGCGGGAGCGTAGGCTTCGGGAAGCGGAATGTGGAACCACATCATGGCGTTGGGTTTCGCCATGGTATGCTCTGCACGGGGAAGGCGAGACGGCTGGGAACGGCGAGGCCAGATACCTCCAAGGTCGCTCGTTCCGTCGGGAGTAAAGGGTCGCTGAATCGGTTTGATAGACGATGAGACGTTACGATACCAGTCTATCTGAGACCTATACTGGCTGGTCAGCTTGTGCACATCTCGGACCCAGAGATAGAGGTCCACACGTTTTGATATAGTCGTAATCAGGTTTGCTCCAAGGGAGCTTTCGCTTTTGGTAGTCATGAGAGTCCAGGAAATAGAGTGTGAAGACGTGCATTCTGGACCTAAAGAATAATCGTCAGCTGGTCTTCTATCGGAGGTCGGGTGAGAGACTTGCGCATCACTTGTATGCAGTTTGATGTAGTCTTTCGCTGGTCAGCATATTCATCGGTGGGATGTGCACTCACAATTTCCAAAACCATCCACATCCTTTGGACCTGGGCGCGACAGCGAATACGGCATATTCTGGAGCGTTTTGATCTGTGCCTCCCTATCCCCAAGGATCTCACTGTCATGATTCCCAAAGACAGCCGCCCATGGGATTTTGCGATCGATAACCGGTTTGGCAAACTTGGCCAGGACGGATCGGGAATCGTAGGAAGTCTCTTGTCCATTCAGCTGGTCACCGGAGAAGACCTGAGAGCTGTCAGTGGTGATAAAAAGCGGGATTGGAAGACTCACAACAAGGTCAGGCTGCTCGGCTTCGAGCGCTTCAGCGAGCCAGGTGGCAGTGTCGACATCACCGATGCAGCCTTCTCTGTCGGTGTCACGACATTCCCCAGTACCGACAGAATAGTGCAGGTCAGCAACTGTACAATGTCAGTGTGTGGTACCGAGACTCTGAGGTGAAGTTTTACTTTGCATGATTTTGAGGGAACCATCAGAGTGGAATGTGGGCACAATGGCCCGGGGGGCCACTGCCGATACTCAGTCCTGCTCCCGACATACGGCCATGTTGACTCACCAGGGTTGCCTTTCCGCAGAGCAATGTCTACACTATCCCATCGTCCCTGTTCCGCTCTCATCACCGGTCCCCCAGTGACCCGCTTGAAAGCAAAGAAAGGGTCATCATCGCCATAGATGATATCAATCTCATTAATAAAGTCACCGTATGACCAGTCGACTTTGTCTCCTATCTCTTCCACTTGGCCCGAATCAGAGGATCCCTCGTCTTCCGATACTGGTGGAGAGTCTGCTTCGCCCGGCTGACCTAGATCTTGTTGGTCTTCAGACTCGGTATCGTCCTGTCTTCCCTGATGTCGCTTCCAATCGCCCCAGCTCTGATCTCCCAATTTGTACCAGATGCGCATCTCGTTATGAGAAGGCCAGACCCCATTGTGCAGATCTCCACTAGCAAGCATCCACTCCTCAGCGTCCAGAATGGCCTGGTCTTCAGCGGATGGTGGGTGTTCGACGATACGGATGTCGGTGATGAGTTTGGTGTCGAGGCGGCGAGTGCGGCGATAGTATATGTTCAGGTACCTGTTCGGTTTCACGATCAGCGACCAAATAAGATATCAATAGATAAAAGGTGCAGCACCAAATGCCTGTTCGAGCGTTCAAATCACGCTCGACGATCACCCATTTGCCCTTGGACTTGTCGAGCTGCGGTGTCGTTTCTGGGGCGCAATACGTGGGGAACAGCCAGGGCGGAAAGTAGCACGGCTTGACGGCGATCTCGGTCACTACCAGTCGTCAGGATCAGGCAAGACCAAGTCATGTATGCTCACATCCTGTCGTATGTAAAGCCAACGGGTCCTTGAAAGGGATCAGCCATAGTCAAGCTAGCTCTATACGACGTACCCAATTATCCAGTGGTATGCTTGGGACAAACGTGGTATCATTACTCAGACTGAGATCAGTGTCCTCTTCCGCACTGCCGCTTGCGGCCATGTCCACGAGATCCCATGCCTGCCATCCAAGGTGCTGCTTTGCTGCGGGGGACTTTGAGTGGGACAGGAGGGAGTAGGAGGAGAGGGCGAAGGAGAGGGCGAAGGAGAGGATGAAGACGAGGGCGACGACGGGGAGGAAGGACTTGAGATACTGGATGCGAGGGGGTCTGTACCCAGGATAGTCGTGGCTCAGTCGGGGCATCGCAGTTGTGCAGAAGAGAAAGGGAGACGCATCATAGCAACCAGAATGCCAGACCGTCGGCCGCCGAGCCCCTGCGGGTGCGTTTACGTAAGCCAGCGGCGCGAGTTGTTTTGACGCAAACAATGAGGATGGGTGTTGATTCACAGCGTTCCCGTCTCCTATTCCATCCCTATTTCTTCTTGTCTCCCTATACCCCACCCCGCTTCCGCCTGTACTACCACACCGCCTTGGACCCTCGAGCCACCCACGCCCACCCGGCCCATCTCCTTCCCATTCTCTTGATCCTTGACGACCCAGCCTGCTTGAGAGGCCCCTGTGCGTGCTCCCGCATCACTCCCTGATCACACTGACCTGATCGCATCTAGAACATAGCATGGTTCGCACCTCTCAAGAACCCATCCCGACTACTCCCCAGCTCCGACGCTCTACATCCACACAGCCCCGCCCACGTCCCTCTGCAGTCAATGCTACGCCCCGACAGGGACAAAAGACGCGTCCCGTCCTCGGCGAAAGGCTTGAAAACTTTGCACACCCCATTCCCCAATCCAGAGGCCTGAAAAACGCGGTCAAGATCGTACCAATGTCCAAGCGACCGAGACCGACCGATTCGCCGATGCGCCCAAACCTGACGAGGTTTATCGCCAAATCGCCCAACGCTACGATGCGCTCCCCATCCTCTTCTTCCTCCTTCCGCCTCAATACAGGCAACGCGCCGAGGCCGTCTGCCGTTATACCATCGTATGGTGATGATTCACAGCTATTGGACATGACTATGGGTGGCGGGATGGATGCTTTTGAAACCACCGACGAGAGCGAGGACGAGCTCGGTGTCTGGAGCGCGGGTGGAGGAAAGCACACAGGAATGTTGACTCCTGCTAATAGCCAAACTTTGATGGTACGTGTACTGTCCTTGGCAGGCTCGATACTGACTGTCTTTCAGGCTGAACAAAGCTCTCCACAAACTCTCAAGAAGACCAGCAAGTCGACTGTTGGGCGACAACGTACCCCGGTACACCTACCTTCCCCACCCGCATCACAAGCCACACAGGCTGAAGGCAATCCCTCGGGCTCCCGCATCGCCTCCACCTCCCACGTCCGAACCCGCCCCTCTCCCACACCCCCGAGACGTGTCTCCACCCTCTCTGCTTGCGTACTCGATGACACATGTCTCCAGAGATTGCCGTCGCCGAATCCGAGGGAAAAGAAGAAGGCGAGGTCCAGCGGCGGGTCGACAGGATCGACCAGCTCGAAAGTGGTCGAAGTCGTTGTCCCCAGGAGAAGAACCACGCAGGAGCCGAGGGAAGTCAGCCCTCAAGCGCCTTCCCAATCTCTCTCGAGATCGACCAAGGGCAAAGGAAGACCTGCGGGTGCATCTCTCTCGCAATCGACATCCCGATTGCCGAGCGCTACGCTCTCACAATCCACAACCTCCAAACGTCGCACAAGCGGCGGCTCCCTCAAGAGTTCCACCTCTTCGACCAGAACCCCCGCTCCCTCTCGCAAGAAGTCTATTCCCTCCACTGCTCCTGCTCATCGCCGGCAATCCAAACCACCAGCGACGGCTTCCTTCAAAGAAGCTGCCAAACGTCGAGCTTCGACAGGCACAGCTCTTTCAGAGTCGACAATTGGCAAAGCCAAGAGCAGGCGCAGAAAGACATTGACACCAGAGTTGGCTCAGGCGCTGAGCGGCATTCTGCCAGAACCGATTCATGGAAGTCCAGGAGATGATCCTCTGCTTCTGAAGGGGGAATTGAGACGGGCCAAGAAGTGGGATGGGCGAGTGAATGGAAGCGGTGAGAGGGGTAGTCAGGGATTGGGGTTGGAATTTGAAGGCGACTTCGGTTCCCCCGTCCGCAAACCAGAAGCACGACAGAGAACCAACTCTCTTATGCCTCGTCCAGCTGCCGTTTCTGAACCTCCCCGTGATCAGTCCCCTGAACCCGAGCTAGAACCCCGGATCGAGGGTTACAATTACAACGAGTTCGGCGAGATCGATCTTGGTCAGAACGACGCGTATCTTGACAACGCAGGGGGCTGGTCCGATGATGGAAGTGAGACAGGAGACGACACTTTCGTGCATGTCAAAGAGAGAAACTCCAGAGATGGAGTAGAGGAGAGGGCGCAGGATGAGGAAGAAGAGATACCGGCGAGTCCGTTCATCCGTAGACCTGTGTCTGTCGGACCTGAGCCAGGGGAGGAAGCTGAAGTGCGAGGGCTTTCACCTGCTCCGCTGAGTGACCGTGTAACGACCGAAGAGGGAGAACATCCCAAGGAACCGATCATGGAGCAAGAGGCTGAAGCTGAGAACGTCCCCGATGACGACGGCGACATAACCCTCGAAGCAGTCCAAGGTGAATGGGATGAAGGGGACAGTGGAGAGACTGCTGTCCGTTACACCCTCGAGCGTTCACCGGAGCTTCCGGATCTGCGACATCTTCCAGGAACGTCAATGTCTCCAATGGGTGAGGCGCCCGAATGGTTGGCCGCTCCTTCTTCAAGGGCATCTTCGCCTGCATTCTCTACGAGCGAAGTGGGATCGCCTATCAAACATCGGGCGGCTTCTGCAACTCCGGTCCCCATTTCGCGCCGGCAGACGCCATCACACACCCCTCCTGGATCTCCTCGAAGTCTGTCCCCTTCCCCCGAACCCACCCCAACCCGACGTCAATCCATACTTCTGTCGACCCCAACTGCGTCCACCTCCTTGCCTGTTCACTCACATGACTTTGCTACAGACATATCAATCAAGCGGCCTGAGGAACATGTCTCCGCTGAGGCATCTCCTGTGCTGTCAGTCACCTCCCGGCAGACTGCGAGGACACCTACTCAGTCACCATCCGCTTCGGTTTTGCAGCGAAGTTTCCATGCCCTCGACTTTACGACCAGTGATCTTGCTCAGCTTCGAGAATCGTCTATGATGATGTCTTCGCCTTCCATGTCCGTGTCATCAGAGCGTACGGCAAGGATGGCTTCTCGATCTCCTCTTCCTCTACCGTCTTCTTCAGCCTTGCGGAGTAGCATCTGTGCTCCCGTCACCCCTCTTGCACGGATGGCCATCGAACCCAAGGCAGGAGAGGTCGACGTAGGCCAGTCCTCGGCCCAGTCACTAGCTGTCCCAATCAGAAGCCAGTGTCTCACATCAGTATCTCCGGGGGCGGCAGACACACCACGCAAATTGGGGAAAAGTCTGGCGAGATTGCCGTTCTCGTTGATCAAGTATCGAGGAGAGGTGCAGAGTAGTCCGATGGTGCCATTCAGCTTTAGTACGATCCCCTTCATCCCCATGTCATCATTACTGATCTTCTTTTGCAGCACGGGAGCCTTCAGAGACGCCTACCAACTTTTCCGACACCAAGCCCGCCGAAGAAGACCGCAAAGACGACATCGTCGAGCAAGCTGAGCGAATGGTAGCTCGTTTATCGATGCCTCTCTCTCCTCGATTCGACTGCGCGGGATTACGAGAAAGCACGCCGTCTGTAGTGGTTCAAGAGGCCTCTTCGCCGAGAGAGACTCCTGCAAAGGAGTCGACGCACGCGGCAGTCGAAACCCCTAATAGTAGTGCCGTGGAAAGTCTTTCACCAATCATGGTACCGGTATCGAAGCGTCGAACTCCATCACTTTCACCCGGGCGGGAAAAAGTGCCACCCAGAGCTTCGTCCGTGATGTCTTCAGACCAGATCGCGCCTGCTCTGGGATCGCTTTCTCCTTCAAGCATGTCTAGGTCACCTCACCGTGGAGAAAACTCTCAAAGGAATGAAACTCCTGTCCATGAGCCGAGTCCTACCCAGACGTCGTTAACGACTCTGAGATCACCCACTCCTGTGCGCGAGCCATCTTCGGCACGTGCGGCTACTCCTGTTGAAAAGGCCAATCCTACACGGAACAGGTCTTCCCCGTCGACCTCGGCCGTATATGCTATGGGAGACAGCACGTTGTGTTCTCCTGCAGGTCGCTCTCCCACCCCCGCACAGGCTCTTCGTTCTCCGACACTCCACATTACCACTCCAAACATTGCCGAGCAGATTCCCCTGTCGCTGGACGGGCCCACCCCCAAGCCCATGCCTCGCTGCAGTAATGGCACTCCCCATCCTTCTGCGTCTTTTGACATGAGTAGCTCGCATCTCGATCTCAGCCCTAGTCTCAAAAGGCCTTTGTCCAACAAGCAGTCCATGCTTGGGTCAGAAGGTTCGCCTCAGAGGACATTGACCCCTGAGCTCGAAAGTTATTCGACGCATTCATCGCCTAGACGATCTCCTCGGCTCAGTATCCAAGCGCGCGCTGCCTCTTTGCCATCTGTCTCTTCAAACTGGCCTGCACACCCTTCGCTTTTGGTGGAGGATCAGGGGGCCGACGTTCGAGTATTGGAAGACCAGGAAGCGGAGACTGTACCAGACGATCTCGGGTCTCAAAGTGTCACACCAACAAGTGGCCCCGAAATCAACGAGCCGCGCGCTCTCCGCCCCGCCAGCGACCAATCTGGACAATTGGGGGCAGTCTACGAAGATGAAAAGCTTGATTCGACCGAAGATGGAATCATCTCCAAGTACGTTTTCTTCCAAACGACCTCACTGCGCCTGCTGACTAGACAATCATAGCGGGGATGCTACATCGGACGAAGAGATGATCGAGGGCGAGAGTCTCCTGTCGAACATAACAGACAAGACTGCGGAGGCAGAGGCGGGTGCATGGGACGATTCCACGACGTTTGATGACCAGTTGCCCGTCATCAGCGAAGAGACTCAAGTAGCAGCCAGGAGAGATGCCGACGGCGAGAACAGTCTCTCAGATGACGAATCCGAGAAGGGTATCCTCGAAGAGACTGAGTCGGATACTGAGCAAGAGATCTGCGACGAGAGCGTGAGTGGGGAGGCGTCCTCTATCGATGGTGAACGCGAAGAAGACGGAGAAGAAGAAGGCAACGTGGGGGAAGAGGCAGAGGGGAAGATTGTTATCTCTGTGGTCCACAGGGGTATTGTCAAGATTGAGCCCGAAGAGGACGAGGAGATGATCATCTACGACAATCCTGCGCAGCAAAGAGATGCCGTCCTCCCCGTGCCTCCCTCTCCTGCGAAAGAACACGCAGGAACTCCTGCACCGTCAACACCGACGAAGCCACAGCAATCTCAGCTCACAACCACTCCTCAAGGTAGCCCTGGCCCTACTCGTGCCTGGCAAGCTACTACTGGAAGTATGGTGGCTCCAACAGGCGAGAGACCCTCATCCCAAGGCTTCGCTTCGGGTCCTGGGCCGAGCACACCAGCCGCATTATCCGCTAGGCAAGCTGCTGCCGAGAGCCCCGCTTCCCCTCTCTATCCTTCTCTTGAAAGCCTCGCCTCTCCTCTTGCTGCCGGTATGAGCTTTGTCACGTCAACCCCCGCCCAGCACCAGGCACCCAATCTCACAGTCAGCCTCAACACACCTGTTCGAACGCCAGCTCTACGAGTTGCTGCCAAAAACAACTCGGGCGAGGGAATATTGGCGCTTGAGAGGGTGTTTGCTCGAAAGCAGGTTGGCCAATCAAAGTTGTCTCGACAAGTGCTTCCTTCTAGTTCTCCTTCTCAAGCGGACGTTGATGGTATCATCGAAGCTCCGCTCACAGAGAAGACTGCTCTGCAGGAAGAAGGGCCCTCGCATCTCAGTGGTACTGACTGTGACTCGTCAGCTGAGATGGAGGCTTCTCCCAAAGCAAAAGGAGACAAGGCCGACCAATCTATTCGAATCAAGAAGCCCCGAGAGTCGCTCTATGACGAGTTGACTGCCGCAGCTGCAGCCAAGGGCGGGGAGGATGCGGACAACAGTTTTAACTCGATAGTAGAAATATCGAGTAAGGATCCACAAGCCGCTGCTCGAGCTGCTGCTCTTCTCAAGATGGTAAGTGACCTGGTTCATACTGGTGCAAAGCTGATTGTATGCAGAACCACAAGTACATTGAATACGGTATTCTCACTAGTGCCACTGAGCAAGCCAAAGAGGCCAGCTTTGCCTCCAGCAGCTCGCATCGCGTTGACAAACGTGACCTGCTGTACGAAGCCGAACTGGATCTTGTCTCTCAGCGTCGCAGTCGTAGTCGCTCTACAAGCTGCGCTCCGTCCCTTGCACGAGAATGGGAGGAGACGAGAGGCGAGAGAGAGATGTCTGTCATGTCTTTCAGGACCGATGACTTCCCTGTACCCGGTGGCTTTGTCAAAACACCCATGAAGCGTCCGCGATCACCTCTCCCCCCCTCAACTCTTACCCGGTATCACTCGAATACTGCCCAAGTTGATGCTTCTGTGGCCGCCAGGAGATCCAGGAGCAAGTCGAGCAAGGCTTGGGGAGTGCATGATTGGAAGCGCCTCGAAAAGGCGTTTCAATTGAACAAGGAGGCATGGTTGAAGGAGAGGGAAGTCAAGGCGTTACCTGGAGGACTCATCTCGTGGGCTAGGCGTTCCACATTCGGACAGTCCACTGTCGTGAATGAAGTCAAATCATGGGATGCTGAAGGATTCGTCGCCGAGTTCCTGGAAGGTGAAGGGGAGAGGGCTAAAAGGGAGGAATGGAATCCGTGAGTGATTTCCTGCAACTCGCTCCGCGCAAAATTGACATGGTATACAGCGAGCAAATTCTTCTGAGAGTCCATGCGCTCGAGAGCAGGTCTGAGAGATCGAAGAACGGAAACGCCTCTACCTCCTCCTTGCTGGATCTTCAAACCCCCGCCAAGAAGTCTCGAGTGGAGCGAGACTCGTCCGTCTCGATCGAGGTCTCGTCTGTAGACACTCCGGCCCCTACATCACAGGCTGCGGCGCCTTCCACTCTCAAGAAGATGTTTGGCTACGTCTGGGGACGCGGTGGCTCTTCCACCGAAACTACCCAGGAGAAGAGTAGAGGGTTGATGAAGGACTTTGAAGCTGTCAAGGGGAAGGCGAAGGATGACTCGCAGATGAAGGAGATCGTTACGACCAAAACTCCTGTGATACCCTCTACCTCTGCCAGCCGTGTGATGCCCGCGTCGATCTTCATTCCTCGCTCCACCTCCACCCCTGCCCTCACCACCTCTGCGTCCTCCATTCCCAACACCTCTTACAACTCCAGCGCTTCGTACAATTCCGATTCTTACTCTTCTTCCCATGGCAACTCCTCTGGACGCTTATTCCCGCCCCTCGAGCCTTCTCTTACACAGAGGACGTCGGCGATTGCCAAGCTGTTCCCTGACGGGGCCCCCCATATCAGGCCTCCTCCCCCCAAGGAGACTCAACCCATCAAACTTCCTAGTTCAGCGTATGGCGTGAAGAGATCGGGGAGCGTGAAGGACATGGCGAGGGCGTTGGAGGAGAGTTTTGAGAAACAGGCGTAAGAACTCCAATCGAGTAGGGTACTCTATTGGAGTACATATTATCAGTGACGGTTTCCTATTCTGTAATCTTAGCGCCGGTCTTTCCCACTTCGCTTTAGTTTTTTTTTTCTTTTTGGCTGTCTATAGTTTCCACAGCAAGTACTTGAACATGAATGTGACGTTCTTGTCACTCTTGCCAAATGCATTTCAAGCTTTGGTTTATTATACTTCTGGTCGTGCTCCACATTGATGTGTATCTACGAGTACTTGCTCCAGACCTTGGCCCAAGCTACCTTGCCTCCGGTCTCGATCACATCTCCGTGGCAAGGGATGAGCCTGTCCCACTTGGCCGCGTTGATAGGTGCCAACTCTTTCTTGAGAAGCCTATCCATGAATTAGCACGGACTCTGAGATCTCTAGGTAACTCACTCCTTATCCTTTGCGATGCCGTTGGCCATTCCAGCCTGCGCAATCCCACCGGGACTCATACTACTTCCACCCCCAAAGAGCCCAAACAGTTTGGGCAGTCCGCCAGCCCTAGAATACTGCTCCTTCGGCGGCAAATTGAACAGCATGTCTCCTTCGATGAGCGTTCCTGACGGGTGATGAATTGCAGTCAACTCGTGGTTGACGTGCGCATATACCTCGTGCAGGCTGATTTCTGGCTCGAATCCATACTTCTTGGTGCTGCCGTCGCTATTCGGACCAAACAGGCCGGCCCACTGGATAGCGGGCTTCTCTTTAAGGTGACGCTCGACCCCAATAGCTCTGATAATGTATCAGCAATGTACCGGCTACCTACTCACCGACTTACTGAGCAGCAGGATAATAGTCCACATATTCCTGGATATACATTCCATGCTCGCCATCAGGCGTTACCAGCCACTTCACCGTCCCCATCTTTGCCAACGCTTCCTTTGTAGCAGCAGTCAGTGGGTGCGATGCGTAAACGAACACGTCGTCCCCACCGCCGGATTGCGGAGAGGGTTGGATGGAATCGGCTGTTACTGTAGGTTTGGCAGGTCGAGAGAGACGGACAGCAGTAGTGCGTCCGCCGATGGGGAGGACGCCCATACGAGTCTAATATGAGTCAGTCTCGTTTCCAACTCAACGGATATCCACTTACGAAGGGGACAGAGAATGTGACAATGTCGGGAGTGAGCTGCCTGATGACAACCTTTTCGTCCCTTGGATCGGTCGAGTTGACACTGAGGGAAGCGAAATCTGTGGTTGTGGCCATAGTGCGAATGAATCTGGCGGGTGTTGGGAGTGAGAGGGGTCTGAGCAGCAACAGAATGGTGGCAAGATGTCTGAAGAACAGGGGAGATGGAAAGGAGGAATTCATACGCCATTCGTTCGATGACTTGTCGATGACGATGGTTGCAGTTCCGACGGAGCCGGTGGCCAACACCGAAAGTAGTGACGTGGTCGCAGGCAACGTTCACACTTTTGTGCTCATGTTCTCTTCCACCAGCCGCCAAGTCCTTTCCCACGCCCAGGATCCATAACACATTATAATGACCGCCCAAGTGGCTACCCAGGATGCGTCCCAGCCTCTAGTCTACTGCAGGTGAGTCGAGTGGCGTCAACCACCTTTTCCTCCTGACGCGTCTTTCCAGATGGGATTTTTGCAGCCAAGCGTTTACCGCCTACAATGACTGGGAGATCCACTTCGAGGTCGAGCATATGCCACATGAGAAGGCACAAGACTTTTCGGGCAAGATGAGACGGCGGAGACGTGATGGACAATGGGAACTGGTCGAACAGCGCTTAAGTGGTACGGCTGGTGAGTATAATCCTCAACAGACCAACCGCCGTCGCTGAGACCTGCTACAGAAAATTTGCCACTAAGTGGAGCCACAGGCGATACATCCCTGACCATGTCGCTGCCACCCTTCAGCCAGAACATCCCTAATGATACACAAGGCCATATGGACCCCCGAATGATCTTTCCTCCACAACGGTCTCCAGATCTATACGATCATGACCAGCTCGTTGGCCCAGAGGACGAATATCTCAATCTTGATGCAGCCATACCGCGCCAGCTTTCGGTGTCTCTTCCCGAGGCTGGTACTGGCCTTTCACAACAGTCCGAAGGACAACATCCCCATTCTTCGGAAGCCTCTCCACCCGAGGCTGCTCTGCATACTTCCCAGCCTCAATCCACCAACCAGCTCTTTTGGGATCAAGACTCTTTGACAAAACCCTATTCACCGAAATCCTCCCCCTCCGTTTCTCTCCCCACGCCTGCTCAAAGGCGATTCATGGGGCACAACCAGGATATACTTGTTCCGTACAGCGAAAACCGCACCACACCAGGCGGGGCGAGGCAGACTAGCTCTGGGACATTTGGAGGACAGTCATCCAGTTCCCATCTGTCCCCTGAGAAGAAGACCCCTTCGAGCTCATTAGAGTCCAAATCCAATTCAGATTCGCCCAGGACAATTCAGTGGGGAGGGGCAGCGACGACAGCCGGTGGCAAGAAGGATACGCCGAGAGCGCAAGAACAGGGAATGGACCGAGGAGGGATAGGGTTTGGATTTGCAAACAAGTGAAGATCATGTTGTTTGTGCGCTCTTGGAGGAGCGCTTGTATGACTTATGTACTGTATAAGGGTCTTGCAAAGCTATGGTCGTTATTCATATATACGTAGCGTACTGAGCTCTTGCGGCTTGCCCCTTAGGGAAGCCTACTGGTCTACAGCCGATCCTCCAAAGTTGATCTTGATCATCGCCTCTTGCGCATCCAACAGCGCCTTCTGACGTGCCTTCTTCTCCAACTTGAACTTTTGGCTTTCAGCTATCGGCGCTGCCAAAGCCTTCCTCTGCTCAAACAGCTCTTGATACACCTTCTCTTTACCCCAGTAAGTCAACACCGCCGCGCCCCCTTCATCAGACTCCGCCGGGTTGTCAATGTCGATGATTGACTGCATTTCGTCTGGGACCTGCTTCCGCTTCCCTCGCGAAGAGTCACTCTCGGAACCCTCTTCTGCGGAGGTCGTATTCTCCCACTCTTTCGACCATTTGGATCTCTCTAGGAGGTATCGGTAGAACTCTGACGGGAACCTGTCTCTTTTGCCGAAAGACACGGGTGCACCATCACGCTTCACCCTACGGATCATCTGCTTGTACGCAACAGCAGCAGGCGTTCCATCCTCTACATCCGTCAACCATTTCCAGAACTGCCAATCCCATCTCCATTGTAATCCCTCCGTTTTCCACACTTGATAGTCCAGCCCGAACCACTTGCAAAACTCGGCAGGGTCGTTGGTGAGAGTGATGTCGATGGGCGGGATGCCAAAGAAGGGGGCATGTCGAAAGACAAAGTGGGTAAGGTGGATGACGACGGAATGGGAATAGAAGCGGAGGCAGCGGCCGAGGAGGAAACTGGTGGCGCCATAGGATGTGAGAAAGGTGTTGAATTCGATATCGCCGGGTGCGACGAGGGCGAGGTCGACTTGGTAGAACTGGGATATGGTGTGAGCACTTTGCACCTGGGCGACCGGCGCCTCGGGAACTCACCTTCTCGCTGCTCGTCTCGGTCGCATCGAGTATCGAGAGAGGGACTTTATAGTTCAGACTGCTCCCATGTCGCCTCAATCCCACAGCTCCAATGGCGCCCATCAATGTCACCGCCAGCGCCCTCAGCTCATCCGCCGGCTGCCCAGCAACCAACTTTCCACCCTTCAACGGGACCAGCGTCTTGCTCTCGGGATCCCATTCTTCCTGCCCGCCGCATTTTTCTCCCGCGTACCCGCAGATGACATCCACGTCCCCGTGAGTCTTTTTGGACGCGGTGTTGCGCGGGGCAGAGGTGCCCTGGAAGAAGGGGGCAGCGAGGTCGGTGATGATGCGTGTGAGGCGGGCGTGTTGTTCCTGGGTGAGACGGGATGCCTGCTGGTCGAAAGCACTACCGCCCATGGTGTATTTGATTACTGCCCGAGTTGGCGGTGGAACGAAACACAACGTTTGTTCATGTCGTTCTCGTCGTGCAGCAACAAGAAGCCGGCAATCCGAAGCTGACGTAACATGGGCTATCTTCTCGACCTTCTTTTTTGTGTATCCGGTTGAGTGACTCGTCTTTGGGGGTTTGGGGTTTGGATTTGGGGGTCTTTGTCTCTTCACCCTTGACTTACCAAGTATAGGTGCGAGAAATATACTTTCCAATGATCCAAGGAGGAGTCGCTGCCAGGACTTTATTCATTGGTGGTGGCTCATCAGTCTAGGAGGTCCCAGAGGCCCATAAGTAAGAGGCAAGACGTTATTAGGGCAAACTCAAGCTATATGTCCGAGGGATCGTGTCGAGGCTTACAGTGGGTGTTGCCGAGCTGGACAACCATCTATACGCCAAAGCAATCAGCCGCAAGCTGTAATAATGTATTTCGTGGTGTTGTTAACATCAAGTCCGCGTAGCACAGTGGTAGTGCGCTTGACTACGATTACCTAAAATAGGCGTATCAAGAGGTCGTGGTTTCGATCACCACCGTGGATTGTTTTTTGCTTTTGATTTTTTTCTTGGCCCATGCTACTCTATCTGGTGCACTCTTGCTTTTATTTGTTCATATGATGCGACTACTCTATCTGGTGCATTCTTGCTATCATCTGTTCATATGATGTGAGCTACAGCCTTCTCATACGCAGAACCGATGATTGTAGCGACAAAGGTGCTGTCGCATCAAACGAAGAAAGATCCCTTGCCAAGTCTTACACTTGACCTTGCGTAATAACAGCATCATAAACCCTATTTACATATGTGTGGTTGCATGAAAGCGTTCCATGATTATAAGTATGCTAAGAATGGCTAGAAGGCATGAATAACGGCGCACCGGCCCCAAATGATTATGTTTCGACTGATGGACATCTAGGCGGTAGCCCTCTTTGACCTGCGCCTGACAGAAGCACCCTTGTAGAAGAAGAAGTACGGGATGGGGCCTATGACGACGGAGAAGAGGGCCAGGAAGAGCATGCCGTATTGGAATTTGAGATTGTGCTTGGGGTTTTGTCAGCTGAGAGGAATGGGTGAGAATGGGGCAACTCACAATCAACTGAGTGATCCAGAGAGGAACAGAAGCACCAATGAGAGATCGCTGAAAGATGTCGGTCAGTATGGATACAGTATGGATAGAGACTGTATGCCTTACAGTCATGTTCTTGGCAGAAATGGCCGAGGCAGCATAATTGGAGTAAGAATCGACGATGTACTGCACTTTGTTAGACCGAGCCGGACTGTTGATGAACGAAAGGCTCACAGAGTTTCCAGAAATGTAAATGATAACCATGCTGAAACCAAAGATGATACCACCAATGCAGGGCCCGACCCAGAGAATGCCGGGGTAAGAGGTGAAAGCAATGATGAACATGGCGATGGGAAGGGTGCTATGCGACAGTCAGTGGAGTAGAAAGACACGGGTATGGAACACGTACATGGCACCGAGCATCATAGGGTAAAGACGAGCCTCGGGAACCGAGCCGTGCTTCTCACAGTGCCTCTTGTAAAGCTTCTCCCTACGAGAAATCAGATTGCAAGCTTTGATTGTGGGATGAAACCACTTACTGGAAGGGCATCAAGCAATTCGCGATGGCGATACCGATCTGCTAGATGTCAGCAGTGACGAGAATGTGACAGGGTGATACCTACGATGATGGAAACAAAAGAGACACCAGTCATACCAATGTTCCAACCTCGAATCTCCTCAAAAGCGATGGGGAAGGCGAAGAAAGTGGCATAAAGCAAGGCGTAGATGAAGGACAGGTAGATGGTCTATCATGGTATCAGTGGCGTCCTTTCCGTGTGCTCAAAATCACTCACAAAGAAGATGATGATCATCTCCTGGAACATCAACTGGATCGGCCTGAGCAACGCAATCTTCATCGTCTCCGAAAAAGGAAGTCGGTTCAGGTCGTGTTCAGTCACGTAAACATCAGTGTTGTGTTCCTTGTTGAGCTTGTTCGCCTTCTTGCGGAGGAGCACAGGCGCAAGAGTCTCCGGAGTAAAGATGGACATGATGATACAGGCGCCGGTGATGATGAAGAGAACCCAGTAGATCCAGCGCCACTGTCCCGTTTCGAGAGCGATCCATCCTCCGAAGAGGGGACCGAGACAAGGGCCCATGCTGCGACCAGTGAGAAGATGCGTCTCTAGATGTGTACGATGTGGCTTACAAGAGAGTGGAACTGAAAACGGCCATGGGGAATCCTCTCTCGTGGACGGCCCAGACGTCAGAAATGGTTCCTCCAACGTTGGTGAAAGGGGCAGACGAAGCAAGACCAGCGATCATACGACCGGCAAGCATGGTAGCGATGTTCTATACACGAAGAGATCAGCTCAGGCCCCCGCCAAATCAAAGTAACTCACGGGAGCAAGACAGCTTGGAAGGGTGAACAAAAAGTAGAAGACCATGCTGACGCAGTAGATGGGTCGACGGCCAACAACTTCACTCACTACACAATCATCAGCTATAGTCGCGTCTCGCTCAGATTGCCAACGCACAAGGTGCAAACAAGAGGGGACCAATACCGAAGCCGGCAACAAAGAGCGAGATGGATAGATAGATAACTTCATTGGACACGTTTAGAGTCTCGGCAGTTCCGGGCAGGTCACCTGTGGGCATCGCACTTCCAAGGGCAACGGCGAGGCACAGTACTGATGCAGTAATAGTAGCCCACCTACATGGGTATTAGCAAGGGTCTAAGCGGCGAAGAAATGATATTCACCATCGACTACCCTTGCTCCATTCCTTGGGGTTCTCTCCCTCCGCAAACTCGACGATAATCATGTCACCATGGCCTTTCTCAATGTCCGCCTTCTCAGGAAGTTGCTCTTCCGAATGATGGCCTTGAAGAGTGGTGGCTTCGGATGGGATAGTGTCGGACTTGAAAGCAGTGACGGAAGGGTTTTCTTTGATGTTTGAGATGGTGTTTGACTCCTCGATACCTTCTTCGCGTAAGGCCTCCTCCTGGCGATCGTTGAAGATAGGAGGCTGGGCGAATTCGGCTTCTACCGGCTCGAGCATTTTGAGGTACTGTCTTGCAGTCTAGGCGGGGAGTGGATTATAGAGGTTTTGTGAAAGAAACAGTCTGCGAGCCAAAAGAGTGTAATGTGAAAGAAACGAAGGGAACGAAGGGTTCATGATGGGCTTTAGAGTGCTGTGGCTTTTTGTACTTATCTCTGGGCGGAACAGAGTTGGGGAGCGAAGGGTGAGCTGACTATTTTGCTTTTGAGTAATATATGTGGACGGGTCCAGAAATAAGTCAACATTGACCAGCTTTAACACTATTACGGCCGTAGCGAGCGCAAACGACCGCGCCCGCTTTCGGATTCAAGGGAAAAACAGTCTATGTGGAGGCACGGCTCAGGGTTTCTCCTCGGATATAAGCGCATTTCAAGAAGGCGCGAGCTTGAAAAGCAATCGAATGTGTCAGGCGCGCTCGACTATGGGCCAAATGCCTAATGGCATAAGGCACCACTATCTCTGGTGCTCCTTGGGATTCCCGTCGCGTTCGTTGAGTTCTCGCAAGCTATACTTATTAATTGAGCAGAACATGAAGCGCATCATGAGGCGCCGAATAAAGAACAGCCTTTCGTCATAAAACTTTTTAGGATGTCTGGACGGGGTAGCAGACACTGTCCCAGGGGCACGAGGTATGGTGAAGGTCTTGTTGAAAGAGAGGGCTGGGGCGCTCTCAGCGCTTTCCGACTGTACAGCTGGAGACACTGTCCGGTACGAACCACAGAAATCGTAGATCATTTCTTGGACACTTCCTGCTCCAGGATGCGCTATCATTAGTGAATTCGGGGCGACCGAAGTGATCGATGTGATCCTCTGCGTGCTGACGTGAAAGTCGCGCGACGAAAGACTTGCAGGTGAAGGCATTGTATACACCACACCGAGGCACCTCTCTTGCATACACAAGCCGTGCTTTTCGCCTTTGGAGATTGCCCATCTCGCCCATGCATGCGCCTCGTAACGAAGGCCAAGAAGGGTGTCTGCGTGGATACGTAAGGTGGCACGTGGCTCGGGCAGCCTCCACCACAGACCGCGTCTGTCGTGCAGCCGGGCATTGACAGCAGAAGTTCAATTGCACTTCTCGTCTGCATCTCCTCCGCGATGCCGTCTCAGGAGGGGAACATAGAGCACGCCCTCGCCATGGCAGACACCCAGCCCCGCCCACAGCCCCGCTTCAAGCGCCTCGCATCCAAGCCCCTCAAGCTCGCAGCCAGCACCTTCAAGCAACGCAGCTCCAGAGCACCCTCTCCCGGCCCCTCTGCCACCCTCGCCCCTGACAACGCCTCTTCTGTCTCTGTCTCCTCCATTGCCACTGGAGGCTGGAAGAAGAGGGGAGCAGGTCACCAGCGCCTTTCTCGGACATCGGCCTCGGGGCTTACCCCCGCACAAGTCGCCTCTGCTGCAAGGGGCCCTAGTAAACCTCTCGAGGGCGAAGAGCCGGCCGCGTGGCTGCGAGTGAGAGTTGTTAAAGCGGCAAACCTGGTGGCAAAGGACAGGAGCGGTACGAGCGATCCGTGAGTCGGGTCCACGGGCAAACCTGTCTTGCTGATGCAGTATGCGCTTGCAGGTTTCTGAACCTTCTCATGCCCCCTGCCACACGTCACACCACCCCAGTCATCAAGAAAACGCTGAATCCCACGTTTCCCGCTGAAGGAAGCACCTTTGACTTCCCGCTGTATCTCAGCCTTGCCAGAGTCATCGGAGGTCGCGGCCTCGAGGGCGTTCTTTGGGATAAGGTATGTCTGAGGCACAAGGTCTGTACGAGTCTGACGCTGGTGTAGGATCTTATCAAGAAGGACTATATGGGCGAACTTTCGATCCCCGTCGACAAGTGGTTTGCAGACGGTATAGCACGCCTCTGGGATGAGCAGTTACCGGTGCGCATTGGCTTTTCGAAAAAATAACCGCTAATACCATGACCAGCTCCTGACGCAACGGATCTTGTCCACCAGACGGAGGCACAAGGTGTCTGGTAACATCTCTTTTCAGATCGGGTTCCTCCCACCCAAAGGGGTGACCACCAACGACGAAGCCCTACGCACAGTCAAGATTGTCTATGGATCTCTTGTCGAGCAGGGCAACCTGAGCAAAGGATCTGCTGGTGTTCTCGGTGTCCCTGCAGTACGTGGGAAGCGCTTGGAGACGACCAAGCTGACCTTTTGCAGTACAAGGGTATCGGCACCGTCAAAATGCGAGCCCGCGATGCTCAGGCCGAAGAGAGGCCCCACGTTCATGGTGCTTTCAATGCCATCCAGGGTGCCGCCTCCGCTGTCGCTGGATCTTGCTCTGGAGGTCACCGCATGTCGCCCGTTCTCAACCAGGATAGGAACGAGCTGGATGACGACGAAGACGCTGAAGACGACGACGAAGACCTCCTTTCAGACGACGGCATGTCTTCCAGCTCGTCGAACGACGAATATGAGGATGCGCAGGATGAGGATTACGGCGGTGTAGGTCTGCACAGGACCGAGTCGCCTTTTGCCGAGCTTCTCAGCGACCAAACGGCCGGCTTGACTATCCACCCTGCGGATACTGACGACAAGGTCCCAAAGACTGCCGGATACCTCGACCCTCAGCGAAAGTACGAAACCCCTATGAGAAAGACATCACTCCCTGCCCCGGGCTATTGGGAAGCTCCAAACATGGTAAAGTCTAGCTCCGCGGACTCTGCAACATCCAGCTCAGGTGCGCTCACGCCCGGCGTTCCGGTCTCGGGCGCCGCTACTCCTGGCGGCACCAAGCTCAAGAGACCTTTGTTCGGAAGAGGCAAGAGCAGGACGTCCAGCGGCAACGAGGGGAAAACGGTGGAGAAGAAAAAGTCTAAAGGATTTGCGTTTGACGCCGAGCAGGGTAAGGATATGCTGGGTATTGTCATCCTGGAGATTAAGAGCGCCGAAGATTTGCCCAAGCTCAAGAATGGTGTGTATACCATGCTGTGTATCTGCTGTAACTAACACACCATAGCTTTACGTGTGTCTTTCGACATGGACCCCTTCGTCGTCATCTCTTTTGGCAAAAAGGTTTTCCGTACCCGTGTCATTCGACACTCTCTCAACCCCGTCTGGGACGAAAAGCTTCTCTTCCATGTCCGCCGCCATGAAGCTGCCTATACCGCGCAGTTTGCGGTCCTGGACTGGGACAAGGTGTCTGGCAATGACATGGTCGGAACGTGTACATTACCACTGAGCGAGCTGGTCGAGGATGCTCCTAAACCTGACCCATCTACTGGGCTATATGACAAGGAAGTTGACGGGAAGCACGCGATGAAAGAGTTTACTGTCAGTCTACCAGAGATCTGTTTGGATATCACTAATACCCCGGAAGTTGCCAATCTCCACCGACAAAGACATGGCTTGGGAAAGCAGACACTCTCCCAAGCTCACCATCCGTGCCAAGTACGAGCCTTATGATGCTCTCCGCCAACGGTTCTGGCGCCAATACATCATGCAGTACGACGTCGACGAGACAGGCGCTCTATCCTACACTGAGCTCACTGCCATGCTCGACTCGCTCGGTTCCACATTGACTCGCAACACTCTCGAAGGATACTTTGTGGCGAGCGGCAAGTCGCCCGAAAGGGATGAGTTGACGAACGAAGAAGTCATCAGGTGCTTAGAGAGGGAAGTCAACAAGAGTCGATATGAAAAGGCAAAAGTCAGCCCGAACGGTGCTTCTGACGATGTGGCCACAACCGGCTCTAGTACGCCTGCTGCCCAATCTGGTAAAGACGGCTTGGGCTTTGTGGGTCCAGAGGGCGATGTGTCTTCGCCTGTCGACCCAGATGAGCTTGCACAGTCGATTCTCAAGAGCAAGCCTAGGAATCAGGAGGGCGCTGGGAACGATGATACCGCGGGCAACCAAACCAACATCGAGAGGCCTGCCTCTCACCGTAAAGATTCTGATGTTCCCGCGGTCAAGGTAGAACGAACTACTTCCTTTGATGGCAAGACTGTCCCTGCACCTGGCCAGCCTGGAGCCGACGGAAGCCTGACGCCCATGTCTGCTTCAGACGTCGATATGGATGAAAACGACGCATCACCTGCCGATGACCGCGAGCGAATTATCAATATCAAGACCTGTCCCCTCTGTCACCGCCCCCGATTGGGCAAAAAGACAGAGCAGGATATCGTCACGCATCTTGCTGTCTGTGCTTCAGCCGATTGGAGTCGTGTCGATAGGATTGTGACGGCCAATTATGTGACTAGCAGTCAGGCTCAGCGAAAGTTCCTGAGCAAGATTGTCAACAAGGTTGCTATCGGCAGCTACGCCTTGGGGGCCAACAGTGCCAACACTATTGTGCAGGATAGGATTACTGGGCAATTGCAGGAAGAGAAGATGGCTGTACGTTGCCTCCAGTGTCGACTGAAAAGTTGCTAATGATCTATAGGTTTACGTGAGAATGGGCATCCGGGTCCTCTACAAAGGTGCTAAAAGCAGCATGCACGGCGCTCGAGGTATGTGTACCGTGCAGTAACCAGGGGAAAGCTCACCAATGATATAGCCCGCAAGCTTCTCAAGTCGCTGTCCATCAAGCAAGGTCTCAAGTATGACTCTCCTGCCTCCGCCCTCGACATTCCGGGCTTCATCGCGTTCCACAACCTCGACGTTACTGAGATTCTTGACCCCCTCGACTCTTTCAAGACCTTTAATGAATTCTTCTACCGCAAGCTCAAGGCCGATGCTCGACCTGTCGAAGAGCCCGACAACCCACACAGGCTCGTGTCGTGTGCAGACTGTCGGATGATGGCTTTCGAGACTGTCAACGAGGCAACTCAGATATGGATCAAGGGAAGGGAGTTTTCCGTTGCCAAGCTGCTGGGACCAAACTACAAAGATGTGATCAACAGGTATGACGGAGGTGCACTGGCAATCTTCCGGTGAGTTGAGCTTTCGACAGACTTTCTTCACTCTTGACCTATGTGATGCTTTTACTCACAATTGCTACAGCCTCGCCCCGCAAGATTTCCACCGCTATCAATCGCCGGTCGATGGTAAGATTGGCAAGGTGAGTCCGGTCCAACAAAGAGACAGACGTTGACTGACTTCTAACACAGATGACTTCCATCGATGGAGAATACTACACTGTCAATCCACAGGCCATCAGGACGACTCTAGACGTCTATGGAGAGAATGTTAGGATGGTTGTGCCTATAGAAAGCCCTCAATTTGGTCTGGTCATGACTGTTTGGGTCGGGGCCATGATGGTGGGGTCCATATTGAGTTCTGTGGAGGAAGGACAGGAGGTCAAGAGAGGTGACGAGCTGGGGTACTTTGCCTTCGGTGAGCATTCTATCCCTTTCTGTTCTTCTGATTTTGCGCTAATGATGTACTCTAGGTGGGTCTACCATCGTCTGCCTGTTCGAGAAGGGGGCAGTCAAGTGGGACGATGACCTGTTGCAAAACGGGCGTGCCAGCATTGAGACGCTCGTGCGTGTCAATACGGGTATTGGCCGCAGCACTAGACAAGCTTGAGGGATTCTTCTATGCATCAAGAGAGCAGATTTTACCAACATGTACAATAGACAATACGACAGATTTGAAACATGAATGTTATTTTACGAAGCACTGCCAAATGCCCCATCATAATACTGTTTTAATCAAATCGATATCCCAATGGCGCAGAAGACAGCCGATAAGATGCGAAAGATGCAAGTGGGTGGATCGCGAAAGTGGAGGTCCGGCTACTGTAGTGCCGGCGGGCTCGCGAGGCTAGGTTGCGACATCCCCCCGTTCATTCATCCACCATCTGTCTGCTGCACCAGGACATAGGGACACCATGGCCACAAAGTCCCATCCCTCCCTCACCCCATTTGGCTCAGCTCTGGCAGGCGCACTGGGATCAGTCTTTGCAAACTCGTGCGCACCCCGGCTCGCCTCTCGTTATGTGCTCACCCTAGCTGTAGCCTGGTGTACCCCCTAGACATTGCAAAGACCCGTCTCCAGGCCATTGACGACCCCCTAGCTGATCTTGAGCCTGACGCAGAACCCGACCCTGCGGCCACCCCATTCGAGGAGAAGACCCAGGAAGTCCAAGACCAGATCCTTGACGCAAAGGCCAAGAAGCAAAAGAAGAGGGAGCAGATTGAGCGACTTCGACGAGTTCTGGGGAAGAGGTTGAGAAAGTGGGGAATGTTGACGATGTTGTTGAGGATTGTGCATACTGAGGGTTGGAAGGGAGCTTTCCATGGATTTGGGGCGACTATGATCGGGACATTCTCCATGCGTGGGTGCATTGCAATTGTTGAGGATATACAGCTGATATGATCAACAGAGTTTGCCTATTTCTTCTTCCACACATTCCTTCGAAAGACTTATTCGGCTCGCCTCTCCTCCTCCACCGCTCACCTTTCGACATCTACCGAGCTTCTCCTCGGCGCCCTCGCCGGTGCTCTCGCACAGATATTCACCATCCCCGTTGCGGTCATCGCTACTCGTCAGCAATTATGGGACCCTCCTTCCCAGCCTGCCATCTCTGACAAGCAGGCGTGGCAAGACAACAGTCCGAGCTTGCTCGATACTGCCCGAGAGGTCATCCAAGAATCGGGAATCACGGGGCTGTGGACGGGACTCAAGCCTTCGCTGGTGCTCACTGTGAACCCGGCAATCACTTATGGTGTATTCGAAAGGTTAAAGACTTGGAGGCTGGCAGCGAATGCCAAGGCTGGGAGGGGCGGGCCCAATTTGAGTGCGGCGGAAAGCTTTTGGCTTGGCGCGGCGAGCAAGACGTTGGCCACTGTTGTCACCTATCCTTACATCTTTGTGAGGTCCCTTTACGTATCTGTGTAACAGCTGCTGACATGAACAGGCTAAGGTAAGGCTGCAGGCCAAAAGCGTCGAGACGGTCCCCCTCGCCAAAGAAATCCAGAAGGGTGACGCGCCCTCGTACGCAGACATGGCCAAGAGCTCCCCCTCTGAAGGTTCTACCGTGCTTGTGGAGCACCCTACGTCCCCTTCCCAAGTAGAAGAAGGCGAGAATCAAGCGATCAAACCCATCGAGGCAGTACGGGAGATTGAGGCCGAGCGCCCCCATCCGCACCCCCCTGCACACCATTACAGGGCTGCTATCCCACTTTTGAAGGCAGTCTATGCCGAGAAAGGTATCAAGGGACTGTACCAAGGCTTGGGTCCTCAGATACTCAAAGCTGTTCTCTGTCAAGGTGAATCTTAGTGTACTTTGACCGAGGAGCCTGCTAACCACCCATCAGGAATTCTTTTCGTGTCCAAGGACCATTTCGAGAGTTACGCTTGGATGTTGATCGTTTTGTTCTCCCAGCTTAGAGCCAAAGTAGGTAGCAGTCAGAGATAATTGATAGGACATGATGCATGTACGACTACACGCTCTCATCTTTTGCCTCCCCTGACCATGATCTTCTTTACCTTTGGCGCCTTGCCCTCACCTGGCGCAGCTCCTTCAAGCTGACCATTCTTTTTCCTCTCCTTCTCTTGCTCCTTTTCCCTCTTTATTGCCGCCACAGCCACACCCGCGGGCACTACAGGGGAGTGCAGAGGTAATCTGTCGTCTAGGGCTGGGATGGTGGGAGGAAGGGGAGGCCGAGCAGGAAGCTTTGGTGGAGGGGGAGGAAGTTTGGCCTTGGGTGCTGCCTTGGCCTTGGACTTGCCCTTCTTGGGGGCAGCTTTGGTAGCAGGGGTGGGCGCAGCAGCCTTGTGGCGGCGGGTAGGGGTGGTAGAGGGGTTGAATGCGAGGTCGGGGTTCCGCTGGCGGATTTGATCGGCAAGGTGTCGATACAAGTCGGTACCTGCTCAAGTCAGCAATGTCCCGAGACCCAGAAGGAGACGTACGGTTCTTGACGATGGGGTTGACAAACCTCCCATCCTTCTCAAATTGCACCTTGACTCTTCCCGGGTTCTCCCAATCCGCGGGGTGGCACCTTTCCGGTTCGAGTATACTCGGCAAGCCAAGGGCACTACAGGCCTGTGCAATATGGGTTGCGAGAGGCCACCAGACAGCAGAGGAGCGAGGAACTCGTCGTCCGGCGTTGACAGACGCCTTGGCATCGAAATAGATAGGATAGAGCGAGTTCCAGCTATAAACAATCAGTGTCTGAAACGTCAAAGCGGAACGCGCTTACTCCTTGTAGAGACTGGGGTCACCGCCGACCGCAGCATTGCCAAACTGCCTTCTCAGCTTTGCCAGCCTCTCCTCCTCGTCCGCCTGCAGTTTCATCATGTCGCCCATGAATCCTCCCATCGGCGTATTGGGATCAATCCTCGGCCCACTTTGACTCGTGGACGGTCTCAAGTCGTCGTCTCGCTGAGCCATCTTGCCCTTCCCGTTCCCGCTAGGAGCCCTGGGAGGGGGCGCTGTCGAGTTCTCTCCAAAGACACCGCGGCCCTGCTCTGCGATCCTTTCAAAGTCCATGTCGCCGTCATCGTCTGTGATCTCTTCGAGGAGGGCGCCGCGTTCTCCGAGGTGGGGGAGGGGGCGGGGCTTTGAGCCTGATGCGGCGGGGAGGGGGATATCTGTGTCGTCGTCAAAGTAGTCCTCTACGGTGGGCATGGTGGTGGTGGTGGATGTGCTGACGTTGGCAGGAAACGCATAGATAGAGAGGCGGCGATAGCCGGGAATTGTGGGCGTGGCGCGTCGGTGGGCCCCGCTATGGATGACCGCTCACATCCCATACATTTCAACATTCTCTATTGCATCTACATCTCCCCTGCCCTCCCCTCCTGACCCCTGCCCCTCCCCTTGTCCCCCCACCCACTGCCCGACCCCGCCACCATGGCTTCCCCCGGCACCCAAACAGCGAATGCCATCGCTGCCATCACCAATCGTTCCAACCTTGTCATCCCAGAGATAGACTTTACCCAGCACCAGCTTGAGAATGGAGAGATTGTCAGCACCGAGGAACGGGTCGTCAAAGATGTACGTGTCTTGAGTGTCTCCAGCTATATCTCAGACTTCTATGTGCTGTGGGGCGAGGTGCGGTGGCGTGTGCGGTGCCAAGTGGCGTCACTGGAGCAACACAGTTTGCACCCGTATCCGACTGCCAGAGACTGCCAAGAGAATGAAAGCTGTACAATGAGGGTTTGGTATCTGCACGATACCTACGGCCACGTCTTATGAATGGCTTGCTGACAATCTCTCTCCCAACCATAGGTCCAAGCACCAGCCATGTATGTCCCCACCGACGACCAATTCTTCTCCAAAACCGACAAGAGCAAACCCGATATCGCTTTCCTCAAGAACCACTTTTACCGAGAAGGAAGATTGACAGAGGAACAAGCACTCTACATTCTCGAAAAGTGCGTGGAGAGGGCGCGTCAGTCGAGATAGCAGTCTGACGACCATTACAGGGGTGGAGAGATTTTGCGATCAGAACCCAATCTACTCGAGGTCGACGCCCCCATCACTGGTCAGTGTGGCGCCGATGATCATGATGGGAATGCTAATGTCCTGCAACAGTTTGTGGTGACATTCACGGGCAATATGTGCGTTCATTGTGCGGCCATGAAATTGTAGCTGACCAGGTGCGCAGTATGACTTGATGAAGCTCTTTGAAGTTGGAGGTAACCCAGCAGACACCCGATATCTGTTCTTGGGTGATTATGTGGACCGAGGTTATTTCTCCATCGAGGCGAGTCATCACAAAGATCAGCGAGCGCGTGCTGACAATCTCGCAGTGTGTGCTCTACCTGTGGTCGCTCAAGATGTGGTATCCGGATACCCTCTTCCTTCTCAGAGGCAACCACGAATGTCGGCATTTGACCGACTACTTTACCTTCAAGCTCGAGTGCAAACACAAGTACTCTGAGACGGTATACAATGCCTGCATGGAGAGCTTTTGCAACTTGCCGCTGGCGGCAGTTATGAACAAACAGTTCCTCTGTATCCACGGTGGCTTGTCTCCAGAGCTCCACACTCTTGATGATCTGCGATCAGTACGTCTCGTCAATGACTGTTTGAATCGGGCTGACTGTGTGCAGATCAACAGGTTCCGCGAACCACCTACCCAAGGGCTCATGTGTGATATCCTCTGGGCCGACCCACTGGAAGACTTTGGTTCGGAAAAGACCAACGAAAACTTTTTGCACAATCACGTTAGAGGTTGTAGTTACTTTTTCACCTACAACGCGGCATGTCAGTTCCTAGAGAGGAACAATTTGCTGTCTGTAATCCGAGCCCACGAAGCTCAAGATGCTGGGTAAGTGTGTCTCGTGCAGACTGGACCGTCGCTGATCTGTATACAGTTATCGAATGTACCGAAAGACAAAAACAACGGGATTCCCTTCAGTCATGACCATCTTTTCAGCACCAAACTACCTTGATGTCTACTCCAACAAGGCTGCCGTGTTGAAGTATGAGTCCAACGTCATGAAGTGAGTTGCGTCTTGTCCCTCGAGAATAAAACTGATTGGCGTAGCATCCGACAATTCAACTGCACACCTCATCCTTACTGGTTGCCCAACTTTATGGACGTATTTACTTGGAGTTTGCCGTTTGTGGGTGAAAAGAGTGGGTATATTTCCAATGACTGCGAATTGCGCTAACGAGATTAGTCACGGACATGTTGATTGCCATCCTCAACTGCTGCACCAAGGAGGAACTCGAGGAAGAAGAGGCCGAGCTGCCAATCGCCGCTCCCGAGACCCAGGTCTTGGACCCCGAGTCTGCCGCTGAGCGTCGCCAGATCATCAAAAACAAGATTCTCGCCGTTGGCCGAATGTCGCGTGTGTTTTCGCTTCTGCGTGAAGAATCTGAACGAGTCTCGGAACTCAAGAGCATTTCTGGGTCCAACACTCTCCCTGCCGGTATGCTGGCGAGCGGTGCCGAGGGTATCAAGGAGGCCATCCAAGGCTTTGAGGATGCGAGAAAGAGCGATATCGAGAATGAAAGGCTGCCTCCCGACATTGTCGACGTGCGTGCCTTGTGCTATTGGTGTTTGCGTTACTGATTTGACTGTAGCCTGATGAGGACAATCCTGCCTCTGCTTCTCAGTCGCCCAGCATGCCTGCCACGCCCGAAGAGCTTCCTGACGGGTTCCGCGATTCCCCCATCATCCCGCCATCTACCCCCGTGCACCAGGTCGCGTCGCCCGGCGGCGCCGGTTCTCCGGGCACACCTGGCACCCCTACCTCTCCCCACATGGATGTCTGGCGTCCCGGGCACGGCCGCCGTGTCAGTCTGGGCACGACCAAGACGTCGCCGTCGACGAGAAGAAGGAGTCTGGAGAATACGATGCACCTTATCCGGGACGTGGTCGGTGGAAAGGATGCGGGGGGTGATGGTCAGTTGGAGAGGGTCGCAGAGGTCATCTCGAGCCCCAACAAGGAGAAGGGTGGAAAGTAGACTATGACTATGGGTGCCTGTGTCCTGTATACCCTATAACGTTTCTACCCTCCCATATGATTACCACGAAATTATCCAGACTAGCAATGATTCCTTCCCGTATGGTCGTTTTTGTATGATACGTTAGTTTGCCCTCCGGCCGTTTCGGCACGGCGGAGGATGTGGATGCATATACGATTGGCACGCTGCTCTGTTTGCGAAGAGATGGCGGTGTTGTGTGGCGCCTAAAGCTTGCGGGCAAACCGAGGATAAAAAGAGCACGCCATCGCAAAGAAGCGAGAATGAAGGACAGGCCGGTTTGATGACCGGGAATGCCTCTGCGTCTATTGGCCCTCTGCCGTTTGCGCCGCCTCGGACCCTGGCAAGGAGGACAATGGCGAAATGCAGAGGGAACGCGAGACGAAGGCCGTGCACATCGGCTTTCCCGCGCCTCCAATCACCAGTATTGTATGATTGTACCGTTCCCCACTCTGGCAATGGCATGGGCATAGTGGGCGTTGGGTAAGCCATCAAGATGATCAATCAGCCATCAAGTAGGGCCCTTGATGCCATGCAAGCGCCTCGATCGAGCGTTCCATACGAGGATCGTACGAGGACTATCCTTGATCCCACGAAAAGCCCTCGTGGCTGCTGTGGCTGCTGATAAATCTGCTCGTGCTCCTGATACTCTTGAAAAATTGTTCTTGCTGATGGGCTGAGGGCATTGTGATGAGATGGGATACTTGATATTTGCATCGCCATCGTTCTACGCCTATACAAGACAACGGATGACTCCTGATGGAGCTGTTTCACGGACGAAAGAAAAAACTTTGACAAACTGATATACTCTCGGGTAGTGAACTGGGGGGGTTACGAAAAAGCGAAATAGAATAGAAGCTCTAGGAAAAACGCTTCACTTTGTTGAAAAAGCACAATGAGAAAAGAATAACACAACCCTGAAAAAAGCCCCCCGTCCGGCTACTAGATACAAAAGGTGATGGGAAAAGACGGAAAACAACTGCAAGATAATCCGAGGCAAGGGGCTATTCGTCCCTCTTTCTCTTGCCCAGCGCGGCCAGAGCAGCCTGGAGCGTCTCGTTCGCCGACACGTCCTGGGAACCAGCGCCGGCAGTCGCGAGGGCGGCGGCGGCGGGGTTGGAGCCGTTCAGGACAATGGCCTTGAGTAATCTGTTTTCGTTTTCGAGCGAGGTGTTTTCAGCGGTGAGGGCAGAAACCTGGTTTTCGAGTTCCTCTGCCAAAAGATGGTCAGTCGAAAAGTAGACAATGTGCAAAGGGTGACGCGTACTGGCTCGACGCTCAAGGGCCTGCTCCCTCTCCTTCTTCTTGGCTCGGAACCGGGCAGACGCCTCGGTGTTTCGTCGTCGCTTGCTACAAGAACAGAGATACGACGTCAGTTGATTGTCTTTTCCAAAAGCAGGCAGGAAACTCACTCTTCCTCGATCTCGACCTGGTTGGCACCAAGAGACTTTAACTTCTTAGCGCCAGAGGGCTTGTCGTCGTCCTCATCATACAGGCTGATGCTCGCGGAACGGCCACTGCTGACAGACGGCATCACGTCCTGGGTAGTGACGGCAGCCGGTGTTTGTGAGAGGGTCTGGACGGGGGTGGCATAGGGGGCAGGGAGGGGCATGAGATAGTTGCTGATGGTCTGGGCGGTGGTCGCCTGCTGGCTGGCGCTGCCCGAGGAGTGGCCCATGTAGGCGGCGAGGAAGGACTCGAGGGTGGGCCTCTGCTCCTCCTTGGTGGAGGAGGCAGGGGTGGCGACGGTGGCCGGGGTGGGTGCCGGGGCGGGGGCGTGGAGCTGTTGCTTGCGCTTTTCGTCGTCGTGGTTCTCGGTGGGGGAGGGCGCGGTGCCAAAGTTGCGGAAGAGCTCGTCGGCGTGGAGGAAGCCCCAGAAGGCCTCTTCCTGCTCTGCATTCATGGCAGCAGAGGGAGGGGAGTTGCCGGGGAGGGCGTTGAGGGTCTGGAGGTGTTCTGGGAGGTCTGGGAACATGGCGGCGGGGGGAAGAGACAGGTTGTTGTCGGGTATATATACGAAGAGTGGGGGCCTCGTGGCAAGATGAGCGATGTGCTCTTTTGGGACCAAAGGAGGGGCTGATTAGATTGTAGAGAGGATATGGAATATGGGAATCTCTCGAATACCCCCCGACGAAAACTCCCCAAGCACGCCATTTCAGATTGCCAATCCCAATGCCACGTCACCCTCCCCTGACATCATGCTTATCACCCCACACTGCCCTTCATAGCATGCACTGTCAACGTCTGCAGGCGCATGTCGGTGCAGCGTATCGGATATGCATCGCCTTCCCTTGTCCCTTTCTGCCTTGTCTCCCGAAGGCCAGCAATCAAAGGTGGCAGGGCGCAAAATGTGCCACGCTTCACCCGATTCTTCCGTGTTTCAGCCACATCTAGCCAGCGAGACCATTCAGCCAGAAGAACATGCAAGAACATCTAGCAACGCAACAGACATGTCCCAAACAACATTGCATCCCAGTATATGATTGGTTTTTCTCGTTAGTCTACTCTAGAAAATGCGCGATACATTCTTTTACAAGATCCTGTTGATAATGTCCTTGGTGACATCAGTGGTAGAGGCGTTACCGCCCAGGTCGGCAGTCCTGACCTTGCCCTCTCGGACGAGGTCGTACGTGGCACCGGCAATCAAGTTGGCCTGGGTTTCGAGACCGAGGTGACGGAGCATCATGGTGGCGGAGAGGATGAGGGCGACAGGGTTGGCCTTGTTGGCGCCCATAATGTCTTTACCGACGTGTCGGCATCCAGGCTCGAAGAGAGCGTATTCCTTTTGGCAACAGTCAGTCTGTGCACGCTAAACGGGGGATCTGCTTACTCGGCCAAAGTTACAACCAGGGGTGATACCGGGGCCGCCGACAAGGGCAGAGGCAATGTTGGAACAGATGGCACCGTAAAGCTGTAACAGTCAGTATAGTCCCATTATCGACAATGCATTTCGCTCACGTTGGGCTAAATCATCGTCAGCACTGACCCTTTTACACTCTCGACAAAACTCACCATAACCATGACGTCAAACTGTTGGGGTCTAGAGACAAGCTGCATGGCAGTGTTGTCGACAATCATAGATTCAAACTTGATGCCAGTGTGTCCGTACTCTTGCTCGGCAATCCTCTTGCAGGTGTTGAGGAAAAGACCGTCACCAAGCTTCATAATGTTGGCCTTGTGGACGCAGGTGACCTTCTACTCGTTCCCAACCTATTAGCGCCTATATTCTCACCCAAAATGAGATACCATACCTTCCTGTTGTTCTTGATGGCAAAGTCGAACGCGAACCGGGCGATTCGCTCGGCCTTGGCCCTAGTGGACACCTTCAAAGACTCTACGACACCGGGGAAAGACTGGTGCTCAAGACCAGAGTACTCGCCCTCAGTGTTTTCTCGGATAAGGGCAAGGTCGACATCGGCGTGTCGGGTGGGGAATCCAGGGAGAGACTTGCAAACAACCACGGAAGCGTAAATGTCGAGTTGTTGACGCATCGCGACGTTCCAAGAGTTGTGGCCGGTCTGGTCAATGGGGGTGTAGAGGATACCTTTCGGTTGGGCGCGTCAGTACGCCCACGCCATTCTCCCCACCACACATACCCTTCAGTCCAACCTTGTTCCTCTTCAAGCTGTCCATGGCCTCCTGGAAGAGCGCCTCACCGCCAGTGGTCTCACCAGACACATCGTACTGCTCCCACTGGACAGGAGCCTTGATGGCCTCAAAGATCTCCTTGACAGAGTCGGCGACTTCCCGGCCGATACCGTCACCAGGGACAAGGGTGACAGTGTACTTGCCGCCAAACTTGGAAGGGAGCTACAGGCAGGGATCAGCAACGTGTCCCTTTGGGTAGCGAGTCCGGCAGCCAATGATGATTCCGGCAATGGGTGGTGCGGAATGGCAGGCGGTGGGCGTGTCACTCACCCTCTTCTCGTCGACAAGAGTGGCCATAGATCGGACGGCAGGGACGCGCTGTTGGCAGGAGGCAGGCGAAGAGATAGGGAGAGGCGGAGTGCAGAGGGAGGGAGGGAGGGAGGGTATCGTCAGCAGGGCTTCGTGTAGCTGTTGAATACTTACGGCAGCGTTGGCCCTGATGGCGGTGGTGGCGGAGGACCTGAGGGAGTGGGCGAGCATTTTCGGGTGTGGTGCAGAGATGGAACGCAGAAAGGTTTCGTGGTCGTTGGCTGTCCACCTCTCTGTTTGACTCCCTACGCCCGCCTACCACCGACTACCGCCGACCCTTATCCCGTGCCTCCCATTACAAATATTCAATTACCTTTTCTAATCCTCCTCCTCCACCTCCATCGATGCATCTTGATGCGCAGAGCTGCCCGCTACATCCACACCTCCCGCCGCCGCACCATGGCCGCCCCCACAGAGCCCACAGAGGCCATCAGGCAGACCGTCGCTGACAAGTGGCTCAAACCCAACGGCCCACCAGTCGGCACCACCTTTGGCGGCCGCCTCTTGAAGACAGAGGACGATGTCTTTAGCCAGAACGCTTGGTGCGCACATTATGCAGCTTTGATATATATGTGTCGAGAGCTGACGGCCTCTCAGGGATCATGCCGAGCTGCCGCCAGACTTTAAAGAACGAGCAGAACAAGTCATGGAGCTGCATAGGTCGAGCCCTGTCGCGCAAGACGTACGGGGTATGCCCTTTCTCAATTTTTTTGCATTGGTTGTAATCTGACTCTTGTCTCTTGACAAGATAAATACAACGAGAGACCTGCCGATTATTGGAACAAGTTTTACTCGCAGCACGAGGATGGGTTTTTCAAGGACAGAGGATGGTTACGGCTCGAATTTCCAGAGCTGGTCGCATGTAGCGAAGCGGACGTACGTTTGTCAGTAGTGTCTTAAGACGTCCGAGGGCTGATCGTATCATCAGGCTGGGCCCAAGACTGTACTCGAGGTCGGATGTGTAAGCTGCTGCACAATCAGAGTAAGGCATTGCTGACTAGAACTGGGAAGGGCGCCGGCAACACCGTGTTTCCTCTGATTCAACGCAATGAGAACCCTCATCTCACGATATTTGCGACCGACTACTCCGAGACAGCCGTCAAGGTAGTCAAGGTGTGTTTGTCCTCGTATCAGCCCGGTGACTGCCTAACAATATTGCAGGCCAACAAAATGTACCCCAAAGCAGACCACGGGCTGGGCGTGATGAACGCCTCCGTTTGGGACATCACCTCCAAACCCTCCTCACCCGACACTCCTGATTCTGCTGCCACGCAACCACCCGTGACCTACTTATTACCAGAAGGTATCGCTCCCGGCACAGTAGACGTCATCTCCGTCATCTTTGTCCTCTCCGCCCTTCATCCCCGTGAATGGAAACAGGCAATCCACAATCTCTACACCGCTCTGAAACCCGGAGGCCTGCTCTTGATCAGGGACTACGGCAGGCATGATCTCGCACAATTGAGGATCAAGAAGAACCGTCTGCTCGATACGCCTAACCTGTATATCAGAGGGGATGGGACGAGGGTGTACTTTTTCGAAAAGGAAGAGTTGGAGGAGATGTTGGTGGGCGCTCCTGCAGATGGGGCTGTCGATAACAGGAAGATGTTTGAGATTCAGCAGCTGGGAGAAGATAGGCGCTTGGTGAGAAATGCTGCGATGACTTTTATTTTCGGGCTGACCCAAAGTGCAGCTGGTGAACAGGAAGGAACGCTTGACAATGTATCGCATATGGATGCAAGTGAAGGCTAGGAAACTTGCTTAATGGAGCTCAGGTTCGGTCGGTAGAAGGATACATCGCATAGGCATGCGCAATCATCATATACCAAACGCATATCATAGACATAACTGCATTTCTATAAATTCGATTCATGAAATCATTTTTAAATTGTATATCTACTTTATGCTGGTAACCTTCGCATTCTTCTTCTTATCGACCAGTTCTAAGCAAGCACCCCAAACAGACACAGACACATTTCGAGTCAAACAATTTAAAGACGAGTGACAGCGAGTCTCTCGTAGATCTTGACCATGTCGGACTTTTTCTCTCGTCAGCACACCATCAATGGCATAAAATTGTACTCACAGTAACGCCCATAGCGGTCACGTCGGCACCAGCACCGGCACCCTGGATGATGAGAGGACGAGGAGAGTACCTCTTGGTGCTGAAAGAGATAATGTTGTCAGAGCCCTTGAGGGCGGTGGCGAAAGCATGGTCCACGGGGTACCTATATGCCGCGTCAGTCGATGCTCCTCACTATGGTCGAAACACTCACTTGGCCAACTTGGCCTCGACCTTGCCTTCCTTGACATCAAGCACACCCACATATCTCACGACCTTGCCTTCCTTCTGCGCCTCCTCCCTGAGGTTGGCAAAGAACGAGTCGCCCTCCTCCAATCGCTCAAGGTATTCCTCCTTGGTAGAGGCATTGGAGAGGACGTCGGGCACAAGAGACTGGGTAGGGATTGAGGCGTAGCCTTCAGGAAGAGCAGGGGCAGTGGGCACAAGACGGGCAAGAATGGAGAGCTTTCGAGCAACGTCAGACCCAGAAAGGTCGTCCCTGGGGTCAGGCTCCTACATATCTTGGTTAGCAGTCGCCCAATACACATAAAATAAGACGTACAGTGTATCCCTTCTCCTTGGCAATCTTGACGACATCGGAAAACTTGACAGTGCTTCCCTCGGGCTTGCTAAACTCGTTGAAGATGTAGCTCAATGTTCCACTAAATACACCTTCGATTTTTTCAATTTCATCGCCGGTCCCCACGAGGTCCTTCAAGGTCTGAATGATCGGCAGACCCGCGCCAACGGTGGACTCGCCATACACGGTCACAGGAGTGTTGGGGAAGGACTTTTCTGTGATAGACTTGTACAAAGCCTCGGAGCCAGAGAAACCCTTCTTGTTGGGGGTGACGATGTGGACACCCATGGACAGTATTTGGGGGTACATGCCGGGGATGACATCAGACCCAGTCGAGTCGATAAAGATACCTGGCGCATCGGGATGGGTAGAGAGGACAGAGACGACAGAGGGGACATCGAGAGCAGTGCCGTACTTTTCAAGGATGGGCTGGTAGTTGGAGGGAGTGAGGGGCGAGGCGGGGAGGGGGAGGGACAAGGATTGACGAGAGTTGGCAATGAGGACGAGCTGGAAGCGGGAGGCGAGAGGAGGCGAGAGGAGCTGAGAGAGGATGGCTTTACCAACACCGCCGAGACCGAGGAGGGCGACAGGGATGGGGCGGGGGGCGACGGGAGTGGACATGCTGCTGTTCTGTGTCTCGACGAGGAAGAATATGGAAGAACGCAGAGAGCTGTCGACTTTTCCGGCTTTGGCGTCCTGGCTGCTTTTCGAAACGCCGTCATCATCAACGTCACTACATTTTCATCTCCCCTTTCATCTGCCTTTCTTCCACAGCCCAGGCTCTACCACGATGAGGCCATGCCTCCAAAGATACCCCTGTTCAGTAGACGGTCTGCAATCGCTAGAAATATAGCAGCACGCCACTTTTCATCTAAACCTCATTTGCTTCGCCATAGAGCAGAGCTCGACTACCTCGCACCCTTCCGACGCTCGGCCGTTCCCCCCCCCTCGCGAGCAGACAATCAGCTTCAAAATGTGCTCAATACCTCAAAGCAGCCAGAGGCATACTCGGAGGGCCACCTTCCTTATGAGACCTCTTCCACGGCGCCTGTAGCCAACTCACTGCAGGAGGTTCCTGCTCATGGCACTGGCAGCCGAGTGGAGGATCCCGTCCCCGCTATGAAGGATACAAGCGGAGATGACAGCGCCAACAAGGACAGTGGGAAAGAGTTCAGGTCCAAACAGATGATCGTACAAGGCGTTGCTGTTCCTCCAAAGCCCATAGCACCCGGCGAAGAAGGTGAATACATTGCTTCACTTTTCATCTTGACAAGGCCTGAAGCTGACGTCGCCCGCAGAGTGCTGTATGTCAGGATGTGTCAACTGCGTCTACACCATCTACTCGGAAGAGCTCGAAGAGTATGTAGCAGCTCTGGACGCTGCACGGGATGCTCTTGAACGAGCACATGTACCCAAGAGTGACTGGCCTGCTGAAGTGGCCACGTCAGGAAGTGGGGATGCTGCCAAAGGAGATGAAAAGGACAAGGCCGTGGAAGGGATCGACCCTGCGATGAGCGCTTTCTTGGCGTAAGTTGACATGAAGATGAGAAGGCTTGGGGCTGATAATGGGGTTTGAACCCATAGGCTGGAGAACAAGCTCAAGAACAAGCAATAGCTGGCTATCAGAACTCATGTTATTTTGGCTCAACATGTTTCTGAGAGATCGAAGCAGTTCGACATGAGATTGATGGGTTGCCATGGAATGTTGGCATGCCGGTTGCGCTCTTTCTACGGCAGTACATTGCACAATCTATGCATAGTTGAATTGAGACGAATGTGTGCAAAAGATGTCAGACATAGGCACAAGACGGTGGACCCGAAAGAGCAAGCCGTGTCTACTCATGTCCTTATGAGAAGCTCTAGATTTTGGTCACGCTTTATGTTGCTTGTATGTTGGAGCGTCCCAAAAACACTTCACTGGACAGCAGGGAAGTTGGGGTCATAGGTCGGAAGCCCACCAACGATTCCTGCCAGAACTGTTAACTAATCACCGCCATGCGTTTTCGGAAGACAACTCACCATCAATAAGCATATTCCAATACTGGGTATTGTTGCCTTCTACTGCTCCGAATCCAGGCGGCATTCCATTGATGACAGCTGGGGCCTGCAGCGACGCGACAGGCGTAGCAGAGAATAAGGACGGGTCCAGCCACCCCGACTGGCCTTGCTGAGAATACTGTGGCTGAGGCTGCATCGGCATGGATCCTGCAACTTGCTCCATGTGCGACACGGACTGGCCGCCGGATGGGTCTTGGAACACAGGATCGACCGGGATGCCGCCTCCACCTACGGCACCTACGGGAGTGGGGTAGAGACTCATGTTGTACTGGTTCATGGTAGAGTCTGCCCCTGGACCAAAGGATTGATTTGTCACGAGCCAGTGGTCCAATCTAACCGATGTCAGCCCAGCGATTATACACGATGACCGCACACCTACAGTCTCTGAGGGTGATCATCCTCGGGGCTCGCTCCCATACTAGGGGGAGTCGGACCCACTCCAGCCCCGTAGGGGCTGCCTCTGAAATGTGCTTGAGCACTGCCCGAAGGCGAAGGCAGAGGCGCATTCCTCGACCGGTCACTCCGACCATTCTCACCGCCGTCGTGGCTGCTCGTCGGTGCCAAAGGTGGCGCCATAGGCGGCCGGGGATCACGGGGAGAGCCACGCTCGTATGACGTGTTATCAGTGGAAAGGCGGGGCTGGTATCGACGAAGCCTGCGTTCCTCCATTTCGACGGCCCTTTGGTGCAGAGTATGAATCTGAAAAAGAGTCAACAGGGGAGCATTGGTGCTAATGGATACTGCGTACGATGGCTGCCTCTTTCTGGGAGAAATCGTCCGCCTTGGGATCATGAGGATAATGTTCCATGAAACTCTGCACAATCTGGCGCATATCGTTGGTGTGGCTTGATCGCTGGATGCAGAGTCAGAAATACGCATACAAGGACAAGGCGGTGGCGAGCTTACGGGGTCTATAATCAAGCTAATACCAGCAATCATGGCAGCGTTCTAGAGCAGTAGATGATCAGCTCAGGAAGCAGTGTGTTCTCGCAGATACTCACAAATTCTCGGAAGGAGCTTCCCAGCAGAGTCTCGAAGAAGTCAGGGCAGTCAATCTTGAAAGCTTGTCGCTGTGTGGTATTTAGTGGTTGGTCATAGCAGATATGTAGAAGAAGCAGCATACAATTTTATAATCGGTGGTAGCGGCTTCGAAGCAAGCGTTTCTAGACAACACATATCGAGAGCTCCGTAATCGTCGCAGTAACCAAGGGCGCTGTCGTACTGTCAGTATAGCATTCCTTGTCATAATTTTGATACTCACGTGGAGTATGATTGTGAAGTGTAGGATCTCGGTTTGGATATAATAACGGTGGATAGATAAGAACCACAGCTCTGAAGACGAACGGTCAATACGGAAAGCAAGTCGAATGTGGTTACTACTCACTGTCGTCCCACGATTTGTCTGGGTTGTGCATGGCAAAGGAAGGTGGCATGCTTGCCACAAGCTCCTTTAGCTCAGCATCGATAGCCTCTACATCTTTGTAGCCCGTTTGCCCTTGGAGATGTTGGAATTGCTTGGTGATCTTGGCGACAATCTGACCCAAACCGCGACGGAGAATCAGGTATGTGCTGTAAGTCGGCTCTGACCACGGTTTGGGCTTGATCGCCTTGTTCTCCAATATGTCGGGCAGATCAGTATTCGAAGGCGGCCTAGATCTGGTCAGCGTCGTTCAACCAAAGCAGAGTGTATATTACAGAGTGTCCACCGACTCCTCATCGATGGATGTCGGTCTTCCCAGCAGACAAGAGTAGGTGGCGTCCGCATGGACCAGGTAAGACCAGAGTCTGCGCCTGTACTCGGTGACATAGGGGTCAAGACCAAGTCTTTTGCCATCGCGATGCAGACCGATTGCCTGGCCAGTAGTCAACGCCGAGCGGAACTCGGACCATCCTTCAGCCAATCGTCGTTCGTGCATGAGCACGAGGTAAAGACCGGTCTATTCTCATCTTCAGCATATGCGCAATATTAGTCTGACGAGACTTACACATATCCGAGTCTCGACCAGCTGGATATTCTCAGCCTTCACAGCGGACGCAATGATGACAGCTGATTTGGAGCTCCAGTACATCTTCAGACTCATGGTCCTTTTCTTCTCCTCCGATTCTATCAGGGCATCGGGGGCGATTCGCATAGAGATGGAAAGTACAATGAAGACCAGAGGAAGAGCGAGGACAGCAGAGGGGCTTGTGCCGTCGTTGTAGACCGATTCCAAGGCTACCATTTGGCGTAAGCAACATATTTGCCCGGCTCGGAGCTAAAATTGATACCTTTGCGGAACGCATGATCATCGATAGGATATCGTACAAAATTAAATTTTTGGAAGAACCAGTCGACAAGGGCATCGGCAAAGTCTTTGGCGGGCAGGTCCTTCATCAGGTCAGAGACCTTCGACATTAATCAGTACACGGTCAAGTTAGAGAATTTCATAAACTGACCTTCTCAGGACTGACACCACAATCGCCAAAGAGCTTTTGGAGTTGTTCTCCCGGTGTTCCGTGATAGTCCAGCCCTCTGTATACCGGTTGAGAGGAGTGCATCATCTCGAAGGCGGTCAGCTGATATATACACGTGGCCCTCGACGTCACTCACAGACTGGGGTAGAGGATTCCTGCTGGAAGTGGCCCTGTCAAGGCCACCCACGCCCCCGTCCTCACCCTCACTGTTTGCTCCCCACTCCGCAGAGTGCTCGTCTCTTCGGGACCTGACAGACGACGCGGTTGCAGGTCGCTCGATATCACCGCCTCTTGTTTCGGGCCGTGGACTCCCCTCAACATCTTCGTCTTGCTCATCTTCTTCGTCATCGAGGCCAGCGCCGAGGACTGGTGGGGAATCGGCAGGTGGATGATCTTGAGGACCAAAGTCAGCATAGTGTTACTTGGGACTTCGGATTACTCACTTATTCTCCAGTCACTATACGCCTTTGTGTCGTTGACCTCTGGTACCCTATTGACCATGGCATTGACGAGCGCCTCTAGTCTACCGACTCTAACACTGATGGTGGGGAGCATCGACGGCTTCATCTTGTCGGGCACAATAGCTCTGCCTTCTTCAGTTTTCACCTTGGGCCCGTCCTTATCCTTCTTGCCACTGCCGGCTTTGGTGCCCTTCGATGGAGAGTCTGCTCTGCTGTACGGGACACACAGCTCTGGGACCCGTCTGGCGACGCAATGTTGGCATGGAGTCTCCCGATTGCATTTTTGTTTTCTTTTGGCACACTCGGCGCAAGACAAGGCCACTCTTCTCTTCTTTTTCTTCTGGGGCTGGTCGTCACCTTCGCCGTCGTGGTCTGCCGGGTTTTGATGCTTTGATGAGCTTTTCCTTGCCGTAGACGCTGGCGATTGGCCGTGAAAATCGACGATGCTTTCTCTATGCGAGATGTGCAATCCATGCCCCGGGGATGGGTCTTCATGCCCTGGATGGTAGGAAAAAGACCCATTCGAGGACATTGGGGTAGCAAGAGAAGGTCTATGTCCACCGGCGGAATCCCTGTAAGTAGGCGCCCCAAAGGAGCCACTTCCTCGAGCATGGCTCAAGGCGAATGAACCTGGCGACGGAGCATCCCACGGGGTCGGAGGTGCCGATCTGTGGTGTGTATCTACACCTGGATGAGACAAGGGAGGAAGTCTGGTATACGAGCTGTCTCTCGGAGATTGAGCCCAACTGCTTCTAGCTCTGGATCCAGGACGATCAGGATGCGGCTGACTCGCCCATCCCTGCGGATCGGTATGGCCACCCGCCGGAGAGTGGGCGGGGGCATCCCGATAGCCAGGAGAGGCAGGAAAGTGACTCATAGGAGAGTTGGCTGAGGGAATAGGAGGGGGGAGGTGGTGATGGAAGCCACTGTAAGGGGGGCGAGGAAAGCCGCCTGCAGTGGATGGAACATGGGGAGGAGGTGGGAGGGGCTGTCGCTGATGATCATCGTCGTCTCTTCCGTGTTGCGGTTGCATGGTGGCCTTTGTTGACGGATGCGCGGGCGGATGTGATGTTGAGGGATGGTGAGGAAGTCAAATGAGATGGCGAAGACGCGGAGAGGATGATCCGCTAGGAGAGGATTGCCGCATCAGCCACTGCCCTAGTCCAGACATACGTATGGCAACGTGACCCACCTCGAATGTCGCAGCCGTGTTGCAGTCGCCCTCGTTTCTGCAGAGATGCAAGAAGAGACGAAGTTGCAGTATCTACCGATGTACGAACGAAAACACGAGATGACTTAATGCAGCAATCTAACAATTAAGGCCCGCCTCCTGAAGCTCCCGACCAGCTTGTTAACCGATCCCTGCAGGTGTCACCTTCCGCCTGTAAACCGACTTGGATCATTTGTAGCTTCTTTTGTCTGCAATCTTTCTCTCGCATCGCCAGGGTATACGGTCCTACCTACGGCCTATGGAATGCACACATATATCTCTCAGCTATACACAGACATCGGGTTCAACCACATCTCACTACGACGCTCGCCAGACAACCTCAATCGTCTCAATCGTCGAGCAAGAGTGTGGGCACGTATCATGCCGCGCTCTCTATCTGATTTCAAGCCCAAGTCGTGCTGAGTGTCAAAATGATCAGTACGCCATGTGCCTAATAATTGCCGAAAGGATCTACTGAAATATCGCGCTCCGCCGTCTCGGCTCTAACGAGGGGTTCTGCTGGCAGAGATCAGATCCCTTTTTCCCGGCTAGTTCTATGTACGACAGACAATTGCTTCCCCATTTCGGTTCTAGCTCTGGCGCCACATGGTCCGCTCTGAAGGAAGGGGGTGCGGATCTCAGAGGTTGTGTTGGCGGCGGCACAGGAGTTGCCCCTTCAAGCAGGAGGAAAGTAGCACCTGCATGTTCAAGCCATACCTGGGCAGCATGACATGCCTATATATATATATATATTACGGCCCACGGCCACCAACTTACTGCTAAACCCTTGCCGGTGCTGCTGCGCCACGGGCCACCGTCCGCCAATTATTGATGATTTCATGTGAGACATGCCGGCGTAGCTGGACCTGACGAAGCCCGACCTGAGCTTTGAACTTTGCGTATGCGGGGCTCAATCTCCTTTTGGGCCGGGCCATTTGGGTATCTTTGGTTCGTTCTCAACCAGTTCTCATGTACGAGTATTACGAGTACTGATCGAATTTGCGTTCAAGAGGAACAAAAAAGCCATAATTTACAGAGGTACACTTACTCCTCTTATAGCTGCTTGGTGCGCGTGCTACTTTTAGTCGGCAGAGAGATGAGAATCATCGGATCGGGGCGCACCTGTTCTCCCTTGTAATTCTTCTCCCATATTCCCTGCTGTATGTCGCCAAACAAGGCGGCAAACGGCAGAGCGCGGAGAAGCAGGGAGGAAATTGAGCCTGACTTTTCTATTGCCTGACTCGTTGCGATACCGAGAGTTTGGTAGTGGTGACTGGCCTCTAGAAAATTAGTTGGCTGGCACGACTGTAGAGTTTACGGATGTACATAGTTCAGCTGTTAGGTTTAGTGCCGACTGCAGCACGCCATAAACGGCAGGCTTTGGGCCGGGTTAATACACATAGATCCGGATATAAAGTGTAGGTATCTCCATCTTCCCTATGAAGTTGTTCGCTGCGTTTATCATATACTTTGCTGTGTTCCAGCCGGACATGAGCTGCCATGGCATGTGCGAGTGCAAACGTAGGTAGATAACTGTACGAGTACTCGACTATCGTACGTATGTGGTAAGTACATGATATACCATACTCGTAATAATCTGCAACAGGTAGACATCAAGGCTCTCATAGGAGAGAAGTTGATTTACAGTACTCAGGCTTTTCTGACCTGAGTACCAGAAAAAGGTCTATACCAAACGCCAAACTAAGTTTTCAGAGTACACGGCATACCCGCCAGACTCATGATCACGACATCACTGCCTCCCGCTATCTACTATTACCGACCGTTTCCTCGGACATGTCTGGCCAGCCCGTGGGATCTAGCACCGGGCCAGCGGTTTTCGTCTTCTTTCGGTGTTTCGCCCTCTCAGATTTGGCAGACTTTGAGGCTACAGACTTGGTCCTAGCTACAGACTTGCCGCTGGGTATTGCTGATATGAAGCTGGGTGCGACAGTCGTCCGGAAGGAACGAATCTCGTCTTGTCGTAGAGAAGAAAGCTCCCAAGTGCTGCCAGGCTAGCAGAGAAGCACCTTGTCAGCATGCGTCACTCTGCACACACTCGTATCTGGGTACAGCAACTTACATCGACAATTGCGCCGTTCAAGACATCTGAGATCAGTGTCGGTGTGGGTGAAGTCACAGACAAACCTCCGTTTCGAGTATTGCTATTGTAAGCTAACGATGGAGATGTTGTCTGCTACGAAATTCGTCAGTCGTGAATCGGCTGCACGAGAAGCCACGAGCTTACATGAGAAGCCACATATGTATCCACTGTCACCCTTACACTGCCATCCTCTTCCTCATCGCACGATTGTCCCTTGTGAGAGAAGCTCTTGAACATGCTGGAGCCTGTCATGCGCGAGACGGACAGCTTGTCTGCACCCTCAGTAGCTGTTTCGACAATGGCTTGGAGACAGCGTCTATAGTTCAAAGGCCCGAGAACGGATATCAAAGCCAGTGCGGGTAGCGTTTGAAGTGTTGTACGCGAGATGCACCCTATGGCACATTAACAATCGTCAGCGTCTGTCCTTGTTAACAATGTTAAACGGGGACATACCTAGAGAGGGTGTGCTCGCGCAGAGCTGGACGAGAAGAGCGCACCCGACTATCACTGAGGGTAATCTGAAACACGATGTGAGCTTGGCACAGCAGTGATTCTCACATAGATAAGCGTGGCGAGACTTGCAGGCTTTCAGACACCATCCTCAACATTACTCTTCCCAATCCATGATACTGACCAAATCCCTTCCGTTGTTCCACGATTAAGGCACCGACTGGATTGTTATGGTAACAGGGATTGATAAGCAATCCAGTCTGATGACCTGCCACTGATCTCACTCACGCGCTGCCCAGATACAGATGTTGCCTCCAGCCAAAAGAGCGACCCAGCCTCTGTACAGATCGCCTTGGATTCGGAGCCATGTTTGGAAAGAATCGAGATTGCTGATCGACAAATTGCTGATCGATATGCCGTGAGGAATAGCTCTGAGGGCCGACGCTTTGTCAGTAGTCTACTGAACAAATCAGATGAGGTTCTCACTCACGCCCCGGTCATGCCTACAAACGCCAACACTATCAGAATCAAAGGGCTGCAGAACCAGTGCCGTCTGCTTATTCCAGCCATCTCCCATACCCTCCAGGTGTGGTGACCTGCTGCAGCCGTACACAGGATTCCTGCGATAGCGAATGTGGCTATATTGTCTTTCATGTCGGTCACAATGATACTGGCATAGTCGGACGATCCCGTGAGGAGACGATGCGCTTGCACTGCTGTGATGCCGACGTTGGTTCTATCGCGCAGGTCAGCTAACATTCGCTCTAGATGAGTGCCGGTACCTACATGACGCCAGCCCTAGCATCACGCCTACTACCAGGGACGCTGGGTCGGACATAGCATAATTCTCGAAATACCTCTGAGCTTGAGAAAGAGAAACTCCCAGCAGGATACCTTGAAATAAAAGACCGAGGGAGGCACACCACCACAGTCCCATCGAATGTTAGTCCTTGATGATACCCTATGCTTGTTCGAGGCCGCTCACAAGTATATGTGCCGAGCTTGAGCTTATCAATTGTCAGACTAAGAGGTTGAGATAACCTTCATCTGAGCTCATGCTTGTCGGACAAGAGGTCGGTGATGCGTTGGAATCACGATTGATGCTGACTTTGACGGGCGGCTTCCACGGTTGGTCCAAGTCGAACGGTCAGCTTAAAGTTATCAGCCACTATTGTACTTGATCAGAAAGGGCTCACCGGGAGGTTGTCAATGTGACCTAGCGAAGACAAGACAGTGATATGGATGGAAGATAGAATGGCCGCCCAAAGCTGATGACTTGCATGCCGCGACGAGGAGGGCAGTCCACGCCATCCAAGGCTTGTTGGGGACATGTAGGGATTTGAGGGATGCGGGACGTGTTTCGCCGTGTACAGACGCGACTCCGGTGCTGCTCAGCATAGATTCGATACGAGTTCATACAGGTATACCCTTATACGTGTATCCATGCGGTCCTCCAACTGTACTCGAGTATGTACAGCCATGATGGCGGAAAACACAGTGTTCACGTGTTAGGTTCAGCGTTGTGTATTCGTGTCTGTGCGCCGCGCCGCCTTCTCCCCCAACCCAATCAAGCCGCCTCTTTTTTCGAACGATAATTGGCAGGTACGATACGCCATGCGTTGATACTTGAAGTCCGTTTAATCCAGTCGATGGGTTGCCGACTAGACTGAGAGTGGCTATCGTTGGGGCTAGCGATCAGGCAAGTCTCAGTGCGGCATTCAAGGTCTGTCAACACTTGCAGCGATTGATATTGACCCATGTGCCTCGGTATCGCTGTACAGTTTCTAAATTTACTTGGGTGCATGCGGATTTGGCTCTCGATTGATGGTTTTGTCGCTTGTGGAAGATCACTACCCTTGATTTTGCTGAAAAAAAAAAAAAACGATTGAGCGTCAGACACTGTACTCTGTACACCACAGTTTCTCTGGGGAGGCAAGCACGAGGACGTACCAACATAGCCAGAAGAGAGCTGACATCCTGTACACCTGTCGGTCCATCAGGCGATGTGTTGTTTAGCACAGGAGGCGCTACGTGGGAGTTTGATGATGGCACGTAAGAGCTCGGAGGTGGAGCATTCGAACTTGGTGGAGCGAAAGAGGTCGGAGGCGATGGATAAGTGCTGGGGCTTTGCCCATAGGGAGATGCGGCCGGGGGAGCTTTGAACATTTGGTTCTGATACGAGAGATTGGTCGTGGTGGACGCCGAAGACGGTGAAGGATAAGGCGGGAAGGACTGCGTGGCGGCGGCGGTATAGGAAGAAGGCGAGGTAGAATACCCTGCTGCTGCTCCCATAGCGCGGTAAGGAGGATGGGTGGGCGCGGCCATCGCGGGTTGATATCTGGAGGTGGAGTTTACTGCTGTAGACGCAACGGAAGGCACATTGGAAAGGTTTTGAATCAGCTTGAAAAATCAGGTTAGTTTCGATTTGCGCATGGAGGCGGAAGGACCTACCGCCTGCATCTTGCGAGCTTTCTCCAGAGCGTCTTCAGCAACCTATGTAGAGTCAGCAGAGCCGACTAGCATCCTCACGGAATCTTACAGGAGCGGGGAGCGAACGACCCCCGGGCCCAGAGAAAGTATGATAGCCAGATGGGAACGAAGCTAAGGGCGCCATTAGAGTCGGGTTACGGGGAAAAACCGCAAGAGAAGATACCTCGTCTGTCACTGTCACGAATTCCCGGCGACCTCTCTCTGCTGTATTCTCGACTCCTGGCACTCGGGTATGAGTCTCTACGCAGCGGCTCGCGGGCTTGATGATCATGAGCATGAGATGTCCGTGGTACCCTTTCCGAGACACTGCATCTATCATCAGTGTCAGTCCGAGGAGCTGCGCGCCACTTACGGAGGGGGAGGGACGTTGTTGCCTACTTTGTCCCAGATGTGACGAAGTTCCAGTTCGATTCCCATGAACACTTGACGGTTCATCTGTTGTTGCAGGAGGATTGCGCCACGGCTGTCAAAGTATTCCACAACGACCTCTCTACATATGATCGATGAGCCGCCTCTCTACAGGACGTTTCAAATACACTGACGAGGGCCTGTGTCCGCGTTCCACGTCTTTGATATCCCCGTATCTCTCAGCCATGCGCCGTACATCGCTCAAGTTGAGAGGGCGAGGAGGGTGAGCGACAATGAGTATGGATCCCTAACATCGGTCAGTCTCATCGCACGTGAGGGAAATGGCCCTTACTTGATTTTTGTCCGCACTGCAAGCTGTGGCTATCTCCTCAGGTCGAGGCAGACTGTAATGAACATCGATCTTGCGCAAGAAGGTCAGCACTTTCATGAAGTTTGCAACTTCAACTCACCGGTCGCCGATTGACTTTCATACCGTGCATTCCGTCTCTGGCGCGTTCAGCAGCTCTTGAGTCAAACTGCAAAGAAGATCAGAGATGTAGCGAAGATATAGAACTCACAAAAGTGACAAATATCATTCCGCGTTTCTTGACCATCTCGAAAAAGTTCTGAATTGGCCCGTAGGCTTCAAATTGTTCGCGGAGGTCCTCGGGGTCGGAGTCGAAATGGATCGACCTGACAAACAGAGTTCTGCAGGGTCTCTCCTGGTTGATCCTTTCTTCAATGGAGCGAGGATCGCGGTCTTGATGGCGACGCCGAACTATTGTGAGGAGATGAATCCAAAGGTGAGCCTGAGTATCGTGGAGCAGGCGTAGTAATGCGAAGCAATCGCCGAGGTAAGAACTCATCAGAAGAGTCATTCAGAGAACCGCATTCCGACCCTCAAATCACTCATTTGTATGCCACACCCAGAAACAAGACCTCAATCGAAGTTCAAATGTCGGGATCGAGCGCACGATAGTCTCCCACTCTCCGTCACAGGTCCCATAGGTATCCGTCCAACACCTCATCCCGTACTTGCGAGCATACGGCACGTCTTAGTCCCCGAAAATGGCAAGCTCGGCAATTGACACTCGGATAGGCTCGATTTGAACACTCTGATAGGCTCGATTTGGGAGTTGGAGGTATATGGGAAGAACAACTGCTTACTTTCGGGCGATCTCTGACGTGGATAGAACCCTGGCGAGCTTCTGAGGTCTCTATCTCTCTCATAGTCGTATCCTCCTCTATCGTATTGTCTGTCCTTACCACCATAAGCTGACTGCTCGAAGCGACCAGCAGTTTGAGGCGGTTCGCGCCCAGATGGGTAAGGTCCACTGCCCAATCCTGAGGCTTGGTACATGGGAGACCCTTTAGTGGTTCCTCAGAGGCGTTGAAGATCAGTCGTAAACAAGATAGGAGATGCTGGTTGACGAACGTCGAGACAAAGTAGATGTGAAGATTCGGTAGTCGAGTAGCAGGAACGGGATCCCGTCTGTGCGTGTTCTGCTATAGGTATATGGAGACTGGAAGATTGAGGGTATATTGCCACGGATCGACTGGCAGTGGGCTGATCGTGGACAGCTGTTTTGGGTATCACCTCGAGAACGAAAAGATGGTGGGGAGGTGGAAAGTCCACGACACGGTCGACACCTGCCTGTCACTTGTGAGCCGACCTCGATAGTTAAGTAAAGTGTAAAAATCAGAGTGGAGGCCATAATAAGCGGAACCAATCATTCCCTCGGTGGCAACTCATCGTCATATAGGGCGGAGACAAAGCGCGCAGGCAGCGCGCAGGACCTGGCGTGTCTTCTCTATCTCCTCTGTCACCTCGTCTCTGGTAAAGCGAAACTATCAACAACAGACCGCACTCTACTGCCGTGGATAACCTCATCTCGAAGCCCGAAATCAGCACATCTCAAGTCTCCATGTCGAAGACAACATCCTTCAAACTAGTTCTGCTCGGTGGGTACAGGAGGCCATTGCCCCCACTTTGCTGTCAGCGATGGCCGATTGCTTACAGCTGCATGACAGGAGAGTCTGCTGTGGGAAAGAGCAGCTTAGTGCTCAGATTCGTATGTAGAGTTCTGGGGAGGCTACATGGTAACTGGTCTAATTATCATTGCTTCACAGGTGCGGGATGAGTTCTCTGATTTCAGGTATGTGGAAACCTCTGCATACGATAACCTCTTCGCTAACATACAATCCAGGGAATCTACTATTGGTAAGGCCATTCTAAACACATGCAAGCTATATCCCTGACGGCGTCCTTTGTTCGGCTCTCTCGCAGGAGGTGAGTTTACTTGTCAACCCTGCTGCAACGTATGATACTGATGCGAGACATGGCTAGCTGCATTTCTTACGCAATCTGTCAAACTGGATGAGAACACAACCATTAAATTTGAGATCTGGGACACGGCTGGGCAAGAGCGTGAGTGGAATGGTCGTTTGAGGACTCCCGTTAACATGATCACTTTGTCTTTCAGGATACAAGTCTTTGGCTCCCATCTACTTCAGAAATTCGAACGCCGCTGTCATTGTCTATGATATTACACAAGTAGGTTGTCCATCCACCTCCTGAGCGAACGTCATGCTAACCGCGTCTGGCCTTGTAGCCGTCCGAGGTGCGTTGCCGTTTCTGATCAAGCCTACACAGGATTGCTCATCTGATTTGCAGACTTCCTTCGAGAAAGCGAAGCAATGGGTCAAAGAATTGAAGCGCAGCGCAGACCCGTCCATCGTGATCATGCTGGTTGGAAACAAGATCGATATGGCATCTCAGCGAAAGACCCCCCGTGAGCTCGGACAACAGTTTGCGGGCGAGGAAGGATTGCTGTTCACGGAGGCCAGCGCAAAAACTGGAGAAGAAGTGTGAGTCATCAGATCCCTTCCTATCAAGAGACAAAGACCAGGATTGACAGGCCTTGAAGAGAAGAGTTGTTCCATGCAATTGGTAAGTTGCGGTGGTAACGTATCACAGCTTTTCACTAATTTATCTTGCTCCAATATAGCCAAGAAGCTTCCTCTCGCACCTCCACAGCAGAGAAGTCAGAGTTCGAGCAAGGGTGTCAACGTGTCCGGACAAGAAGCTACGCCTCAGGCTTGCACTTGTTAGGCCATATGCCTTGTACGCCTGGCATCACATAGATTCGTGTTTTTATGCGCTTGATTGGGATTCTACCAGCTGTGGTACAGTAATGTCAGTGTTGCCATGTATCATATAAATGTAGGCCAGGTGAATCATTGATCGATGAGACCGGCAAGTCCGGATAATTCAGGGGTGCGGACACCGCCGTTTAAATTTCGAGATTGTCGACGATATTCTCATCGTCGCATCAAATCACATCGCATTGAATTGCCGTCTTTCTGCTTTACTCGTCGACCATCAACAATACCGCAATCCCCGCGATCAGTCATGTCCGACACACCTCCCAAACGACGTGCTGCTGAAGCAGCGTCTTCCGTCCCTCCGGCCAAGACTTCGGCAATGTCAGCTACCGCACCCCCCTTCAATCCTACTCGCCCTTTGTCTGGTAAATCCAAGGCATCATTCCACAGCATCGCCCAGGAGATGAAGCCCCGTGTGAAGACGGGCAGTGAGGAGAACGCCATGGAGGTCGACGGCGACAGAGAAGATTCTGCTCCGAGGGTCACGAAACCTTTGCCTGCAGGGAAGAGGAGCGTACCCAGAGCCGATTTTGTACCTCAACAGGCTTCAGTGCCCAAGTCAAATGAGGACAAGGAGAACACAAGGAGGTTGATCGTTGTCCTGTCTCAAGTACGTTTCGCCATATGCTTGCCACTATTGAACCAGGCATATACTCACAGCAGAGTATGATCACTGACTTCTCTTTCTGACAGGCTTGTTTGGAGGCCTACAAAATATCTTCAGGCTCCGGAGGCAAGAATGCTTCCGGTAAAGAGGCCAAATATGCTCTATTGAACTGTGATGATCATCAAGGTATCCTGGCGAAAACCGGACGGGATATTGCAGATGCGCGACCGGATATCACCCATCAAGTAAGTTTATCCATCACAATATGCATTCTTTCATTGCTGATCGCTAACCGCTTCTAGTGTCTCCTTACCCTCCTTGATTCTCCTTTGAACAAAGCGGGATTACTCCAGGTGTATATCCATACAGCGAAAGGTGTTCTGATCGAGGTGAACCCCAGTGTGAGAATACCGCGAACGTTCAAGCGTTTCTCTGGCTTGATGGGTGAGTCTATCTGTACCTAGTCACTATCTGAACTTCTCTGATCTGGCACACAGTGCAATTGTTACACAAACTGTCCATCAGGGGTGTGAATGGTAGTGAGAAACTCCTGAGAGTCATCAAGAACCCTATCACCGATCATCTTCCCACGAACACTATCAAGCTCAGTGAGTCAAGTTGCCTGGAAGTGATACCATTGTACTGATCAAGTCTTATCCTAGCCCTGTCGGCGGATGCGCCTACCATTCGATTGTCGAAATTCCTGCCCACTCTCCCTGAGACTCACTCTGTTTGTGTCTTTGTTGGTGCTATGGCTAGAGGGTTCGTATCCCATCTATTTTCATGCGAGTACAGGGCTCATATCACACTTCACAGCGACGATAACTTTGGAGACCAGTTTGTGGACCAGAAAATATCTATCAGTGATTACAGTCTTTCAGCCTCCGTGGCCTGTGGAAAGTTCTGCTGTGCTATGGTTGGTGGTTTTCATTCTCTGCCGACGTACACGATAGCTAACAAGCTACACAGGAAGAGATCTGGGACATCGTCTGAACAGTGTAGTAGGGACTCAAATATAAGATAGCCTCAACGCAGTCTTTGGGTCAAGTAGAAAAGAAACTGAAAGCGAGTAGTACATCGTCTCAGCATATCACTCATCTGTATGCGTCTTGTTTGTATATTTTAATGCATTGGGGTTGTGACTGCTTCATCTTCATCTTCATGGCGATGGTCCAATGCTCTCGCTCTCACTCGTAAAGTCAGCAGGGCGGTAACAGCGGCGACAGCCGAATATGCAGCCCGGCGTAGGAGGTTCGCAAAAGTAACTTCTCTTCTGAAAAAGCCGCCAGATATAATACTCCGACATCTACAGCGGACTGTACTCTCCAGCTCAGTCCTTTTCATACTCGAGCATCGCCCCCCTCTCTCTCAACCCTACAGCTGTCATACTCAGACGCCCACAGCTTTGCACCAATTCTACCGAATTCTACCATCAGCAACCTCCATTACAACTGTCGCTGGCTCGCGCTAGCAACAACGCCGTTCAAGATATGGGCGTCCGGGGCCTGCAGTCTTTCGTAAAGGAGAATCGAGGGTCACTTTGCCGCTCTGTCATATTGCCGGAGAAAGATGCGCGTGGGACTGAAAAAGGGGCGGTCCCTATCATAGTCGATGCTTGGGGGTAAGTGCTGCGCTATTGGTCTCGGTGCTATGCCTAAACGATCCTCTCAGTGTGATTTTCAAGCTCTACCTCGATAGCTTACCCTGGGTATCAGGGGGGGAATATCTGCGGTTCTATCAGCTCGCTAAAAAACTGGTCACTTCATGGCGAAAAGTCAATTTGGAGCCGACATTCGTCTTTGATGGTAAATTCTAGACACCATTGGGTTGGGCAAACGCTGACTCAGCACAGGTGCAGCACCAGTAGAAAAGCATGCCACTACGCTCAAAAGAATGACTGAGAGCCTTGTCGCCCCGAAGTTGTTTTTCACTACTTCTGTCAAATCTCGCTCTGGTCCGTCTTTCGGCAAAGACTCTACAGGCAAGGTCGTTCTCCCTGGTTTTGCTTCTCATGCCTTCCTCTTTGCCCTCCATCGCCTTGGGGTAGCAACCCACCATGTACCCTACGGCGAAGCGGACGGTGTCTGCGTGAAAATGGCCGAGGCGGTCAATGGATATGTGCTTGGGCAGGACTCCGACTTTCTGATTCTCGTTGGGAAGTCTGAGAGAATGCTGGGCTATGCGCCCCTGGATATGATGTCTTGGATTGAGGGGGAAGCTTCCGAGAAAGACGGAGAATCAGACTCCGACTGCACCCTGCCTTCTTCTGCCTTTCAAGAAGTCAATGGGCGCAGGAAGAGAATTTATCATCCCAGACACTCCTCTCTTCTTCCACTGCCTTCACAAAGTCACCCGACCCTCATCCTCACCGTGATCGCTCCTAGTTCTTTGCGGCAACGGCTGCGACTTTCGGCCAACTATATGGCTCTCTTTGCTTCCCTGATCGGTAACGATTATACACCACCAGATGCCCTAAAGCGGTTCTATGAGCCCAGTCTCAACCCGTCCAAACGTATCGAGAAAGCTGCCTGGGTTCTGCGTGAACAGCTGCAGATTCTGTCTGCTAGCAAAGGCAAAAGCGTCAATCCAGGCGACTTTGTAGTCGAGCTCGTCCGACGAGTTGTCAAGAAGCTCTGTATCTGGCAATACGACACTGAGTCTGACCTGATGGGAGCTGTGAATGGAATAATCGAGGCTGCACTGCAATATTCTATCCCACACTTCTTACAATGCTGTCCGAGCTATCCTTTCTGCGGAGAGTTGGGACAGCTTGGCTGTCAAACATCCCTCAGTCGCCCCAGCATCCCTGCTTTATCCGACAATCACATCCCGAACAACGAAACGACACAACAGCAGAAGGCGCTCGAGGCATATGCCGCAACCCAGAGGAAAGGGTGCCTCACATTCATCACCCATGCGTGGCTCTACCCTGACCGTATCTATTTGAGAAGCGGCATGGAGGACCCTTCGATTCCTAGCTTTCGAGGTTTGGAGACTAGTAGGGAAGTAAGACGAACAGCGTACGCTATCGCAGATGAAGGACTGGGGGGTTTCAAATTTACCGCTGAGCCGGAGGATGATCGGCGGGCAAGGTCTGAAGAGCAAGCCGAAGACAGGAGAGATTTGTCTACCGAGGACGCGGCATCCAAGAAAGATAATCAGGAATTACAAGACCATCCAGCGCCAGAGCATGGCGAACATGATCGCACTGAAGCTTCATCTCATTCAGATGATCCAGTACGCATTATGGTCGAATATGTGCGGCAAGGCTCCGCTGGACGTGTCATCCCCTATGATCTTCGTCTCCCTCCCAAGGAGTCCTCCGAAAGCACTGCCCCTTTGTGTGTACAGCCTCTACCTGATCGTCTCAGGGCCTACCTTGGGCCGATGTGTTCGGACACCGCTGCCATTCGCGAGCTTCCTTCATCCTTACAACCCCTGATCGCCATAGTTCGGTATTGCGCTGTCGAGATGGCTGCAGTCAACAGCGGAGGGGAGTCTCCTCGGGCGATTGACCTTCGCTGGAGAAAGAGCGAAGTATTGGCTGTCCTGAAATCCGGAATCGGTACATTCAGACAATGGCGGATGGAATTGGACTACGAAGAGCTGTCTGTCAAGAGAAAATCCAAACCAGTGTCGAGCGAGGATGAGGTCAAAGAATGGCCCGTCCTTGAAAACCGCAACGCTCAGCTCGTTGGTCAATTGAGCACTGCCATGCAGAACTCATCTTCGCTGGCGGAATCGCTTCTGCTTCTATCTACCCAAATCCCGTACTTCACCCCTTTACAAATGGAGTCTCTGCCCCAGCCTCTGACTGGCGACCCTGTCGGCGATTTCGGTCCCACCCACCTCTCCTCTTTCATGTTTTTCAGCGGCGTCAACCTCCACACTGTATTGATGGGGCATCAACCCCCACCTCATTTGAAATGGAAGTGGACAGAAGAGGAAGACCGTATATTGGAGACCTGCTGGACAGCTCTACTTGCAGATCTCCAGGACGGCGTCATCCTGGGATTGCAACAGGAGGTTGACGATACTGAAGGTGAGGAGTATCATGGCAAGGATAAGAATAAGCGAGCCAAGAGGGACAGAAAGAAGAAGGCTGGCATGCGGAAGGCAAATGAGGGTACTGGGACAAGACTTGGAAAGAGACCGGGAGGAATGTTCGATCTTTTGGGCGACGATGCGGCCATGATATAGGTCAGGAGCCTCTTTTGCCAGTGATTATTCACTGTATTCTATTCTCAATGTAAGCTCGCTTCTTGTTGCCAACGTCGTTCCTCTGCCATTCAATTAACCCTGCCACCGTAGCTACCTCGGGTCACACGAGTAGGCTGCTTCACTCACCGACGATCATATGTACAATGCTTTCCTATCCGTTTCAGCATGTGTTCGCATCCTCTTCCCTGTAAGTACAATGCATGAGTAAATTGCGGACCCCCAGCCCGCTGTCATGCCCCTCCATATCCTCATGGGTGATGAGCGCATCAGTACATAAGAATACGAATGATGCTGTACATACGGGTATCACAGGCAGTCCATCATATCATTGGCTCGGGATTTGGTCAGGCATGTCAGGAGGAGGGCAATAGTCTTGGAGGGGCACATTGGATAAGCGTTCATTGACAGGTCCAAAGTATTCAAGGCTGCATATACTAGACGTAGCAAGTGACAGCGGTAACGAATGGGCGGTGGTGCGTTTTGCTCTCCTCACGGCGCCCGGTGACCGGAGACATGAGATCTGAGATTTGCGGGGAGAGATCTCGCGTGGCCAGCTCGCTAGAAGCCTGAGACATACTTTTCTCATGCCATGGGATGCATGGCCATGACTGCACTCGGCAGTGGGAGCATGGGACTATATGCACGCGTCACCAGCTGTTCCAAAGAGCGGGAGGGCTGCAGCAGAGGCGATATAGAGGGTGCACAAGTAAGTGTACATCAGGGTGTCACCCGGCTCACCGCCCTCGTTCGGAAGCCGACAAGTTTAGACCGCTTCGTAGGTTACACACATAATTCTCCTATATCGGCTTCTTTCTTCTTCCTCATCTATCAACGCAAAACTTCGCTCGCCAGCCTACTGCCCTCCGGACCATCCTTCTGTCGGCTCTCAATCATCGTCGGGCGCCGCTGATTCGCCATCTCCATGCAGCAGCCCAACCAACATCATGGCTGGCAAGGCCACCAACCTGGCGGCCGCCCCCTGGATTCTACAGGATGGCCCTCGAATGACTCGTCTCGTCAGAATGACTGGCCCTCGCAGATGACTCGGATACCAGCTAGGAATCCAAGCGAAGGAGGTACCAAGAGGAAGGACGTGATGGGCTCGTCGGACCTTGAGATAGCGGTCCCCGGAGCAGGTGCCTTCGGCGCTTCTTTAAGCACGATGCCTCACCAGCAAGGTATTGCATACGTCTCGCAAGATGTACGGAATGAAGCTGATGTAGAAGGATACTACTTTGAAGATGCGGAAGATTCGTATAGGTAAGCTGTCTACGAGGTGAACAACGGCCCACTCTGACAGATCTCCGCAGCGAGAACAGAGGGCATCCTGGAACGGGGGTGGGCTCTTCCTCTGGCCTGTGTGAGCATGCGATGGTTGCTATATTATGTCTGCTTACTTGGTCTCCCTCAACAGATACGGGCCACCTTCCGAAAGCACAGCCCACCGAACCATCATTGAGAAGAGGAATGTACGTAAAATAAGTGTGTTGCCTTGTCCAGACGCTGATCGCTCTGTGACACAAGGGCGTGCAAGTTCTGTCGCCGGCGCAAACTTGTAAGATTTATATATGCTTAGGTTGACCCAGCTAAAGTCATACAATGTAGCGATGCTCTGGCGAACGACCGATCTGTTCCAGCTGCGTCAAATACAAACAGGTCTGTGAGTATCAGACGCCGCCCAAGATTCCCAGGTCTCAGCCCGCGGAGAACAGCACATGTAAGTCGCTCAGCAGGAACGTTCATCATTCGCCATCTGATGCCAGACCAATAGCAACCGGACTGTCAGACTTTGTCCACCAACCTGCCATCCCCGGTTACCAGTCGGCCTTCAGTTCGCAACCTCTTGTCGAAACCCAGAATGTGCCCTCGGCTATTCCTTTCCATCAGGATTTGCCGGGCCCTTCTAGCTACGCCTCGGCTTCAAACATCTACCAGCCTGATTATACGGTGACCCATCGACCATTCGACATCAGCATCATCAACATGCCCCCTAGCACTCTTGCATTCAGCCCCCTTGGTCATTCCAGCATCGGTTCCACATCTGTCTTTGGTGCACCTGTAGACCCTACGTCAGACATTCCCTTCCAGCAATTCCCTCAATATGCAGCAGAGCCCTCCTCGTATTCCGCCACGAGTTTGGGTTCTTCGTCTCCATCGTCCTTCCTTCCACAGGGGCCGCAAAGACACAGCATCAATACTGTTCTTTCCGATGGATTTCCGTCTCCGACCGCCCCACGAAATGGCTACAGTGGGGCCAGGCCGTCATTACCAATGTCTCAGCCGGCGATACCAAGCAATTCCTGTGCTCCCGCGATGCCTGCTCCCATGCCAGACTTTTCATTTGTTGCCGACAATGCATCCACCTCAATGCCCCTGGGAGTGACTCAGCCATACAGAAGTAGTACTTGCTCTTCTGGTTTCACTCATTCCTCGGCTTCACCTAGGGTCACGAATATCCCTTCGTCGACGCCTTCTTCAACCCCGTTGAATGCCGCTGTCCCGCCAGTCGGCGATGCCCCTGCCGAATATCCAGCAGGTGCCAGCATGCGTTTCGTCTCGGACGAGTCTGACCCTGTCGATAATATCACGGAGCGCCTGGGAGAGTTCTTATTCAGTCCCAATGAGAGCCCTGTAACTACTGGAAACAACACAGAAGCCGGATCTCCCGAAGATCGGGACGCGCAAAAGAGAAGAAGGCTTTCCAAAGCGAAAGCTGGCCAAGGATGGGCTGGTAGTGGTCCGCAGAAGACATCGCTTCTACACAACAGGGTAGAGTCGGACGGTCTGCGAGACGAGCTCAGGAATATGCTGTAAGTTTGATTATGAGATTTGTGGTCGCCATGGGTAACAGTATACAAGATTGGATTGCTTTTTGGAGCACGTCCGATTGTTCTTTGAGATGAGCATTCCTCGTTTCAGATATCGCATGACCTTCTTGGACAAACGAAGGCCCCATCTGGCTCTGTTGAATGCGATGGTAAGGCGCTACTGCCTGGCTGCAATTTGGAATCAATCTGATATGCTCTTAGTATCTGTGGGCTTCTCGGCTATCGCAGGCGCCCAATCCAGTGGCACTCGAGCAGCATTTTTACACCGAGGCTCTTCGCCACTTGGACGCGGCGGCGGCGAGTAACGATAGATTGGTAGACGCCATACGAGCGGCGATGCTCCTCAGTGCCTACACCTATACGAATGGGAGACACCACGAGGCAAATGCTCCTGATCGTTGACACACACAATGTTTATGCTGATGAATCTGATCAGGGTTGGCTGGTCGCGGGAATTGCTGTCCGACTGGTGCTTTCAAGCGGTTTACATCGTATCCCGTCGCTCAGTCTGCAATCAATTCCTAAAGATACGCTTTTTCTCCGGAACCGAGTCTTTCTTCTACCTCCCCCAGAAGATGCAGTCGAATTGGCAGAAAGAGTCCACGCCTTGTAAGTATCTCTGGGACTCTCTACTCGCTCCCAGTGCTGATCTATGCGAAGCTGGTGTGTGTATTCAATAGAAAGATGTGGTGCATTAGCCACTGGATTCCCTTCGTCCCTCAATGATGGCGACATCATCACCCCGTTCGGTAGACCTATAGACGAAATAGCATCTGTGAGCCGTTCGCTCGCAAATAGACTTACTCAGGCTGACACAGGAACAGCAAACGGTAACCTCTGCAGATGATACCTCCGTCCGTAATTTATACCGAGGTCACATACCGGCACATCCCCAGGGAGATAGCCCCTAGTCAGTCCATTCTGCGGTTATGTTTGATCCCGGGCTGACAGTCGTCTCAGCGTGAGATGGCTAAAAGCTGTCACGGTCTTGGAACGTACATCGAAGCTCGCGTTCCTTGATCCCGATGATGACTCCGAGTACTCCCGGGTGTGGACAGAGTATGCCAACCTCTTGTCTTCGCCAAGCTCTGCTTCATCAGCTTCACTCCCTCCATCATGGCTCAATCAACCCAAATACAGAAATCCGAAAGATTACAACGAGTGTTACTTTGCGCTCGAACAGCTCCGCAGAGAGCTTGGAGTGGATGGGATATCCCCTGTGGAGAGAAAGAACAGAGCAGATAATGAAGGGATTGAACTCGTTTTCGGAAGCAAGATAGTTTTATTGGTGGGTGTATTAAGGCGATCAATTTTGCCATGCTGACGATGATCTAGCATCATCATTTTGCAGCCATAGAGATGCTGCTGCACGATATAAATTCCATCGATGCCGACAATTCTGTGGCTGTCAGTGCTGCTCAACGAAGTGTCGCTCTTTTCAAACACCTTCCCGAGATGGTACGTCTGTTCATCTGCGACGTCAAACTATATGCCAACTAGGAATTGAAAAGTCACTCTTTGAAGTCGACGCTGAAATTGTGCTGGTGTGGTGTATGACTGCCAAACTACTGATCAAGGAGCTCGACCGATTCGCCCGTCAGGGTGATGCCATATGTGAGTCCGTGGCGTGCCTCCGGACATACACTAACAGAAACTATAGCTTGTCAAAATCTGGGTGACGATGTCGACTGTATCATCAACGAGCTCTATCGAGTCGGGCATGTAATGCACATGTCGTAAGTTTCCATGATCTCATGATGCTTGAGAAACTGAGACCCGCTTAGGCGAGCCCAAGGCAAAGCGATGGAAGACCTCAAAAAGGCCGCTTTAGCAAACCTCAAACAGGCGTAACATCATCAGCACCCTAATAATACCTGGACATTAACATCATCGCATACTATGCTCTGTATGGTCTGTTGACTTGGCGCCCTACGTATGACATGTACAAGTCCAGTGTCCAGTGTACATCGATGTGTGGCGCCAATACAACATGCATACTTTGCCTATTACCGTCAGTAATCAGCTTACCCTGAGCACACATCGTTATAGCCCTCGCTCCAGCCTGTAGCGCCAACTACCGCCAGCACCAAAATATGACCAAGCATTACACTACCCCCGATGTAGAACCATTTCCAGCCCCACCGCTTGATCACTGCTGCTTCAACCACAAACGTCGACACAGTACTCAGACAGCCACAAAACCCCTGCTGTATGGCATGCAGACCATTGCACCGTATCGCACCGTGATCTGCTCCCCCAGGTCTTCTCTGTGCAGCGAATGTGCTTGCTACTAATAGAGTGGCCATCATATTCGCCAGGAGTGTCCCAATCGGGAATTTGTTGACAAAGGGGCGCCGAATGTTGAGCTTCGAGAGGGCAAATCGAAGCATTGCACCTGGTGGAGAGAGGAGTAGAGGAAAGGTGACATCGTGTCGCCAGCTGTGAGGAGCGAGAAAGTAGAGAAGTAGGGCAACGAGGTATGCCAGAGCGGCTGTGAGAATTGTGAAGGAATCCCTGAGAGGGGTCCTCGCAGCAGTCGACGGGGAGGAAGGGAACGTCGCCGCCGCCGACATGCTTCTTTTTTCTGTTGTATGATAGGCAGAGGCATTCGACTGTCTGGGTAGATGGGGCAGGGTACGACCGAGGTGCTCGCCAAATTTGAGCGATGCCATGGCAATAGCAAAAGTTGAGAGAGAGTATGCGACCCCGTCTACAGTCTGTGGAGCCATGATCAGTCTTCCACGCTCGGTGTCGATTCGAAAAGGGCTCACATCGTGTAGGCCTTTGCGATTGTAATTCCCAAAGTTGCTGAAAGCGAGATAGCCCTCCAACATCCAGGAAGAGAAGGTCGTTATTGATCCAGCAATGCCTGTCGTAAGGAATGTGAATAGAGGCGGATAACTGTAGGCCAGTCAGTCTTGGTCTATTTCACAGAGCTTACTGACAATGTAGATATGTCGTTCTTCAATCCGAGAGAAAGTCCCATGATACCACTCCCCACGCCTTGTGACCAGGCCAAAGGGTATATGAGAGCACCATCATCTACCTCGGTTTAGAGAATGCTTTCATACGAGCGCAAATAGCGCTTTCATACTCACATCTACCCAAAGCGCTCAGCCCTAGTCTGACTAGGCACCCCAGCATACTTGCCAGCACTAATCCTCCATAATGTGCCCCTAGACGCAGATGCGTGACTTCTTCCGCAGGCGGCGGCGCGTTCGCTTCTGGAGCAGGAGGGGGCGGGGGCGGTGGTCCTCCGAGGTGCTCGGGGTCTGCTGACAATGATGAGCGCGAGCGGGACCGTACCATCGGCGCTCGTGGTGCTTCTGAGGAAACGGGGGACGACGAGGACGCCATTAACTGGCAAGCCGTAATGAAGTTGACAGGGCCGGCTGGGGATTGTCTAGTTCCGTAGATTGTCTTTGTCGGCCATCTGATCCCGAAGAAGCAGCGAAATGATGAGAGAGTAGATGTCGGAATGGATGGAGATGGCGGGTATATCAGTAGATGATGGTTTAGATGTTAATCGCAAAATACAGTACCGCGGCTGATAAGATCTGATCGTGCCTCGCCTAATGACGACGGTTTCAATCCCGTCCCGACCTTCAGCAGGTCCATGGCTCGACAATGCTCTAAACTGGCTACATATGTGCTGGAGTGGTGGTATACATTTCGAAGTCTACAGCGCACAATTTCTAGTGGGCACCTTGGACTCCAAGATCCTCCAGCTCGTTCGGGCGACTCCATACATCATCTCCAACTTTTCATCTGCCTCCTTCCCAGGTCCATTCTGGCCCTCCCTCAATTCCTTTGTCGCATCCTTACCTACGCCCGCCGTCTGCAAGTCTATCCCGTTCTCCTGCAAATGGATGGGTTTCCACTCCCACTCGGATTCAAAGCCATGGGGTATCTCGGGCGAGAGTAGACGTCGAGCGCAAAAGGAAGCCACGCTGGGAGGGGTATTGGGGTGGGCGAGCGCAAGATGGGCCTTGAGAGGTATATGAAGGGAGTGTGAGTAAGAATCAGGCGGCAAGGGATAGGATGCGATATCGATTGGGGAGTGGATTTTCACAGAGGAAGGTTTAGACTGTTTTGATGGAGAGAGTGAGATGGGGGGAGTCAGGGGAGGGGTCAAGGGCATAGAGCCGAAAGTCAGCATTGGGAGCTTGGGACTGACCTTGAGGTCAAGGCTTTCAGTGAGGCGGGGAGAGGGGGACTCGGGGGTGGATGACATGGTTGATGAGTTGCGAGATTGGGAAAGTGAAGATGCGTTGACCTGCCACTTTAAACCTCTGCCTGCTTCCCAGGTCTCTCAGATGCACTCCATTGACACCTCTCGAGTCTTGACGCACATTCCGCTAAACACGTTTGACGAATCCTTACAATTCTTGCATGACAACTCGAGTCACTGTGGTATCCTTTGAATATCGTCAATGCCCCACAGCGCTGTGGAATCCTTTCTCTGTTTCTACTCTCATGACCGAGTCCTGAAGGCAAAACGATCAGACTAGACACCGAGGGACCTTCCCATGAATCTTGGGGTACGCGTCAGGCAAGTTTCAGTCATGTTACGATTTGTGACTCACCGCCTCTTTTGGAAAGACATCCACCACTTGCTTGGCTTGGTAGCCCTGGGACCCAGTTGGCCTGTAGGTGCGCCATCAGGGCCGAGAGCCTGCTCATGAGGATAGAGCCTATCACAAAGGCGGAGAACAAGCTCAGTCCTGGTCTGAGTGAGATATGATCGGAAATGGTCTGCAGTAGCTCAGCACCAATGATCAAAGGCGAACTCGACCAACTCACCTGCGTCGACTCTAGAGGCAGGAGCATGGTACAAGCTATTCAAAGGGAAGCCGGCTTCTCCTGGTAGAGAAAAGTTGTCGACAGCAAGGGTCTGAAGGACCTTGGTGGCTTCTTGGTAAGACGGGGATGGTCTGCCAGCGGTGGGGGCAAGCTTGGTGAGACATTCCGAAATGAAGAGAATGAGGTAGATTAAGAGACGGTCCGCGGGTCCTGCGGGACAGTCAGCAAGGTTCATATGTGTACCGGATACACTGACCCTTGATCTCAAAGTTACGGAAGAGACAGTTGGCTCTGAACCTGCAAATGAGTCAATATGAGATCCACAGCCCAGCCATATTCCGCGTACAAGTCCAGAGCCTCATCGATGATATCAGGTTTCCCGGGGGTAGCTGTTGGACTGATGAGCAACCGATAGTGAGTAAGCAAGAGAAGAAGATACAAGATATGGGAGCTGGCCCTCTGATCTTTGTTGTGATAGGGAGGATGGCGGTGTTGCCGACTTGGCGGGCGTTGGTGTCGTGGTTGAAGGCGGAGTGGTAGGCCTGGGGGTGTCAGCTGGGCGACGGAGGCAGAGGGATGCTTACGGGCATGGCGGTGGTGGACAGAGCAGACAACGATCCAACAGAGCAGTGCGTCACAGAGTAGGAGGAGACGCCCAGCCCCCCACATATCTGCTTACGTAACAGTCGCGTCGCGCCCCGAGAAGCAACAAGTGAACATCAGATCACCAAAGATATCTTGTTCATCGAATCGACCTCGCATTGTATGCTCTCTAGGATCATTCGAAACATGGCTTCTACCTCGACATCAAGTAGACCGTCTCTCACGGCGATTGTCGCTGCTACCCAAGAGAACGGCATCGGCGTCAATGGCGGTCTCCCGTGGCGACTCCCTGGAGAGATGAAGTACTTTGCCCGTGGTACGTTCCCTCCCGACCGGAAACCATACAGCCTGCTGATTCGCTCAAGTCACAACTGGAGAAAACCCATCCAGCGCAGCTGTCAAGCAAAATGTACTCATTATGGGCCGCAAAACATGGGAAAGCATACCTCCCAAATTCAGGCCGCTGAAGAGTCGACAGAATCTGGTGATTTCCGGAAAAGGTGTAGACTTGTGAGCCTCACTCGCCTTTTTTGCATTGTTCTCTTTCTGACGGATGGTGCAGGGGAGGCGCTGAGAATAGCACGGTCCATGAATCATTAGACTCTGCGCTCTCTGCCCTTCCGTCAGGACCTGAAGCCCCGAGGGCCTTCCTCATCGGTGGCTCCACTCTCTACACCACGGCCCTCCTCCCCCCCTCCTCTGAACGACCTCTGGTGGACAGGGTGCTTCTTACGCGCATACTCTCGCCATTCGAGTGCGATGCCCACCTCGAAGACTTTGCTTCCCATCAAACTCCATCGGGAGAGAAGCTATGGAGAAAGAGTTCTACGCAAGAGTTGAGAGAGTGGATCGGATGGGATGTAGAGGAAGAGCAGGAGGAAAAGGGGATCAAGTATAGATACGAGATGTGGGTCTGGAATCAGTCATGAAGTGTCTTGACTGCAGTGGAGATGCATCTCTGGGCATGACAGTCATGCAGAATAAACAAATGCTATCGTATCTATGTATCATGACACCTCTCCTCTCTCTATCTCGCCGCCGACTAGTTGTAGATATTCCACGAACTCCTCCAGTCCCACCCATGGTGAGAATTGACCGACCCCCTGATCCCCAGAGCCAGATCCTTGAACCACCAGAAACTCAAAATCACACCGCCTGCCCAGAGAGCAAACCAGATCATCTTTTGTTTTTGAGACAGACGACGGGACGAGAAGAAAAAGTGGTCGAGGACATGGCCGGCGATGAGAACGGCAAAGTAGAGCGTGGGGAGGTAGTGATGCAAGTAGGTGACACGCCCCATGATCAAGAATGGGACTGTAGAGCGTCAACATGGAATCCCGTATCGAAAGGGAGAGTACTTACGGAAATGCAACGCCCACCCAGAAAATCCGACTTGCCCAACCCACAACCAATGTTCCCACTCACCCTTGCCCCAGTCCTTGTACCCTCTCTGCGCCCTCAACACATACCACGCCGCCAACAACAATCCAATGCCCAAGCTAGCAGTGGAGAACCACCAGATGATTGGCGTACCAAGCAGGTAGAATTTTATTTGGTGGTCGCCCCAGCCACACATACGAAGACCGAGGTGAAGGAGCGGCCAGTCGAAAGGCTGGGATGCGAGAATGTCCTCCTTGTCAGGGTCGGGAACGAGGGCATTGTTGGAAGTCCACATGGCCACATTGAGGTGAATAAAGTCACGCCAGAAGGGCGATTTGTAGAGCTTGACATCACCCGCGGGCACTGATATATTCGTCGTCAGCACTTGCCATTCATAGCCTCTGCTATACTCACACCTAGGGTTCCAATGCGACTCTACATTCCAATAGGTATGCGGGTCCTTTGGGTTGTTTTCCTTTGTGCACGTAACCTCAACCTGCTTGAAACCCCACTGTGGCAACACGGCGTTGGCCGCTCTGAGATAACACTTCAAGTCCCGATGCTTGAATCGCATCCTCGTGGTCAACGAGTGAATCCTGCCGTCCTCCTTGGCCGACTTGGATCGGTGAGTATCATCGACGACCTCGACGACCCAGAGATCGTTGTCGTCGCCGATAGTCTGGTTTCCGTAACCAGCCACCTCGAGCATTTCTTTGGATATAGGAGCAGCGATGTTGTGGGAGTGCAGGTTGCGGCCAGTCTGAGAGTGAACGAGACGGATGACGTCGCCGTCCTTTAAAAATTGGATAGGCCCATCAGGGTCGATAGGGTCGGCGTACCAAGGAGGGATGATATCCCAGTTATTGTTGTCGTCCTTGTAATGGTAACAAGTGACCTGTTGTTGCAAACTTCCAACGGGGAAAGTCTGGATATGGGAGTGTAAAAGACCACCGCCATAGCCATAGTTTTTCAGAGTCACTTTGGAGCCATAGGCGATTTCGAGGGGCGACTCGCCAAAGTCATTTCCACGGAGATGGGCCTGGAATAAGGACGACATTTGGGCATCGCCCGGCCCCGAGCGGTTGAGCACCATAAAGTGGATTTTGAAGCAAGCAGCATAGACGAGGAAGGGAATGACCATCAACGCGCCGATTCGGGCGACCCAGTGCTTGACGTATGTGCGCTATAAACGTCAGTGATGGTCGGCCAGATCATGTCAAGACTCACGAAAGGCATCGACAGGTCACCAAACTTGGCCCACAGATCTTGAATGGTATAGATACCTACGACGGCAGTGATAAACATGCCGACCCATTTGACACTGCAGACACAGCCGATAGACCAGCCGGTAAAGACGAGCCATATCCACCAGTCGTCGCTAAAGGCGTCGTGACGTTGGTTGTGGAATTTGACGAGACCGAGGGTGGTGGTGAACGTAAAAAACAAGAGCATAGAGTCGAGGAGGATGAATCGGGAGATACAGAGCCATCCGACGTCACAAAGGACACAGATGGTCACCCAATGTCTCGTGAATCTGCTCCACCCGAGCTCGCCTGCTGTAAACCAAGCCAGGGGTACGAGGGCCACTCCGAACGTCGCCAAGATGACTCGCATAGCCGTGTAAGGGACATCTGGGGGGTACTGCACGCCTGATTTGAAGTCAAAGTTGCCAGTGTAGCCTGCGAGCAGACCGGCAAGACCGACGAGCATCTTGCCTAGGGGAGGGTGGACGTCGAAGTAGAATTCGCGGTTGAGATAGCGAGAGGCAAAGCCGCCAAAATGCGCCTCGTCCCATACGACATAGTTGGCAGCGCCAATACGCCAGTACCGAGTGAGCATTGAAAGGAAGGTATAGATGCCTGCCCATACCCATTCTTCGTGCTCGATCGCAAAGCCCTTCTGCTCGGGATCAGCTGGGATCGTACACACCGCAAAGAACCTACCCATCCTGGTATTCTTTGCTTTGGGGGCAGCCCCCGTCTTCCACCAAAGCCGGGGCCAGCCCCATGGCCTTTGGCCCACTTGCCCGAGTCGTCGTCTAGCGAGAGCTCGCCATGGGTGGGCTCATTGAGGGGCTGCTTTTCTGACAGCCGTCTTTTGAGATCTGTCGTGTCGTCCATGTGGAGGGGCAGGGCGGGGTCGAGCTGGTCTCTCGGGGAAGAGGGTGTGTCTGTGTATGGGTTGTAGTGGGAGGCGGAGC